TAAAAGTAACGAAGAGGAAGAGACCGGTAGCGATAGTTAATTCCAGGTTACCGCCTATTTTACTATAATAGCAATTAACGGTAATAGGATCGCTACGATCCTAGCAGACTAGTTAACCTGCTATGCTATTACGAAAGAAGACCTTTTCCGCAACCAACTAGAACCGAAAAAGCTACCTTCGCAATTTATACTCGAGGGATGCTACTCTGCCTAGAACTTCCAAGGGATCATGCCTGACTCGGGCGTAGCAGGATTCTCAACCGCTGGCTACCTATAATTCGTAGCCTTATAACAAATTTACGAAGGAATTACGTTAAATACTAAGGCGGCTGGCGGCGTTATAGTGAAATTCGGCGATAGGATACTACTAGAGTCTATAGGGACTACCAAAGTGCTAACGCCGTTTAGAAGCGTTAAATTTCACGTTATTAAGACTAATACTCCCTTCCTTATATGCCTAGGAGATATAGACCGATTGAAGGTCTACTTTAATAACGTTACGAATACCCTTATCTAAGGAAACAAGGTCGTACCTATTATTTGCAAATAAGGCCACCTATAGTTATTACTCGATAAGGAGAAACTACTCGCTTGGAACTACCTTACAGACGCTGAATTGCGACGGGTTCACCGTCGCTTCGGATACCCATCTGTTTAACGATTATATAAGGTGCTCCAGAGGGCCGGCTACCTAGTTGAAATTACGGCAATTGAGTAACTATCGAAAGTCTGCTATCGATGCTAAATGCACGTACTAACGCTATTACGGTTTAAATTTACGTTACGAGACGATTACGAATTTAACTACGAGGTTATCGCTAACGTAATATACCTTGAGGGTAATAGACCGGTCTTCTACGTCGTCGATACTGCTACGGCGTTTAACGCTGCCTGGTTCCTTAAGGATATTTCTGCGAAAGCTACTTAGGAAGCCTTACGCCTCTGCTAGATAGATATATATCAGGGATCCCTAGACTAGCTAGTTACTAACGCTAGAATAAACTTCCGCTTAATAAAATTCCGAAACGCGGCAAGAGGAATAGCAATTAAAATCAAGGAAATTCCTATAAAAGCCTATAATAGTATTAGGAAAGTTAAACGATACTATATACTTCTAAGGAGGGCGTACGAAATTATTAAAGTAGAAGACCTAACAATTACGCTAGAATTAGTATTTTAAATAGTAGTTAAAGTAGTTAACGATACTGCTAGCCTAAACGGAATAGTGCTAATACTCTTGGTATTTGGCTTATTGTTGGAACGGTAGGTAGGAATCTCGTAGATAGTACGATATCCTTATAACAGGGTATTAGAGTAAGGGAACTTGTACTTATGAAGTAGGGCTTTAATAGTAAAGAATGTATAGGCTTATATTGAAGCTGAGTTGGTTGAGGAACTAATAGCTAGCTAAGGGAGAGAATTAGGCTAGTTATATAGTAGTATAACGTCGCCTATAATAGCTAATATAGGAAGCTATAAGCTAGGTTTAGTATACGTAAGTATATACGTCAACTAGCTTATAAAGCAGCTTATAAATCAGACTAGAATCTTCTTTAACTAAATAGACTTTTAGATAAGGTTAAAGAGAGTATTCCATAGGGATCTGAATGTCATATGTTTAAACTAGCAAGCAGCCATTCTTAGCTAGTTACTTTTGTAAGTCCTACTAAGTCTTAGATAAGACTAAATAGGATAAATAAGTAAAATAGAAGTATAATATACTTATACTTCTAACACTTATACCTACGAATTACCGACGATTTGCTACTATCTCCCGAAGTTATAAGGCGGGTGAAAGCGATTAAGAAGGCGACAAGCGAAGTATGCGAACTTTACGCAAGGCGATAGGTAGTAGAAGCTATCGCTACCTATAATAGCCTTGATATAAGGCTAATTATTAATTTACTACTACGGTTGTAAGTACGAGTATAGCGCGAAAAGAAGGGCTAGACTAGACTGTTTACTTTAGTAGCTATAAACGGCGAAACCTATACTGTCGATACGCTACGTAGTCCGAAGACCTTCCGGTTTACCGTAGTTAAACTATACTACGAAGATCCCGATTAACTACCTAATTCCATCGCCGCGCCAGAAGAAGAAGAACCCGAAGCTAAGATACCATAGTAGGAAGTAGTACGCGACGAAATTATTATCGCCGGCGGAGGCAGTAAACCGGACGAACCGCAAGAGGCACTAGAGCTACCGAGAAGACGCCCGGGTAGACCCCGGAAGAGACTATTGCTAATCGCTTACTTTATAAAGGAATTTAACGATAACCCGGATTATTAATAAATATTCCTATCGATTAAGGAGTAAGTAGACGAAGAATTAGTAATTAAACTACGACGAGAAGGTATTATTACTATACTAGGCGAACCGTTCGAATAGTTAACTAAATAAGAGATTAACAGCCTTATCGCTAGAGGAGTATTTAAATTTACCTAGTTTAATAAGAGAAGGCATTAGAACGTACGAATCTTCCGATCTCGTATCGTTAACAAAGTTAAAGGTAAAACAACCAAACCCTACGAGAAATCGAGACTTATAATATAAGGTTACGCCGACGATAGTAAGAAGGCTATATTAACCTAATCGCTAACGATTTAGCAGGCGAGTTAACGGCTAATTCTGTTAATTACCTTGTTACTCCTACGAGAAGGGAAATAACTATAGCTTCGAGATATTATATAAGCCTACGTTTAATCCTCTATAAGGCTTAATCGTACTATTCTCGCCTACCTACCGAAGCAAATTCAAGACTAGTACCTAAAAGGGACTATTATAAAGGTTGTAAAGCCTCTGTACGGAATCGCAGAAGCTAGAACCTACTAGTAGGCAACGTATCATAAGCATTATAGAGAGAATCTCTAGATAGTTACTTCTTCGTACGATCTATGCCTATTGATCTTATCTACCGAAAATCTATACTTTGGCTATATCGGTATGTAAACCGACGATACCCTCGGTTTGTTAGACAAGGCGTTCTTATAATTAGAAGACGAATAGTTAGAAAAAGCGGCTTTTATAGCAAAAGCGAAGAATATCCTTATAATTAACAAACCCTTCTAATTTAACAGAGGGATAATCGCGCTGTTAACTAATAATTCGATTAATTTAAGGCAAAAGGGACAAGCTAAGAAGTTACGATATATTAAGACTACTAAACCTAACCTAAAATAGCAATATGTCGAACAACGCGCCAGAGGGGCGTATATCGCGTCAATTTGCTAACCCGAGGCCTATTTCGATTTATCTACTACTACCTAATACTAAGACCTTTTGCTAAAAGCGATAAAAGTATTGAATTAACGGATTCGATAGCAAATAGAATCGCCTAACCAAGGAATAACGTTTATCCTACTCGACCTTATAATAGCTAAGCTATTCGTTTTCGTTAACAAGTCGTTTGCTAATAACTACGACCTTTCCTCCTAATTAGGGTTTCTGATTATCCTAGCTAACGATACTTCCTCTAATAGTAATAACGGAGAATTTACGATTTACGGTAACCTTGTTTATTATAGCTTTACGAAGAGTAAACGAGTTACCTATAGCGTATTAGCGTTAGAGATCTACGGGATAGTCGCTAGCGTCGATATAGCTTACGCCTTCGCTATAACCCTGGCGATAATTACTAACTACTTTAACCTACTAACGATTTAGATAGTTGTCTATACCGATTCTTATTCGCTATACGAGTGTCTTGTAAAGCTAGGTACTACTAAAGAAAAGCGACTCATGATCGATATTATAGCGTTAAGACAATCGTACGAAAGACGAGAACTATAAGAAATTCGTTGGATTAACGGCGAAGACAACCTTGCTAATGCCTTTACGAAGAGCAAACTAAATCGAGCCTTCGAGAGATTTGTTGATAGCAATACGATAACGATACGTATGGAGGGATGGGTAACAAGACCGTAACTACGGGAGAAAGTAGGGATAGGAGGCCGAATTGACGAGGAGACGGAACTGTATAGGGATAACGTATTCTAACCGCTTTAATACTATAAAAAGAGAGTTTCCAGTGTTGCGATAGTTGGAATACGGAGTCGTGTGGCACTTCCAGCCACACGCCCGCCAGGCTGAGAGGCCCAAGCCTCCCAGACCCACGTGACAGGCCAAGGGGGAATATCCCCACCTTCTAGTCAACAACACCACTTTCAACTATCATGAACCATCGATTAGAACCAATTTACTGTTATTTGTTATTGACGAACGGAATTCCGTTTCACCCCCTGTGAAACCTACAGTTGTATTCCGGCTGAAACCTTTCTGGGACAACTTCACTGAGCATTCTTGAAAGCGCAAAGTACCAATTCTTGCGAATATGTATTCTCAAGTAACATTTTACTTTCTCGCGCATCCTGACCGTAAGAGAGACGATTCCCTCCTCTCTTTTCGATGGGATCTTGGGCAATCATAATAACGACTTGCAGTCTACTACTGGAAGATAATCCAATAATCATGGCGAGCAAGTATTATAGGTTAAGAGCCTTGCGGGTTCCATATACTTTACCTGTAGAGGCAACCTCCTCAGTTAGGACAGACGTCTGAAACTCATGATTGGAAAGTTGACGCCCTCTTTTCTAAATGGAAGTTTTGCTGTGATGATTACAACATCTTAGTATTGAGTCGAGCTGGAGATAGATACATTTGATTAAACGATCTACTATTAGCAGAGGTTTAATTATGACATGGAGGTAATGCGCTGACGATCTGTTGACTGTTATGGGACTTTCGAAAGCCCCTTCGAGTTGTAGAGAGAAATTATACGTTTGAATTAATTTCGGTCTCATCTACCTATGTCTTCCAGTAATGACAGATATCTCCCCTCCTTGTTTATATATCGGAAATGACTGTAACCCAGTCCACTCTGCCTCGTCTTTCTTCCAATCTATGATGTACATCCTCGCCTTAATACCAGCTGTCAGCTTGCTTTACCAGAGCCTTTCGATCTACCACTAAGCTTCATGAAGCGATACAAGCTTGTTAATACCTTATCGGGGTGAGCTTGGCAGTGTGTCTTCTCCAGGCACTAAAGTGCCATTTTCGACAGCCGCCCGGTGGCCCCTGGACAACATGCCAATGCTGGGGACGTATTCGTCCATGAAAGCGAAGGTGTTGATGCCAGTAGGAGGCGTACGCCAGTCCCGCATCAGCTCCCCCCAAATGGCTGACAAGGACACCAATTGAACACCTGCGTCCTTCATCCGATCATTGGAAGCATCGCGGACCATCTCGTTAACAGTCCCGGAAGCCTCGATGTTGGCCCAAACTCCATAGCCAGCTTCGCGGAGAGACAGAGCAGCGAATGCAGTGCCTAAGTAGACAAAAGTGTGAGTTATGGTTTCTCCAAAGAACGAAGTCTTGGCGAAGGAACAGAACACTTACACACATCCGTCATGATTCCACCAATAATTATCTGCGACCTGTTCGTGGCGATAATGGCATCTCTAACGTCGGGGTTGTCCCATGCATTGACTTCACCAGGGCGCTTGATGATGGGTGCTTCAGGGAACATATCCAGGATTTCTCCCGGAATGGGTCCGTTGGGCCCTGAAACATCATATCAACTGAGCTGTAATGCCAAATAGCTAGTAGCTCAAATCACATACCATGTTCGATAGATGTACTCATAACCACGGGTAGATCGAAGGCTTTGGCCAGAACGGCATGGGCCATGATGTTGGCCTTAAAGTAGGTAGGCTCCAAATCGCGGACGAGACTGAAAAGACCGACTTGATGGTCGACAATAAAAATCATCTATAAGAGCTTGTCAACACATTGTGAAACTTTGCGTGGCCTTGATCGAGTTGCTGGCAACAGGAAACCTACCGAATCATTCCGGTTGAGCCTTTCATACTTATAGGCGAAGGCCGTCGCAGAAAGAACACTGGCGGTTGCCAGAAGTTTGCTGAGCTGCATTGCAAAAAGCGGTTTGAGGTAAGAGACGACCTTGTTGAGGAGGGTAATGAGATGGGGGAAGGATCGCTGATTCTAAACTTGTTGTAGATCAGTGTCAGTAACGAGGGAAGTATTGTGTCATTGAGGAGGATATCGGCGTCCTTATATACCCCTTCATGAGGCATCAATCAGGCATTCCACGGCAAGCTTCTTCGTTTGTTTTACGGACAAGAAAGACTGTTAGGTAACCGGAAGTCATTCGCAGCCGCCTTCACATCCGACTCACGTATATTGAAGTAAGTGTGAATGGTGATTAAGACTTAGCCAAGTCTGTAACGACCAACTGAGTCTTGGTATGTTGTATTGGATCCTCTATTGGTGTGAAATGATTGGTGGCAAGCCTTAGTTGATAGTTGGACTTGTCTGACTTCCTACTCAAAAGGGAAGTATAAGTCAAAATGCACTTAACACCCAGATGGGAAAGGTAAATCAAGTTGCATCAATACGGGCAAAAACTCCTGTAAGCACTAAACCAGTAATGCCGCCCAATTCGTCTCGTCACACGTTTTGAACCAAGGTTGTGGCTTATGTGCATATGCACATGCAGATGTAGCGGCGCCAAGCTACTGTAGACAGATAAACGCTTGAGTCCGAATAAGAGGCCGTCAAGACTACATTACTCTCATGAACGCAGTATGCAAGAACCGGTGAGAGCGGGTAGATGCAAAATAGAACCCCGCTTCGACTGGGTTGGGAACGGTTCCAACCTTGAATGCAACAATCACTATTTGATCAATGAACCACAGTTGTACGATATCGTCTATCTATCATTTCCAACAAGCTATGACAGCAGCATCTAGAATGCTACAGAGAAGACCGACTTTTCTCCATAACCGGTTTCAGTCGGCTATCATCTAAACAATATGCAGTATCCGGACATGGTTGCATAAGGTAGTCGTGGTTGTGCCGTCCACGGCGTAAATAAAACATCGGCTTTGCAGTTTAAACCTTGTTGCAATTTTTTTCGTAGTGCACTAAGAATGCAATTGGCATGCATAGTGAGATAGGTTGATTTAACGATACTAAGTGTTAGATGCACACCGCATTCTACCCGTCTGTTGTAGTTCTACTGTGACTTCAGTGAAATTCATAACAATCCAATCGGGATGACACCCGAGAGCCGAACACCTTAATTTCGCCATCCATTTTCTCCATGATATGTTGGGTACCAAGCATGTCGCCCAAATTCTGTCGAAAACCCATCGCTGCGGTCCGGTTCTAGTGTCGTTTCTCTCCCGTCGCCGCCAAGCAACCTCTCATGTCTCATTCCGGACCTATTTCCTATCTGACTGCAAAGTCCTTCTCGTCCTGGCGGTATGAGGAGGTATCGGTAGTGTCCCCCTCTCATTGACTGTCTTGGCTGCAGCGGTAGCGGCAGCGTCAGCCGTTCTAATGCAGCGGCGCTGACGAATGGAGGAAAAAAGAGGACGAGCATCAAGATGCAAATCTCCTCATGGTACGTCATGCTACGCCTCGAATATTATGTCTGCATTAGGTATTATTTTTTGTGAAACTTCTCTATGGGCATGTTTGACTGTAGCGGCGATTGCTGTCTCGCTGATGCTAGTTATGTGTTTAATTGGTCTGCGTACCCTACATGCGTTTTGTGGCAGGTCTTTTTTCTGCTGTGGCTTTGCATCTTCCAGCCCAAAGGCAAGAAGAAATGCAGGAATAAAGAGCAAGGACGAAGCAAGTCTACATCATACCTATTCTGAAGAACAATAACGGAATCTTTTTCTCGCGCTTCATGTTTCCAGAGAGTCAATATTGGTAGGATGCCAATGCCCCAGTCGCTGTCTGCGGCCACTACTTTGTGTCCAATTATGGCTGGCGTTGGGCACGAGATACAACGGTCAACAGCTTCCCCGGAGCTCCTCAAACCTGACCCCAGCCAATATTAACGAGTCAGGTCGCACTAGAAGATAACAATGAGCAATTAGACCATCGACAGAACCAGAATGTCATGGTGGTTGCTCGGAGAAGCCAACTGCTTGTCATGGTCGCGTGGAACATCCCGCGATCGAAAATGCAGAGGAGAAACAAGCAGATAGGTGTGCATATAAGTTAAACATTGTTTCATCAGCGTTCCGTTGCGACTGCGGCCGACACCTGGCTAAACAAACCCAATGTTGATACTCTGTACACCAGAGCCTTTCTTGATGTCTCGGCTTCTGATCTCATCATCAATATCCCGGAAATTCGTGACCGCTATTGGGTAAGTGTCTTTCTGATTTCTTTACTACTGAGTCAGTTGCTGGGGCTAACATACCACTCACAGGTTTGGCCTTTTTATGATTTGTAAGTCATGCTCATAGTTCCACATCAAATCGTCGCTTACATTCAATAGCTACGGCAACAACATCGCCAACATCGGTATCCTCCAGTCGTCGCCCACAGGCAAATACAAGGTTCGTTTTGACAGCAGTAACCCAGGCTTGCAACCAAGCCCGGACAGCCGTTACCAAGCGTACATCAACCTTCCCACTCCGTACGGAATTTCTGCAACCCGAATTCTTGTCAACCAGAGTCAGGCGGATGTTGAGGCGGCCAAACGCATCCAGAATGAGCTCAGCATTACTCCTTCGTGCCGGGGCTCCCATCCTGCTGCTCCGCCTTTGAACCTCACAATGTTCACCGACAACGAGCTTGTACCCGGTCCAAAGAACACTCTTGAGGAAGGCGTTTTGAAGTTGCTGGCAAAGCTGGCGCCCTACAATGAGCCCATGGTAATCGCTGACAGGGAGTGGGTGCCTGCAACGTTGCGAGGTGCTGGCATTGCCAACACGTCTTTTGTGCAACCTGAGGGCACCAACCTCACTTCGGCCTCGGCAGCAGCCAACAGCTCTATTATTCAGGAATTAAGAATTCCAGGATACCTCACGGGTCTCGGCAACAATTGGGTTCTGCCAGATCCGACGTATCTCGGCAACTTTCAGAGTGCGTATGTCACGCGATACATGATTGCGTCAACTGGGTACCTCGCTCTCACTAGAGAGCAGACTGTTTATCCTGCATACGCCGCATCAGGGATCTCTCCGGTACTTCCTTCGGATCGTGCCTTGCTCGTAACCTTCACGTCTAGACCAGTTATGAAGCCGTTTGGCTTCTGGAGTCTGACCGCTTACGACTATGAAGCGTATCTCGTCCCAAATGAGCTCAATCGGTACGCTGTTGGAGATAGGAGCAACTTTACGATGGTTGATGGAACACTGTAGAGCGATGGCGGAGAGGGGTCTTTCCAGGTTTTGATCCAGCCGAGCAACATACCGCCCCCGGCCAACTGGACAAACAACTGGTTGCCCTCAGCAACCGATGGAAAGGGTCTTCAGATGAACTTGAGGTTCTACGGTGGGGGGGATGTCATGTCGAATGGAAGTTATCTGTACCCCTTGGTTGAGACCATCGACCCCATCACAGCCTAATCCGGCCACGATGAAGTCGACCATCATCTTTACTGGAAGAATGATGGTACCACGGAATACTTCAGTGATCACCGAGGTTATAAAAGGATACTGGTTTATTAGACTCATATGCTTTCAGTTCTGAACTTTTTACTGAATAGATACATCTACACAGTCCTTTCAGTAGCTCATTTGTTTAGAACCAAGTCATCTTATTACATATATTCTTTCTCATAACTGTGCGTAATTAGATGGTTGCTCCGGCCAACTTGGGTGGTAAATGCGTACATGAATTCGCGTGCTCTTGCATCTTCACTCTTGCATCTTCCTAGCCCTTTAAACACAAAACATTGCTTCATAGCCTGATTGACATGTGCCCTATTCGTCACATACCTTATATCCATTTACTACCTGGTCCAACGTTACCTCAGGAAGTCGTTGACCTCGTCCTGTACTTAAAGGTGACCAAGTTAATGTTCTAGATGCAACATCATACGAGTAGTTTTTATTTCTTTCTACAACAATTAAACCTTGAATAAATTGAATTCTTACCCAAGTTATACTGTTTCGCTACGATGTCGCTCCTTCATCACACCACAGTGCCGCGTGCTGCCCATGCTATGCCGCTCATCTCTACGTATGCGCCGCAACCGGCTGAACTATAATCTTCTCATAGCACTAAAGAGTTGGGAATTGTTTATGACTTTATTGTGAAAACAACTTTGAATCGATGTATAGTCGCACCTGTGTCTAAAAGAAATAGGGACATGTGAAGAATGGTGATCAGGCGAATCGGAACACTTAGTAACGCGTTTATACCATTTGTCGCCTACATACAGTTATCTTATTTTAGCAATTCCAATGCCCAAACTAATTGAGTTACTCTGCGGTCATTTCCTCCATTGCGATCTGCTCGCGACACTGATCATGATGAAGACGTTGACGTCAACGAGACCGCGTTTCGGCAAAAAAGGGTGGGGGATGAGGAGCAAACATGCTCTTCCGGCACAAATAGAGGGGCAGATGCACCCCAGAACTCTGTCGGCATCTGCCCCCCAACAGCGAAAGTGCGCGCGGCACCATGCCGACTGGAGCTGGCTGTGGCACAGTCTTCAGCGACGTTCCCAGACTTGGCTTAACCCACGGCTGACGTGAGCTATCCTCTCACTAGACGGGCTAGGTCAAGCTTGAGCCCTTTTCAGGACCTTCGTCAGCTATCAGTAACGAGTTGACCCCTCACTTGACCCCGCCGTTAAAATCCCCTGGCCCCGCCTCAAAGACTGGATCGGACAGCTACCGAGAGATATAATCTTGACGTATAAAAAAAATCTCACCGTGAGCGAATTTGGAAAGTGGAAGAGAGAAGAGACAACAAAACACCAAAGATACTTTCCAACCGTCCCCTTGAAACAACTCCAAGATGGCTTCGAAGCTTCACCAAGCTCCTCCTTTCAGAGCGGAGCACATGGGCTCTCTGCTTCGTCCCCAGAAGCTCCTCGACATCCGCGAGGGCAAGATTCGTGACCAGGGTCTGTCCGAGGAGGAGGCTGGCTTGCCGGCTGTCGAGAAGGAGTCCGTTGCAGAGGTTGTCAAGCTCCAGCGTGACCTGGGCATCAAGGGCGTCACCTCGGGCGAGTATAACCGTACCCGCTTCTGGGGTCTGATGTGGGACGAATTCGAGGGCACAACCCGGTTGCAGGATGCGGAGGCCAGCATGTTCCGCCTGTACCACCCGGACGTCGTGAGCCTCATCGAGAAGGATCGCAAAGTCATGCCTGGAGACTCCGTCATCGCCGGCGGCAAACTGTCTCACTCGGCTGAGAAGTCAAAGTCGAACTTGCACGAGCTGCGCCTTGTTCAGGACGCCCTGCCCAAGGAGGAATGGGGCAACATCAAGCTCACCATGATCACGCCGGCGTGGTTTCATATGCGTTATAAGCAGGGAAGGGCGTACACCAAGGAGGCGTATGCCAACGACGCCGAATACTTCAACGACGTGGCCAAGGTCTACCAGGACGAGCTGGCCAAGCTTTACGATGCAGGCCTCCGTAACGTCCAATTCGACGACCCCGGCATGGCGTGTGAGTATGACCCGTTGCCGTACATATCTTGAGGTGTTTTGCTGACCATTGTGTAGACTTTTGCTCGCAAAAGTTCCGTCAAGGCTGGGAGGAAGACAAGGACAACGACGGCACGGTCGAAGACCTCCTTGACGCCTACATCAAGCTCTACAATGACAGCATCAGCAAACTTCCCGAGGACATGCACACCGGTATCCATCTGTGCCGTGGAAACTTCATCGGTGGTCGCCACTTCGCCGAGGGTGCTTACGACATAATCGCCAAGAAGCTCTTCCAGAACCTGAACGTCAACACCTTCTACCTTGAGTACGACACCGAGCGCGCCGGTGGTTTTGAGCCCCTGCAGTTCTTGCCCAAGAACAAGAACGTCGTCGTCGGCATCATCAGCACCAAGCTGCCTGCGCTCGAGGACAAGGAAGAGATGAAGGCGCGCGTGTACAAGGCGGCCGAGTTCGTTGCCAAGGGTAGTGGTGAGACCAAGGAGGAGGCGCTGAAGCGTATTTGCGTGTCTCCTCAGTGTGGTTTCAGTACCCACGAGAGCGGATACCCGTTGACCTTGGAGGATGAGAAGAAGAAGCTGGCTCTTGTTAGACAGATTGCCGACGAGATTTGGGGTGAGCCTTGAATGTCTGGATTATGAGCGTTTGTAAAAAGAAAAGGTTGGGCGTTGTTAAGCGGGTGGCGGTGTAGCATTGAGCCGAGTCTATGTTGTAGATCATTGCAAGCGTATTCAAAAAAGTTGACGAAATACTATTCAAGAACGCCAAATCAGCATTTATAGCATCGTATTATCCGTGGAGCTGCGACTGATGAATGGCCTCAACTTGCAGTTCACTGCCTAGCTTTCTCGTTTGATTGACTTAAGGGGGTGGAGAATCCAACACACTTTACCTGCGTGTACTAGACACGTCCTAGATTGAACTACAACCGAATGAACCAAAATTTACCGTCAGGTTTGTTTAAGAGTGTCAAGCAGCTGGAAGAGAATGAAAACTATTTACAAGTATCTAAACGCTAATATGTGCCCGGGCTCTCATCAAGCCACACTAGTCACTAGTAAGATCGATGATTGAGATGTCCCGTTCCAAGCCCGTATCATCATCTGCGCCTTCTTCTGTGGTTGTTTTCCACTCGCCCGTCATAGGATCATACTCCAAAAGATGCAAGATCCGGGACGTCTTCTCATTGACAACATGAACAATTTCCAAGTTCGGCTCCCCATAGTGTCCCATAAACTCAAGCTCGAGCTTCAACTCCGTCCCGGTATCGAGCTCGCCACGAAAGTTGAAAGCAAAAGGCTCAGATCGTACAACACGCCTGTTATACGCAAGCTTGACCGATTGGAGAAAGGTGGCGGGAGTGCCGTCTTCATCAACGCCTTGGACAGTAAGCTGATGTTTTCCAGACTCTGTAGTCTCGAGCTGAAGAACAAGTCGCCTGCGGAGAACGAATCTAGGGATAGGTATTCCCAGCTTCTCCATAACGCGGATCATGAGATCGTCCGTGGTAGACCACACGCGAAGTTCGGATAAATCGTCCAGCGGCGTGCTTTGAAGGTTGCAGATGACGAGCTGCCCTCCGACGCCACGACCGCGCTTCTTTTTGCCGACGATTTCGGTTATTTCGTTCGCAGGTGTGACTGTAAGCGAGGAGCCCAGAGCAAGGCAAAGATCTGCCTTTTTGGCATTGTCATGAGCTCGTTTGAACGGCTCCTCGGGGAGGGACTCGCCAAAGTTGACAATGCTGTCAAACAGGACCCCGCCGCACTTTACGCACTTCCGACCCGTGCGGTGGTCGTAGACTGATACCTCGTAGGTTGCTACTGCTCGGAAGTCTGGCATTGATGAGAATCCGGCCTTTAGATCTGGTAGTCAGAGCTTATACCTCGAATGTACTCTTTGCCGCAGTCTTTGCAGTATTCTCTGTTGCTATTACCGTGCAGCTCTGAAATCCGGTCCTGGATATTGTGTTAAAAGTTAAAACATGACTGGGATGGTTTATGTTGAGGGCCACAACTGGAAAAGTCACGCATACCGACGAGATACCACTTTTTCTATGAAGTCCGTCGCAGTTTTGACTGACCAGATACTTCAGTAATCCACGATTTTGCAGCTCCACCAAGGCCATGTGCGTCGGCGTTGGGATGGCTTGCAATGTACTCGTCGCTTTTCCAGTTCTCTTTCGTCCTTGGGCCCGAAGGGTCCAAACACCGTCTGGACCGCGGAAGTCTGGGATACCTGTCGGCTATCGCATCAACATCGCAATTTCTACTCACCATGGTTGTCGAGTAGTCTCGTTCCGGACCGACTTACCAGCAGATGTGGATATCCCCGCCCCCGTAAATGCGATGAAATGATTGCTGGTTTTGATCTTTTCCGCAAGCAATGCGGCCTTCTTGTCTACCAAACTTGGGCTTTCACGACGTTCTGCTTCCGCGACTTTGGGGGCTGTGTCGGCCATGGTGATTCAGTGGCGAGGATTAGCGACGACTTGGCGTGAGAGCGGAGTATGCTCAGTAGAATCGCTAAGAAAACGGCAAATCTCACGCAAAAGCGACAGAATGTCTGGTGTACTCAGTCACGACCTACTTGTTGTGATTCGGGGTATCGTATTTATGTACCTTATATTACGCCACGAGCACCACGTGACACCTCATCCTACCAAAGAGAACTAAGCCATAAGTAGGTAAAGCCTGCTTGCTGCCTGCTCACCAAAATTCACGGCATGAACCCATGTCACGTTAAGGGTTTGGCTGAGCGTAAGATTGAGGTGAGAAAACACCATTTGGTGATAATGTCTGTTAGTGCTCAACAGAACACGAAGTATCTATCCGCAATCGCAATCTAGTGGGGGGGCTTGGGCAGAGAACAAGCCCATGAAAACTGACTTGAAGATTCAATAATGATCATTTTCAGCCACTGCAACTTCTTTACACTTGAGATTTGTTTTTTCTGCACTGGATCAAGAATTAGTACGATAGTCTTCGCATTACGTTCGGTCTGTAGGACTGATTGATGAACCATCATAGCCCCACAGTAGAATGGGTCGCCGCTTTAAGAGCAGACATACTAAATGTCTTAATGAGAAGAGCATGCATCATGCTCAGTGAAGCTGTAATCAAACACCAAATCATGAGATAGTTGAAAGTTCAGTCCCAATAAAATCAATTATAGCTTGCGACTAAGACTCCTGCCACGGCGCACTTCATATGGAAACACCACATCATCAGAGCAGACTCTACTTGCTATGCTCTCTAATATACTCCCTCACAAATTCCCGCAGGTCGCTCTGAGGAAGCTCAAGGACCTTATTAGCCTTTCCACTCTCCGGGATCGAGTGGCCCGGTACATCGGCGAAGTGATACTTGATGAGAAACTCCTCAAACGGAAATCTTCCTCCGCTAGCGAGCTTCGTCTTGCCCTCCTCGTTAACCTCGTCGGCCGTCTTGTGTTCCACGGACCATTTTGACCCGGTCTCCTCTTCGAACACCTTCAGCAGCTGATTCTGCGTCACGTCAAATTCGATAATATTGAGGTACTGGTTCGCCGTCTCGGCGGGGTGCTCCAACACTGCCGCGATACCCTGAGCGAGGAAGGGCAGCGAAGTCGTCGAGACCGTTTGGTTTCCCGAATCAAAGATGGTGATGCTCTTCTTGTCTAGGTCAATTCCATAGATTCCTCGAGTGATGCTCTGGTAATGTGATTAGTTACCTCGATTACAACGCCGGATGCTTGAACTTACCCAGTCAAAGAACAAACTTGTCCCGATACGAGTCCATGTGAAGTTGGGATTGGCCTCGGCCTTCTTAACCAGGTAATCGACCGCGGCCGTCTTCGCAATCAGCCAGTCCCCGAGGATTTCGCCCTTGAGATTACGAGTGTTGAGGCCATACTCGGATGGGATGAAGCGCTTGACACCGGCGGCGACGGAGGCATCGATCAGAGGGTCCTGCGATCCGTGGACGACAGCTGCGACGGTTGAAATGGCGGAGACGACTGCATCCTGTCCTGCGAGGGCGGTCTTTAAGGATTCTACTGATGACAGGTCCGCCTTTTTCACTATGATGCCTTCAGGGAACGTTGCCGTCGAAGACTCGCGGGAGATGGCAGTGACGGCGAAACCGCTCTCCTGAAGAGCCTTGACTACTCGAAGTCCGACGAGGCCCGAGGCCTAGAGAATCATAGTCAGTAAGTGCACTTATTTTCCTCGTCTCAATCCGGCCGATATCACGCACCCCGACAACAGCAACAGTCTTGATCGACATATTCTCAGTAAAAGTATGCAGGCCTGTGTCCAAACGAAGCGCGTGCCAAGGTATCGCGATTATAACCTCGTCGCGGACCACGTTTTATATGTTTCCAATAGCAAAGCAAGGAAAAGTCGTGTACAGATGTATCGCCATAACTCATCGATGCCAAGCCTCAGGAGCTACCCTCCAAGCCTGAAGCAACCCTCGTCGGCCCCACGGCCTGCAACGCTGGACGGCCATCTAAACTCTACGAAATAAGGGGTCATCTACATGCAATGCAGAATAAACCCCCACCGAACACCACAGCTCCAACGCAGTCTACAGCAGACCGTCACTTATCAATATGGCCCATGTGGGATGAATACTCTACGAAAGACCAGGTCCCCCCCCTTGCCCGTGACCGACGAGTCAGGCAGACAGAAGCCGTGGAGCACCTCCCACTTGTCATCTACGTGCCTGATTACCGCCATGACGTATATTCCCTTCTCGGTAATCGATCAACAGAAGACATCGCAATATACCGCTTGTGTGAAGTGACGACAAAGGCAGTGCTCCCGAAAAGACTTGCCGGTGCTGCAGAGCCAGGGGGAGGATATCCGGCTGCGGCCCGAAAGCAGATCGATCTCCGGCAGGAAAACGGAAATACCTCGGACAGTAGTATCCCACAGGTTGAAGCCGTTGCGTCTTCCTGCAGGACAACCCCCCTGAACGTGGTCCTATGCAGTGTGAGGGTGTGGTCAAGGCGACCATTGGGGGGGGGGGATAACCTGACCAATTACCTACTTATTTTGTGATTTGTAGGGCTACCCTGAGATCAGCTAACTATGGTTAGCTAGTTAGCTATGGTTAGGTTGAAATTCCTTAGCGCGGTTTAAAACCTTACCCTTAACATACTTTTTATAAGAATATACGATATTTAAACGCTTCTAAATCCGTTCCGAATCGATTTACAATAGCTCTTTAATCGATTGAAAATCTCTTCCCTCGCCTAGAAGGAATAAGTCCTCTATTAAAACCTACTAGTCTTGATATAGAAGCTAAAGAAGACTTAAATCTTTACTATCAACTACCAGCCCAGGCCCAGTCTGGCTTACTAGTAAATGAGGAGGTAGGGATATATAAGAACGACTTTGGAATTAGTTCTAAATCGATTCAGGATCAACTCGAAACCGATTCAGAAATACTTCTAATACTTATTTTATTAAAAATAACTTATTCTAAGCATAATAGCCTCAGGGATGTTCATATACTTACTTAAAAAGTAATCTTTCTACCTACATTTATAGAATATCCAGAAACAAGTAAGAATGGAGTCCTTTATGTTATTAATATAAAGACTTTAAATAAGGAGGATATTAAATCGCTTTAGAGAATAGTAAATAAACTACTTTTAAATCGATCCGGGATCGATCCTAAACTATTTTAAAACTAATTATATTATAGATTTAGTATAACTATACCTAGCAATTCTTACTAAAATAGACGACTTTAGTATTTTTTTAAAATACTATTTATTTACGTTTAACTTATACTTATATAAGTAGAAAGGTATATTTTTATTTTAATTAAAATCTTCTATACTAAAAGTATTAAAAAGTTATTTTAGAAATCTTATAAAGTATTAAAGTATTACGAATAAAAGTATTATAATATAATCTTAAACGGAAAGTAGTTTCGTAAGTATTTAGAATCGATTCCGAATAGGTTTAAAACCCTTTTAGAAATAATATACTAATACTTATAAATAGATAAGCATAAGTATAAATAAAACGTTTCTAATAATATACTACTTATTAACCGTTTATAAAAAGATATAACGTACATGATAAGCGAGTGAGACAGACAAGCGAGTGAGACAGTAAACCGCGACCGTCGCACCTTGACGCGACCGGCACCTTTTCCTCTACAATAAATCATGGAATCAGCTAGTATTGAAAGAAGGTTACAAATTGCCCTTCAAGCAATGAGAAATGACCCAAAACTTAGTGCTCGGGCCGCAGGTGCACTCTATACAGTCAGTCACGCAACATTAAGCCGGCGACTAAAGGGAATAGTCTCACGACGCGACAGCATGCCTAATTCACGGAATTTATCAGATTTAGAAGAGAAGACAATAGTTGAGTATATTCTCGACCTAGATGCGCGATCATTTCCTCCCCGGCTGAGTGGTGTGGAAGAAATGGCCAATCGACTTCTCGCAGAGCGCGACGCGCCTCCAGTTGGGAAGCGCTGGGCTTCTAATTTCGTCAAGCGACAACCACAGCTTAGGACGCGTTTCTTTCGCAAGTATGACTATAAGAGAGCTCAATGCGAAGATCCAGAGGTGATTCGTGGCTGGTTTTCGCTTGTGAAGAATACAATTGCGAAGTATGGTATTGCTGATGCTGATATCTACAACTTTGATGAGACCGGCTTTATGATGGGCGTTATTGCTTCTGGAATGGTTGTTACAAGTGCTGAAAGGCGTTCAAATACGAAGATGACACAGCCTGGCAATAGGGAATGGGTTACAGTTATCCAGGCTATTAATTCCCAAGGGGAGAGCATCCCGCCATACATCATCGTTGCAGGCCAGTATCACCTCTCAAGCTGGTATATAGAAACCTCTCTTCCGGGCGATTGGGCTATTGCAACGTCTGAAAATGGATGGACAACAAACGAGAGAGGTATTGACTGGATCAGACACTTCGACATTTATACAAAACCACGTACGTCTGGGAAATATCGCCTCCTCGTTGTTGATGGTCATGAAAGTCACCACTCCGCAGCCTTCGAGCTCTTTTGTCAAGAAAACAACATTATTACACTGTGCATGCCGGCTCACTCGTCTCATCTACTTCAACCCTTAGATGTTGGTTGTTTTCAGCCGTTAAAGAATGCCTACGGTCGGCAAATTGAGAATAAGATGCGGCGAGGCACAACCCATATCTCGAAGGAAGATTTCTTTGCAGCATTTCACGAAGCTTTTAAGCAGTCTTTTACGAGGAAAAATATCCAGGGAGGTTTCCGAGGAGCTGGACTTGTCCCTTTGAATGCAGAAAGTGTTCTCTCAAAGCTGGATGTAAAGTTCCGAACGCCAACGCCTGAGGAGGGGGTCCCTCAGACACCAGACCCTTGGATCTCTAGGACGCCGAGCAACCCAAGCGAAGCAAGATCACAGTCTACTTTTATTAAGAGTCGAATCTCACGCCACCGAAGCAGCTCTCCAGCATCAATTTATAGTGCTGTGAGTAAGCTAGCCAGAGGGACAGAAGGACTAGGGCATCGGGTAGCATTACTAGAGTCAGAGGTTCAAATCCTTCGAGAGGAGAATGCAATATTAAGTCGGCGTCGAAGGGCTAAGAAAACACGTCTACAGAAAGGAGGAAGTCTTACTATATCTACTGGAGAGGATATACAGTCGCAAAGAGAGGCAGACACGCAACTACAAGAGGAAACGCGACGGAGTAGTGGTCGCAAAGTGAGGTCTGAGACGACTCATCGTCGGTGTGGCGTATGCGGGAATACAGGCCACAACGCGAGAACATGTCAATTTATTGAGGAAACATCCGAAGAACAGGAATCCGAGTAGTATTAATCAATCTAAGATTTCTTGTTATAGATTTCGATATTATTGTCGCGAAGGTCTGGTTTACTGTCTCACTCGCTTGTCTGTCTCACTCGCTTATCATGTACGTTATACCTTAATTAGTAGTAGGACGTAATTAGTAACTAGTCTATATACCTAACCGATTAAAAATTCTATGGTTAGGTAGACCTACTTTACCTTAATATAGCTAATCATAAAATTAGTCAGATAGACCTATAATTCATTTAAATAAGTGGGTAATTGGTCAGGTTATCCCCCCCCCCCAATGGTCGCCTTGACCACACCCTCATGCAGTGTCTGGGTTGTTTACCCCACCAGACGGGCAGTGTTTTTCTGTAGCACACTCGGTTTCGCGTCTGGCATTTTTTATAAAGTCGCATGCGGTAGAATATATTCATGTACGTTTTGGGGGTATAGAATAACGCGAATAGCTATTAAAAGACACACATATGTATCATGTCACAATATGAACATCAAATTTAAACCACCTTATTCACCTTCCAGCCGCCGGAAAACCCACGCGAGGTGAAAATGGTAAAGCCGCTCGCTGCAAGACAACACCCCGACCAGATCCACCCGCTCAGATACCCGTGAGACCTCGAAAGCGCGCCGGCAATAGGCGAGCCGAAGAGGATGGCCACGGACATGACGGTAAACGCCATGCCGAATCTGGTCCCCATGTAACTCTTATCCGCCGTGAGCTTGACAAAGGTCGTCGGCTGCAGCGCGAAAAAGGTGCCGGCGAAGAAACCGTAAATCACGGTGACGGCGATGAGCGAGGCCTGGCTGTTTGTGGCGGCGAAGCAGAAGGCGGCGACGGACATGGCGAAGACGGCGCTGATGATCATGTTCATGATACCCGTGTAGGGCACGACGAAGTTGGGGATGATTCTGCCGACGATGGAGGCACCGTTGAGGATGGAGAGGAGGTAGAGGGCGACGTCCTCGCTGGCCATGTTGCGGTCGAGGGCGTAGCTCTGCACGTATACGTAGGGGGTGTACATGCCCAAGAAGAGCAGACAACAGCCGGCGAGGAAGAGGAGGAAGGGCGGGTCGTGGAAGACGGAGCGGTCGATCCAGGGTCGTCGCTTCGAGGGCGTCTTGAGCTTCGACGTCTTGATAACGACCACGCTGATGCCGAGGGTGACGAGGGAGATGAGCGCAAAGACGAGGACGGTCCAGCGGAAGCCGATTTTAGGTTGCATAGCTCGGAAAAGCGCCGGGAGAACAAGACTGGTACACAAATGTGGTCAGTAAGCTTACTTTTTACTCAAATGTGGACGGCTGAGCCGGCTCACCCTCCGACGCCGCTACCGTTGGCAGCGATGCCGTTTGCCAGCGGCAGTTTGGTGGAAAACCATTGCGACGGCAGCGCGACACCCAGAGTCGACAGGCAGCCTGTTCCTATGCCGATCATGAGGCCTTGACAGAGGAGAAACTGCCACAGGTTCCTGCAAAAGGCCTGCAAAACCATCCCGACAACAACCAACAACGTCCCCGCGATGAGTAGGTAGCGCGAGTGCCCGAGGTCGTAGATGGGTCCGATGATGAATCCGAGAAAGACCATGAGGAAGTTCTGCAGCGAGCCAATGGTCGATATTTGGAAAGGCGTGTTGCTGCTGAGGAGATCAGACTGGTAGTATGCCTGGAAGGCCCCGAAACTCGAAATCAGGCCTAAGGGTCAACATGTTAGCCCGCGTGTAACCCGCGATCTTCGATGTTCAGCGGCCGAGAGGTGTTCACGATAGTTGCGAAACCTCGACCCGAGAGACACACATACCCCATGTGTTGAAGTACAACAGAAATGACCCCAAGATATGGACCCATGCTTGGAGACCGCCGTTTGGAGGCCCAGCCGGGGCCGCTGTCTTCTCTGCTGGCGGTGATGTCTGAGAGGATGTCGGGGGGCTGGAGTCGTTGCTACTGTTGTCAATTACGACCACAGAGGCGTCTGCCGCGGCATCTCGTGAGATGTCCTTTTCGCCCTGCCCTTTGGGGCTCTCATTTGGCGCCGAAGACATTCCCGGTCTAAACCATGCAAAACCACTAAAAGTTGGCGCCGATCAAAAGGTAACTTAATGTAACAATAGCTGCGGCCAGTGCGAATGCCCAGAAAAAAACAACAAAAAATTAAACACAAACAACATAAAAAAAAAAAAAAAGTTTAAGTTGTTTGAAAGTGAGTGAGTGGATTAAAAGTCAGGATTGTCATGCAGGGTGTCTAAAAAAAAACACAGATTTGGATCGGAGAACGAAATTCGGTATTGACCAAAAAATACTTCCGAGCAATTGATCGCCTTGCGCTCACTTAAGCAGAAATGGCGTTGTCGGGAGATTCCCCAGTAGCGGCCCCCTTTGCGATAGGGATGTGGAGAATGTGATGTATTTTTCCCTGCCTACAGATACATAACATGCAGTAAATATTAGTGTATAACAGTTTTGCTTTTATCGGCTGATGGAACAAGATGAGCCGATTCCACGATGAGCGACTCCCTGTCAGCGGCATGGCCCAAAATGCAACCTTGAGATAAATTGCCTACATCGGGACCCCCGATGGTATCCGCTTGTACCATGTCATCTGCAGCAGATCTGATGTGGACAATAAGTAAAGCAGGCTATACTTGCAACTATGGATGGCCTGTTGTCCTTAGGTAGTATCAATCCATAGACTTTAACAAGTTTCTTCGCTTTCGTATGTCAAGTTTCAACGTAGCTGAATACCCACAAGATAAGTTTCATATACTCCATGAAAACCCTTTTTCATAAGGGAAACTATATCACACACTCAAATTCTCAAATCCAATTCCATTTCCAAATCTTGAAGAAGAAACACTCTTCAGGCAACATATTCTACTGCAGCTTTATTCTCCACAAACATCCACGGGAAGGATCGTCAGAACTTAGGGTAAAAAAACGGAGTCTCTAACCCGGGTACCGCGCCTATTTAGGCAGTCCGTCGCCGCCCGTTGATCTGCCGCGCGCGTCGGGCCAGCAGTGTTTTTTTTTTTTTTTTTTTGGTGCTGACAACCTGCCAAAAATGGGCTGACACGACATCATGAGCCCCAGCTGGATATTTTGTCTGTTTTGAGGTTAGACGAGACGGGTTTCTCCACGATGCTTGAAGATCTTGGTTTTTTTTTTTTTTCCCTCCCCTGAAATACGCTTTTGCTATTTTGTTGATTATTACGATTCATGATTTATCTTAAACCGTGATTATGTTTTTGACGTTGAGTATTTGTTGGGGGGGGGGGGTTCTTTTCTTTTTTTCTTTTTTGGAGAAATATCAAGTTTGCTTCTGTAGGTGAAAGACACGGCCGAGACTGACCAATTGCTTCTAATATGCTCCAAATCATGATACATTATTTCGCAATTGATCAAACTGACATCCGCGTGCAGGCAACATCTTAAAACCTGCAATTAGGACTAAACTAGCACTTGCGGTTGAACATACAACATGCCAAACAAATCAATCAAGGTATATCGTCATAGAATATCGACAGGCACATCACGTCACAGAGCATCCGCAAAAAGAAGCTATAAAATATGGTAGGATGTTGATTATTATGATATAGTTCAAACACGATCGCCAGGAAAAAATCCTCGGTCCACAAGCTTTTCCAACGCCCCAGCACCCTGGCATAGGGTAACTGACATTATTCAAACATATATGTACACGTCTTCGCATTTCACCTCGTCAAGAAGAGTCATCGTCCCCTCTTTTATCACTTGAAGAAGACCCGTCTACAGAGTTGCTGGGCCTTGGGGGCCTGACAACAACAAAACCCTGCTCCGGTGCTGGCGGTCGTGAGACCTGGAATCCGCGCTCTGGCGCGCTAGCCTGGCCTGTGAACTTTGCCCAAATGCCCGACGTAGACCGGAATGACGCCTTGGGAGCAGGTGGTCTGGGTATCTCCTCCGACGCCCTTTGTGCAGGCACCGGACGAGCAACGCCATAATATAGATCCGCTTCACGGAAGGAGTAATCGTTCCATCTCGGACCAAGAGGGTCCCCCTTGGCTTTGGTCGGAGAGCCTTGCGGTGATGTGCTAGAATGCTCCTCTTCGACGGATTCTGATAGCCTCCCGGGAGATATTGTCGACTCTGAACGCTGGATGGAACGCTTCTCTGCCAGAGTGGTAACGGTTGATGATGTTCTGGACGGTGGGTACGCCGATGACGTCCGAGAGGCAACGGATTTCCGATGGTCGAATGAGGAGAGAGACGTATTTCTGGATGGAGACCGAGGCGCTCGGTAGTACCGGCTGGAAGTCGTTGACGAGTCGAGACACAGGGTGCTCGGGCTGTCTGCTCGGTAGGTAGGATGGAGATAGCCTGCGGCGGGCTCCTCGATGGAATCCAGCTCTGGATACGACGTGTAGGCCCCATCGGGAACATACATGTCGGAGAGATTCGTACGTGAAGCTTGACGACGACGGAGTTGACGAAGCCCATATACCTGCGAACAAGTTAGATTGGTTTCCTATTGCGAGTTCGGGAGCCTTACATGAGGGCGAGGGGCCTTCCACCAAGCTATTAACATCTTGGTAAGGCTATAGACCGCCGGGACGAAAAAGCCAAACACAAGCATACCAGCATGAAGTGCCAGGAGGACGTAGCCAATGGCACTCTTTACGTCATGCGTTGCGAGGTCGGGGAGGAAGGCCACCATGAAGATCAGACTGCAAAGGCGCATAGTTGACGCGATGGCACCGACTGAGAATGTTGCATAGGTCTGGAAACCCGCAATGCTAGCGAGGAGGACGAGCTCACAAGCTCCGAGGACAGCGAGCTGTGCAGGACCGGAGATCTGTAACCCACCAACAGCCGCACCTCGGACAAAGAGGAGTACGAACAAGATGAGAATGAAGGTCTCATCTTGGCGGCGAAAGTCCTCGGACGAGGAGAGTCGTCGGTATCGCTTGGTGCTGTCAAAGACCAGAACGCCAAGGCTACGGGTAGGTATCTGTCGAAGAAGCCAAAAGAAGGCCGCCATCATTGCAACAATAAGCACAACGGCCAGTGATGTATGGTACGCAGGCAGAAAAGTTGCGTGATCCAGCTGGTAGAATGAGAGAGCCGATAGCGGAAGCATGAAGTAAGACAGGATAATTCGAAGCACACGGCTGCATGTGTGCCGCATGCCGCCGGCTGACCGGGGGAATTCACTGTCAGAGTCGCGACTTCGGTTCATGAACCAGAAGACCTCGATCACCAGCGCACAGCCAATGGCGATGATCATGATGAGAACCACCATGTTGATCCACGTGTCCATCGTCATCGGAGCACCGGCAATCTGGGTCATCAGTTCTAAACCAAACGTGCCGCCATAAGTGCCATTCATGACATAAATTCCATCATCGATCCTATGGTAAGTTCTCCCATGTGTGACGGGTCCAGTGATGAACAAGGAGAACCAGTTCAAGTTACTGACAACAGGCTGATAGAAGCCAGGATATCGAAGGCTGAGACCGCCGGTCAGAAAGATGAACTGAATGTACTGTAAGCAGTCGCCGACATTCGGAAGGACTGTCCGAATAGAGCGCTGCTCATCTTCGCCCAGAGTGACTGGGGTGCTAAAGGTAGAGCGTAGTATGCCAACGAGAAGCACAAATGCAAAGATGCCCCAGGATGCATAGTTGATGATTGAAATCGTGGTTGGGCCGAGGGCGGGAGTGATGTTTGCCTGCCGGCAACTTATCTCTTCAGACTTGTTCGTTTGCAGATGCAAGGTCGCGTGGAACGTCGAAAGCGGTGGCAGGTGGCCAATATCGTTCGTGAAGCTGACATAAAGACTCGCAAGGCTTTGAAAAGTTGCCGCCCATCCATTGGAGATGTGGAGTTTTTTGCATGTCGCATTCGTAGTTGTGGTGAATACCGAAGATTTTCCAAGCATCTTGAGTTCCAGCGTCGCGGAGGGCATCTGCCGGGCCAAGTCCTCACATTCGGCTTCCTCGAGCCATTTCCCAACCTTGAGCGCTAACCGGTTGTCGTTACCATCGTCCAATGGTTCCAGAGAAGCGACGAGACTTGTAGGGGCGAATGGGTCATTCCTAGACGAGACGGCATCGCAGGGCTGCCATTGTACGTAGGCACCCGAAGCGTATGTGGCCATCAGGCCTATGAGCCCAAGGTGTATGATCATGACGGCACCTCCTTAGCCAGCCATTAACGAGGTGTCCAAAGTCGAAGGCAAAGGAGTCTGCCGTGGAATATGTTGGAGGGGAGACGGAGCACAACCAACAAAATGAATCGAAGGTGGATGGACTGCTTGGATCTTTTTCTTAGAACCCGGGCTGTGTGGAGCCAAGGCATTGGTTGACGACAGTGCCGAGGACGCTAGATCTTACGCTTCTCGTATTTTTACAGCGAAAAGGGGTCTTTTAGACGCGGATCCCCTGAGTCGCCGATCCGCCGAGTGTATTATTTGCGGGGATGGACCGACCTTGCCATTCTTTACGGGCCACTACGGTCGCATTGACTGGTGGAATGACAAAAATTAAGGAGTGAAGCGTAAACATGCCGCGGAAAACCAACGGCTTTAAGGGTCCTGCGAATTTCAGGTGAACCCCGCAAGGTACGGTCGGAGCCGTGTCTCGACAAAAGCCGCACCGAAAAGACGGATGTGGCGTGGCAACAAGCAGTATCGGAATGATAGGCTGCAAGATCCAGTAATCAATTCTGATGTGGACCTACTGAAGAGAAATCTTCTTCGGCACGTTCGATGGGTGGCGTTGGCCACAATTCTTGGCCAACGATGTGGCGCACAGCTCCAGTGGAAGTCCTCCTGAAAGTTTGCTTTGTAACAATGCCAGTCCTGCCACTGGGAGTCATTTTGAAGGAGCTGTTCTGATTTTTACACCACTTCTTTTTCTTGACAGGTTGTGATGATCGGACTTTAGGGCTGCACATGACAAAACACGGTTGTGCCGCCTAGGATCTCGACTTCGATCAAAAATGGTCTCTTTGGGCCCATAGAAGATTGAGATGTTTAATGCTAGATTAAGTATCAATCCATAATAGTGGCTGCTATGATGAATAAATGCGAATGGCACTCGACTTGGTATCTGCCCACTCCAGCTGAAATGGTGCATGGAGATGGAGGCCAAACGGCCCATTCGGATATTACCTGTGAGATGGGTACTCCATCAAAACATCGTACTCGCTCTAACTGCATGCAATCCAGAGTACGGAGTGCTCCATAATGGAATGAGTGGTGTCCATAAAACAGCCTCAAAAGACCAGCCTCTCATGCCCTTGACGTGGTCGATCTCCCGAGAGCTGCAGAAAAAAACATTGTTGGTGCTTTCGCAGGTGCTCAGACCCGAGCAGTGACGCGCCAGTTCGTCTTTTAAAGGCACTGAGCTGATTACTTACTACTAGCTGGAGTAAACAAGCCCGTGTGCCCTACCGTATTCTAGCCGGCCGTATCTCTGGTCGGTAAGAATGAGTTGGTATCCTAGCTAGACCCTCAAGAACGGGCGCGTCCTTGAGTGAAAGCCCATGGCTTACCGACCGGTACTGTCAGTAGATTGAACGCGGCCTTGGGCGAAAAGAGATCGTTCCGAGAGGAACGGACGATAAAGATGAGCCCGATAGGAGCTCTGCAGCAGCAACTGTGTGTGCCAGAGAAAGATGAGATGACAGAAGGGATCCTGCAGAAGGGATCGGTTGAGCTGGCAGAGTTAACGCCCTTTGGCGATAAGACCAATGTCTGTTATCTGCTGACCCTGCGCTGGTAGTGGTAGCGCAGGGAGGCAATCGGTCATGCCGCAGGTACAAGACAAATTGAGCACAGGGAGGCGTAGGGCAAACGGCCCATTTCCAAGCCGAATGAGACGTGTCCATCACAACTTGGCCATGCGAAATGGTGAGTCCAATGTTTGGGATTTATCGTGGACCATGTGTTGGGATGGAACATTGAAAAGGAAGCGTCTCTCAGCTGGACAATTGTGGAAAGGGAGCCTCGGTAGCATCGGCACCGCCTGGCGGAGGCGGGAGAAACACTGGGGGTGAGGAAAGAGAGAAAGAAGGAGGGGAAAAGTGGAAAAAACAAAAATACGGTGGAGGAAATGACAATTCCAATGTTGAAGTGAATTTCGAGATAAAATGTGTGAATGAGAAGATGGATGCTAATTCACTCGAGAAAAGAAGGATGGTGTATCACGCCGCTGGTCTTTCAAACTCCACAGGTAGTGCCAGGGAAGGGAAGGGACAGTGTGTTATCCGTACTTGCTCCCTTAAGTTGGGTGTCTCCAGTAGCCTGCAGTTGTGATGCAAGTACGGTTGCCCACCCCGCTTTTACCTCTTTCTCTCTTTCCACCACAAGATTCAGAGACTCGAAGAGGGACGTGGCAGGAGCGCCCTCAGATATTGGCCACCAGATAAAGTGCGCATCGTGGGAATGAGCAGGCTTGGGGAAAGATCAGGTGCCTCCTGCCATTTCGATACTGGTTTTCCCGGATTTGTGAAATTCAATAGTTTGCATTGGCAGATTCAGAGTGCATTGTATTACTGTAAATGAGGAAGGAGAGAGAGATAGAGAGAGATAGAGTGCCGTTTACCACATCCACGCCCCCTACCTTCCTCATCATCGACGTCATTCTTGTCTGTTTGGATTGGAAGCGAGGGAGGAAAGAGGCTCTGACGGAATCATGATTTTCCTAGAACCATGGTATTTTTATTCCTTTTCTTAGCACAAACTAGGTCAGCGGCGGCTCATTCCCTCCGGTCGAGCACCCATATCCACTAGAGAGCACTTTCCTCCCCTTGCATTATGCAGGACAAGGTGCAAAATCACAGCAGGAGCGGCAGCAACAAAACAGCAGCAACAGCAGCAGCAACGTGCATCACTAGCGCTCTTGCCTTCTGTGCAGAGCTGCAGGTACCTCGCTTAAGTCCTCTCTCTCTTCTACCCTTACCCGAATCCAGCTAGCCACCAAGCCAGTTAATCTCTTCCCCAGGCTCCATTCCCGCTTCTCGACTTCGATTTTGTTCCACCCTCGCGTCCGTTGGCTGCTTTTTTTTGGCCCCTTCAATTGTTGGTTTCTTCTCCCATGTCTTCAACTCATCCATGCCGTGGCAGATCTCGTCCTGCCTAGATCCATAATGCCTTTCCAAGCCATGTCAGCTCAATATACTCGTGGCGACTAGTCTGCCAACACTGAATCACCTCAATCGCCAGCTCCGAAGCTTCAGCCCCGATAGCCACAGATTCCAGGCATTGAACGAGAGGCGCCTTCTAGCTGCTACTGCTGAGATTCGACTGAGGGATCTCGAAAGCTTCACCTTGCTTCTTGGGGGGCCCACCATCTAAACATCCCTCGCTCGTTTCGCTCACATGGCTTCCATCCGACAGACTGGAGGAACCATGTCTCGTCAAGCACAGCCGCCAACCCAGTCCGTTCCCCTCCCTTGGTACGGATGCACCACTTGGGTCCCGGTCTCTGACTCCGCTCCGCTCTGAGCCTACGCTTGCGCTTTTTCGATGTTTTGGCCGTCGCCCTCTCCCACTCTGCGGATGCGACTTTGCCTCCCCCCAACAAGTTTCCCTGCTTCCACGTTCTGCGTGCTTTTTCCGCTTGTCCTGAAATGTCTCTGGCGCCTCCAATATCTCTCGCCCTAATCAAACCAAACCTGGGCACACGCACCACCCCTACGGAACCTTACTCTACACCCTGGCTTACACGTTCATCGTCCATCCCGCCCGATACATGGGGACAGACAAGTACTTTGGTGATGCATGGAACGGAAAGCCCATGCTATGCGCCTTCACCCAAATGTCATGTACCTTTTACCAAGTCTAGCGTAGGCCATGGGTTAAGTCAACATCGGCCGCGACGGAAAGACTGCGGCGGCGTTGTTGAGGGGTGTCATGCTCTTGGCTCACCTTCTTGGCCTTTGTGGTGTTTTGTTTATTATCTCTGCTGCACCCGGACCCTCGACATAATGTTTTTAAGTGCTACGCCTTCTCAGCTCCCCAATACACTTCTGGGGTTTTCTTCGTCGAGGCACATATTCAGTCGTTACCTACCGTCGCCCCTCGGCCTCTCATCATGAAGCTTTCACTCGGAACGCTGGCTTTGTTGCCAGCGCTCGTTGCCTCATTGGCCTCCACCGATTCATTTCGTGATGCTGTGGGTCTCCTTCTTCCTTTATCAGCTATTAATGGTGCTGTAAACGGCATTTGCAATGTCCATGTACCAGTATATGAAAAGTATTTTGTATTGACATGATGCACTGTGAAGGACCTGCCGCAATCCGGCTATCTCCCCAACCATAAACTCGACCCTAACATTGCAGGATCTTCGAGCTTCAGAAATCTTTGGAGCTTTACTTCTCCTAACAGCCAAGAGTTATGGTTGGCCAAGCCTCTTGTATACACTCCCGAGGGTGGCTCTGAACTTGTCATCACGGCTTCCGAGATGAACATCGTACGTGTCTTCGATAGCAAGACGGGTGCCATTCTGCAGCAAAGAACACTCCAACCCCCGTTCTCCGCGGGCGATAGCGACTGCGGAGACATTCCCAACTGGATCGGCGTCACTGGTACTCCCATCATTGACCCCAACACGGATATCATTTACATCTTGTCCAAAGGCTACAGGGATGGGACGACCTCCGGCACCGCCAACGGCGTTTACAAGATGTACGCCCTCCGGATTCCGTCTTTAGAAGATGTCGAAGGTTTCCCCGTCTTGATTGACGGTATTAATGCCGATAATGACCCCGCAAAATACTTCGTCGGCGGCGTGGCCCTGCAGCGGCCTTCACTTGCCGAACTCAACGGACATATCATCGCCGCCTTTGGCTCTCACTGTGGCCGCTGGAACTACACTGGCTTTCTTGTCTCTATCAGCAAAACCCCTGGCGTTGGCCCTGTAAGTATGTGGGCCACGGAAGCCGCTCCAGGTGCCCCTAAGCCGCAACCTCTGGATCTGGCGACAGAGAGAGGTGGCAAGGCTGGTATCTGGCAGAGTGGCATGGGTCTGCCCATTGTAGGTAACAACATCTACTTCGTTACTGGAAATGGCCAAGGACACGCAAACGGCAATGTTCCCGCCAGCGGCAGGGTCCCGATGTCGACGCTCGATGAATGTGTGGTTAGGATGGATCTATCAGCAAACGGCAAGCTCAGTCTAGTCGATTACTTTCAGCCATACGACTATATCGCCCTAGACGCTGGCGACCGAGATGTCGGTGCTTCCGGGCTTGCGGTCTTGGATCCCACTGTTTTCAAAGGTGCAGGAGTGAACAGGATGTGTGTCACAGCTGGCAAAAAGGGCAGGGTGTACGTGATGAACGCCGATAACTTGGGAGGCTTCCGACAGGCAACAGACGGCGGAGATGGTATCTTGCAGACCCTAGAGCTCGGCCTGTCTCTATATGGTGGATTTGGGAGCTATCCTGCTGAAGGTGGCTACATTTATGCTACACCTGTTGGAGGTTCTCTTGTGGCTTACAAGCTTGGCTTCGACGCAAAGGGTGTTCCTCAGTTCATTCTCGCTGGCAAGTCCGAGTTCATATCTGCCGGTCGGGTGGGCGTTGGTCAAATGTCTGTAACATCAGACAACGGCAGACCTGGCACGGGCATTGTGAGTCTTTCCTCCGCCAATTTTGAGACAACTGGATTGCTAATAAATCGTAGGTTTGGGTTACTGATGTAAACGTTGGCATCCGGGCCTTCCGTGCTGTTCCTCAGGATGGCGTCATGGTCCCCATTAGTTTGCCCCAGACTCAGGGTGCGAACAAGTTTCAACGCCCTGTCTTTGGCAACGGACGAGTATTTTTCAACGTCAACAACAACAAGCTCGTTGCACTAGGGTCTCCAGTCAACGCTCCAGTCAATTGTACCAGCCCGGTTGACTTTGGCTCTCTCGAATCTGGCTCTACAGCAAGCGTCTCTATCAACTGCAAGGCCAATGTAGCTCTCAGCAAGGTCAACGGTTGCACGGTTGCGGATCCGTCCTGGAAATGCTCAAACTCGACGCTTCCCCAAGGTGCTGTGGCTGCAGGCACATCATTCTCCTTGAGCGTTACTTGGGACCTATCTGACCCCTCCGTTCGGGTCGTTCCTGGCTTCCTCTCTAGCTCATTGTCTCTTTTGGTCAGCGCACCTGCTGAATATGCTTCGAACGTCTTGGTCGCGCTAGAGGGAACTGTTGTCAAGCAAGGCCCCTTCTTGAGCGCTACTCCATCCGACATCGCTTTTGGTAGACTTGTTCTCCGCGACTCCCCTGACGGCCTCACCGGCTCCGCCCTTATTCAGAATGTGGGCAATGGTACTTTGACCTTCACCGGTTTTGCCTGGCAAACAAACACCAGCGACTATGCCAACTTCACGAGCGATGGCGCGCTTGGCTCCGGCTTTTCATCGACAAACTTCCCCACCGTTGGTTCTACTCTTGAATCTGGCAAGAGTCTGACCGTCGCATTGCGCTTCTTCCGCGAAACACCCGGATCTTACGTGTCAAAGATCACCATCTGGTCCACGGGTGGATCGGGAGTTCTCACTTTGAGCGCTTCCGTGAACGAACCGCCCGTCGTAACCTTTGAATTAGCCGATGGCTCAGGCGGTTGGAACCCATTGTCAGATTGGAAGGTGTCCTTCGGCAGCGTCCTCGCTGGCGCACTGGTTGACAAGCAGATCCGAGTCTGCAACAAAGGTGGTGCTCCCCTAACGATCACAATCTCCAAGCCTCCTGCCACGCCCCAGTTGTTCGCCCTGAATCCAAATCACGAACTCACTGAAGGAACTCAGGTTGTTGGCGGTAGCTGTGCGATTGGCAGTGTGGGGGTTCACGCTGCACCTGTCCAACCAAACAACCCCGCCCAACCCCTAAAAGCCCTGTGGACTCTTAGCACTGATGGTCTCAATGCCACCACGGGTGAAGCTTCCGGCTTGCACAACATCGTGTTTGAAGGCACTGTTGTAAGCAAGCAGGTTGGGCCTCTTCTTGCCAATGGAACCGCGCGTTACCAGTGGGTAGGGTGCTTTCAAGACACTACGAACCTGGGCCGCAATCTGCAGGCTTCGGTTAATAACGGCGAGCTGCAGAAGACAAACACCCTGCAGCAATGTCAGGGTCTTTGCCTCGCCAGGGGCTACATACTTTCTGGTGTTCAGTATCATCAGGAGTGTTGGTGTGGCGGATTCATCAAGAACCCGTCGACGTATAGGGATGAATACCTCAACTTGTGCACTTTTGACTGCACAGGTGATGATACACAAGCTTGTGGTGGTGACGGTGGGCATATGAGTCTGTACGCCGACATCACCGCGTTCAACATTGCTGGATTTTACGAGTCGCTCAAGAACCCAAGCTCAAGTTCCTCCCGGCCAGCGTCAACGAGCTCAACCAGCAGGGCAGCATCCTCAAGCAGCATTCGCTCCTCTGTCACATCCTCCTCCGCTGTCAGCAGCTCTCGTGTCTCTTCCAGCACCAGCATCCGTAGCTCTACGTCGTCAACTTCGACCACTTCACCTGTGGCTTCCTCGTCGGACGCATCCAGCAGTGCTGTTTTAACCACCACCACCACGGTGGTTTCGGCATCGTCCACATCAAGTAGTGCTTCGCCTTCATCGACAGTCATCACTTCGCCCCTCAACCCTAGTATGCCTGCTATCATTGGTGGTCAGTGGCAATATGCTGGTTGCTTCAAGGACCTTGTCGACAACGAGAGACTCTTTACCGGAGCTTCTTCTGCCTCGGACGACATGAGCCTCGACAAGTGTGCAGCGTTCTGTAGCACCGGCGCCCCCGGCGGCGGCTCTTTTAATTACTTTGGTGTCGAATATGGCCGTGAGTGCTACTGTGGCTGGGACGCCAAGGCATCCAGAATGAGGGCCGCCGAGGCGGAGTGTTCCTCTCCATGTGCTGGTTCGCCTATTGGGCTTTGCGGTGCTGGGTTTAGACTTTCTGTCTACAATAACACCACACCCAACCAAGCACCAACAGTACCTGAGCAACCCCAACGTGCAGGCGACTATGATTTGCTCGGCTGTCAAACTGAGGGTATAAACGGACGAGCCTTGACCGGCGCTTTTACTGCCTCTGATGACATGACGACCGAAGTTTGTGCTGCATTCTGTAAGCAGGGCAATTGGCAATTCATGGGAGTCGAGTACTCTCGCGAATGTGAGTGACAACTTTGATACCTGCTGCCCACACGCTGATATTTTGTATAGGTTTCTGCGGCAGCTCGACCAACTCCGGATCAGTACCAGCTCCTCTACAGGAGTGCAACATGAAGTGTCAGGGCAACCAGGTATGTCTCCAAATCATGCGAATCTTTCAATATTCTAATTGCCAATAGTCCGAGTTCTGTGGTGGAAACAACCGTCTTGGGCTCTATCAACTTTTGCCTCTTGGTGGAGCTTCGTCTTCTGTAGTCATCAGCTCTATACTCTCGTCGTCATCGCCGTCGTCATCTCCTAGCGCAAGCCCGACGGTGATTTCCTCCGCTCTTTCATCCTCCAGCGCGGTCTCATCAACCTCCACCACCAGCAGGTCTAGCTCATCGAGCAGTGTGGCTGTGTCGACCTCTTCAGCACCATCTACCTCCCTTGTGCCATCCATCCCGGCCTCAACCACCGACAGCTCGCTTTCGACAGTTCAGAGCACGGCCTCGAGCGCCTTGGCTACAGCCACCAACGGTTACTACTATGTCGGCTGTTACCAGGACAGACCCGCCGGACACGCTCTTCCTCTGCTGTTCGCCAACAGAAGCGTCACCCCTGAGCTCTGCATTGACTACGCAAACTCCATGTACAGCAAGGCGCCGACTCCTACAACGAAACTGCCTTATCTCTTCCTGGAATACCACCATGAGTGCTACGGCGGCTCCAGTTTCGACTTCCAGGGCGGAGCAGTCACTTCCCTTATTGGAACTAAGGCCTGCAACAACTATTGTTACGGCAGTGTCAGCACGTTCACAACCGACGGCACAGTCACGACGACTACCAACACAGCCAACTTCTGTGGTGGACCGAAAATGTTTGACCTGTACGCCTTATCAACGCCAGTCGACTTCCCGACGACCGGGGGTCCTGTTGTCACGCAGACCGCGTTATAGACATAATTTTTTCATTGAGTCTGGTGGAGTAATAATGGCCTCGTGGCCTTGAACAATTTCAGAAAAGCTTTTTAGTACATACCCAGAGCATACCAGCAAGTGGATGCCTCATAGCTATTGCATATCATATTTTTATTTTTCATCCATGCTATGGTAGATTTTCTATTGCGAACCAGTAGGCAATGTTGCACGTTATTGTTCCATGTTTCTCTCCTTTCTGGACCAAAGATTTCGAGTCAGTTTCAGACATCGGCCGCATCAAAGTTGCGAATCAGGTCATAGTAAAATCTAAGAATTTCTAGGTGCGCGCTGATTTTGATTCTCTCATCAATCGTATGGGCGTTGAGTGTAGCGCCATTCCGAATAGGCACAAAGCGGTAGACATTTGGCGTGAGATCTAAACTATTAGTCAGGCTCAAAATTCTGATGCGTCGTTTTTGAAGACTTACTTAGGTAGTGTCTCGTGTCCGTGTTACCGGTCATGGACTCGCCCACAGGAATAACCTTGCCTCCGTCGAATGCAAAGCTAGATTGCAGAGTACCAGAGAACAGATCCCAGATTGGGCCCTTGGTAGGGGACAGGGGCGCGACGAGCGTCTTCTGGCTAGAGGTAAGCACCAAGGTGCCGTTGTAATCGACATCGTACAGCGGCTTGACGTCGTCCTCCAAACTGACACCGCCGAAATCACGATACTGCTGCGCAGCATAGTTGTCGTACTCGTCGTCGCCCTTAAATGCCTCTACCTTGATGCCGTACTTCTCCACAATGCCGCTGATGTACCTGACAATGTTGTGCTGGATCTCGGGGATGCTGTTCTGCGGGGCGACGCGGTAATTCACGCCAACCTTTACGACCTCGGGCATCGCGTTGATCTTTTGGCCGGCCTGGAAGTAATCCACGCTCTGAGAGGTCTGGAGACGGTAGTGCGTGGGACGGTCAATGGTCACCAGCTCCTCCGCCAGAGCGTCCAGGTCGCCCTCCTCCAGCAGACGGGTGATTTTGGGCTGGGCGTCCGGGGAGTACCGCGCCTGGCAGACGATGTGCTGGTACAGCGGGGACGAGGTGGTCAGCTTGGGGCTGTAAGGGTGGGACTCGAGCGCGACGACGATCTCCGACACGATGCCGATGCCGGTATGCGGGAACGGCACGGACGAGTGGCCTCCCGTCACGTGCAGCTCGAACCAGATGTCGACGTGGCCCTTTTCCGTCACGCCGGGGAGGGCGTAGAGCGTCTTGTCGTCGAGCTGCTGCAGGCCCATGCCTCCCTCGTCCAGGATGAGGGCCATGCTGTTGTTGCCCCATTCCTTTTCGAGGTGCTTCGCGATGAAGCCCGCGCCCCTCCGCCCGGAGCACTCCTCGTCGAAGCCCGAGGCCAGGATGATTGTCCGGTTGGGCTTCCACGAGGGGTCCGACAGGAGCGTCTCGAGCGCCGAGAGGAGGGCCGTGAAGGAGTTCTTGTCGTCCGATACGCCGCGGCCCCACATCCATTCGCCGTCAAAGTGCGCCGAGAAGGGCGGGTACGTCCAGGTCGATGCGTCCGCTACGGGGACGACGTCCTGGTGGGCTGCGAGGAGGATTGGTTTGAGGGAAGGGTTGGATCCGGGGATGGTGTAGACCAGGCCGAAGGTGTTTACTTTGACCAGGTTTGAGCGGGCGTGTCTGCAGTCGTTAGGATCTTGTACAAAGTCAAATGTCGAGGGTGGTCTGAGAAAGAGACGCACAATGCGGGATAAGTCTTTCTGATTACGTCGTGAAGCTCGTAGAATACCTTCCAACGGGGATCTTTGTCAAAGTCGCCCAGGTCATCGTAGCAGATTGATGGCACGCGGACGAGGGCTGCGTGGCGCTCGACTTGTTTTAGGAGGGCTGCTTCGGAGGAGAATAGGTCCTTTGCTGAGGGCAGCCCATCGTTTGGGGATACGGGGGGTGGGAGGTCACAGGTGAATGAGGAGGACGAGGATGAGGGTAGGAGGGGGTGTTGGTCTGCGAGGGCGAGGGCCGCTCCGAGGAGGGTGATGATTCGAGAGCGCATTTTGTGCCCCCTACGACGTTTGCACAAAGAGTTATGTCAATGGACTTGACTGGCCCAGTCGGCAGACTCTCGACTACCAATTCTAGTGCAGACAAGATTCAGAAAACCGTGAACCTCTCTTTTTAAATATTTTTTTTTAAAGAACTGGGATGAAGAGGAATGGTAGGATGAGCGGAGAGTACTGGCAAACGTCATTTTGTATGCAATCACACACACACGCTGAACCCCTGTGCTGAATTGCATGGCGTGATAGCTACCCGCGTCTCTTCTCCATTCTGGTCTGTCCTTCTCACGAATCCATTCGCTCGTCTTCTCTCCCCCCGCCGAGATAGGAGCGGTCCTGTGCCAGATAACGGGGGGGTGGTCAGAACAGACATACCCCTAGTCTTTGCCGATTTGCCATGTTTCGGTATCGGGGCGCTTCCGACGCGGTGCCGATGCGGAGATGTGGGTTACGGTGAGATGCCGCGGGGAACTTGCGACCTTCCCTTATTGGAGACTAGGGATTTGGAGGAGGGTACGGAGTAATGTTATTGGGAGTCGGGTATTTTTTGGTGGGGTAGAGAGAGGTTTGTCGGCAATTTGGCGGTTTGAAGATGGTTATCCTGGGTTGTTTGGAGTTGATAAACTGGATTTTACGGTGTCTGGAGAGATATGAATGTTTATGTAGGGTTTTTGTTTATTAGAACGCTTTTACTATCTATACTGATGGTTTCTCGTCTTCGGCCGGTGCCGGCAGGCTGCGGAGCCATAACCCGAAATCCCATGTATCATCGGGGCCGTCGCCGGTTACGGAGTCTTGCCGCCAATGTGTCTCAGTATCCCGTCCCATAGCCCCTCGTCGCATCAACCTGGTCCGGGGCTTTCAGTGGAAGCCCGTTGTAAGCGAGGAAAGTCTTGTCAATGTCAAACTCAAATTCGACAGCCTGGTCTTGTATCTTCTTCGCCGACTCGGCAAACTTTTCAGTCACCTCGTCCAGATCTTTTGCCGCCAGCTTCCCGTCCCTTTTGACGAACTTGCCGCCGACCATTACATGCTTCACATCACTTACGTGAGAATGCAGGATGATGGCCGCGATGGGGTCCCTCCAGCCGACCATGTTCGTCGACCGCCCGTCAAACACCACCAAGTCGGCCTTGGCGCCGACGCGGATAACGCCGAGATCGTCCCTTCGCAACGCCAGCGCGCCTGCTCTCGTAGCGAGGTGAAAGGCCTGGTTTACCGACATGGGATTGTGGCTTGGGAGTTTCCACTGGTCCAGCAGCTTTCTGTACGACCTGTGTCGCACGCTCTGCAGCCATAGTCTCGCTTGCGTGATGATGTCGCCGGAGAAGGTCGCGTGCGTGTCGACGCCCAGGGAAGCTTGATCCATGAGCAAATCGCTTTCGACGTTGGTGTGCCCAAAGTGCATCTCCGATTCGGGGGTGATGGAGACGTAGTGGTTGTGTTTCCGAAGCAACTGGTGCTCGAGCGGCGTGATGTAAGTGGCGTGCGAGAGGACGATGGGAAAGGAGCGGTTGAGGAGGTCGTGGGATAGCAAAAGAGACGGTCCGTTTGGAGCGCCATAGGGTCCGCCGACCAAGTGGGTTGTGAGAAGTGGGATATCGTTGTTTCTGTCGTCGTTTTAGTAAAGATTTTTGGAAGATGGCGGAGAGGTGGAAATGCTCACTTGATTAGGTCGAGTGCTGTTTGCAGATCTTCGTTTCCAGCCATGTTCCAATAGTCAAAGGAAACGCTCAACTTGACGAGGTCGTTCGTCTTTGTATCGTCGCGCAAGATGTCAAGCCAGTGCGCCGCTCTGTCCTGAAGAGACATGCCGGACCACGGGTCGAGGTTATATCCAAACCACACGCGGGCGCCGCTGTTGACGGTAGCTTTGAGGTTGGCCTCGGCGTCTTCTCGGGATTTGATGCCGTGCGCGTGGTCAATTAAGGACGTCACTCCCGCGTCGAGCGCTTCATACAGTCCCATCAGCGACGAGAGGTAGATGTCCTCCGGCTCAAACAGCTCAGTGGCCTTGGTCCCCGGACTCCAGCGCACAAAGTACTCTGCGAGGGTCGTGTTGGATGCGAGGGTGCGGTATGTTGTCTGCCATGTGTGCCGATGAGTGTCGATGAAGCCCGGAGATATGATTGTGTTCTTGGCCGGGACGATTTCAGTGTCGGGTGGAATTACGGGGGAGGACAGATCATTTGAGGACGGAAAGATGGCGGCGATTGTATCTCCTTGGATGAGGACAGACGTGCCGTGGAGGATCTCGTTGCTTTGGGTTTCCTCGTTGAAGATTATTACTGTGGCATGTTCGAATAGAGTGGATGTGAGTTGCGCGTTGATTACATGGAGACTGGCGAGCAGCGCTCCGACAAGAGATTTTCGTGCCATGGTGGGCAATCTGCGGTTTCTTGTCACTCTGGAATCTGATGAGGGCTGGCAAATGGGGTGGTATTTAAACACAAGTTTACGATGTAATGTCTCGAACCATACTTACATTGCCGCCGTGTTGGTGATCATTCTCCATACGCATCTTTTGGCTTCCAATCATGTTCCGCGTGGTCGCCTTCGTACACCAACCTGCATCGGACATCGCGACTTTCTTCAGCGTTTTCCCCAATTTTCCTGGCGGGTTTCTGTTCCTAGTCGTTCGGGGGTCAAAGCCGTCTGCAAGTGACGGTGGATTTTCTCGCTAAGCTGCAGGCTTGCCTCGGCAGGTCGGAAAACAAGCCGTTTGTCGACGAGGAGATAATAACATGTTTTTGTTAAGTAACAAGGCATGTTCAGTTTGATTTAGCAGGCTACTATACTAGGGCCTTGGTGAAAAGTAGCCATAAACATGGCAAATGATATACGTCTTTCTCACGCTAGATTAGTTCACTAACGTCCACCTTGACGGAAAGATCAATGGGCATATCTCGCATGCGAAGGTCAAGCTAAAACATCGAATTCTTTCTGAAAAGCACTGTGAGTGCGCAGGAATCAATGTTGGCAATTTGCTTGAACTCGTTGGGTACTGCGTTGTCCAATCTCTAGCGCAAACATGCCTCAGAACGTACTTGGTCGCATTAGCCCATGTAACTGAACATCTCACAAACTATGAAGCACTGTAGACGATTGATCTTTCTGGCTTCCCGAGAACAAATACCGAACTTGAGCCAGACAGTAGAGATAGTTGAGGGTGCTAAAGTGTGGTTGTCGATCATACGATGTCAAACTAGAGACAGTAGGAGAGAACTGAAACATGCAGTCAGCACTGCCATTTAGCATTCGTGATGGAGCCTATATTAGGCAGATGAGTAATCTTACGACTACTGCGTAATATACCTTTCGGAAAAGTTTATGTATTGATTCAGTTGAAACTCGGCGAGCATCTCTAAGTCTAGGGAGACACCATCGGCAATTAGATTCATACCGAAACACCCTCTATTTTAGTGAAAGCATGCTAGTCGGTTCTCATGTGTGAAGAAAGCAGATATTTGATTAGGGAATCAAAGTGTAATTCACTCAGACTCATTTTCCCCAAACTGCGAAAGGCCCCGGTACAATCTATCTGCTCTCCTCCCGACGCACAAGACGTGCGGACGTTACAATGAGCTGCTCTAGGCGTCTAGCAACTACGATTGGCCATATCATTACGCGACTTTAGGACATTGGTGTTGGCACCAAAAGCGATCGCATGAGACACCTTGGCAGTTCGATGTGGACGCTTACAAAACTGGGAGACCAAACTATGCCGAGGTACGACATGAAGGGTGTCAGTTGGCGATATAGGTCTGGACATATACCCTGGGATAGTTGACTATAACAAAAGTATACAAATTAAATAAGTTTTGTGCCTGCGTCCTCGATAGAGTTTTCCAGGGTCACCTTGCATGATGGAGGCACCGAAAAGAAGAGCGGTTCATAACCAGTCAGCAAGTATATTCCCCACTGTGCTCCGTTTAGAATGGCAGATTGAATCTAATCAAGAACTTGGCTTTTCCAGATTATGTGCCAAGAGAAAGAGAGAAACAAGGCAATATACAACATGCCAGCATTTCAAAAATGTAAAAATTTAACTCGACGTTGGCCTGATTCGAACAGACGCTCCCGAAGGAACAAGATTTCTAGTCTTGCGCATTAGACCACTCTGCCACAACGCCGGATAATCCCTGTTACTGATCACAACTGGGAGTGGAGATGCTTGGTTCCAGCCGATGTGGTGACCAAGACCCAACACTTTCTCAGCACACCGCTCACTTGGATAAGCCGCACGGTTCCTGCTTGTGGTTGCCGAATTTCAGATGAATCATTCAGAATGTTGGCTCCGCTGGGTACCGTTACCGCGGTTATTAAATGGCTTCTGTTTCGATTATTACTGAGCCACCTTTCGTGTTTGACGGAAGTGTTCCAAAGGGCATTTCCACCAGCCGTTCCGTGTCTTTGACTACTTTGATACTTGTTCTCTTCTGTCGGAGAACGCCACCTTGAGAGCCATCTTAAGATCAAGAAATAGCAGATCATCCTGGCTTATACCAAGGCTACGCATCATGTTTTGATTCTCTCTCACGCTACAGTTCCCTTCTTCCAAGTTACAGCATAGAATCAGCGCCGACCGGTTCGGAGGTCCGAAACGGCTCAGCCTTGATTCCAGACACCCGCAACTGCTTTCCCTGAACGGTAATGAACGAGTGGCCTGAATAGGTCTCAATGTTTGCCAAGGCGTCTGATCCGTCTACGAGTGGTCTGGCATACGACACACGCCATACGAGTACGTAGGACACGTGGCTTGTGTTCTCAATGAGAAAGACTACAGTTGCAGAACTTAATAGTTGGCCAGTTGGTAAAATGTAAATTATATTAACGATTACGCGATTCGTATTCTTCGCCTGTAACATTGATTATATGATCAGCAGAACAGAAATTGCCACCTTGAGACGAAGACCTTTATGTTGAGATGAAAGTCACATCTGGTGTTCCAGCATCCAGGTATTGTTTCTTCTTCCGAACTCTGTCATCTTAGGACGTGGCGTTGTTTCGTGTTCGCTCTCGGTGAAGCTTTCAGCCTCATCGCTTTCAGTAGACGATTTCTGCCTTGGGCTTTCTTGCCTCGAACAACGAGAGCGGAGCGACTCGTCCCCAATTGAGGACCCGATATCCGGAGTCTAGCCCACGAGCGCGGATGATCAGCAATGGTGATGATCTCCCGTCCACTCCACATCCCATAAACCGTCCAATGTTATAGCCGTTTCGCTTACGGAGGCAACAAGATGTCCTTGTACACAATCCGGGCGGGTATCGGCCGATCCGGTAACAAGTTGGCCGACCGTTAGCACAAAGCCCAAGACATAGGGTTGACGGGACGAGTCAATTCGGCCATGCCAGAAGAGAAGAGTCCGACGAGTTGACGTCAATCGCCGAGGAAACATCCGCCGGCGGGTCACCTAGGGTATTTGTAAAATGTCTTAATTGTTTCTATTAGGCTATTCACCGCTCCTATTGCGCAACATCGGTAGTTTGCTGGTGTATCAGAGTGCGGGGTAAAGGGATGCTTGTCGTCCAATGTCTGTAATATTTCGTCGGCGCGGTCTCCGATATTGTTTCACTTCGGACGGCGCAATGACGGCCTGAAGTCCAGACGGGCCGTATCTTGACGCACTGTGGATCAGTGTGTGTTCCTGGCAATTAGCCGACCACATAAGGGACGATCTATCTTGATGCTTCACTACAGACGATGACTAGAGTAGTTCGGATCTTGGTGTCGTGCATTGTCCAGTCTGAAAAAAAACTGCAAAGGTTAAAATGCCTACACGTGTTGGGGTTCTGAGGGTGGGATGGAAAATGAGATGTTGACGACCAACGGACACGTAGCGTGAGAATTGTGTTCGGTTGACAAGATACGCAATCCATTTGATGTTGAAAGAGTTAAGTCGGATGAATACGTGGATCCCCCATTACACCTTGGAAGCCCAGGGTAAACTAGGTAAGTTTGTTCTCCCACATTATGTTTCCATCCCAAAACTCCCCGTGTGCTATGTGGTATGCCAAGATTTCAGGTACGAGACTTCATGTTTCACTTCAAGGCGTAAAAAGCCGTCACATTGCATTGACAACTAGACCAAATTGTGTTGGGTGAAGAATAATAAGTATTGAACATTTGAAGGTATGAACTTTGTACAAGAACATGCAAATCCCAGGTTGCGGGGGTCAAGCCCTTTTTGAAACTTCCAAGTCTGGTTTCCAATTCATCTCGTCTCAAGGCTGACCGGGTATAGTTGCGACTCCGACGTCTTTTCTAAACTCTATTTTCCTGTTTAGAAGCGCTTGCGAAGAGCATGTCTAGCGCTACGACGCTTGTTGCAAGAGGACTGTGTACATGGGCCGGTTAGCAACGAACTCTTACAATGTTAAGGTTTCGCTCCGAGCACTGAAGGGGTGTCTCGGACGCATGGGAATGTTGGACTTACAGCAGGAGCAGAGGCGGCGGGGGCAGAAGCGACAGGGTCGCTGGCTTCGTCAGAGGCACCGGTAGCAGGGGTGGAGGGAGTAGCGCTGGGAGTGGTGACGCTCTGGAGGGTGGTGGGAGTGGCGGGAGTAGCAGGAGTAGCCTGGGCAGGGGGAGCGGAGGTGCCGGAGCCAGACCCGGAACCAGAGCCAGAGCCGGAGCCGGAGGTGAAGTCAACGCAGCTCATGTAAGTCTGCTTGGCCTCAGGGGAGTCCCACCACCACTGAAGAGCGCAGTTGCCGGCAGTGCCGCAGCTGGAGGGGAGGCTGTCGGGGAGGGTGACAGAGAAGGCGGTGTTGTTGGCGGCGACGCCAGTCTTGGTGGAGGCGTAGTTCTCGAAGGAGATCAAGGGGGATCCGATGATGGAGTTGGCCTTGAGGTCGACAACGGAGACGTTGGCGACACCAGTGTGGGGGGCACGGATCTCGACCTTGAAGTCAACAGTCTGGCCGGGGGAGTAGCTCTGGACGTTGGCGGCGTTGTCCTCGAACTTGTAGCCCTTGCAGAGCTCAAGCTGGCACTTGGAGGAGTCGAGGCTGTTGCCGGCCTGCTGGGCGAGGCCCTGGATGTTGCCGTACGGGTCGGACTGCTCGGTGTTCCACATGGTGTTACCGCAAGCCTCCTTGAAGGCATCACCAGCGGGGCGGGGAGTAGGCGACATGACCTTGCCGTGGGCCGAGACGGCGGCGACGAAAGAGAGAACGGTGACGATCTTGGACTGCATTTTGAAAGATTTCTTGATGTTCGGTCGAAAAGACGAAAATGAAGGTTGTTTGTTTCGGAAAAGGGAATGTGAGACTGGGAATTTGTCTTGCGATGTAGTTTGTAAAAAAGCTCAAAAAGAGTGGCTTGTGACTAGCACAGCTGTAAAGAGAGTGAAAAAAAGAATGAACGTGAATGAAATTGAATTGGATAGAGACACACAAAGATCAGACAGGAAGACAAACTGAAATCGAGGTTGGCATAGAGGAGACTCTTATACGGTCTGCCTCCCAACTCACCACACCCTGTCAGCGTGGGATACCGTCACTCCTACTGGTGCCATGGCGGCCCAGTCCGTGACCCTGCCACGCAGCCGGAGCCATCTATTCGTGACGACTAGAGCGATAGAAGCTTTCAGGGGATGGAAGGGCAAATGAGGGACGAAAGCCTGGGCCGGCGCTTGGCCAGGTACGAACAAGAGCAAAGCAGGCATTACCCTCCAAGTTGCGGCTTATTCAGTTTGTGTGTGCTCCCACCTCTTTCCAAGAAGACCAAGCCGCCCAAGAGATGCGATCTATCCATGGTCCTGGAACATGTCAGCCAACAAGTCTCGGGCCACTCTCTGACATGGGGGAATGCGAGCGATTGGATCAGGCCCAGTCAGGACTCCCACAATAGGCAGTGTTTAATTTGAGTGAGGCTAGGTGGGCTTTTGCTGGACCGGATGTTGACCTAGTTCGGTCATCATCCTCGGGCAGATGCCCACGAGGCGGCTGCTACGACATGATCCCTGCTTTTTACAAGGATTGCTGAAACGGTTCCACCACGCATCTTTCAGGCGGCTCGGCCGATGTTCTCCACCAACATCCCTCGAGCGTCTCCATCTTCTAGCTGAGTCTACTCCATCCCATTGTCAGTCCCTCGGCTTTCTCATCTTTCAGCCGTGATGGAGTTTTGTCCACTGGGGAGTCCTTGACGCAGGTAGATAACACTGATGGGCGATGAAGGGAAGATGCTGCTTTCAAGAGTGACAGATCATGTTTACCGCCTCCACGTTCACCCGCTGGAAATTTGCGTTGCTGCAATCGTCTGTTTCAAGAAGACTTCAATGACCCAGGTGTGACGTGAAGCGATCTGCTCGCTCGGGCTTTTCTGAGGCACATTGGCCATTGCTGTGACCGTTGACTTGAACGGGTGGCCAGATCGGATGTAGTCTAGCTTCAGAAAAAACTCACAGACTCTCGGTTCAGTAATCTTCGCCAGAAGTTCCCGTCATCAACATCTGCCCAATCTGGATTGGATCTTAGATTGAAAGATACCCATTCTGGACAGCACCTCAATCTCGTCCTTCACGCTTTCGCAGCGCCAACATCTCGTCGAATCTGCCGAGCCTCAGCGGATATCTCCCATCAACCTCTAACCCGGACTTCGCCTGGTGGGCTCCGCGCCACTCAACTAGGCTTCTGGCTCATGGGCCTGTCATACTGCGCATCATTTGAACGCACTTCTCCAACGGTTCTTGACCTTGGGTGCTACTACTACATACTACGTAGTAGGGTAGGTTTGGGACGCAACTGGGGCGTAGCCTGGGCCTGGCCATGTCGGCTAACTGGCCTACTGACTAGTAAGCGCTCCTCTCAATTCACGTATCTTCCTCTTCCCCTTTTTCGTCTGATAATCAACTGAACACACTGACACTGATCCCCGTGCCCACAATCGGGGTTGTGAGCAGGGTCCAGGGCGCTAAACCTTGCACCCGAAGCGGATCCAGTCAGCCTCCTGTGCAGTAAGATTGTTTTTACAGTAGAGTAGGGTACGAGAAAAAAGGGGCCTTGTGAAGGGGTGGACGAATTGAGGAGCAGCCACATCAATTCATGCGACGGAGAATGTGGGAGATGAAAGGTTTGTAGAATTTCATGGGACGAATACTGGAGATCTGCAAATTGAACAAAAAAGAGGCGCCCACAGTCCAACTGAGGTTTCCACATATGCACCTGAACCGAATCGGCCGATCGATAATGACGTAACTTAGGATTTCATACAGTACAACGGTCGACTATTGACGGCTGGTTTCTTTTTTTTCTTGGGAGACCAAGTAAGCTTTGCCTACTGCTTCTTGGGCTGGATCTTGCGGCCTACTCTACAGACTTGTTTTTTTTTTTTTTTTTTACTTTTCTTTTGCAAACTTGCTACTCATTGGCATTGGTTAGTTTAAAGCTGTATGGTATTAATGAGTCATAAACACATAAAGTCTATGATAACGATCACCAAAAAAAAAAAAAATCTTTAAAAAACGGGCGTGCGCAGTTTCGAAATATGTTGATCCCATTAATGGGACGTGTACGTCACTTGAATAAGACGAATCTGTTTATACCACTCAGCTCGGTTGCCTATAGAAGCGATGCTTATAAACAACACCGAGTGCATGAGTAATGGGATGAAGCCGTTGTATCCGTACATTCAAGAAGTGTTTCAACCAAGGTATCGTTGCTGCTGAACTGGGCCTAAGAAATCAGCCCTCATATCCAGCCATGAATAAATCATGCTTGGCACTGGAAGCTTTTTTCCCTTCGTTCAGCCCTAGCACATGCAAAGATTTCGTCCCTGAAATCTTGGCAGAAACAGGCTGTCTCTCTTACCAGCAACTTTATCACTGTCATTGAATAGGTACACCAGCCCAACAGGCGAGTGCTATTCTTCCTTAGCCAAGCTCGTAGAAAGTCCATGCAGGTCAATATGATATCCGGGCTGTCCAAAAACTCCGTGGCCAAGAGCGTGAAGGGCACTGGATCCTCCTCCCCGCCGCAGATAAACCCCCAGGCGCCGCGTAATCCATGTGCCCCTTTCTCTAACATCGCTACTGCACGCTTCACCCCACCAAGGGGCAAGGCTAACAACCATTTTGAGTAAAAGCCAATCTCCTCGTAACCGAACTTTTTTCTTTTCTCGTCAAGTTGCTGCCAGCGCTTAAAACAGTAATATCCATACCTCAGTACCTGTTGGGTTATCAGAGACGTCACTGGAGGCGGCTTATCAGACATTCAAACACCAACATGCGCCATGCCTGCTGCCCTCGCCTCGATGGATAGGAACAACGGCAATCAGCTAGGCAAGCAAGTTGAACAATACTCACAATGTAATTCACGGAATGGCAATCTAGGCGGGTCCATGACCAGAGCCACGTTCTCTCAATAAATCTCATCGTGATCCATAGAATTTTGCTTCGGCTGTGGGTCGCCCTGGGACTTCACCGATTCGTCCGTACTAATAATCACGTTTAGCCTACTTTTATTGAAGCCCTGGCATTTCATCTCCGTGTTCTCGAAGGCTTCAACAGGCATCTAGGCCACTTGAGCTCCTCACAATATTGATAGAATGGAAGCTAGCCATGGATTCAGGCACATCCTTCCGGCTCTTTTCCCGGTGCGTCAACAACACTACTTTCCGCATTTCTACAATATAATCCGTAGTCTTCCCTACTTGGCTTGATTAAAAGATCCACAACTGGTCCCAATCATGGTCGTGATAAAGTAAAAGGAGCCCAAGTGCAAGGGCAGTGTTTCTTTTGCGGTCCAGGTCCTGCGACAGCTACAGGAATCTTAGCACCTGTTTTGCTGTTTTGCAGCCATGAAATCCTGTTCCAGATGGGTTTACGACACGTTATCAGTCTACGGTGTTAGGCAACCAGTCGTGGTTAAGGCGATAAATGCCATTCAGCCACGTCACATCCAAGACGCGCAGCTGCTACATATAAGGGCTGTACCTTCGCACAATTTGCGAAGATTCAACCTGTCAAGGAAAATAACCCAGAAGGTAAAGGGGGCTTTGACGTGAGAACCTCCACAACGTATGCTTTCTGTGCATAAAAAACCCCGAGGCGTTTATTACGTACCTACCCAGTATATCCAGTTTACTGGAGGTGAATTATCAACTCACTCTTACGGTACTGAGTCGAGGAAACAGAATGCTATAATTGCCCTTTTGTCTCTTGTCTTGCTTAGATCTGGCTTCCATACGTGGCTTAGCAACAAGCAAAATCTCACAATATCAGGATATTTAAGAGGCCTGAATCACTTCATACATGTCATTGAAGACTTCTACAGTGGACAGAAGAGTCTGAGATGAAGTGACACCCGACCAAACTCTTCCCTTTTCTTCAAAGACTAACTTTACCTTGATTTTCAGCATACATATATACATACACATATAGGTATTTCTGGTTTTGAGTAACACGGGTACTTAAAGTCAGATGTGACGAATGTTGAAAGGAATGAGAATAGTCTCAACCTAGTACAGAATCTTACCCAGTCTCCAGAGCTACCTGATGGGAGTCTCGGTCAAGTTTCCAACTGTGATATTGGATGTCAGAAAGTTTGCCCACTCAAACACTGGCATGGCAGCGTAATCACCAACAGTGATTTCTTGGAGAAATCGGACTGGATCGTCAAGTCCTGGCTCTGCTGCCAGAGACCAGACAGTACGTTCAAGGTGCAGTTAAAACTCCTTTCTTTTTAAGCACCAAAAGTCATTCTCCGGCATCCACTATTTATCAATGTATTGCTTTTTTCCATCCCTCAAGCTATGGGATATTCCTCCGTCCACGTAGGATTACAGTCAAGTAGACTTGTGTCTACCAAACCTGCTTATTTTCTGCCAAAAAGAATAGTTAAATACGACAGATCCGGCAATATGATGACAAATTGGGGCGAAATTGGCTTTGATGTGAGTTGCGACCGGAATGGGTGTAGGCGTTCCGGAACGGGACCGCCCGATCGGCACGGAGTAAGATCGCACAACCATACCGGAACTCGCCCGGAGCTTGATGGACTGTACCTGGACGGTCTCCAACAAATAGAAAATTTTCTTAGCATTTTAAAGTCCATGCAGAAAGATGTTCAAGTAGATGACTGCGCAAGTTGGCCTAGCCGCAAAGGTCTACTTGGGTCCTCAAGCTGAGCGTAGCTTAGCATCTTTGAGGTGCGAGGTAGGTGGCTTGGCCAGATGTTCCGGAGACGGCTCAAGCCCACGTTTACGGACCATTGGCTCCTTTCAGCTATTCTTAATGAATGAATAGATTATTATTCCCGTACATGCTGTTGAGAAGCGCCGACACTTTTTTCTTTTCTTTTTTAGAGGCCTTCCTTTTTGCGCCTCCATCACCATCTGACACAAACAAACCGCCAGGCTTCCACCAGTCGACGAAAGACATCGCGATGGCCATCGGTGAACATGGATTCTCACGGGCAAAGAATTATGTCTACCCAGAGGCCATGCTTATTTGTCATAACTCTTCCGACAATTCAGCATACCATATCGGTGCGCATGAATTCGACTGCGCTCATTTTGGCCACTGCAGCTGCCCTCGAATGCAAGCTGAGCCCGACATAGCAGGAAGAGGTGTACGACGGAGTCTATCCTTCAATTCCATGCAATTCCACGCCCCTACTAACCAAAGACTCTAAAGGTCATTATAGCTTTCGTCTTTACAGCCTTTTTAACTTTGTTCACGACGGTCTTCTGCCTAATCGTAGGCCGTACGAACGAGAACCGACAAACCATTAACCCAATCGATCGATTTGCCCGTAAATACATCTCGGTCCCTATTCGAAATTTAATTTTCCGTTTACACATGAACCCGAACATTCAGGCCCTCGTCGCCTACGATCTCGTCAATACTCTAAGCGACTTACAATTAGTAACAGGATTGGCCATCCTCACCGGCGGTATGAAGCAGCTCTTTGACGGTACAATCTCGACATACCACTTCATGATTGTCACCGACCTTGCCTGGTTCTGCTCCAACACGCACCTATTCTCGCTCCTAGTAATTACGAGTATGCACAATAGTGTAAAGCGCACACATCCGGAAAGGCATGACCACGAGCACACATCCCTCGCCAAGAGATTGGCAAGGGCGCTGAGAATATGCTTCATGATAGCGACAATTATTTTATTGATGTACGCTCTGTATGTCACGGGATACGAAAATATCTACGAGCCCGGGCAATATCGTTGCCCCATGAAGTGCTCGTTGGGGTTGCCGAAAGGAGGCCATGCGGCGGCGCTGATGACTCTCAACATGGTGATGATGGGATATTTCTACTCTATACAGGTTTTCATGAGCTGGCATACCGGAAGAATATTTTGGATGGACTACATCCGGGGCTTCCTGATCGATAAAAAAAGTCAGCCATTCAATGTGCTGACACCCGAGACGATATTCAGGAAATGGTCGGAGAATAAGCCGCTGACATGGCTCAGGAAGCTCTTCGTGGGGGTCTGGTACATCTTTGCGTCGGAGGTTTGGACTGTCATGGGGCTGTCCGCATACTTTTGCTTTGGACTCTTCTCTATCATCGACGATCGAATAAGGGGACATGCGGAAATGGAGGAAGATGAGAGAGCCGAGGAGAACAACCTGGTATTCAGCCAGCTCGTGCCCATTTTCCTTCTCATCATCCCGTTCATGGGGCTGTTTGAGTCATATGCGCGGCACTGCAAGGCGGATAGGGAACTCAAGTCGATAGAGCCTCTTGGGGCTTGCGACACCTTGACGGGTAAGGCTTCTACGAGGACAGAAATCGGGATGAAGGAATGACGTAGAGTATTACGGTGTAGACGAGGATGAGATGCCAATCACGGGGAATTTCATTACAAGCCGAAGATCGGATCAGTTTGAATTAAAACAATTAGCACCAATGCGCTACTGAACAGTGCGGCGGCGCGCAGGGCGCAGTTCGTCGTGTTTCCTGTCCCAAGTTAATGACGAAAAGTGCCTCTCCCGGCATGACATTTTGTCGAAACATGGAAAACATTGGTCAACATCGACACTTGTCAAACAGTGCCGAGGAGATCACGGCCACATAACCTCCGCTCAATCGCCTCGATCCGTGAATCTGCAAGTAAGACGAGGGAACGCCAAGATCGTCCCTGTCAAGCCCTGTCTTCTACCTGGACTCGGATACAGAGGGGGACAGCGCCTCCTGTTCGCCTAGACAGACGTGCGAGTGTCTCGAACACCCGCCCTAAGACGCAAGACATTTGGGGGAACCATTGAGCTGGATCGCTCACTCGAGTTAACCTTTGGCGCTAATACCCCTTCTACGCTCTCGGCATAGCGGTGGCTGAGCGAGGGGCACTTTTGTGACCTCTAGCATCAAGATGGATGAGATTCGAAACGGTGCCAATGGAGTGGCGGCCACCGTGAACCTGCGCAAAAGGCCTACTGTAACAGAGGCCTTTCTGATTTCTCCTCTACTCCGTACACACGTTACCAATTATCATTCGGAAAGGAAAAAAGAAAATGGAAAAAAAAGTCGGGGTAAGGTGCAGCGAAGGAGCTAGGCAGCCATGAATCTTCACTAAGCGAAATCAGGGGCGGGTTGGTTTGGGACATGAAATGAGCTCCACGATGTAAGTCATAAGCTTGTCTGACACCCATGCGATGTATTCGACATAAGACGATGGAAAAAAACATTCAAAGGGGCCGAATGCCATGAGATATCTGCACTGCATTTCGCTCTCGGACGTCTCTTCGAAGCAGCTGTCGTCATCAACCCCCCCTTGGCCGTGCTTGTTGAATATGCCTCGGAAATATTAAAGCCCCTCGCCCACCCTGGTCGCCGACAATCACTTTCACACAAATTCAGTATCACAAAAACAAAAAAAGGAGGCGAAACAAACCGTTAAACCAGTTCAGAAAAGAAAAATGCGTTCCTCAATTCTCCTCTCAGCCGGTATTGCCGCCACGGCTAACGCCATGCAAATCTTAACTGCGCCAAACGAGCAGATTGGCGGCGCCATCAACCAGCGCCGCGATCTGGCATCGTGCACATCCGTCGCGTCGGCTGTTCTTCCAAGGATCACGGATAATGTTCCCACTGTCCCCGCTGATGTCGCCAACTACCTAGCCTTCTCGGCCACCATCACGGATCCCTGCTCCAACCCGACCATCACCGGCTCCATCGGCTCCGCATACTCTACCTACGCTTCGGCATACACATCATGGAGAGAGGCTCACATTGGCGACTTCCGCGCTCTGTGGCAGGCGTGTAGCGACGTCCAAGGCGTCGCGACCGTTTTGCCCGTTGGAACAGGCCAGTGCAGTTCCCTGGTTGCGGAGATCACGAGTGCCGGACCTGTTGGTGGTGGCTCCGGCGGAGGAAACGGCGTTGGCGGGGGTAACTCCGGCAATGCTGGACCAAGGGAGACGGGTGCCGTTATGGCGGCTGCCGCTGTCGCCGGCTTCGTTGTTGCTGCAATTCACTAAAGGAAGCATGATGTGTGTTGGCAGAGATATACGATGGATATGAACGACATTATACCAGCATGCGTTTTAGTTCCTCATTATGAGTTTTTTAATATACCTACAAATTGTCATGTTCGCTCGATTTAAGTGCTATCTAAGTCTGAAGTTTTCAATGCAGCGAGATTCATATTCACATGGTGATCCACGATTATTCTCTCTTGCTCATAGTATAAAAAGTTGCCTCCGAAGAGTCTCACACATTATCATTACGGCCAAATATCTACAAGAATACATATATCCCATCACAGCAAGATGGCAAAGTTCCATCCCTCCTTCACTTCATGCGAACTCTTCAAATCCCGTTTTAACCAACACCGTAGCTCCATCGTCCCCTGAGTTGTAGTAACGTTGCCCCATCCGGCGGCAGTACATTGTGCCGTCTTGGAGCAGATGTCCATGCATTCGCCCATGCTCTTCGCCAACATGTTGGACATGTCGATCGCCTCCGTCTCGCCAATGTAGTCGATGCCACATACCCGCAGGAACCGCTTATCAGACCCAGTGGGGCTGTACACCGTATTATCCGCGTCGGGACACAGAGCATTAGGCCCAGATGTCGCGGTGGGTGAGGAAGAGGCTGTAGATGAGGTCCTCGTCGACGTGGCGAGTGTAGTCGATGGGCTGGCGCTTCCCGACTGAACTGCGGTTGGACTAGCCATAGGAGTCCCCGAGGCAGCTCCAGGCAAGCCTGAAGTCCGTGTGGGCGTCGCAGAGCTGATTATTATATGTTAGCCAGTTATCACCAAGATCATCAATCGAAAGGCATACCTCGTCCGCGCCGCACCACCGTCCGCCTCGTTCGACTTTGATCCTCCTCCGAGCCCCACACCGACGCCGACACCGACTCCGACACCAAGAACCACGAGGATGATGAGAGCGACGAGCAGCCAAAACACCCACATCCTCAACCCGCAGCATTTCCGTTGCCTCCTCTCCTGGCGCGCCCTCCTTTCCTCATCGTATAGACTCAGACCCCTCTTCCGTGCATATCCGGCGGAGGCGGCAGCGCCCTTTTCATCCGGCGGCGGAGTGCCCTCGCGATAGAATGTGTACTCGTCGCCATTGAGAGGCGTCGGATCGTCGCCGGCCCAGTAGACTGAAGGGATAGAAGCCTTGCCGAAGATGGAGGCCTTGCCACTGCGGACGGTGGGTGCTTTGCGGGGCAACGGGACGCTTCGCTTGGCCTCGATATCGCGGGGGATGACGGGGATGGGCTCGTCGGGCGGCGGAGGGAAATTGTTCATCATCTTAGTCGCCTCTTGCGACCTGTAACTTTTTTTCTTTCTTTTTCTTCCGGGTTGAAGCAAATCGTCGCGGGCTGCAACATATGCTTCTTCTCTTTTTGCTGTCCAGATATCGGTGTTTTCTGCTATGCAACCGCTTCCAGCATCACCATCATCTCGATTTCTTCCGGTGAGAGACGAAACTATCGTGAACGCTTGATGATAACGTGTAAAGATGTGAAATTGAGCGAATGTGATTTAATTGCGACGTCGTCGCGTCTGCCAAGCGAATGTCGATCGTGTTAATCGTATTTGGGGGCCGGAAAAAGCGTATGCGATACGCTGGTTTGTCGCTGCGCTACTTCGTCGCCGCGATTTCAAGTGCTGGGCCGTCCAAATGCGACCGTTCAACGTTCAATACACCAGGCGAAAAGAGTGACGCTGGTGGTGATGATGAGTGAATGAATGAGTGAATGAACGAATGAATGCAAGATGGGAAATGTCCCAAAAGCAATGCAAGCAAGGAAGAAGGGAAACGAGAGAAACGAAAAAGTGGATGATAGAGTTAATCGAAACCCATGATCCCTTCTCAGTTCGGAACTCTCTCCCCCATACCCTGGGCTCTTGTGTCATAATAGACGTCTTAAGAGGTCTGAAAATGGTGTTGCCCCTGTTGTGATAATTTCCCGGGCTTGGGGGATGTGACGAACTAAACCGCTTTGGCACGTCAAAGCAACCTGCACCATGGAACGGCGTTGGGGGTTTGGTAGGGGTCATATCAGGAACGAGACTCGAAGGGAAAAGTTTAGTGACGCATCGATGTGCCTTTTCCCCCTCACTTGAACTTTCATTCTGTTTATCTGTTGTGTTTGAAGGTTGAGGCGGTTATCGACAAAACTTATCAACGGAGTTTACCATGTCTAGGTACATTTAAAAATGGAAAGAAAAAAATAATATTGATATGATCGACGTCGCCAACTAAGACAACGGGATCAGATGGCCTTATCTCCAACTTGCTCTCCTCCACTCAGCGACAGAACCATACCAGCTTCATGCGTGGCTCACCTGTACACCACAATGCGAAGTCACTCGACCCAAACAACCAACCAACTCGCTACCATCCTTCGAACGACACGCTCGGCGGCATGATTTCCATGATAAGAAAAGGCCCGCAGGCGAAAAAAGGCCCTAGCGTACGAAAGGTCTGCAACTAGGCCAAGACCAAGAGGAGCATATGCCCTAGCCACCCAGCCATCCGGCCCTAAAGAAAGACATTGGAGCGGCGCGAAGGAACCCCCCCCTTCTGCAGCCAAACTTGTTACTGGCACCGGAGGTTTTGTAGTCTCTTCAAGGGTGGCTCCCGAGTGGTCCCCCCCTTAGCCATAACATCCGAACATCCAAGGGCGATACTTTCCTCTTTTCTGCTGCACGGAATCTCTCGCCGTGCATCCAGTGGCTGAACACCAAATGTTCTGGGCGGGCAACTGTGCATTCTGCGCATTGCCTCGCCTCGATCGCTTCCGCTTTCCGTCTACGATTGCGCTACATGCCTGCAGATCCCACACAGAACATTGGAAAGGGTGGCGTTGCAAAGAAGAGCCTCAGAGGTATTGTTATCTGGTCATTTGATCCAAGCTGCGGCAGGGTAAGGTGAGAGAGGAGCAGTGTCCAAGGAGAGATCCTACGGGGGTTTTGGTAGGTTCAGGGGACCTTTCGTGCAGTTTAAGGGGGGGATTTAGCTGTCTTATGGTTCGTGCTCAGGGGAAGATGGTCAAACCAGCATAGTTTACGATTCATGAACGGAGACGTTCATCTCAACTTTTCGTCCCAACGGTGTCCCTGTAAGAAGCCCAATATCACCCTCTCAGAGACTCAGGCTGTGGAGCGACAGAGAAAAGACACTGGTTGAGGTTAGGACATTTCAGAAAAACAAGGAAAAACAAGACAAACAATCAAATCAACTGCCTCGCTGACGCCCGATAATCAAACTTCCAAGCCCAAAACAACGGCTTTTCATTTACATTCCATGGTCGGAGCCCACGGCCAGAGAGCCCTTGTCAAAGCCCAGACCACAACACGAAAAAAATATTTTTGGGTGATGGAAAACGGCAGAAGAACGTAAACACGTAAACATAACTTCCAGAACAAAAACCTCGAGCCAAGGGTAAACAACCACTTTGTCCACGGGAAATGAGAGCTGGTCAAACGAGTCTCTAGCGTGTGTTTACCAAGGAACATCTTTGCAAAATGGCGAACTCCCTCACAGCGGCCCGCCACAGGTCCAGGCTGATCGCTGCATGTCGGGCGCAAAATGGGGTGGATCGTCCCCACGATGACCCGGCATTCCGCCCATCGGGCACCAATTACCAACCGTAACACACCCTCTTTGCTTTCATTGCTCTTCGGTTTCTCCCTTGAGAAGCTTCTTTAAACATGCACGACGTCCCGGATATGAGCTGCAGGTTGCATTCACTTCCCGCAGGACCTTTCCTTGTCCATCGTGTTCTTTTGCTGGTTTTTGTCTGAAATCGCAGCCTGTCCTTACAGTACCGCCGTCGTCCACACCACCATCAGAAGCCAGTCTGGAAAGGGTTGAGGCTATTGTCACTGTAACAATACAAAAGAGGAAACTTTGTAGGGAGGGAGGTGTCAAAGTGTTACTCGACCTGAATCTGCGACTGCCAACATGTCCCACCGTCAAACCACGTCCCGGGGCTCACAGCCCTCGCAACTGAAGAGTACTGGACAACCTTCGAGGCCGACTACCTTGGCGGCACCCAAGCCTGTCCGCCCGGTGCAAAATTTACTGCAGCCCCCGGCACAGCAATGCACGGGCCGCCCCAGCCCTCCGGGCTACACGAGCTTCCCTCCGCCTCCGAGCCCGGCTCCGGCCGTCGGCGCTGACGGCCCTTGCCTTCCTCCGACGGTATCATCGGCAAACCCTTCTAAGGGCAGCACCGGCACCGGTCCCCGAATCGGCTTCCGAAGTCCCGGTCCTAATGCCTTGACAAGTTTTCCTCCACCCCCACCAACGCCGCCTCAAAGAGATGCGGCAGGTTACATTTCTGCAGGTGTCGCCCCTCCAACTTCATCCGGTCCTCCCCCAAAATCATTGAAGCCTGCATCATCTACTGTACAGCATCCTTCGAAATCCCACCCAATAGCCGTAACGGCCAAGGTTTTGGCAACACCAGAAAAGCCCAAGAGCTGCTTATCAGTCTCGGAGACTGAGTTGCGGCCGGGCACTATTGCTATTGAAAACCTCGAAGAGAATCTTCATAACCTCCGCTTCGCACCTTCGCCGATACTCTCAACCATCTACTCCGTCCCATCAACCCCCCGCGAAGAGCTTTCAACTCCCGACTTCACTGCCAGCACCACCTCCTGCTTCACTCCTCCTTCCACCAACCCGACCCCCGAACCAATGGTCCTGACTCCCCGCCTACCGCCACCAACTCCAAAGGAACCAGTCACTTCACCAACCCGACCCCGAGCCAACTCCCGCAGAACTACCCCGCCGAGTAGAAAGCGGGGCCGTGGCGTCGTATCTTGCATCGACACCGTCGTGACGTTCCCTACAACATGGTACATCCACTCAGCCGCTCCCAACTTCTACATCTGCTCCCGCTGTTACGAGGACCACCTTTACGGAACACGGTTCGAAAACGATTTCAAGGGAAAGATATACGACGACAAGAAGCCTCGCGTATGCCGGTTCAGCAAACCCAGAGTCAGGGATCATCTTCTCCAGCAGGTCCTTATCACCGGCCGTATCGAAGATTTGATCTCCTTCCTTCGCCATCGCAGCTCAATCCTAGACTGCCGAGGCGTCAACGGTGTCCACGGCTCCGAAGGAACAAAATGGTATCGACCAAAGAACAACGCCGTGCCAAACATGGTAGTCTGCCAGGCCTGCTACGAGGACCACATCCAGCCGTTCCGCTCTGCCGCAAACTTCGAACCGACTTCCGCGCAGCCTGCCAACGATGTCTGGTCGTGCGACCTCGCGATCCCCTACATAAAGAACATGTATAGATTAAAGGCGGCGCAAGACAACGACTGGGCGACTTTCACCACCGAAGCCGTCGCCAGAATGAACATCTCTGCATGTGCGAAGCGTCAAAAAGTCGCCGTAGGCTCGCGAAGGTGGTTTGCCCCGACCACCGGTATGCCTGGCGTTCTCATTTGCGCTGCGTGCTACTGCGACCACGTCGCCTGGTCCGGTGAGGAACACCGCTGGAAAGACGCGGGGGATAACCTAGCCTCGCGGTACGGAAGCATGGTTTACTGCGCCCTGGGTCACTTCAATGTCGGCATCGCCATGTCCCGTGCCCAGGAGACCAAGGACTTTTCTATTTTCTGGAAGGCGCTGGACATTGCTTGTCACGAAGAGTTCTGCGACCCGCAGGGCATCAAAGACGGCTCGTGGTACACTTTTCCTTCGCACCCAGAAGAGTTCGGTATCTGCGCGACGTGCGTGGCCACCATCGCCGAACCGCTCGGGCTCGCGTCATCTCTTGTACGCAAGTGCGGTGTGCCGCCTAGGTCGACTTACCTGTGCTCTTTTAACCCTGCCAGTCCGCGCTTCCTTGCCTACATGACCAAGCTCCTGGAAGGGTTTTATATAGCAGACACAAGGCCTCTAGATTCCTACGCTCTTGAATTCGCCAGTCTCCCCCTCTGCCCTCGGGACGAGGATTTCAAGAATAGGAGATGGTATGGATGGCAGGATTGCACAATCTGCCCCTCTTGTTATCATGAATTTGCCCGCGGTACCGCCCTGGCAGCCTGCATGCCCCTAAAGGGTGAGACTGTTCCCGGAAGCCTCATGTGCGAAATGTACTCTCCGCGTATGCGCTCTCTGTACACCGAAGCCTGTGAGCGGTCCCCTCCCAGTCCGGCCAATCTCCTCAAGGCTTCCAAGGCACGCCGAGCGGTGTACTTTGAGACGGTGCCCGTGATTCGTCAGATGATTCTTGAGGCTCAAGCCGCGCTGGGGCACCAACGGAGAATCAGCTCGGCGAGTCGGGCCATGGGGCAAATTCAGGACATCTCGATGAAGAGCTCTTTCGTGTATGACTTGGCTGGCGCTGGAAATGGATCCGCAAACACTTACGGTATAAAGGGCGCGTTATACGGAACGCAAGCTAGCTCGATTGCGGCTGAGTTTGGGTCTGGGACGCGGACGCTTGTGATGGAGAAGCTGGAGAAGAGATGGAGTGAAGTAGAGTAGGCATTTTCTTGTATTTTCTTTAGAGATACCACTTTCAAATATATATTTTATTACTAGAGGTGGACCGCCCGATGGCCTTGTATTTGACCGTGACCGATTTCCCTTTCATGTTACTTGATTCGTAATTCAGACCTGGAGAAACGGCACAACGGCTGACAATGAAGGGCGTATGGTAAGCACGAGTTGACATGCTTTGTTTAGTATCGTTGAAGATTCTCACCAACTACTGTCGGTATCTTTCATACGCATTACGTAATTATGAGACCAAGTTGTCGCCATTAATAATCATGACGACTCACCACGCCCTTCAATTTATATATTTTACATGAGAACTATTTTGAGACGTTCTTGACAAATATGTAATTATATAAAAGCATGAAAATTGTCAGAGGAAGCCTTGTTTGAAAACACATCAAACCCCAAACAGGAGTCGAACAAGATCTATTTTCGAAAACAGATACAGGCGTCAAAATGTCACAAGTCGATGAAGTAACTCAAAATGGCTGGACAGCCGTACCTGTCGACGCGGCAAAAGTTCTGGATGGACGTCCCTACATCCACAAGCCAGAAACCATGCTCGTTGACGACGTCAAGTTCCCATCAGACGATCCCATTGTTTCCAAAGTTTATGATTACGCCAAACAGAAACTGCCCGGGCAGACGCTCAATCATTCGATGAGAGTCTTCTACTTTGGTGAGATTTCGAGTTGAAGGTCAAATCTATTAATCTATGTGTTTACCTAACTCTCGTCTAGCATCGGTGATCGCGAAGCAGCAGTTCCCTGAACATGCGGCCGCACTATCACCATCCACTCTTGCTCTCGCGAGCTTGCTCCACGACATTGGGACCGCGCAAGAAAACATCGACAAAACAAGAATGTCCTTTGAGTTCTATGGCGGCATCATAGCACTCAACCTCCTTCAAAAAGACTTTGGGGCACCTAAAGACCAGGCCGAGGCTGTTTGCGAGACAATCATTCGACACCAGGATCTCGGCAAAGACGGCACGATAACTTTCCTCGGACAAATCATTCAGCTGGCGACGATTCTCGACAACGTAGGCGAACATCCTGAGATTCCAAACTTTGGGCAAATTATCCATCAATCAACCAGGGAGGATGTGAACAGGCGCTTCCCAAGGAACGGCTGGCTCGGCTGCTTCGTGGACACGATTAGGAAAGAAATTCAGCTGAAGCCATGGTGCCATACCACTCACATCCCCGATTTTGACAAGAAGGTCGAGGGAAACACGTTGATGAGGCCATACGAATAGCTGGCATGCCGCGGACAGTATCCTGTGAACTGGCGGGCCCTTTAACTCTGTAGTTCAATTAAGTATGATGCCGATAATTATAGAAAATCATTTGTTGACTCGTGGGACGTCCGGCGGCATTTTTCCGTCGTCATGGAAGCCTTTTGTGCAGCCATCGCATTTCGCTCCGCCATAGTAGAGTCTGGCTGTGCAGCCGCAATAGCAGGTGCACGAACTTGCTGGAGGGCCCACAGGCTTAGGTTGTGAAGGCATAATGGTTGATAGATGTGTTTTTGTCTTTTGTATAAATATTTGTGGTGGCGAGTGGATTATTGTTTAGCTGTATTGTACTGCGAATGTTATGTTTGGCTGAAGATGTTAAGGCGAGAAGCATTTATAACCAAAGCTAAGGGTTCTAAGATGCGTTTATAAGGCTGTTTTCTGTAGACCGGCTCCCGGATTGTAGTGAGATTTTTATGGCGTTGAAACAGAGCAAATGGGGAGATTATCCTATTGCCGGCGTCGGTGAATACATAGTGCCATAGTCTCGAAAGTGAATCAGCCAGAGCGGAAGGCCGAGACCTGCGTCTTATCCTGGACTAAATCAGATCATATTTTGAAAAAGTCACATTCAACATTGTCAGGTATATTGATAATATTCTTTATTATATGCCAGTGAAACGACGAGGATCTATCGCGAATCACAAAATCTTGGTGCATAACTTGGAAACGACTGTAAATGCTAGGTATCATGACGCCACAACCCTAACCGACCATCAAACCGATATTATCATAGATCAATCAATCATTCATATATCCCATTACAAAAGGAGAGCTCCAACCGCGGCGGCACCGAAAAGACCAAGTCCCTTTGGAGAGACGACAACTGCAGCATTGGGGGTCTGGGAAGGCGAGCTGTTGCCGTTGCCGTTGCCGGAGTTGCTACCGCCCGTGGAGGTGGGGCTGTTGTTGCTTCCGCCGGAGGCGCTACCGGATTGCGTCGGCACTGCCGCACCGGGGGCGCCGGGGGTGATGGTGGTGCTCAACTGCGACGAGGCGGTGGGCCGAGTGGCCTGAACGGTGGGAGTAGAGTAGGATGCGGTGGCAGCGTATGAGGTGCTAGCAAAGCCGCAAGTCCTGAGGATGTCGTTGATGTCTGAGAGGTAATTGTTTAGCATTCAACACAACTCAACAAACAATGGGGCCAATATTAAGGCAACTCACCATCCAGGTCATCGCGGTCGCGGGTGTTCTGGTCCATGCAGCTGGCGCAGAGGGCAGCGTATTGCGAGACGTTGAAGCTGTTGTTGGTGCAGACACACTGGGCCTCGAGACGGTCCTCCGTCAAGTCGTCGCGGATCTGGTCATCATTGACCTCGCATGCGCGGCCAAGATCCGAAATGGGGCGGCAGACGGCGTTGCACTGCGTGGGGATATCCTCGGCGTCCAGCTGAAGGTCAGCCTTGACGAAAGCGGCGGCGGCGACGGAAAGAGCAATGTGAGAGAAGTGCATTTTGGCGGTGTTTTAGTTGTTATTGTCTGTTGTGAGACGCTAAAGTAATGGTAGGTGGGTGTGTGAGTTGTAGATGTTTGATGCAGATTGTGATCCTGAGACTGATGTTGAGAGTACACTTCCAAGATGGGGTGGGATAATGCTTGGTATATAAGCTTATCCAAAGCTGCTAGGAAATGAAGTTATGAAACATATACACGAGAGAAAAAAAAAAGAGAATTCACCCAGAAGACGGCTATGTCTCGGGCAGCGAGCGCACATCACTACTTGGGGGCTTGGGTCTCTTGGCGGTTATTTCCCCATCTTGGCCGATCCAATGTCTCCCACTCAAATTGCAGCTATTCGAAAGTGGATTCCGATGAGCAAAGCCAAGAAATAGACCCAGCTGCCCCAGCCTCAACTGACGACTCAACATCCCGGCTTAATTGCCGGTAGTTTTCGTAGTATAGACCTACTAGACGGTTCTGCTGTGTACAGCGCTAATCAATTACCTAATATGAGCGTTGTTTTTCTGACCTTGTTGGCTTATTAAAAGTCCCCGACAGTGTATGTTCCTTCACCCAGTCCAGCTTGTTGCTCCCCAACAACCCCGAGTCCCCAGGAAAGCTTATTGTGATGAACCCAGGGCCCCCTGTGCAGCAGTGTCCCCCAGTGGGTTCGTGAAGTGTGAGAGACGGTGTGATTCTGTGGTTCGAAACAAATGTGTCGCGTGACCTAGATTGACAGCATAATGACGGATATGACCGCACCTTGAGCCCAATGCCGGATGCCTGCCGGATGCTGCCGGAAGTGAGCCGAGCAGGGCCAAAACAACAGGTGCCGAAATGTAACATTGGATTCATGATATGATAGGAATAGGACATATGATTGTTCTCTACAGCCATGAAAGACTTGGCTGCCAAGATGAAAACCGCGCGTTCACTTCTGCATCGCCATTGGGGAAAAAGCAAAAATGCACAGCGGAGTAAGGGAAAGCATGTTCTGCGTTTGTCAATCCGAATCATAGTGAAGAAAAGAAAACTTTTTTTTTTTTTTTTGGGTTTGGCCATTACTTGAGATGACAATCTCTCGCCCCCAGCATATCCCCGCCAAGGCCGGCAGAGCCACGGTGACACGCATGCCTCTCCTTGTCCTGCAGGCGAGCTGCATCTGATGTACTGCTGCCCAGCGGCTAGCCGTTTGTTCACTTAACCATTCAATTGCTTCCAATAACATCAGATTATGAGCTATACTGTTTCACATTGCCCCTTGGCGAGTGGCCGCGGAAAAGGAGACATCCGTAGTTGGTGCTCTGCCCAAAACCTAGTAGGGAACTCCCTGCAACTAGTGCCCCGGATGACGCCGGCCTACGGAAGATCGACGCTGTTTCTTGCCTTCAAGACATCAACAAATCAGCGCGAAGTCATAATGCACCACGTAGCTGTTGTTCTCCGCTGAGTCGCTTCACTACCTGCCGTGGTACTACAGTATGCCCGTCAACTCCACATACTTTTACGCTCGAACACGCTGGGGATTAATGTTATGGTGGGGCAGCGGGTTGCTCCTCTAAACCCTCAGCTTTACCAGGGATAAGAAGCTTGATGGAGATGACAATTCTATTTTAAGGCCTCTCGACGCACACTGAAGCTGGGCGCACCTAAATATGCACCACCACATGACCCACAAAGAACAACCTCAACGAATTGATTTTGAACAGGCCCAGGAGAAACAAAATTCTGGAAGTTCTAAGCATGAGAACCTCCGGACCTCGACGGCGCGTTGCGAGATTCGCCGATCGAGTTGCTGCAGTCTTGCTGATCTCTCCACAAGGCAACGCAACTTGCCAAGCTTTCGAGCATCGCCTCGGAGAAAAACGGTCACTGTACGCGCAATGATTGATGACACATGATCTGGATGTCATCAAAACATCTGGTTTTTCCGTAATTTGAAGCTATTCTTAGGAAGCTCATCACCAATTGAGCGGCAGTGTGCAGCTCAATGATTGTGGCGATACTAATCTTCCCCTCAAATAACGGATCCCTCAGAGTTTTCAATTTTTCCATGACTCACGGGCAATTTTACATGAGGACTTTACCATAGTTTGGTGAAAATGGTGAGGCTGGGTTCTATTTTGAGCTGTGTAGACGGGAGAGGGCGATCAAGGGAGCTCACATCGCGAGCTCAAAATGTGATTTTTCCATAGAGCACATTTGTCATCTAATCCCCTAACAAGACGTAGAGAGAGAAACATCAACCGATTAGCAGAAGATAGTTACTTGGTTTGAGCTAAACTAACTTCAACATCTCTGGCGTGGGAAATCACAGCAAGTAATGGAGTGGAGTGGAGAGATAAAATCGAAACAAACGAGCCCTTATCCTTGAAAACAAAGGTTGAACTCGCAATTTGAAATTCACACGATCGAATCAGAATGCGCACCTAGCTGATGTGTCGGGAGTTTAAATACCACTGTATACTTAAGTTTAGCGATGAGAGACCTTACCACATCTCATGTACAGCGGAATAGATTGTTGGTCATCAGACTTTTCGTACTATGGCTTACAGGATACTGATCAAACAAAGGTTAGATCTGTATTGATATCATTGTCTTCGACAGAAAGTTTGTCAATTTAGCTTACCAACTTAGCTGTAGGGGAGATGAAGGGTTATGCGGCCTGATACACGAGGAGTTTACATGTAAATTTTGACAAGAAATAAATAAACGTAGCCTACATGTAGCTTCCTCAAGTACCTAGGTGGTTTACCCAGTTCTAAGATGGCATAACATGCTCATATTGGCCCGAGCCTAACTAGATGTTAAAGCCTCTGTGCATCAGGATCTAAAATGAAAATGCTAGTACACAACGGCAACCGTGATCTAAGTAGTGAACATTAAGATAGCCACCGTAAGACATTGAGCACCAGCATAAGTCTTAAGAGGGCCTAGGATCATCAATATGAGGCTTCATCCTGTGATGTCAAGGAAGTTGGTGACACAGATGGGATTGGCGTGGTTTTGGACTGTTATGAGCTTTTGTGGCCGGTGTCAGTCGTGGGTTGCGGGTTGAATCACTCAATGTTTGTGAGTATATGATGAGATTAAGGATGTCCTGAAGGAGAGAAATTCAACACTATTCCTCTTTCAAGTTATGATTAAGAGCCAAGTTTGTGGCGATTATGTGTTGAGCTTTCGTGGTTCAGATGCTCTTGCTAAAAATCCATATCCATAACAGACAGTGACATCCACATCTTTCGGTCACGGCTGGAAGTAAACGATTAGACCTAATTTATGTGATTCAAAGGTTCAAAGAAATATCAACGAGCATTAAATACATTAGCTACCTATAAATTTTAAGAATGCGTTGAAATCAATTCACTAGCATTTTAAAAATGAAAATCAGAAAGAGTGCTCTTCAACATGCCGATAAGTAGGATAACTTGAAATTTCAACCAAATAAGTAAATAAAGCCCTTGTAGTCAAGTCATTAACATCAAACATTTGAACCATGGCCGAGAGACGCCTGGAGGCTCTTAAACACTTGATTTTAACCATGATATCTGTTTCCTACTTCTCAGAATGACAGTTGTAAATTGCGAGGCTCCCTTCTATTTGGGCCCCTCATCTCAACACGAACCACAAGTCAGTGTTGCTACATGTACAACCTGCTGTATTGTTGAATGTGACAAGTTACTACGCTTGAGATGAAGGACAGCACTCATGCTGCGGTCGATACCGCCAGTCTCGCTAATGCGAGACACTTTCTTTCTGAACAAAACCCCTTGAGGGGGCCTGATTTGATCGGTAAGCTACGTTGGGCGAGCACCCGTGTATGTAAAGGAGTCGATGATTGACCAGCAACCGCGCATGAGGCCCCCACGTCTCTTCACGTGAGCAACATTCTCTGCGGCGGGATGACCTACAGTCACCAGTTGCTTGCCATGTGATTTGAATGCATGTGCCTTGCCCCTGAATTGCTGAATAGCGAGAAACGAAATGACCTGTGCGAAGTGAATGGGAGTGAGCTCTTACTATTCGTTGGCCTCAAACTGGACGCAGACCATACAAAGAGGTGATGGTTGCGCAACGCGCGGGGATGATGGTGTGAAATTCCAAGGTTGATTTTTGCACAATGAAATTCAGGCCGTGACCCTTTGCCTTACGGTTGCCTATACCCGTCATCTCTATCCCTGGCATAGAGAGGAGCAGAGAGGCAAAGTGTGTGGGTTGCATGCGCCTCGTACAAAGCCACCCATTGAAGAGAATGGTTTGAGGGGTTGGGATAGATAGAACTTGCAGGGTTCTCGAAGAAGAGTCTACTTGTTGGCCGGCTGAATCCTCCGAATGCAGGCAAAGCTGATCAGCAGAAATGACGCTAAATGTCGGAGGTTAAAAAGTCGTGGGGGTCACAGTTTGCGGACCTCCTGGATGCCATACGCGATTGTTACCTAACGAAGAAGCAAGCACACATACAAACCGGTAGGCGAAACGCAATGAAGAAGCAGGGCATTGATAAGACGCCACTGATTTGAAGAATTATTGTTAGCAGCATTGGGTCGCTGTCTCGTATTTACTTCTGGCCCAAGGTAGCCTCCGCGGTTTTGAAGCTTCTTCTATGGGTGTTGATTATACCTCAATTTGGCCACCACTTCAACCTGCAGGAGGCCAGAGCGTCGCACCTTGTAACATGCCATGTTGTGCGGTATCGGCTCACCAATAACTTGGCAACCCTCCATTCAGCCCCAATCTCATCACGTACAGGTAACACACGCATGTCCATCATCTACTATTATGCATCCCACCATCTGGTCGAAAACGGCAGGTTCAGGGCTGGAGGGGGGTAGTTACCCCCACGCCGGGCAGCCGCCTATCTGTGTGATGCGCCAAGTTTGGCAAAGCCTCATTTTGAACATCGTAGCTCCTGTTGAGGAGTTCATAAAGACAATGATACTCCGAAATCGAACTCGTTTGGTGACTGGCCGTCTGTTGTGAGCATCTGAGAGGCCTCGCGTTTCTTCCGTCTTTCTTGGCTTCCTCTTACAGTCATCATTACCAACCATTCATCTCACATACGGCGACTTTCGTATATAAAAGACCACAATCCTCAAACACAAGGGCATCTTCCTAAACATCTTTCCTACCTAACCCTGCCATAAGACGACCATCATCTACCTTAGTCTCCTATCACATCTGCTGACCATACAAGAATGCCAGCAACCAATATGACTACCCCTCCGCATGCCGAATCTTCTTACGGAGTGCCAAAGGCACCCCATGTTAGGCTACCCGACGGAGTCTACGTCCCTACTCTGGCGTTCTTCACGGACGACGAGAAGGTTGACACCAGCACACTCGAGCACCATCTTGTTCGACTGATCAATGCTGGGGTTGCGGGCATTGTCGTTCATGGCTCGAACGGCGAGGCAGTACACCTTACAAGGGAGGAACGCAGCTTGATGATCCGATGTGCGGCCGACACTATCCTCCAAGAAGGTCACCATGTCCGAATCCCGCTGATTGCTGGGTGTGGTGCTCAGTCGACCCACGAAACGCTCCAGCTGTGTAAGGACGCTGCCAGAAGTGGCGCGTCTCATGTGCTTTTGCTGCCACCCAGCTACTACGGCGCGCTTCTCGATGACGAAAAGATTATCCAGCACTTCTATGAGGTCGCTAACCAATCGCCTATTCCCATACTCATCTACAACTTCCCGGCCGCAGCCTCGGGGCGCGATCTCACCTCGGATGCCATCATTAGAATCGCTCAGCATCCGAACGTGGTCGGTGTGAAGCTAACCTGTGGCAACACAGGAAAACTCGCGCGCGTGGCCGATGACGCGCCCGAAGGCTTCTTCGTCGCAGGAGGCAGCGCCGACTTCATCCTGCAGGGTCAGGTTGTAGGCGCCAACGGCACCATCTCAGGGCTGGCCAACATTGCCCCGCGGGCATGCGTGCGTATCATGGAGTTGGCAGCGAAGACCGAGCTCGCCGAGGCGCGGCGACTACAAGCCATTGTGGCGAGGGGGGACTGGATCGCCATAAAAACAGGCTTCGTGGGCGTAAAGGCGGCGATCGGGCACTTTGAGAGGTACGGGGGCGCGCCACGGAAGCCCTGCGTCAGGCCCTCACCGGAGGAGCTGAAAATTATCGTGGATGGACTGAGTCAGCTGCATCAAGTAGAAATGGAATTGGAAGAAGAGGCGAGGGCTTCTGGCGGCGCCCTGTGATTGATGGATTGACACTTCGACTATATTATCCGGCGCGGCGGAGGCGACCATTTTGCATGAGGTGGCGTTGTATGGCTGCGAACCTGAAGGGGGGGTTGAAAAGGAGGGGGTGGAGGAGGCATGTTATGATTAATGGGATGTGTTAGTGACAATATCATTCTGCCAGAGGGTGTGGACATGGAGCAACAATGTTTGATGGGGAAGACTTATGAGGGGCCAACTATGACATGAAGGATGAGTTGATTATTACAGAAGGATGGATGAGCGAACACTAGGAGGGAGAGGTGTCTACCAGGGTAAGGTGGTGGATGAGCGAGGGGTCTGCTCGAAGCAATGGAGTAGAAGCGTGGATCGTATAGCAGCAAGAAGATTCCCAAAGGAAATCTAGTTTGGTGCTGCTACTTTGGCAACCATAGTCCGGTGACTGGATGGCTGGACTAGCAGAGCGCGGCACTCTCTTTCAGCTTCCTGATTGCGCAGTAGAATACATGTATTGTGGCAAGTTGGCAGAGTTGGTGTGTAGAAAATGTCTTGGGTTTTATTCGGACAGAGCCTTGCCAAAATGCAACGGCCTAGTATGTTTTGATTTCAAAAGTGATGATTTTTGTGTTATTGGAATGCCGATTATTTCCAGTCCGGAACTGCCTGTCAGATGCATGAAATGCCATTAGTTCTTCTTAGGACTCACATCTATGGTAACATGATAATGCTCATGAATAATAACAAATTGCAACGTATCAATTGACAAGAACTTCACCGTTACATCTGCATTTGACTGCCCCCACGTTCAGCATGCTGCCTTAAGTGATTATGGCCATGTAGGTAGCTGACAGATCATCTAGGACGGACTGATTTCCCAGTTCCTCCGCGTATTTGACTACTAACGGACAGCAATTATGGTGAAAAAGGAAGATGGAACTTACCGTTGCGGACAATAATCGGACTAATGTATCCCACATTCCAATCAGTACAATTGCCACCCTCTGAGAAATACTGGATGAAGTTGAGGTGTCTGACAGATGCCCAAATTTAAGGGACTCGCTTCAGGGTGTTTCTGTAGTTGATTAACAGCAGGCTTCACCGGTTACGTCCATCCCCCAGAAAGCAAATAAAGGCTACTCAATTTATTTTCTTCAGTGAAAGACTCCCCATAGCACATCTAGAATAATGCGGGGAGGAACATTACATAGTACAGAACCAGTCTTCGGGTCTGTTTAGACCGAAGGAGGCCACACTCCCAGAATACTAATGCGTTGAAGTAGTGCGGCCTTGTGGCAAGCAAGGTACCATGCCAGACTTTGTGTGTTAGCGGTCGAGGCAGTGCGCCCGCATTACCCTACTTAGCGTCCGAACACTCACTGACGGACGTGAAGATCAGCGCATGTTGGGGATGCCACGAACTAGGGGGTACTTATGCACCCCGCATTTCTGGGGGAAATCATACCGCCTTCGGTAGGAGCTAGGGCTATGGTCGTGTAGGATGTTGCACAGAGTTGCCAGCTCAGTACGTGGCACGACAGCGGCTAACTAAAGTAAACTGTAATTCGCCCTCCTAGCAGCACCACGGCGATCTGCAGCTTGATGCTGGACGTAAGCTATCAGAGTCAACCCTTAGAGTGCTACCCTCATTTTATGTTTTGTTCGTCATTCTGATATCGACCATCAGTCCAGTTTCTGCTTATTATATGATAAGAAAGTGTCTGCCCTGACATTTATGTACAGTACGTGTTTTTAGTTGAAACTTGTTTCTACTGAGGCGTCACTTGACTGGCAATATTCAAACTACTAAACTTCTTCTCCCCAATATGCTTCGTCTCGGTGAGGCGGCTAATGGCGAACATCTTTCAACCTGTGAGTATGATCGATTACCTGGAGGACAGCTGTAGCGGGAGTTTAGATAAGGAAGGGACAATCATGTCATCTGAGAAATCTCTTAGTATTCACGGTTAGCTAACAAGGCTGCCCCTAGAGCCTCACAACAGAAAGCTGTCAACCTATAATTAACTACTAGGTAAGTAGGGTAAGTATCACCAGACGAGCCAAGTCTCCATACAAAGCTCAGTTGCATCGCAGACCAAGGCGGGTTAACCATATCTGTGATACCCGCCCACTATGCAGTCCTCGGGACGATGTTGTACAGCCGAATGATACAACATGCCCAGCTGAATGATAAAAAGGCTGGGCAGACATAGGGCAGGTGACGTGTCGCATGCTTGGCTTGTAGATAGAAAACAAACTTACCATGTACGCTTAGGACACGTTACGCTCGTGAGGAAGAGGCAGTTCGTATAGGCAAGAAAGGAAATCGGCGGGACGTTGCACCACATGTGGCTCTTCTAGGTCTTAGCAGCTGCTACTGAACGAGCTGTCGAACAGGATTTTGGGAAATGTAGGAATTGATACAATGTCTTCCAAGATGACAGGAAGTCTTCGCTGCTTAAAGGGTTAATGTAGCCTACAGTGAGACGGATAGCTGCATATGAACCTCGGGAGCTACCTCAAAACTACAAGTACACCAATGCCATAGAATGCATCTTAGGTGGCCCTGTAATGTATAGCTCCTCAAGAGGTAAAAGTACGAGAAGCTATGGAGAAGGTATAAGAACTTAGGCAAGGGCTGTTGTACGTGGCCGTACAAAAAGTAGATTTGCTAGGGAATAAGCATATCAAGTAGAAGTAACCATCAAGGATGACAAGATCTCCTAGAATGCTAAAGTCGAACGTGGCAAGTGTCTTATGAATAAGCTTCAAATAATAGGTGCTTAATTCACGATGCGTATATGCTTGAGGTAAATCTACTTGCATGTCCCTAATCTGGTAAGTATGATTCATTTTAGTCTCAGATTCGAGCTGTAGACCTTGGCGGATAAGGCTGATCTGGATATCGGCATCTGCCAAAGGGCCACAAGTTATAGTTGGTGACCCAATTAGAGCTTTTTTTGTGAACCAAACAAGGACTGGGGTCTTTCAGTTTCGGGTAGTGTCTTCGTTGCCCTAGCGGCTGGAAGCGACTGACTGGCATGAAATCAAACCAGAAACTGTCTAGGCATAGCCTTGCAGTCCCACTCTGACTGGAGCTTGGTGACAGAAGCTGGACATAGGGCTCGGAATGCCGGTGTACTACCAAGCCAGTATAGTACATCGCCGCAGTCAGGTCATCGATGACAAGTTAACCAGACCTATCAACTACAGTCAGCTTTCCAAATACTAGTTTAGTTGCTATGCCAAAAGCCATGTCTGAAGTCAAGTTGTCCTCTAGAGTCTGGCTTTTGTCCCATCGTTAGCGGTGATGATACCTGTTAGCATGAGTCCAAGGCTCTAAATCTCACTCTAAATGATGATTCAGAATCCAACACTGTGTTGGATGGATGGTGTGTCAGGCTGAGAGAAGCGTTTAGTATGCCAAGAAAGCTGAACGACCTCGAGTGGCCTGATTTCATTACAAGGAAGTATTATTCGGGACCCTCCACATCTTCGGCTTTGCTTGAATACGTACATACCGTCTGTTCATTGACTTGGCCATTTATTAACCCAAGACAACAGAGAACATGCGCATAGATATTGGCTACTCACTTGCCGTTAGCCTGATGTCGTGAACACATCGTTCAGCAAGGCGTATAGTAGACCAAATGGGATTTCCCATCTCAGGGCTCAAAGGTTTTAGAGCATCCCTGAAATAATTCATTCTTGATTGAGAACAAAAGTTGTACGCCTAGAACCATATGCTGCTTTGTATATAAAGGGGCCATAAGTTCCCAACTTTGATTCCTGATTCTGCACAAGCGCCTTTTCAAAACACATCTAGCTTTTGATATCATACACGCTTCTCAGAACTTGCTGTAAAAACCACCAAAACACCAAACTAGAATCACGATGCAGACCAAAACCCTCTTAGTCTTTTTAGGGCTTTGTGCCAAGCTGGTCAGCGCCTTTATTATCGCCACACAAATGTTAGTTTCGATGCTAATACTGCGTTTTACTTTAGATTCTTGCTCGCGTCTTCGTTGACACGGTCACCGAAAACGCCCTCGACGGCGAGGACAATGACCTGTCTTGGGAACTCGAAACCGGTCCTGGGGGTCCAGTCATTTCCTTCAACGGTACTATCGAGAAGCTCTACGAACACGTTGACCACGAATTCCACGACTATCTTGGTAAAGTCTTCGACCTCAAAGTTCTTTCTGAGCCGCTCGAGCAGCGGGACGAAGAGCATTCATCTATGGAAAAACGAACTGACTTCAGCCGCGCCTCTTACTCCTGCTATGATGCGCCTATCCGGGCCAGCTCTCAGCGCATCACTGAGGGAATCAGGTATCTACGAGCTGTGAAGGGACGCCCCCGTGCAGGCCCGAACCAGAAGGGCCGTGTAAGCTGTTCTTACGGCGCTGGAATTTGGTGGGTTAATCGCGTAAGTAACACTCTTGATAGACCTTTTCCACATAATTCAGAGGTTTCTTCCCTCATGACATACTCACTCGCCCCATAGGCCTCTACCACGAAGACTTTGGCCTCCTTTGGCTCCATTGCGGATGGTGCCCAGCACCTCATGAATAGGTGCAGATTTGGCGCATCTGTTGGCGGCATTACTACCCACCCGACGCGCTGGGAAGTCCAGGTTTATCGGACCTCGTGTTGATCTGGAATTTGCGCGGAAGACATTAAAATGTGGTGTTATATTGCAAAGCGTGGTCTTCTTCCTTCGCTCTTCAATGCCATGTCACTTGGATAGATAGACTCGAACACGTCAATACTTTGCGATACAATTGACACGCTGTTTCCGCTATTATTAGTCGTGACGTTCTCTTTTTCTTGGTGACAATCGATTGCTGTGATTTGGCTTACTGGCACACGTGAGACTATTTATGAGGCTGTTGCAAGGAATTCTCAAGATGTGCACTTCAGGCAGCTCACCTGTCGTGTAACGCAATGGTTGGCTGAGATGTCGCATCTGCCGCAGTGAGATATTGCACAGCCCCCACCACACTGTTGGGCATTTTCATGGGCAAACCCGTCAGCTTCTAAAAAGCATCCCCCACGCCGTACTAACCATCTTTCCCACACATCGCGCAAATCAGCAACACCCCCAATGAGCCATTATGGCGGGCACATACGATCCGATGCAACAGGCGTTCGAAAGCGCGATGCGAGAGTTTAAGGCTAGCCTGAAGAACGAATCACTCTATCGCCAAATACTCGAGACAACTAGCATCGAGCAGGTGTATGATGCCACGGACAAAATTCAGAAGGAGCAGGCGAAGACGGGCCATCTCCGCCACCTATCCAAGATTGAAATCTATCTGAACCGACTTAGGGAGTACACTGGTGCAGTGGATACTTTTGTCCAGGTAAAACCAGACATACTGGCACTCATCTGGGGCCCGATCAAATTGATCCTTCAGTGGGCGAACGTGTTGAAACAATCATTCGACGCCATCGTCAACACTCTCGAGGAAATTGGTTATTTGTTACCCGAATTCACCGAGATCAAGAGAATTTTCGGAGAAAATGTCAGGATCAATGAACTTCTTGTTCTCTTTTTCAAAGACATTCTTGACTTCTACCTGATCACTCTGCAGTTTTTCGGGTCATCACGTACGTCCCTTCGTTACCGCCTGCAGGAAAGAAATTAACTAAAGGCTATCAAACTTGAACAGGACTGAAGTTCGTCTTCGAAATGCTTTGGCCAAGCCGCCGTGAAAAAATCAAAATGGTGGGCGAGCTTATCAAGCGTCACACGCTTCTCATGCGCAGTGAGGTCCGGCTGGAAGAGATTCGCGAGGCACATGATGCCAGGCGCCGAGAGTTGGAGAATTTTCGGTTGAATGAGAGCGCTCTCACAGACCGAGAGTACGCCAGTATCCGGGCAAACACCTCGCCTAAAATTTACGACAAAGATTTATATCGGTTGCATGGTAACGTTTGCGAAGGGACAGGAAAGTGGTTGTTTCGAGACAAAACGTTCCAAAACTGGATGGACTCCTCGATTTCCACACCAAAAATTATGTGGTTTAAAGGGATCCCAGGATCAGGTAAGCACACATCATACTTTTGCCATCACTCTTTAACAGAGAGCAAACTCAGGAAAGACACATCTTGCTGCATCGGTCGTCAACTATGTCAAGTCACTTAATCATAACGCATCGAAACGGAGCGCAACCTTGTTTGCCTTCCTCAGTTATAAAGAATCCCATACAACAGCGCTCTCCATCATGCACTCTTTAATGTTCCAGCTCACTGACGACTCTAAGACTCTTCAAGCAGCATTATGTCAATCTGCCAAGGAAAACATGCGAAGCAGCCTTGATGTTGCGGTAGATCTCCTTGAGTCGCTGCTCAAATGCGCCGGATTGGTTTACATAGTTGTTGACGGCATTGACGAGATTGAGGATATGGAGCGTTTCAGACTACTGAAACATTTACTACAGCTTTCCAAAAATTGCGACGAATGTCGAATTCTCCTCAGCAGCAGGTCAGAATCTGATATAACGGCCATTCTTCGAGATAACACTGCCAGTATTGAAATACACAATAGGAACTCTGGGAGTATCCAAGCTTACGTAAAGCACCGTATAGCGCAGTGGTTTCAAGAGAAGTCCTTCGTTCCTGAATTCCAAGCCGAGATCGAAGGCTCACTAGCGTCACTCGCACATACTGCGAAAGGTATGTCGTTGCTCCTGCCATGTATATGGCGCTGACCATCTGGACGAAAGGGATGTTCCTATATGCACGAGTAATCTTCGTTATTATTTGGGAGATTGATAGCGCGGATGAGCTTCGTAATTTACTTAATTGCCCTCCAGTCTCGCTGAATGATGCGTACGATTAGCCATGAACCATAAGTGTATCCACGCTAATTGACATCCCAGATACGAAAGAATTTTTAGCAAAGTGAACCAATCAACAAACGCGTCGTTAAAGGATAAAGCCCGGAAAATTCTAGGATGGGTAGGCTGCGCTCCATCCCCTCTTACCAGGCGGGAGATTGAACAAGCTCTACTCGTAAATCCGAAAGACACCGATGGAGATGCTAAAGTGGTCTCTGTCCTCGATGTTGTTCGGGTTTGTGGGCCGATCGTAGAAGTGGTGGATGACCACGTCCAGTTTGTACACTTTACTGCCAAGGAGTAGGTTTTTATTTTCTAGTTCAACAGTTTTCATCGATCGGCTAACTTTACATAGATACATCTTTCATAACCAAACATCCGGTTACATTGCACTCTCAGATGCAACGCTGAGTTTGACCATCTGCTGCATTACATACCTTTGCCAAGGGCACCATGATCTTGAGTTGTTGGAGGAGGATATCAGTTCAAATCTCGTCTCAGGAGCCTACAGATTCCATGATTTCGCATCCCTGTTCTGGTTCGAGTTGCTCAAGCAGTTTCTGGTTTTGAAAAAAGCCAAAGAGCTGCCGAGGGACCTCGAGGACGGCTTGGAGCGTCTTCATAGCGAACGATCTGCGTGGACATATGAGACCAGCACCGAAAATGGTCATCATATAGAAACGATGTTTGACTTCCTTGGACCCAAGCAGACTCACTTACAGCAAATGTTGAAGAACGTTTCTGGGTTCCAGAAGACATCTTCTAATGCTGAATATCATCTCGGAAAAGGTACGTAAGATTGATTTTTTTCGCAAAGAAAGTTTGTATCGACGTGCACTGACTACGGACGGCAGAGGCACGCTGGATACACTTAGATCCATTAACCATTTCTCTCATCTCAGTCTCTATATATAATCAACTGGATCGACTTCTCTGCCCAACAACGCAACACGAACGTAGCTGTGCTTGTTCAGCCATACAGCACCACTACGGGTCGAGAGCTTTCAAATGCGGCTTCTTGCGCTGCCAGTCACGTCGCCATGGATTTGAGGCAAGGTCTGACCGAAAGTCTCACGAAAAGCATCACGAACAGCCGTGGAAATGTGACGTTCCTGGGTGTGAATACTCGAGCACGGGATTTCTGACGCGTAAATGGAGAGATTGCCATCTACAAAGCGACCACCAGCCGGAACAGCAAGCAAAAGCCAGCGTGATTAACGAACCAGACGAAGATGAAATCCAGCCCCTCTTGTTTGATCTTATTGGGACTGGCAATGTGGAGTTAATCAGAGCGCTCTTACCTCGTTTTGGGAACCTTCCAGACGCAGTGAAAGAAGAGCTGTCCATCCAGGCAGCTGCGTTAGGATCATCGGCAATGCTAGACGTCATTCAGCCTAACCTGCTGAAAATGGGATACCGCGACGGCGTTAAGTACCGGGATTTTCACCTAAAATTGTGCACCACAGCTATAAAAGGGAAAAATGTCGACACATCAAAATGGCTGATTGATAAAATGAGTGGCATGAAAATTAACAAATTTAATGTTAGGGACTTAATTTCTGGCACTCTTGTTGCTATAATAACTTCTGAATCGAGGGAAATGCTTGACTTATGGAAAGCAACTATCCTATCGATTTGTATCAATGGCTTTGAGGGTATGAAAATGGACATGGGAGATTATATGGAAAGATTGGTGAAAAAGAGCATTTTTGCTGCAACCGCAAATAAAGAGGAAAGAGAGTGCTTGCTCCTGTTATTTTGGTCAGAAATGAGAATCCTGGAAAGGTTAGACAGAAAGATATTGGGAGACGGCTTGGTGCATGTCGCAAGCACGACATGCTCTATAAATCTGGCACGAACACTCTTGAACGCTGGAGCGGAAGTTGACTGGAGACGGAGCGACAAATACCAAACGCCTTTACATTGTGCGGCAAGGAAGACAACAGAAGAGGCTGCCAAACTTATGGAACTCCTCCTTTATCATGGTGCCGATCCCGCCACTTCTTCCAAGAATCGGAAGTTGGAAGATGAAGACGGAACTTCACAGATTTCAAAGTGGCTCGGCGTCTCGTGGGATGAACTAGTGGAGAAGACAAAATCCAAGCGAGAGACTAAGGGAGGTTGATGCACCAGCTGAAGGAGGCCAGATACTAGATAGCAATTGTCTAGTTGGTGTCAAATCAAACAACCTCAGTGCATCGATTCAGGTGTTTGTTTCAAAGTGGCTATAGCAGGTATCTCACGATAATGAAGTGTACATGAATACAATAATGTCAGGTTTCTAAGACTAGTCGTATCAATCACGAATTATCCGGCCTCCCAAGGAAAAGCTTCAGCTTCTAAAAACATTTAGTTTCATTCTTGGAACATGAGTTTCGAATGATGAGTCTTACCTTCCATCTTTCTGCATCTATCTCCTTTTGGCAAATGTCCGAGTTCAGAGACTGTGCTACAAGCCTAAGTTTGTCTTCCTGAATCCATCGGACGTACTGATTGGGCTTGGTTAACAAGAAAAGAATAGCTTATTGTGTGAAAGGTTTGGGAGCTTCTGGAAACTTTACCTCCTCCACTGAATTCCGAGTCACGTATTTGGTGGCGACAACGGAATACGGTTGTCCGATTCTGTGCACACGGGCAATTGCTTGCGCTTCCACCATGGGGTTCCAGTGTGGCTCAATAACATGTACGAAGTTTGCCGCTGTTAGATCGATGCTGATTTTGTTTCATTACCGAAGTGTGGTGACGAGTCAGCTGATTTAACTTACCCTTCACCCGCGCTACTGATAGTTGCAAGCATCACCGTACAGCTCGGATCTTCAGCAAATTGAAGAATCGCAGTGGCTCTATCTCGAAGGTTCATTCGACCGTCGACTCTCTGGCAGGAATAACCCTGAGAGTGTAATGCTTTCTCGATAAGATCAAGCATCTTGGTCCAGTAGCTGAAAACAACGCTGTATGTATAAAAGATTAGAGCAAAGGCGCAGATGAGGCGGTAAATGTTATTCAACGTACCTTTTGACCGGAGGTTCTCTTAATCTCTCCCTGTTAGCCGCTTGTTCTATATGCAGATTTCGTAGCAAAGACTCTATCTTGCTAGAAGATGGACTATTCATCTCAAAGTCACATGACGTAATGTCATCAGGTGCTGTTTTGACTCCTGCAGAACATTCCGGGCATGAAAAATCCATTTTCGGGTCGTTATCTTCTCTTTTCAGTGAACACGATGCGCAGATGGGGTGCCCGCACCCCATTGTAGGTTCTAACGATTCTTCCAAGGATTCTTCGAGACCTGCCTGACATATGACGCAAGCCTTCCTAGATGATTCCATCTATCTCCAATTGACAGCATCAAGTTTTTTTGACCTCCATGCGCTCATTGCTGAGGAAGGCAGCAAGCTTTCATTGTTGCATATGACTCGAAGCAAGTTGATGAGTGATAACATGTTCCCGTCTTTTTGCTGTGAATTTGGGTATTTGATGAGTTCATGCTGCCAGAAACCAGCAGCCACTGTGGCTGTTTGCTGCCTGAAAAATTCATATAGCTCGCGCTCAGGCTTGCTTAATTCAACATGCTCGATCTTTTCGTCAAGAGGCGGAAGCTTGAGGTCCGTCAGTTGCTTCGTTCGACGCAAACTGGTACTTCGTACAAGTAGCTGAAGTTTCTTCCAGCTGTCTCGTTGTTCTTCTTTGATTGGATTTGCAATCCAGAAAGCAAACTGAGATTTATCGATAAAGGGTGCTACTCCTACAAAGCTCAGTAATGCACCGTAATTGTCGAGTGAATTGTGAATGGGGGTTCCCGTGAGACACCAGCGTCTGAGAGCCTGAATCCCACATGCTGCTTGAAATTTCATGGTAGACCGATTTCCAATATGATGAGCTGCATTTGCCAAAGGGTTAGGTACATATTTCCGACATTGAATATGCAAGATGTTGAACTTACCTTCATCAAGTACGACACGAAACCAATTCTCAGTATAGAGAGGCCCCTTCTCAGGAAATTCGGACCTCAATGTTTCATACGTGGTTAAGATAATATCGTTTTTTCGAAAACTAGACGCCACAGCTTGTCGGTCAGGGCCATGATAGATGGTGACTCGAATTTGACCCGGAAGAATATGCCTAAGACGTCTCTTAGATAGCTTGAAACCTTCAATGGGCATGAGACATACTTTCTAATCTGTTCAATCCATCCATGTATTGCTAAGATTTATTAGAACTGACGCCCTTAGAGTTCGTCACGGCAGACAAAAAACATACTCGACTTTGGTGTCACAATTAGCGTTGAAGATTGTTTGCTGCTTTCGGTAATCATATTGTCTTGTAGCACATCAATGGACCAACAAATGAGCGCAAGAGTACTCAGTGTCTTCCCAAGGCCCATTTCCTATGGCGATGTCATTGTCTGTCCAATGTTGTCCACGGAAATCATTAGGGAGAGTTTCTTACATCGGCAAGGATACCTCCACGTGCCAAGGATGGACGACTGTCTGTGTGTCTGGTGATCCTATGTCGATAACTGGAGAAGTAGTCTCAGCCTTTTTTTTATCAATGATGTCAGGAAACAAAGAAAGAAAACTAACGTTGCAGTGCCGTCAGGTAAGGTGGATTTCTCCCAGATGAGCGGAAACTGGGGCGCCTCAACAAGGCCACACTCCCTCTCGCTCATCATCGCAAGGGCAGTCAATTGATGCCTTTTTCGGTCAGCTCGAGATAAAGTATACAGTATGTCAATCTTACCGTTTCAAAGTTGAACGTAGTCGAGGACTTGGTGCTGTTGTGGGCAGAATATTATCATCGCCCGCGCTGTCAAAGATCCGCATCAGTCGACTTTTGCTTGTCTCATCCAGAGCGCCTGCAGGTGTTGTGGCTGCATCGTTAGAAGATATATCTAGCTCGCCTAGACGCGGCATATGAGACCCTGGGCGCACGAGGTAGTGCGGGTTGAAGTACTCGACGTCCATGTCGCAGTCATCAGCCGATGGATGCTGGAGGTAGAAACCTGCATCAGATAACAGCTTTCCAATATTTGAGGCCTCTTTCATTGTTCCTTTGACAACTATACGGAGTGAAGACTCTGAGTTCGGGCGGTATTCATCGGTTTTCTGGTCTTTTTTCCTAGAACCTGTTGTTTGAGTGGGTTGGGGCCTGTTTAGCGTGGCGTCAAGTTTTGTGTCAAAATCCATTAGCAACTTGTTCAACACAGGTAGGGTGATGAGACCGGCATATTTGTTAGAGTCTTGGAAGTAGAACTTCAGAAAGTTCGCGGATGGTTCTATACGAACGGGTACTGATGTTGTGTCTTGTTTCCGAGTAAAGGATGTTGTCACATTGGTGTAGATCTTTGATTCCCATAATTAGAATTCATAAGTACGTTCTCACATCATCATTGAACTTACCACTCCAAAACATGTGTCAGAGTAGGTATCTGGCTTTTCGAGTTGGATGTTCTCAGCAGTATCATTCTTTTTGAGGTCGTCAGAGTCTCATCTGGTTAGCGCTTAATTGTCGACATGTATCATTAAACTCACTGAGATGACTTTTCAATGCAAGCGGTAGATTAGCAGCTGTAGGATGTATATTCGGCAGTGCTTCAGAGCTTCTGTGGTTTTCTGGCTCATAGGAAACGTCCATCACTGCCGGCTGAGACCAATCATCCCAAAACACACGGTCAGCTTCATTCAAGCCTGTCACGATTTCAGTGTCGCATCCAAACTGTCCGATGGTGGAGCAAGTCGTATCAAATTGAGGGTTGTGCGAGGATATGTTGAAGCCGCTTGGAGATCGCTCTCCATAACCTGAAGTGTCAAAATTCGCATTACAAGCATCGCTGTTCTGCCAATCAGTGTAGCTTATGGGTGCTTCATCAATGGCTAGGCCAGAACTGGGGCATTCCAGCGATATTGTTGCGTCATTTGTAACCCAAGTATCCAAGGCCATGTCCAGCCATTCTGTCAGAGGAGATGGGTGATTCTCAGTAGCATCAGGCTGTAGCAATGGGGTACGGCATGCCCTCTTGGTATGCTGTGTAGCTTCGTCAGAATAGCTAGCGGACAAACGACGCTTCTCGGCCGAAGCTAGAGCCGCAGTCTCCGTTTTGGCCACCATGGGGTCAGCAGCGGCAGGAGTGGTCGGTGATGTCGAGTTGCAAGTACGAAATCTCATCCAGCGGTCAGTGACATTAAAGAACTCTTCCTCTGTTTGTCTTGCTCTGTTTGCCTTACTTTGGCACAGCCACTGGTGGCGTTGAGCCCTCAGGCGCTGGATGCCTAACACCATGCAGCAAGGCTCAATGTGCAGAAAGCCAACTGCGCCATTCCTAGTTTGGGAGGGACAAGTGGCTCGCCACGTTTGAATGAGAGATAATGTCAGCCCGAACAATTTTCTAGGTCAGCGCTGATAGCATTTATCACACAAACCACACCGCATCGCTTAACATGCTTACTTTCCATGCCTCGGAACAGTCTTGGCTTGGGGCGAACTTTCATCTTGCGGGACACCAATGAAAGACATTCTTATTGCTAAAACCGCCCAAAAGTCATGATCCGAGAGCCTCTTTCGGCAATGTCAAATTGATGCTGTTACTGCAAAACAGTGACGACATAGACGTCACATTTAGTCAGATGGCGCTGGCGCTTTCGGAGGTGCTGCAAGTCATTGTCCGTAGTGGGCCCGGTCCATTTATGGAATTTTGCTAGTGGTGATCGGATATCGATGTCCGAACGACCACAACACAATGGCCTCGAACCCTGCACTTTTCCCAAACAGAGTCTTGAGTCTTGCCAGACACAAACAATCAAAAATCTCATCAATTAGAAAGTTAATGATGACAATCAGACTATTATTGAACCGACTGTCTTGACAACTCTGTGCTCAAATTCAGTTTCAATCCATTTGTTTTAGACAGCCTCATCGATACAGATCATCTCTTCCTAAATGTCGCAGTGCCTCGAAAATCAAACCTGAGTTACCTTCAAAATCATCGGCGACGTGTCTAAAAAGTTCGCCCTCCTATCAAGTTACGAGCTACCTTCAAATCTTCACACGATTCTTCAGTTGGTACTCGCGCCAACAACATTGTCGCCCATACATCACTCAACTATGCAGCACGCCCATAATCTACTGCGTCGGTAATATCTCAGCAAAGTAGATTGGAGGAGAGTAGTATGATCCGTATTGATCAGTTCGAAGCATCATCATCGGCGCAGGAATATCGTTCCGCGTTACAGATGGTTTCTTTTTCTTGGGAGGAATTCTAACTAAGGTACACATCTACCACACTATCCGCAGGCGCGATAGTAGTCCTAAACCAGTTGTTTTATACTCCTTTGTTCAACATTTATCTTGTTGTCTTTCATGCTCTCCTCTCCGGTGAAGGTATCAAAGGTGCCATCGACCGAGTGAAGAACACACCACCGACGAGTTTACTAAAGGGCTTCCTTAACTAACCGTAGGTTACCGCGTTCAATTTTACCTACAACCAACCTCAATTGCGGTCAATCTCAACTGGAATATTTGCTGTCTTCTGGCAATTGTACCTCAGCTGGTAAAACAGATGAGCCGAACATATGTAAAAAGAGAACAATTCTGTTGAAATACTGGTTACTGTTGCCTATCAGAGGCTCTCGTCGTGATTGCTTCGACAAACATACCAAGGAAGGTACCAACCAAGAACATTGGGGAAATAAAAAGCGTGCGTTTAATTGACCATTGAAATACCTAACACAATGCTGACTTGCGAGGAAGAGAAGTTAGCCTGCGGAAAGATCAGACTCACGGCACCTTGGAAATTTACATCAACATCCACAATTATTTCTACTTTTTTAATGTATCGCAGGGGAGGGAGGAAACCTTTTGCTTTCTCCAGACACTTGCAACAGCTGAAAGGGCATTGATTGTGGAAGACCGGTGTTAGCTGCGCTGGCTTCAACGATCCATAGATATTATGTCCCAGACCCCACGAACAAAGCATCGGCTTTTCACTGCATAAAATAGAGAAACTTGGAGCAGCAGAAGGGTCCCAATTATCCGAGCCATGCGAACGAGTTCCAATCGAACGGTGAATCATACTTTCAACCATATTAGAAGAAACCAGCTGACGGACAAATGAGATACCGTAATCCCATCTGAGAAATCTGTAAACTACGAAGCGATCGAATTGGATGGCACCGCCTATTGGCTCAGCTTCTTGGACGAACTGATGACAGACACGCTTCTCGGAGACGACATGGTGTTTGGTCTATTCACGGAGCAGTGACTAAAATTATTTACTTCGTGCTGTACTTATTAAGCTACATTATCGTATCCCCGAGCTCTTGTTCCCTTGGGAATGATCTCTCTGACAATCACTCAAACAAATATTTGTCTATGCCACCGGCTTCTCTCCTTTCGGAACAGCAATATTATCTGCAGGTACCTCCCCACGATCGGCACTGTCCAAATCCTCACCTTTCTTGAGACCAAGCTGGCGCGTGTCATAGCCGTTCTCCTCTAGGAATGCGCGGAAGCGAGCATCCTCAATTGCGATGGTGTCCTGGCCGATGTGAGGCAAACAGAAAATGGCAAGGATGGCGGATAACACGCAAAGTGACGAGGAGACCCAGAAGGGGTACTGTGCCGATGCGACTGCGTCGTCACCTGCAGCGGCTTGGATGTAGGGGAAGACTGCATCAAAGTTAATAAACCATCTTGTAATCTTAGGACTAGGATCTAATCTCACCCCAAGTGCCCACAAAAGCACCAATCTTGCCAATGGCGGCGGCAATACCATAGTACTTTCCTGCCAAGTTGTTAGTATTCTGAAATCATGCGTGAATTGAAACTGATAGGACTAGCCATACCGCGAATACCCGTGGCGCAGGTTTTGGCCGCCAATAAGCCAATGTTGTTGCCGGGACCAAACTCGCCGAGGGCCAAAAAGATACCATAAACAACAACAAACCCGCCCACCATTCCCGGCTGTGACAAGTTGAAGTAGTCGCCGGCCATGATGAAGCCGACAATAGCCTGCAAGGTCACGCCCACAGCAAGAGCGTACCGCGGGCCCAGCCAGTCAGATGCGGGAGCACCAAGCATAGTACCCGGGATGTAAAACAGGTTGATGACGGTGTTCCAGCCGAAAACAGTGGTCAAAGGCGCGGTGTCGCCGTACAAGTTGCTCAGAATGGTTGACGAGTAGATGCCAAAGGAGTAGGCAGAGAACTACCAGTACAATAAATGATTAGTTGGATCTCACATATTACGATCACGTATGCAAACTCACATCGTAAATGAACCAAATCAAGCTGACAATGAAGAGGCGCCACCCGTAAAAACGGAGTGAAAGCAGATAAGGCGTCTTGGCGTAGCGCATCGAGTTTCGCTGGAACTCTTCCGGCTCCTTCACGAACAGACGGAGGACAAACAGAATCATGGGGAACACAACACCGATGCCCAAGCTAGTGCGCCAAATGGTGCTGTAGTGGCCATTGTGGCAGGCTGCGGCGACTACGTACGGGACGAATGCGCCGATAACGAAGCCCCAGTCGATCATAGTGTTGGTGAACATGATGAACCAGAGGTTTCTTGAACCGGATTTCAGCTCGCCGGTAGACTCTGCACAGCCAACACTGCCGGCAGGGTACTCGCCGCCAATGCCGATCCCGACCTAGTAGTAATGTGAGTCGGCAAATTCGCTTCGAGTGCGCCAAAGGCGCCGCAAATGTTGATAACTTACGAAGAAGCGCCACGCAGCGAGGATGTTGAACATGCCGACGGCGTCGCCGTGGTAATAGGAGCCGGCGGCAAGAGCGGTGAAGACAAGCAGGATGATGGTCGAGACGAGAAGAGAATTCGTGCGCGACCAATGGTCGGCGAGCCAGCCAAAAGCAAGCTGTCCTACGACAGTGCCGGCAAAGGCAATGTCACCGACATATTTCTTAGCATTAGAGGTCTTGTATAGGTCGCCATATTGGAGGGCGAGGACTGTGGTGACGGAACCAATGACCTGCGGAAGGCTGTTGCATTAGCACCATAATCGCCAATTTCATTGTTCACACAATCAAAGTAAAATGCCCACGTTGTTGATGTAGCCGTCTGAAAACAGACCGGCGCCGCATGCTATTACGGGAACGATGGCCTCACGGAACGGCTTGCGGGGAGGGGCGTCGGCAACGGCGTCCTGCGAAGCTGTTTCGGACTCTGAGGGGTCCTTTTTCAAGAAACCCAACATTGTGTCTGTTCGGCAATCGGGCCTTTGCAAGGTACAATTAAAGATCTAATGGCAAGTCGTACTGTATGCGCCGCTGGCGAGAGAACCTGCGACCACGATACGACTGGTGAACGGTGGTAGGGACAGGATGGCGAGTGTCTAGACCTAGGCCGACAACGAGGTAAAAAAAAAAGGAAGAGTAGATCTGCAAAAGTATGCGGGACATCAACACCTTATATTTCGGACGATCACAAGCCCATCGGTTCGCAGGCAATTCCAATCGTCGGTTTAAGCTGGGACGCTAGAGCCACCCGATAGCTTCTCCCCCGCAGCCCGTGTCCAAACCCACAAAGAGCAGCCATCATCCCCTTCAGACGGGGCAGATAGGAAGTGATGGGCCTATAGGAAGCTCCTCGAGTCGTGCGTGGCCTATTCCCGCCACCAAATTATGAATGGGGTCACCGGTGGTTTATACCGAGGGTACAGAGCATGCCAGTGGTTGGTTCTTGTTGATGGCGACCCCACCGTCTACGCAGTTTTGAGTGTTGGTGTTGGTGATAAGCCCGGATATACGGCATGACTGGGGGATAGAATCAGGCTTGTAGCTCCTTTTGAATGTGATAGGATCAAGTTTGGTGCGGATACACACGTGTAGCACACGGCGTCCCCGTCAGACGACCTGAACTTGCAGTAGTTCCTCCAACTCCAGGTTTGTGTAAAAGAAGAGTTTTCATAGGTGCTACTTCAAAATTACAGTCTGATGCTCAGGGAGATCTCTCCAATAAGCACTGCTCTTTTGACAACAGATGACGTCGAGAGCTGTTCGGTGGCAGGCTAAGCTTTTTAGCGTTTTCTGGGCAGGGCGTGCCGCGCCGGGAGCTTCTGGGCTTGGCAAGCAGACGCTGAAGGACTTGGAGAAGTACAGAGTCCCACTGCATAATGCCCACCAACCACTGATGTCTTGCTGCGGGGCACACCGAAGTTAAGGGAATGTTCCTGGTAGTTCAGTACTATGCCGAACTTGTCTCTCTGCTAACTCTTTGGGGCGTGAACTGATCCATGTCCGTTCCTTCGACACAACTTAATGCGCCTTGTAACCCATGGCTTTCACCACAGTTAGAGACCTATTGTGGTCGAGTTTAGGCCAGCAATCACACCTTGGTAGTTCAAATTTGTACCCAAGTCATTGATGATGTGCGGCTCTTGCTGACAGGACCCTGCAGGATCGGCAGGGACGGCACTCTGGATTCTTCAGAAAATCTCCTAAAGGAACCAGAACCAATGGAAAATATTAATGATGCTAATTCACCGGGGACTTGGTTCGCTCATGCGAGGAGTGGATTAACTCATCGCCCAAGTTGGCGGGAGTGTATCCTGGCAAAGTGCTAGGGGTGTTGTACCAGTAGAAAGTGTGCATAGGCGCACGTGGGAAAGTATTCAGGTATCGAATGGAGTTGCTGATGCGTTGCGGCTCAGTCTGGGAGAGGTATTCTAGGTACAGGCCTGTTGCTTGAGATTGGCTGGAACGATTTCCGAAAGATTCGGAAAGTCGCGAGCAACGTCTTGAAATATTCGGTTCATGGGCTATCACAGCGAAGGTATTCCAACAATCCTGACGATAAGTCTCCTTAGTAGTGGCTGGACAGTCATTTGATATTTATGTGTGTACTAAAAGCGCCATGATTCTCTCTGCCGACTCTTTAGAGTCCAGGTTTCCAGAAATCGTTGAGTTTACCAAGCCGCTTCCTGTCCAACGCAGCCATTAAGCCTCTCGCAAACTTTATGGTACGTCTATGTCATATTTTATCTGAAATTTCTGACATATCGCCAACGCCAAAGTATGCAACAATATGTTTGCCGACGATGATGTAACTCCTCTTCTATGCTGTTTTGTCATCGAACAATGGGTAAGGTATCGAATCTGAAGGCCCACAAACAATATTCACCCGCTCATCCGTGAGAACCAAGACCGATGTGGCTGAGACTAAATTGTTCCTGGAATATCTCACGGAGGATAGACTCTTTTTCAAATGTAATGCAATAAGATTCCTTCCGATCGAACAATCTTTTGCTGTCTTGTAGAAGAATCCCTTATGCAGACAACAGCTCTGCAATACTCTTCATCATTGCCTTGGTGGCAACAGATTGTAGGCGTGGCCCAAGGCTAACTCTGGCAACACCGAGTTTCGCCACCTCACTGACAGTAAGAAATCCGTCAGCCGCCGGTAGTACCACACTCAGGCGTCCGTCGAGCGCTTCGGCTATCTTAACGATCTCGGCGTCTCTCAACCCTCGACTTCCTCCTCCCCAGACAAACGCGGTCGTAGCGCCGGCGTCCAAGAATGCTCTTGCTCGACCAATGGCCTCGTCGATAGACTCACCCGCACCAATTGCGTCAGTCCGAGCATTGATAACAAAGTCTGGAACCCCGGCATTCTTTGCTGCCACAGCCGCAGCCTTGATTCTCTCCACGGACTCTTCCTTTGACCTGAGCTTGCCGGTGCGGTCGTTCAAGTCCTCGATGTTGGCGCCAACAGCCCCGAGCTTGATTAGTTCAGTGACTGATTCGGTAATATCATCAAGGTACCCATCCTGAAAATCAACCGTCAGAGGTAGATTGTGTCGCTGTGCAACCGGAGCAATTTTGGCAACGGCAGCCATGTTCTGCTCGTAGGTCAAGTCGTCATCATTGACACCGTAAGTAGCTGCGACAGCGTACGATGCCGTCGCCAGAGGTTTGACGCCAGGCACGCTGGCTGCGGCTCGGGCAGATGCCGCATCCCAGACGTTGATAACGACGACGGGCTCGCCAGGCTTATGCAGCTTCTTAAAGGAAGTGGCCATAATCTTTTGCCAGTTCTGCGCAGACATGTTTACGTGTGGTGGTGATGCAAGTTTAAATGTCGTTTCGGTAGAGGCAAGGAAAGAAGAGGATGAATGAGTACTTATCAAAGAAGATGATTGAGTGATGGTTTGTAAAATGTAAGAACCTAGAAGTGTGGATGATTATATACACGGCTCTTGGATAGACCAGACAACGACCGCGACTGATTACTATTACAAAGAAATGCCAACTTGACAGATGATAATATATGATGAGTATACAAGTTGTCCTCTTTGTAATCAGAGCAGCTTTGAGTCACCAGACCTAGGTTTCAGCGCCGTTGATTACGGACCTCTCGATGGCCGCGCCCTGCAAATGACAACGCTTGCCCTGTGGGTTGATTACGAACCAAGACAGCCACCATTTTCAGCCCGACATATAACCCCGCTTCCCGGTGCCAAGATGAAGCTCTGTTTGCTCCCCGCAGCTGAAACTGGTCGGGTCAATTGTTTTTCCATCTGCATCGCCCAGATCCAAATCTGTGAAGAGATATTCCTGTTACTGAACAGCTTCAGCGTTGCAAAATCGTCGTAAAGGAGGCCGAGTTTCGGGGAATCATTTGACGATCAAGTCCAAGTCCGAATAAGCTTGTGATACTTTTCTCAAAATGGAAGCGTTCCTCAAGTAAGTATTGATTTCCATTCTCCTTTTATGGTAACCGGCCATAGGGGTGTATCATCGCTTGAGAGCAACAACTGTAAACAGATATAAACTCATAGCGACATTCAGCACTACTATTATCATGTTGCCCGGCGGTCCCTTGTCTTCAACACTTCCTAAGGCGTGTCCATGGAATAAATGCTCTGCCCCTTCAAGATGACGCCATTCCTCAGTGTTCTGAGCCTTGGGTCTCTGGTTTTCGGTGTAACCTATGGCCAGATCATCACTCGCGAGTCTCAGCCTGGTTCCATCAAAATAGGCACCACCAACAACCCTCCCACCATCCTCATCTCTTCCAACGAGACTTTTGCGGTTAAAAGAGCAGCAGAAGACCTCGCACAGGACTTTGGCCGCATCCTTGGCACGAACAGCACCATCATTTATGACGCTCTTAATGGGACCGCGTCGTCTCCGATAATCATCGCCGGCACACTCGCCCACTCTGAACTCCTCTCCGGCCTCATTACCAACCAAAAGATTCAAAATATCTCAGCCATCGAAGGGAAATGGGAAGCCTACATCCACGATGTCTCCACCGATCCCATTGATTCTGTATCGCAAGCCCTGGTCGTGGCGGGAAGTGACAGGAGAGGAACGGTCTACGGGCTCTATTCCCTCTCCGAGCAGATCGGCGTGTCCCCGTGGTACTACTGGGCTGACATTCCCACCAAGCCCGCCGAAGCCCTCTTCCTCAACCCGCAACCCAAGGTCCAAGGATCTCCCTCGGTGAAATACAGGGGTATCTTCATCAACGACGAGGAAACGTGCCTCACAAAATGGGCAAGAACCCGCTTTCCGCTTGCCAACAATAACGCTCAGAGGCCGTTTACGGGAAAGTTCTACGCCCACGTCTTCGAGCTCATCCTGAGACTGAAAGGGAATTATATATGGCCGGCGATGAAGAGGAGTCTTTTTTACCTCGATGATAACCACGGCCAGCTCGCGCACGACTACGGTATTGTAGTCGGAACTAGTCACCATGAACCAATGACCAGGGCGTACCTTGAACAGGAGAGGATCAGTGGCCCTTGGGACTGGAGCCAGAACAAGGATACGATCGTCAACTTCTTCAAGGCCGGCGCGGAGAGAAGCAAAAATTGGGAAACTCTGTACACCGTGGGAATGAGAGGCGAGGGCGATCGTGAGAGCCCGACTTTGACGTCGGAACAGTTGGTTGAGATTCTCGCGGTACAGCAGGATGCCATCGCCACGGCGCGAAATGTGTCTGCCAGCTCCGTGCCTCAAGCATGGTCTCTGTACAAGGTACCTGACCTTTCCCTAAGAACTTTGAAGTCTGGAATACTAAAGCACGGCTGTAGGAAGTAGGAAAATACTACCAAGCGGGCATGCAAGTCCCCGACGACGTGACGCTCATGTGGACGGACGACAACTTTGGCAACCTCCTCCGCACGCCCTACCCCAACGAGACATCCAGGGCGGGGGGCAGCGGCATATACTATCACGTCAACTACGTCGGCGAACCAAAGATATACGAGTGGATCAACACCATCCAGCTCGTCAAGACGTGGGAGCAGATGCACCTGGCGTATGAGAAGCAAGCGCGCGAGATATGGATCGTGAACGTCGGAGACATAAAGCCTCTAGTACCCCTCTCCTGACCGTACTTAACTTTTGAAAATCCAAATCACCCACTAACAAGAATCTCGGTAGGAAATCCCAACAACACACTTCATGGACATGGCCTACGACATGTCCAAACACTCGCACCCCGAAAGCGTAACCCAATGGATCGAGGAATGGGCCTCGAGGACCTTTACACACTCTACCTTTGGCCCAGCCCTAGCAGACATCCTTACCCGGTACGGAAGACTCGTCAACCGCCGGAAATACGAGACGCTCAACATGTACCCGTTCGTCTACAGCACGCAGTACCACGACGAGGCGGAAAACGCGCTAGCGGAATGGGACACCTTGCTCCGCGACACGCAGAGAGTCCACGACAGCCTCTACGAGTCCCGGCCGGCGTTCTACCAGATGGTTCTGCACCCGGTAAAGGCGGGACGGACGGTGTACGAGTTATACATCAAGACGGAAATAGGCAAACTTTACAAGGCGCAGCGGAGAACCAGCACGAACAAACTTGCGGCGGAGGCGCGTCTCGCGTTCACCCGCGACGCCGAAATCTCGGCCGAGTACAACGCCGTCAGCGGCGGCAAGTGGGACGGCATCATGTGTCAGGTCCATATCGGGTATACATTGTGGTATGAGCCCGGGGCGAACATCATTCCTGCGATTTCTCACGTGTCTGACGGCGATGTTCCGGCGTCGGGGATCATGGGTGTCGCGGGACAGGGCGAGGTCGTCCCCGTCGACGCGCGGCATTTCACGTTGTTGGAGATGCATCGCTACGCGCCGACGACGGACAAGCGGTGGTTGGACGTTTTCACGAGGGCGAACGGCACGTTCAACTTTGAAATTACCTCGAACGTCTCCTGGCTTTCAATCAGCAACGCTAACGGGTCGTTGACTTCGCCCGGAGATCACACGGACTCCCGGTCCGTATTCAAAATAGACTGGTCTTCCGCGCCGAAAGGCCGAAGCAGCGCGGAGATCACCGTCCGAAGGACAGACGGCAACGACACGGTCACTGCCTACCTCCCTGTTTTCAACCCGTCCGTGCCAGAGGATAAACTCAAGGGACGATACATCGAGGCTAACGGCGTTGTTTCCATCGAAGCAGCACAGTACTCGCATACCGCACCCAAGAACGGGGTTTCCTACGTCACGCTACCCGCCTACGGAAAGACGCTCTCGGCAATCAAGCCGTGGCCAGTCACCATTCCCTCGTTGACCACCGATACCGCGCCGGAGGTCACGTACGACTTTTACACGTTCTCCGACGTCGTAAACGCAAGCGTGCGTGTCTACCTCGGCGGCTCCCGGAACCATGACGGCACCCGACCTCTCAAGTACAGCTTCTCTGTTGACGGGGGAGCAATCACGAATGTCTTGCCGGTGGAGAATAGTCCTATGGGATCGAACCCGAAGGGCTGGGCGGATTCTGTTATCACGGGAGGGTGGAACATTACATCTCCTACCGAGGGCGGTTTAGATGCCGGGCCGCATTCACTGAGCCTGTGGCTTCTCGAGCCGGGTGTTGTGGTGCAAAAGGTTGTTATTGACCTTGGCGGCGTCAAGGCCAACGGCTTAGGACCGCCTGAGAGTTTTAAAGCTTAGTGATTGCTTTGTGTGAAAAGCTCGTTGTGCAATGAGGCTGTGGTATACTGAAGAGGATTAAAGAGAGTGTATCAGTCAAGAACAATGATTAAAGTATGTTGAAATCGTAACCTGAAGGACATAATCAATCAGATGAACAGAGGACGTCGATGAATTGAAGTAAATATGGCTTTCAATTTATATGCGGTTGTAATATAAAACCTTATCATATCCCTATCCACACATTCTCATCAGGGCGTTAGGCTCGTCAATATGTACAAAAAAATCTAATAATCATCGCGTGGTATGGGTAAAATGTGGCCCAGATGTTCTAGTGTAAAAAAGAGAAAGAAAAGAAAAGGACCTAAGCGGTTCATAGAAGAGCTACAACGAAAACACCAGCGGCAGCAGCGACGATACCAGAACCGAGACGGCTGGCGGCATTACCAGTGACCTGGACAGGAACGTTGGTGGTCTTGCTGGCGCTAGGAGCAGGTGTGTTGTGAGCTGGAGGGGTACCGGCGGGAGGTGTGCCGGCGGGAGGAGCAGGCGGTGTACCGGCCGGGGGAGTTCCAGCAGGAGGAGTACCGGCAGGAGGCGCAGGGGGGGTACCGGCAGGGGGCGTACCAGCGGGAGGGGCAGGAGGAGTGCCAGCCGGGGGAGTACCAGCAGGAGGAGCAGGAGGTGTACCGGCCGGAGGTGTTCCAGCAGGAGGAGTACCGGCAGGAGGCGCAGGGGGGGTTCCAGCTGGGGGGGTACCGGCAGGAGGCGTACCAGCGGGAGGAGCAGGAGGGGTGCCAGCCGGAGGAGTGCCTGCAGGGGGCGCGGGGGGCTTGCTGCTCGGAACAGGTCTGACTGTGGTGAAAGTACGAGGAGGGACGCTCTCAGTAACAGGGCAGATGGTGGTGGAGACGGCAATGGTCTCGGTGCTGATGTGAGGAGTGTGGACGCAGTTGGTCACGTTGCCTCTGCAAGCAGTGATGGTGTGAACCCTGGTGGTAAAGACGGTGGAAGTGGTCCAGCTAGTGGGAGGAGGAGGCGCCGGCATGGTGGACTCCTCTGTGACAGGGCAAACGGTTGTGGAAATAGGTACGGTCACAGTGGTGACTTGAGGACGGCCAGGGCAGTGGGGAACTCCAGGGGGGCACCTCGTAATTGTCTCGACGCGAGTGGTGTAGATGGTGGAAGTCGTCAGCCTCTCGGTGGTGGGCACGGGGGGCTCCTCGGTGACGGGGCAGATAGTGGTCGACACGGGGATGGTCACGGTGGTCACGTGAGGCTCACCAGGGCAGTTGGGAACGCTGGGCGGGCACCTTGTGACGGTCTCGACACGAGTAGTGTAGATGGTCGAGGTGGTCAACTTAGTGGTGTGAGGAGGCTTGCTGGTGGGGATGTCGGTCGAGGTAGGGGCAGGGTGGCTCTGAGGGGTGCTCTGTCCCTTGGTGCTGCTGGCAGGGGTTGAAGTCTCGCGGTCCTCTGTCGAGGTGAGAGTGGGGAGAACAGGCTTAGTGCTGCTAACAGCGGTTGAAGACTGAATGGAAGCGGTAGAGTTCTGGCCAGGAGTGCTACTGCTCGGGACTGAGGAGGTGGTGAGGCCCTTCGTGCTGCTCACAGCAGTAGAGGTGGTTTCATAATCCTCGCTGAAGGTTGTGGAAGCTGCGGATGGCTCAGTGCTGCTTTCAGTGGTCAAAGTTGTGAAAGTGTGCGGCTTGGTGCTGCTGGCAGGAGTTGATGATGTGGTGCTTTCTTCGGTGGAGGTGGTGGAACTCTGAACGGGCTTAGTGCTGCTGGTTGACGTCGAGGTAGTGGATGTGAGAGGCTTTGTGCTGCTGTCAGCAGTGGGTGCTGTGGTACTCTCCTCACTGAAAGTAGTAGAGCTGAGGTCCCAGGTGGTGCTAGCCGGGGCCGTAGAAGACGGAACAGAAGTGTGAGCAGAAGTGCTACTACTGGGAGCCTCGGAGGAAGTCTGGACAGAGGTGCTGCTAGACGAAGCGGAAGAGCTGCTGTGGACGTAGGTGCTGCTGATCGACGTCGAGGAGGAGGAGAAGAAGAAGAAGAAGAGGAGGAGCTGGATGAGCTGCTGGAGCTAGTGCTGCTGACTACCGTAGAAGAGGAAGAGGAAGAGGAGGAAGAAGACGAGCTTGAAGAGCTGGTACTGCTGGGAGTGGGAGTTGGGGTGACATATTCGCTGGTGGATGAGGTGGTAATCACCGAAGTACTGGTGGTCGCCGGAACGGTGGAAGAGGCCGTGAGGTCGTAGGTGATGCAAGAGCAAGCGGAGGAAACGGCTCGAACATCGCTGGCGCAGTTGTCAAAGTTGGTGGGAATGGCTGCGGCAGCGGTGGTGGTACCGTGGAGGTATTCAACGCAGAAGGTCTTGGCCTCCTGTTCAAAGCGCTTGTCGATCAGGTTACGGTAGCAGCCATCATGTTCCTGGGAGGTATTAGTCCATGTGTCAAGTAGGAGATGTCATGCCAAGATGTGCATTGGTATAAGGCTGAAACTGGCAAGGATGGATAAGACATACGCAGAATGGATACTCCCAAGCGTTGACAGATGTCAGGGCAATGGCGCCCAGTCCTAGGTAGAGGCCACGCATCTTGGCTGTTAAAAAAGTTTCCGGAAGCGAACGACGGTGAATGTAAAAGATGGCTATCTAAAGTCGAAAGGGTTGTTGCCGGGGGGCTTGAGATGACCGAGTGTAAGGAGATAGAGAGAGACAGGCAGGAAAGTCTGGGCGCGATGAGGTGACATTTATGAAAAACGAAGAAGACGAAATGAATAGGATGGGACAGGATGGGTTTGGCGCAAGCAGCAGTGATCATACACCAGCACCACCCATGGCCTCTTTTCCCGCCGCCCCCATCTATGGAGATGGGAGGGCTAGGAGAATACGAGCCGGTACTGGAGCCTTAGTCGCCTTGTGGTTGAAATGTGGTTGCCCAAGCTCAGACCTGGCTTACAAGCCTAGGGTAGCCATGGGAGACGTACATGACGACTCAGGTACCTAAGGTAGTCCACATGCATGTAGAATTAGGGTAAGGGGACTTTCGGCCGCAGCTGGGCTGCTGAATCATAGTGTTGGTGTTGGCGTTGTTGGCAGTGGTGGGTATGTTGGTGGTAACGGTGCTTGGCTGATGACCACTCACACCACCGAGGCGGAGTCGGATAGTCGCCGGCCAACCGTTGGGCGTCGCGATACTTAGTGAGCCGGTGATGGCGTCTCTCATCTCGTCGTACCGGTTTTTAGTGTCAAGGGCTGTCTCCTAAGTTTGAGGGAGGCGGACAAGAAACCAAGGAGTAGGCGGACAATGGAGGGGGTGGTTGCAGTATACGATGGCCTCGTTCCCGCCAATGATCTCACTGAGTGGGGCGATGTAGCATAATGGAGCAAATTGTAGTGTAGAAACCACTCGTTGGACGCTAAAATCTGGAGGATCTTCGGTAATGAGGAGCTCAGGTCAGTTTAGGTCGTCTTCTTCTTCTTTTTTTGCTCGAGAGGTTCTCGACAAAGTGGTCCTGTTCCTTCAAGGGGTGATTTTACCGTTATGATTGGGTGGATGTTTGAGAATGTTTGACGGAAGTATCACTAAGACCCCATATTTGTGGGTCTGAAGGATGAGTTTCTTTCAGAGTCTCCACCGTTTCTTTCTTTTCTTCACTCCTCGTGTGGGTAAAGCTGTTGCACGTTAGAATTTTAGAGAAACATACAAAAAAAAAAAAAAAACAGAAGGAAAAAAGGAAAAGAGCCCCCCCCCAAGAGGCCACCCCCAAACCCCCCCCAAACCCCCTGTTCGGCGGCGGTTCTTAGCGTGCTCTAGCCAGGGGCTGACCAGCTGTATACTATGTACTTGACCAAAAGGACCAAACGAAGCCAATCAAATTTGATTCTTACTAGATTCGGGCAAGTTGGTGGGGCGTCAGTAGCTTATCAAGTGGGCTGTTTCTGCTTCGCTGGGCAACTGCAACTGCAAGCTTAGGGTGCACCTCTTCTACTTCATCTCCTGCTCCTGCTGTAGAGGTGGAGGATGGGAAAGAGACCTCGGGTAGGACGGAAGGGACAAATGTGATGAAGCGGCGCACCTTCCGTTACCCTCACTACTACGGAGTAGTGTATTCATGTATTTGTGATCCTGCCTGCCTGCGCGGCCTGAACTACCTGGTGATTTTCGTATCGTGGTTGCAGTTTCCAACATTCAGGAATGAGGTACGTATCTTGCAGAATAACTACAAGTACGTACTTCCCAATTTCATGTCCACCAATGAAAGAGAGGCGTGATACTGTTGCTCATAGAGCAAGATTGGTCCTTCCCATGTTTGAAGATTCATTGTCTAGATTGATTTTCTGCTACAGTGGCGCTTTCTTCAGGTTTCTCTTTACAGCTTCCTACTGCACACACATTTATCTATGGCTGGCTGCTTTGGCTGCGCCTTCAAGTGAGTGTCCCAAAACAATCAGCACAACCACCACCACACTCATCAAGTCGATGCCAAGTCATCCTTCCCGTTCTGCAGAAAAAACGATATACAGAAATAGCTGGCCAACTGCGGTTTGCCCGGTCAGCGAATCTTCTCGCAGTCCAGCTCAGCAACTTCCGTGCATCAGGTGGCAGGCGACCCCCTTCACATGTCCCCGCTAGTACCAAAAGGGACACGACCCTGGGGTCTCGCTTGCCTAAGAAAAGAAACCAGGCTTGAGGCTTTTGGGGACCCTTGCCCGAACTAGACTCGCTCTTTCCACTTCTCCTTCTTCCTGCAGTTTGCTGTCTGTCTTGGCTTGTTTTTCCCTCATGATGCATGATGCTGCGTTGCCCGCTTCAGCTGGAAATCTCGTGAGGAGAGAAGGAGTGAGGGGAAGAAGAAGAAGAAAAAAAAAAAAAAAAAAACCTTCGTATAAGGAAATAATGACTTCCGCCAGTGAGGTCATACGTGTGGATTTCCGCTGCGATCAATGCGCATCCATCCAGTCGGCGCCTTTTACCAGCTTCTGGTCTAAATTGCTTTCCTGGTCCCTGATTCATCACCAGATGTAATCGTCTCATCATCGTTCCCATCTTCTGTCTTCCATCGCTGAGTCATGAGCCCAACGCAAACCACTACTGCATACATGATTGTCTTGTCACATCGTCTCTTGATTTGACCCTCCACAATTGGGTGTGAACCCAGCTTCGCCTCGCCTGGGGGCCGCGGGGTTTAGACCCCATTTACCCCCCAAAGAATAATGTCGCATTGGTTGGTTCGAAACAGTGTCTTGGGCAGAGAAAACAAGCTTTTGGCCCTCAGACATACAGTTCCTCGCGTGGCTGGCATCTCAGACACTTGTCACTGGCACCTTTCCCGCTTGTCAAATCAGTTTGTGGTTGTTGAACTAACGTCAAATCGCCTCGTCCAACTGTCCGTCACGTTCAACTTTCCATCTCGTCGGTTCCCAAGCGGTCCCTACCACTCCGCCAATGTTCTAGTTCCTTGTCTAAACGCCCATGCCTGTGGTAACAAAATGCCATCGCTGTCTATACGAACCATCGGCAGACCGGATGCCAGCCTCTACCATTGATGAACGCACATACCAGGGTCCCCCGGCACACAACCCTGGACGTCCGCGGACTGAACACATCTAATGGCACGAGCCGAGTGGTCAACTTCAGCTGGCATCTACGCGAACAAGCCACTCCCTTGCGCCCCCGCAGAAAAGCCCAATGTTGCTATACGGGCCATGATGAGATCGGACGAGGGTTCCCCAGCCTGACCAAAAACAAATACCTCCACCTACACATTGCGAGAAAGCCTCTTGATCGAAATCGCGGCTAGCATGGGCATAGACACGCAAATCAAGCTTATCAAAACCTAAACTATTTTTTTCAAAGACAGTCTAAGTGGTACATTCTTTTTTTCTTGAAGCTTCTACTGCCAAATGTAGACGGTGGTCCGAACTAGCCGGTAATACGAGGCGCTGCCAGGAAGCGATTCCTTCGCGACCATCACTGGTCAACCAACGGGGCTCCGCGGCTCCCTCTTCCCGAGAACGACCTCTTGCAGTGACTGACTTGCTTGTTTGTCGTCACAACATTGCTGTTCCGATCAGACCATCAGAATTTGGGATTGGCTCATGACGTCAAAACCCCCTCCCGTCTCCGGTCCGCGACGTTGCCTGGTCGGCGCGGGCTACGGCTCCTACAGTCCCGAAGCCAAGCGATCCAAAGGAAACCGTCTTGGACCGCCGTCCAGACTACTGTTCATGGTGCGGCAGTGATGGGGAAACACTTCTCAAATAAGCGGGTGGGGTTCTAGCACCGTCCGACGGTCTAGACTCCACCTTGTTAGTCGAACGGCCGGCCTTTGTTTGTCTCGATCGGCGATTACACACCAAGCTAAACAGCGAGAGGATCTCTGTTATCGTAGGCGTCATGGATCGAAATATCCCGAGCATTAGCCTTGGGATTTAAGCTTGAATTGGTACTCTAGTCAGTATTTGTTTTCTGTGTCAGAGGCGTGATTCAGGGCTCATGCCAAGCGATGACGGGAAAGCTGGGTTTGAGGGGAGATCGAAACAGTTTCACTCTTGTTGGATTTTATGAGTAAGACAAAGAAACTTGATATATGCACGTAGTCGATTTCGTGACGCGGGAGGCTGGAACGCTTGGTATTCTTTGAACCTATCCCCGCTCACTTGAAGGTGTTTCACACACAATGAAGCTGGCCCTGCAACCCTGACATATAGATCCTCAACTTCTTTGAACTTGGAACGCTGAATCGTGTTTCCACGTTCTCTCGTCGGAGATACGGAGGTCTCACTGGAGACAATTGTACATTGGAGGATAAGTGCCGTTTACCAGCCACATTATTTCCCGAGCACTTGATTGTTCTTGCGATATTGCGTCAAAGTCTGGCTCCCACGCACTAGAACCTACCGTCGAACACTTCTGACATCGCTGCAAGCCAACATCGACGTGTGGCTGGTATGATGGAAGCCTTCCAATTCTCACTTGGGCTTTCACATTTCGTGAACCCGGTGAATCGTTCGTGCACGGTGCCAAATGATAACCTGTTGGAGTCATGAAAGTGACGACACATGCAAGTCAGCTTCATCTAATGACTACTGTTGCCACCGCAAGGACCGATCGTGAGATTGCTCTGGACAGTTCCAAGATGATACTCCCGGAAGCTAGATTAGGAGACGATGGAAAACCACTGTGTTCTTATGACATGTGAGCCCCAAAACGTGCTACGATTATGCGTCCCCAGTCCGTTTCCCCTACTCGGATATATGCAGCTCAGATATCCAACCTCTCGGAAGCAATACCAGCCCCCTTTACCACGTTTTCAATCTCGTGCGAAGCAGACTTCTCATAAGGCCCATGCGCCTTTACTTATTTGGCTTCTGCCCAGTACCAACGGACTGAGAGTAAGCTGCGACGAAGCGGTCAGAAGAAGGACTTAAATATTGCCCAGCTCCGTAGGCCGGTCTTCAGATGACTCATTCGAGTCTGTCTAGCCCGTTGTACCGAATAGTGGCATTTACATAGCGAGCGAGCGAAGTAGTCTCAGTAAGGCCAAAGAGGACTCCAAGAACACTTTCTGCGACTGCTCCCAGGAGGTAAGGTAACGAGCCTTACCGCATCATCTTTGCCGAGACGAAACGTGAAGTAAAGCACCATGTCTGCTGCCATAACTGTCATGATTCCTGTGCCTTTTGTAATGCAGCCTCAAATATGAGTGGATAGTTATTAAACAAAATTATCGGGTAAATATTCCTTGTGACTTTACATTCAACAGAAAATATAGCAGAAGGAGTTGCATGTTTGTGCGTTGTGGATTATCAAAATGGTGCCGGCAGCTGACGAACATTCAGGATGTACTACTTTGACCAGTGTCCCTAATATAGTCAGTCCACCATCGACAAATGTTAATTCGAGATCAAACATCTCAACTTGAAAGCCACCTAGGCCGCTAGTACCACCCTGCCTCGAAGAATGCCGCGCACAAGAACTTCCACGTGTATTGAAGGCATAACCAAAAGTCTTCTCGCATGGATCGACATTTCTCTATACAAACAGTTCATCATTGCCATCTCAATGTATTCTCAAGCTGCCTCTTTCGCCTTCTTGTGCGACAAGGAACAAGGGTTTGCTCCATGAAATACGGTAAGTACAAACAGACTAAAGGACAGACTGGAGGTGGTAACCTCCACGGCCCGAATGTCGCCCTTCAGCTAAGTAACTCCGTCAAAGGTTCCTCGTCAGATAGTACAAAGCCCAAATAATGTTTGTTTTTCTATATATTATCCATTCATCAGAGATTTGCAATAGTTGATGCCGTTGACATTTTGATTTGCGATGGCTTAAATTCCTGACCGATGATTTGACTGAGCTAACCGGAAGCCAGATGTCCGCGTTGCTTGCCGCTGCTGCTTCCTACCTTGCAAACACCATCCAACCTCACCGCCAGCCGTTGTCAGGCGCCACCAACGCAACATCTAATAATACTAGAGTGATATTGGGAGTGATGATGTATCATATTTGATGATCGCAGGGAACAGTTCATTTTCTTCATGCTTTAGGAACCCGTCAATCCTGCTCGACTCAAACTACGCTTCATTAAGACCAGGCCCTGAGAAACAAAAGTGAGGAGTGTGCTTCTTTATAAACACAGAAGCAAATCTGGCTGGCACGCCTTAACTCTCGTCGCTGAGTTGTCAGCCAATGGTAGTCTACAACGAGCGTCGGACATTGCCCGACCAGTAGCATCCGGTCTTAGTGCAAACCTGGTCTTGGAAAAGACAACAAATCGCGCGGACCCTTTTCATGAAGATGTCAATGGCCCGAACGAAACAGTCTTAACCGGGTTTTGATCCTTTGGCAACGGCTAACCAGGTATCCGGATCCATACATGACCCTTGAAATGATACCTCAACATGGTCAATGTGGAGATGCTACAAGCACGCAATGATAACCCAAATCGCGACAAGCTTAACGCACCGCTATCGGGATGCAGCGACGAAAAGTCAAGACTTCTCTAGATGTTTGCTTTCGATGCGAGTCAGACTTTTCACTCTGAGACTTGCTTCCAGGCCATCGATGAGAATCTCATAAAGTGAGACGCTTGAAATAAGGTCATCGCTGCATGATTCATCTTCATCTTTGACAGGGCCTCTCTTCTAAGTCATTTGGCTTCGCATAATCACTATGGCCGATAGAAAGAGTCAACAAGAAACATCGCCAGTTTCGAATAGCCCTGCTGTGGAAGTTGGGTTGAAGGCAGCGACAAAACGGACATGGTATCGGACTGTATTTTTCCAGGCCACAGTTATTGGTCTTTGTGCCTTTTTCGCACCTGGATTATACAATGCCATGCAGTCGACTGGCGCTGGAGGTCAACAGACTCCGTATCTCGTAATGTTTGTGAAACCTCTCCCTCCAACTGGATTGCTTCGTCTGCGACAGAAGCACGCTCTAACTCTATCCAAAGGTCTGCAAACGCGGTTCTCGGAGTGATGATGGTCGTTACATGTTCCTTGGGCAGCGTCATGGCCAATAAGATAGGTCTCAAAAATGCCTTGATATTCGGAACGACAGGATAGTATGTTTCTTGGCGCGGTAAAAGCAAGTAAAGCCCTGAGAAAAGCCCCTAACAGAAATTAGTGCTATATACTCAGCGTCATTGTACACTAACAACCGTTACGGTACCGAGTGGTTTGTCTATGTTGGATCTGCTGCTTGTGGCATCACCGCCGGTATCTTTTGGGCTGCAGAAGGTGCCATCATGATTAGCTGTGCGTATTATTGTTCCACCCTAGCTCTTATATCATCTAACTCACATGCACATAGATCCCGAAGATCAAAAGCGTGGCAGATACCTTGCATATTGGCTGGCTTACCGTAATGTAAGTGACGCTAGTCTCATGCCACTGCAAATATAAAGACATGATTAACAAACCTTAGGGTGGTTCAATTGTTGGGGGTGCTATAAATCTCGCCTTCAGTAGGTAGTTATCGTGAACCAACTACAAGATGAAAGCTTACAAGGTCAGATTCAACCGGGAAAACAACAGGAAAGCTAGACTGGAGGACATATGTCGTGTTTGTGGCTTTGCGTAAGTATTCGAATGACGCAAGAAAGAATAATCTTCTTACTCTCAGCAGAGTGTCTGGGTCCCTTTGTTGCTATGCTTCTATCGCCTCCAGAGAAGGTCCAACGCCAGGACGGTAGACGAGTTGCCAAAGCCGAGAAAATCCCGACTATTGCTGAGCTCAAGGCTGTTTCCAAGATTCTAATCAGAAAAGACTTTCTCCTAGTGTAAGTTGCTCACTGTTTGGAAAATTTCCTTTCGGGTATGCTCTGCTGATGTGAACCAATCGTACCTCAGCTTTCCTTTCTTCTTCTACGCGACCTTTTTGCTCTCATATGCAGGTTCTTACCTTTCACTTTACTTTTCTGTTCGCTCTCGCGCCCTCGCATCTCTCGTCTCGGCCTTGGCGCAAATTACAGCAAATTTCTTCTTCGGCCACTTTCTTGACTGGACAAAGCTCACCATTAGCCAACGCGCCAAGTTCGCTTACATCGGAATGATGGCACTATTTGGTGGCACTTGGATATGGGCAACAATCATCCAACGAGAGTACGGCCTCAACGCTCCGGCATTGGATTGGTCAGATACAGGTTTCGGCCGAGGCTGGGCCCTTTACATCATCCTGCAAGTTAACTTGTGAGTATCAAATTAAGGATCAATATCCCTTCTTTCTCCGAGACTACCGTCCAGGTGCTGACTGAAAAGTGCTCTTGCGTACAACTACGGCTACTGGCTTGCGGGCTATATGGCTCGAGATCCTGCGGAGATTATTCGCTTTACGTCGACTGTTCGTGCCGTTGAGGCTGCCGGGGGAGCAGTGGCGTCTGGTATCAGCTCTACCCATGCGCCATTGCTTGCGGCTGTGGGCGTCAATTTTGGACTTTGGGCTCTGGCGCTTGTGCCAACGTACTTTGTGGTTCGGTCGCTTGACTTTGGCGTGAGTGAAACAATCTTGGACGAAGAATCTGACAAGAACGTCTCGCTTTCGGTCTGAGAATGTCTGTTATACTCATCTCTCCTTTGTGAGCTTCGACACGTTTAGGCCGATAAACCAGCAGTAGTAATTTGTTGTTTATCCATGAATTTGTACTTCCAGACCATGGGAAGGCGATTGCCGAGAAACATTGTATCTATCATACTGTTGCAAGCCTCAGCCAATTGCATGGCTTGGAAGGAAATTACGTACATTTTGGTGACGGCTGAATTTTGTCGGATGAAGATTTCCCTACTTGATAGGCCTACTGCCTGATCGGGTTACTGTCAATCTTTGATGAGATCTGCATCGGACCGGATCCGACTTCGCGATACTCCTAAGCAGTGCGGTAATATTAATGGGGACTTGAGAAGCAAGAAGTGGGGTTGATAGGAGCACCTCATTGAGGGTGAAGCTTTCGCGATTCCTACCGTTTCAAGATTGGATCCAGCATATACCCCTCAGTTCATTTCAAAGCATACACCACTTCACTTCATTCTTGACGCGAGGTACAGAGATAAAGGCTTGACATATTCTTTGCTGAACAATTGCCAATAATACACAAATCTGAACAACCTTGACGAAAGTATCTAAGCCAGCACCTGAAAACCCCAAATCAAAATGTCGGCGACGGACTGGCAAAAAGACTTCGAAACCAACGGCTTTGTTGTCATCCCTTCTGTGATACCTCCAGACAAAGCGGCTGAATACCAGACTCGTGCCTTTGACTGGCTCCAATCATTTGGCAATCACACTTTGGACTTGGATGATTCTTCAACATGGACACAAGAAAATTTGCCCTTCATATCCGAAATCAATACTTTTAATTACTACGGCGTCGTCCATGAGCAGTTTATGTGGGATATTCGTCTAGAGCCGGGGGTTGTCGACGTTTTCTCCAAAGTTTGGGGCACCGACAAACTAATTGTCTCGTTTGATGCCCTCAACATCACCCTTCCTCGCAGGCCAGGCCATGTTCCTCGACAAAAGTGGCCTCACGTTGACCAAAGTCCCTATAGAGATGGATTGCAATGTGTGCAAGGCATTGTTAATCTCTCCAAGGCTGGTCCAGAGGATGGCGGTTTAACTGTCTATCCCGGTTCGCACAAACTTACAGAAGCGTTCTTCCAAGAACACACCGATAAGTCGCAATGGTCGCGTAAAGACTTCTTCAGGTACACCCCAGACCAAATTTCGTGGTTCGAGAAGCAAGGCTACAAAGAGTTCAAGGTTATAGCTGAACCTGGAGATCTCATTATTTGGGATTCACGGCTGATTCATTTCGGGGCCGAGCCGACAGGAAAAAGCAACCGGATTCGAACAGTAACATATGTTTCTTACGCGCCAGCTTCTTTTGCTACAGAAGAAGCTTTGAAAGCTAAGAACGAGGCTTTCAAAAACTGGTTGGCTACAACGCACTGGCCACACGACAATATTGTGCTGAGGACGAATCATCCTACCTTACCTGATGGAACCGTCGATAAAAGCAGGTCAGAGCCAATAGAGAAGCCGGAGCTTACCGAAAAGCTCTTGAAGCTTGCTGGGATCAAAGCATATTAGATCTCTGCCGAAAGTTTTGTTACTTGTAGAGCCACTATGAAATACTGCCATGTCGCCCTTCTTAGCTATGAAAAATTCTAATTGGTCAGGCACGACTGAGTTGTCTTCAATCTTGCCCCAGTGTCCCGAATCAGAGCAAGTAGATGTATTTTCTCTTGATCTGTCGCTAAAGCAAAGTTCGAGGGAGATGAGACAGCGGTGACAATCAACAAGGTTGCCCTGATCAAACTTGACGTTACTTCTCCTTCCCAATGAACTGAGCAGATCCTGGGACAGATTCAATAAAAACAATTTAGAATGTCATAGATCTCTTCAGGAAATTGAGTCTGCTATGAATATGGGTCGATGTTTTATGCCTCATAGAAGATGACCCAGGTGAAATCCAGAAGGGATTAAAGAGGTGGACAACATATAAGAAGCGTCCTGGCTCACTGTGGTAGCTGCTTCTATTCGGAATACTCATACAGGTCTACGGCGGGTTCGTGAAAATAGTCATATTGTACAGACAAGCACAGCCAGCTAAGGAAACACTCGACTTGATACCACGTTCAGTCCGACAGTAGATCAGTCGAGAGGATGACGTAAATATCGCAAGTAGTAGACTTTATGAGTCAAAGCATGTTGCAAGGAGTGTCTGCAGGTAGAGACTATGCATGCTTTCTTTTTCCTTTTTTCTTTTTCTTTTTTTCCTTTCCAGAGTCGCAACAATGAAGGTCTCAAAAACGCCGGTCTAAATTTGCGAGCTGGCCTTGGGCTGGTCGAGACGAGAAAGTTTCGTTAAACTGGAGCTTACATACGACAATTTTGAACCAGGCTACCGGATTTCCTATACAGAACTGACTCACCTAGGATAACATAGCGATTACTAGCATACGTCGGTGACTATCAGATGTGAGACAAAGATGATATCAAAAGGTTCAGGAACCTGCCCAAAGGTGATTCGCGTCTCAGATACCAACAAAGGCTAGTCCACGCCCGGATGGTTTGTAATGCTTTTCAACTCTAGATACGACCAGTCCACTAGGATCCATCTTTCTATTAGAGCCGCCCAACCGATATTGAAATATGGGCGATCTGAAACAAATGTATACTCTATCGCTTTTACAGTGCTGTGGGGGGTATGCAGGGCGACGAGGCTTAGGAAACATCTGATTGGCCACTGTCAAGAAAGCTCATTTGCCGGGTTTTAAATGTAAGGAATTACTAGTAAGCTAATCTACATAATATCCGGAGATAGATGAGCAAGACCGAAGCTGAATCTAAATTTATAGATGCTGATTGGACTTTGGTAGGCGGACGCGTAGGCTGCTAGATTTACTTAAGTATTAAGGGTAATTCCATCTTCGTAAGGTATCCTATTTCCATCCTAGACGTAAAGTAACAAGATACTGAACGCACTGGTTGGATTTAGTGCTACATGGCTAGAAATACTTCCCTGCTCCGTGAGGCAGAAGTTAGTATACGGTTTTAAGCATTGAAGAAATCCAAAGTTGATACGCGTTCCACCTAAATTGTGAGGCACGGCACGGCGACATGGGTATTTTTAATATGGCGCACAGCATCCTTTTTGCTAGTGCTCAACAACTTTCGATTTCGCTAGGATGTAGACGAACTATGTACTCTTCGTAAATCTTAGATGCCCTTATGCAGACTCGTATGTCAAGATAGCAAACAAATGGCGTTGTCCCAGTAGACGCTAGTCTTTCATGTGCAGTACTCGTATGTACAATTTACCTCTTGCTAGAGACCCGCCCTTATCCATGTGTCCAAATGTTGAGGCCAGTCTTGATACCTCCCTCCGGTGGCAGACCAGCATGGGTTGTTCTAAGGTCTAATTTCCCCTCATTGTCCCAGCTCTTCCAGAAAACAGCATTCCCCGGGACGGCTTTCACCGTAAGGGCCTCATTATTGTCGCAGTCAACGTACTTGCACCAGCTTCTATCTTCTGTTGTCCAGTTGATGCTGAGGTTTGGGAATTGTGTACCGCATTTCTCGCAAGTCGACTCTACTATAGCGAAGATGGTGGTTAGACGGTGTGTGCCAGTACGATTCCCATAGCCATCAAGTGGATCCAAATGGGGATTGAATAATTGGCCGATGCGATACCGAGTCAGTTGGAGCGATTCGTGCATATTCGGAGGTGTGTACCCCTGAATTTCCGAAGCACGCCGGATGATCCGCTGAACGATCGGGTCTTCGTCTGGCAGATATGCTGTGCTGCTGGTTCGGTCGGAATTGTACTGATTTTCTGTTTCGCCATCCACGTAGACTGTAGACCTTTCGAATAAAGATTCACTGGAGGAATCATCAGCTACTGAGTTAGACAGACTGAGGTGTGCACAGGCCGTACCCTAATCGTAAAAGGTGGTTTCGTTCACCCCACGACATAAACCCCACGACGTAAATAATGAGGGGATCGTAACTGAGAATCCTGATAGAATAGGTCTTGGGAAGTGGTTGTATTGTCAGGGCCATAGATATGTGGGGTGAGACATGCGGCCATAGGAAAATGAGCATAGGCACGATCGCGCCGCAGAGCAGGAGACGATTCCATGGGAAATGGCTCAACATCGTGGATTGCGAGAGCTGGTGTCAACAGCTTAGAAAATGGTGTTGAAGGACCTAGGTTTTTTTGCTGGGGGTGGGGAGGTTGGACCGTTGATACGAGCATCATTACGAAAGGGTCCTGGTAAGGTTTCGGTCTCGCAGCATAGCGAAAGTTTCTTTCCTTTTGCCTGCAGTGACAGGCCTTCAAGATCTGCATTGCACTAAGTTTCTTTCTCCCCCGCAAACATGAGATTACTTCATGGTACGGATTCGTTTCCAAACACATGGTTGCGTGTTTCTGTCCCAATTGAATGGTCTTTTTTCCCAATTGAATGAAAAAGACCATTCAATTTAGCGAAAACTTTGCTTATGAACACGAAGAATTGACAAGAAACGCGATGTCCGCTGTCTATCTGGCAGCATCTGTGATAAGCTATTTGGTTACTTGGAAGACCCTTCTAGCCTCCAGGGGTCAATGCGAACATCCTTCTTGGGCTAACTATCCCTTGCCTGTCTCTGCTTTGCGACAATAATAACACGTTTTTCTCATGGCCATTTACTGTATTCGTCGAAATTTCACAAGGTGTAATGGAGCAATGGCATTCTAGACCGACTTGCTATCTGACGGGGATTTAAAGGGCGGATTGCACACTGTGTCTTTATCGCCAGGCTACAATACTAAGCCGCATAGTAGTAGCCGAAATAAATACCATGTTACATATCTACATTGTTGATATTCGGTACGTTACATGTAGATGAGGGTGGAACTATCTTCAGAATCCAGCGACACCACGATCGCCTCAAGAAGAATGTTTCCTCGTAATACGTGGCGGAAAGCTTCAGCGACAATGTTAACATCGAATTTCATGAATCAAAATCTTCAGGTGATCTGAGAATTAGCCGGAAGCTTAGACCATTCCCCCTTCGAGCTTGGCTAGGCGGCATCACTTGAGGTTAAAGTTGGCAATCCGTGTCAAAGCATACCCTCGACGATTCAGGAATGAACTTTACCAGATAATATTCCTTTCCAGTTTATCTACGAACTCGTGGTTTCAGCCTTATGGTCAAGCATGTTAATTTTACGGTAGAAACCCTATCTTGGATTACTACTGATTTCCTTTTCTGTACACTAATACCGATGCCGTAGGTCACCAAGGAAGCAGTCATGTTGAAAAGTCATCTAATGTACGAGATACATTGACCACTAATAATGTCGCTAGTACGATAGGGAACTTACACAAGGTAATTGCCTGAGTAACTGCAGGTGCCACTAGGAGAAGGACTTTAGCGAGGCTAAGAACCTAATTATCAGCATCAGCAAAAATGAGGTCTACCAGAGAACTTTCCAACTACGGAGCTTGAAGTTAAGTGTTTCCCACAGGAATGTGAAAAAGTCTGGACTTTGATGGAAGACAGACATGGGTAATGGAACAAGCATGGAAACACAGCCTAGCTCAAGATACCCCAAGAGTCGCGGCCTTGGACAAGGAACTTTCCTGATCGAAAGGTAGTGCCTAGACTTACATAGAATACCAGAATAAAGTCTATTTTGACTGTAGCCTGATTCACAGGTACGGCAGTGAAACCACTTAAACATGACGACAATAGGGCACGATGATGTGGTGTGCTTTACACGGCGTCACATGCATCCCGCCTATACTTTTAAGCTTACTCTTGCTTTCCAATCAGGAATTTCCGTTTGAAGGAACCGAAGATACTGAGTTGACCAGAAGTAAATCAAAGTCAGGTGGAGGGAAACTGAGGCCCGGCAGGTGGCGAGCCGATTTTATTCAAAAGCCCCCCCCCCCCCCTGCTTCCTTTGGAGCAGATACCTATTACACCTGACGCCCCCATTTGAAAAATACTTACAACTTGTCTAAAATATCTCTTGAAAGGTTTAATGATGAATTTCATTCTGCTCCTCCTGCTCCTTGGTTCTACTGTCCAAGCCGTCCCTCGAATCGAGATTGTAGCCGATGACAACAAGTACTTGCATAATCTTGAAGTGAGTACGACTCGAAGATAACTCACCACGAAGTAAAGGGGTCTAAATCATGATTTAGCAGCTTAACAACGAGAATGTAGCGCAAGTTGATAACCATATGGCCCCTGAATGGGTTGCACGCCCAAAAGGACAGAGAATTCCACCTTCGGGCCCTAGTCGCAAACACAACTAGGTAGCCCCAACCCAAACCTCCTTTTCAAGAGAGTCTCTTGACTTGCTTCGAATAGTTTCATTAAGACTTCACACCGGGTTGTCTGAATGTTCTCGCTTGAGCAAAGGTTGAAAACCTTTGTCTCACACTTTCCTTACAAGATCATGATCAAGCAAGTTTTGGAAAACAGTACCACATCCTTCTTAACAAACGGTCTTGAGAACCCAAAAACTGATTAAAAAAGTGGCCACTTGTCTATGAGGAGTAGTTATGGGGAATGCCCTAGGAACCACGTCGGCGCCATGTCGAGACGATTCTCCGCAATCAGCGGAACATGGAAGTTTCCCGTTCCAGTCGAGTCGACAGTAACACAAAGCCTACGTGGTGGTTTAAGGCAGACAACAATCTTTAGATCTTTGTTCCTTTTGAACACGTTCGTTAAATTGACAGGTGTAAGCATCAACAAAATATCTCGAAGTCTTGAAATGTGAGGCCCCACTTAGACTTCGTTGTTCATGGAGAACATTCCCTTCTTGTATAGTATCTATGTATATACTCATACTAACGTTATATGCCGTGCCCAACTCCCTGTAAGTCCTCTTTGCCTTATTTCCATGAGCTGAAGACGTGGTCACCCGGCTCGATGCCTTTACAACAGTCAAGCTTAAGAATCCATTATAATCCTATCAACACTGGTTGAATAGCCCTCTCCATTAATCTTCACTAGGAGTAACCACCCTAGCCTTTACCTACTTGTGACGTTAATGACGACAAATCATATCATCCTGATCAAATCCTGGAAATGCTGCGTCTCGTGTAGTCAAGCTACTGAGTTCTCTCCGTGCAAGAAATTCCAGTATTCGCATGTCTCTCGGTTTTCCTTCAAGTCTTTCTGCCAAGTTTTGAAGGTCTCTACTGATTGCCTCTTGTAGAGCCAGGTCACGCTTCTTGTAGTCCCACTGAGCCTTTCGGGCACGCTCGAGTTGCACGACAGCGCCAGCCATTGCTATCGCGACAAGAATGATTGCCACTACCGTATTGGATGCAAATATCGGGAACTGCCGCTCCGGCTGGGGGTTTTGGGAGTATGGCGGGCTTCTGTATGTGTTGTGGGCCTCAGCAAAATCAGACGAGCGAGGCACATGTCTACTTCGCTGATTAGGTGATGCCCAGCCGACGCCATATTTTTCATACAGCAATCGCTTTTCTGGGTCGTTTAGTATTTTATTGGCTTCGATTACGAGGCGGTACCGTTCAATTCTGGTTGCCCGTGGTATATGGGCCACGTCCTTGTCGCCCATGACGTAATGATCAGGATGATATAACTTCACCAACCAGTAGAAATGCTTTTTCGAGTAAGGCATTCCGGGCTCTACCGCAAGGATCTCATTAGGTGATGGATAAGGGCTTTGAGGCCATATGGGTTTGTCGTTGAGGTGGCGAGCAGACTTCAGCTGTGAATTTCGCCGGTCTGAGTGCATGTATCGTCGATGAGCCTTGAGAAGGGAGTGCTGTACTCCATTCCACTTAACAGCCAGCGCCATGGTCTTTTGGGAAAGTGCAAGTTTGAGCTGGTATATGTCTCGATGTTTGTTTGTAGGCTCTGCGTCGACTTTTGGTAGCACCTAATAATCTCAGCCAAACAAAAAGAATGTCCTGAGGAAGCAATCTAAAGAGAAACTGTGAGATAGAGGCGACATTTATTTAATATTCAGAACATTCCTCATTAATCTTTCGACACACGCGCAACAGAAACATTGAGCTGAGCCAATTCTAGTGGACATGTTTTGCAATCGCGGGGTCAACTTGCGCATATTTGCTCGAATACAACTCAACCCTTGTCTGACGTGGCCTACGGCCACAAAAGAGGTTGAGCGCATAAAACATGAGACCTAATGCCCAATGGCCATTCAATTTAGCCATGAAAGTCTGTTTTATGTTATGATTGTCATGTACATTCAATACGATTATGGGGAACTATGAAGTAGACTGTTGCTGATATGTAGTATATGCGCAAGTTACCTAGTCAGGAGGCTTGGATGCTGCGGGCAAGAATAGTAACGCCCCACTTGCAATACACAGTGAGTGCATTCAGTGTCTTTCTTCCATCAACTCTGTTTGTGTCGCACATGTGTTGTTTCAGATTTGGGCGCGCTTATCGCTGCTTTTAAAGCAACAAAACTGCACAATGATACTTTATGTATACGAAGAAAGCAAAGCATTGGCATGTCTTCGTTTACACTTGTCCAGCGTTTCTCCCTCGCGAGTGAGGGTAGCGACATAGGTCAAGGAATTAGTACTAGGTACCTCTCAACCAAGGTTTTTGAAAGATTAGAACTAGCACATCCAGATTGCTTGAGCTGTTTACATTATGTGGCATTTAGATATTCTTAGATTTCTGCCTTATTTTACCCATGATAGTCCTCTTGTTGAGCAAAACCGCATCCGGAGGACCTTCCCAAGAGACTCCTTATGCAGCAGGCCCTGGGAAGCTTGAATTTTGGGCCATCAAGGTTCGACAATGTCACTCTGCTCCTGGTTATACCCTAATGATTCCACAACAAGCTCTCCATTGCTTCTGTTTTCTCTACCAATCAAATCTCTTCTTTTTCTTATTAACACTCTGGACAAAAACATGTCCTCAAGTTCGAAAAAAAAGGGTACCTTTAGAAAGCGTTTCGAAGAGCTTCAGAGTGGAGAACCAACAATCAATAACAGTAATAAAGGTGTTGGGTGAAGGACGTCACAAAAAAGGTGGGGAGGTAATCCCTGAATAAGATCGGCCTTAAGTCCAGTGAAACCGACTGATATAATGACATGGCCCATGAGAACAAGGGGAATAGCGATCAAAGACCTTGTTGTCTGCCCAAGAGGTGCTCGCATATACTCAGTACTTTGTCATGTATAAATGCTTATTTCACCATCCCATATGCAATCAATAACTAGGGCTAAGCTCTACTTGCAGATGTCAGAATGTTGTACATTATATATCGTTAGTCTCTTGTAAGAAATAAAACGTCTATTAAATCTGGAGAACATTTATCCAAATCCTTGCAGTCTGCGACCTACTTCACCTTAAGCAGCTTGCTTCATATAGCGGAACACGATATGAGAGTTTGGAAACCCGTACCCTGAGCATGACAATATGCACTTGGGAAATCTGGTAGATGGGAAGCGCATGCATCGTACAAGTGGTTCCCTTGTTTTCCTCAGACGGATTGTAACAAAAAATCCATATTTCCTAACCATGGAAGTTTTTAATCCTTTGGGTCGACTTTGCCTGAGCACAAGATCAGATGACATCCTCGTCGCTCGCCAGATGTTGTTTCTACCCCGCATCATCGGTTTCACTTCCTTGAAAAGGCGAACTTTGGCTGTTGAGAAAGAGGCCTATGAAGATTCTAACCCACACATTTGGCTATACAATCTCCAGCTTTCCAATAAAGCAAACTAAAGTCAGAATGGACTGATCGAGCTAATTCAAATTCCAACAGATGACAGTTCGTTGAGCTTGGACACCTTCGGATCCGCAGGATATCCGGGCAAGCGAAACATCAACCTGCTGCGGAGCAGGAGGTGCTCGGCCGAGGACCAGCCCCTTGAAGCGTTTAAGCCAGCTGCATCTTGTCTGCTTGAAACATTTTCCCTTAAGGGAAGCGACAAAACGTTAGGGTCAGAGAGCATATGCACCTGAGACAAATATAGCCCTGTCACACAATGACAGCGTGCACGGATGAGTGATCGATCTACCAACGGCAATCTGCAATAATGCAGAGTCTTTGACCCAATTCCCGGTTTACGGCTGGTAGTCGAACCTAATTTGATATGACTTGAAGCATGCAGTTGCCACTTCTATGAGTGTAACAAACGTCCTCTCTCTCTCTCTCTCTTGTGGACAAATTCCATGATGCCGTAGGAATGGCATTGAGATTGGACGGACGTAGCGCGAGGTAGCGGACCGGGATAGTCATGCGCATGTCGACACATTCGGAAACATGTGCTCGAGCCAGCGGGAAGGATGCTACCCGCCATGTAGGAGAACTCCCCTGCGACAGCAGAGCGCAGCCAGAAAGGATACAGACATCTGGTTCAACCACCACTTGCGTCCAGCCAGGATGCCGTGCATAATAGGATGACCACTTAAACCAGGGCTTGGCCCGTGTGACGCATGTCATGTCATCTTCCGCCAACTATTGACCCTTTTATATCTCGCCTAACCCCCAAAATCGACAAGCTCGAAAGCTTGCTTGAGTCAGCTACGGGGTGACAGGGTCTGGCCTTTGAATCTCTTCAAGTAATCGGTCCATAGTCTGGTGCCATCCGTCATTCTGAATTACATCTTATTTATTTTTTGTCTCCGTCAAACACAGCACACCCCGCATTTCCGTCAGACAATTCACGGAAAAATATCACAATCATGGTTTACACCGGCAAGCCCTCGGGCGGATGCAAGTTGTGCAGGATAAGGAAGGTCAAGTGCGATGAAGGGAAGCCGTTCTGCCTGCGATGCACCAAATCGAAGCGACACTGTCCCGGCTACGGAGCCGTTGTGCGTGACCAAGGGAAACTCTCCCCCGAGAAGCTTAAGAAGATGAGGGCGGGCAGTTCAGACAGCACGAATGCCGTAGACCCGTCCATACCGCTCAAAACCAGCCCAGAAGGTGATTGTTGCCTGGATACGTCGGCAATTACTCCCAGACGGGGGTCATCACCATCTTTCAGGCTCGGCGATAAGGAAGGCGACCTCGTGAGCGTGTTGGAACGGGTCCCGGGAGGCCTTATGGACTCACTCGACGAGCAAGCTTCGTGCTTGTTTCTGTCCGAATACGTCAATGTGCCCTTGACAGCCACTGCAAGAGGACACTACTCTTTTCTACCAAGGTTTCTAGGCAGCGGCACAGTTTCGGTATGCCTCTCGCAGGCTTTCAAGGCTACATCAATGGTCACCTTGGCCATGAGACAATCCAAAGGGTCCAGAGGCCCTGCATTGATTCGAGCCCAAGAGCACCATCTAAAAGCGCTGAGGGCAGTGGGTCAAGCTCTCGCGGACCCGAAAGAGATGAAGAGTGACCAAACCTTGGGCGCTGTACTGATGCTGGCTCTATACGAGGTAAGTGACCACACCGACAGCGAGATTCGCGCTTATACTGATGCCTGAACAGACTTTGATGTCCAAGGACTCAGTGAAGGAGTACATAAGCCATGTGAAGGGCGCGGCCAAGATTGTGCTGATGCGAGGTGATCAAATCTTCGAGACGACCGAAGGAAAAGAGTTGTTCTCCATGACGCGCAATCAATGCCTGACACTTCAGAACCTTTTCAAAGACCCCGAGATTTCCAGCTACACGTGGCTCCTCTACAATGATGCAGTCAATCAGAACAATCGGGCCACGCTCGATATTAGTCTTCTCAGCAGCAAGCTTCAGCAAGCCGTTGATATCATCCTTGCCAAGGCCAGCAGCCCAAGTCCCCAAGCCGTCGAGAAGATGGTGGAGCTGCTCGAAAAGGCCCGTAGGCTGGAAAGCGAATTCAGCAAGCTCCACAACGCAAACCCCGCGTTCAAAGTCGAGACTGCGGAATGGGTGTTTGACAGGAGCGACGAGGAGCTCGACACTGAGCCTACATTCGATGGGCCGGTGTACAAGTTCTTCAACCTACCAATGGCTGTGCTGCATCTGGTCACGTGGAGCTCTCATTTGAATCTCATCACGACGCTCATGCGCGCTGTTGCGTGGCTCGAAGCAGCCGGGCACGAAGGCCTGGACGACGATGAGTACGATGAGCTAGTACGAGTGGCGAGCGTCCGCATCCAAGACATAGTCTCGGCAGTTCCTTATTTCTGCAGTTGGAACGGCTACGGCGTTGTGGTGTCCCAGTTCCCCTGCGGCACCACGAAGCCCGACGATCCGTTAAAGGGAGAGGCTGGCCTGATTGTCATGTGGCCGCTCGCGATGGCCATGAAGAGCGAGTACGCTACCCCGCGGCAAAGACGGTACCTAAGGGGCCGTCTCCGGTACATCGCCGACGTATCTGGTATAAATCTGGCGCGCTACTTCATCAACGAGTTGTAACGCTCAAACATGTTGTTTCAGTTGTGCGTGGCTTTCGTAAACGGATGTACAGTAGATGGGGATACGGCTCAGCAATGGGGCTAATTGGCGCTGAGATGACGGCTAATGTGAGCTTATAAATCTCGGAGTTGGGTGTTTACACAGCTATTTTTTCATGATTTAGAGACGAGTTTCTTGGTACCAGGAAGATATGATTGACGACTCAACATTCTCTCTCCCTTTCTCCTATTGTTCCACAAAGCTTCCCTCGCCGTTGGACTGTTAATGGTGTCTTCCAGGCTTCTGTGTTGTGCCCTCGCCAATCATTGATCAAGGGCACGCACGTTCCCGATCAACATGGTCTTACTGCTCCGCATGCCTATTGGTAGGGGGCAGACTCCGGGTTCAGAGCTCATGTCTGAGCACAGCTGTATTGCTGGATCGGGCTGGTTGTGGCAGTAACTGCAATAATAACGCATACAAATGTCTCATATCGGCGATAAAGATTCTGTAATGCCTAAGCCAAGTTGGGCTAGGTTTTCAAACCTGGTGGTTACAGTTTCATCCCAACAGCGCTGGAGTCATCCTGCGTTTCGGCCATTCGTTTGTTGCAGGGCGCTGGCGCAATTTAGAGTTCAACATCTGCGCGACTTCAAACGGAGTTCACCAATATAGGCGTAGTAGTTGAGTGCGGCTTCAACCATAGTATCGGTATCCTTGCCCGTAATCAAACGTTGTGAATTCCACTGCCCATTCGTCCACTGCCCATGTGTTTTTCACGGAGGGTAACGTCCGGTTTAAACATCTGCGCCTCCACATCTCCTTTGCGGATTGAAGCGAACACCAATCAGCTGGAACAAGGCGTTCCCCCCCCCCCCGCGAGAACGGAAAATGTGGCAGGCTGGGATCAAGTCAATGAGGCGGGCGACACGTTTCCTGTGCTACACCCCCTCCCATTTCGGCCAAAGTCTTCAATAGTGTACAGGGCTTAGTGGTGTCCCTCTGAATTTGCCTTTCTGGCGACATTCCAGATGAACCAAAAACATGTCTTACTGTCAGGCCACCCCGGTACTGAGCCCAGGCTAGGTACAGTCACGAAATCCCCACTTTGGCAGGTAGGCACAACGCTCATAGCCATATGTAGCCGCTTAATTGAGGGTCAGCTCGTAGATATTGCAGCCAAAGTCGATCTGGAAGTCCTCGAGATCTGGAAAATTACTGCTGTACTGGATAGTGTTGCTGTTCCAATTTGACAAAATTTGCCAACTCGGGTGTGCCCCTGGATCAGGGTCGTGGCCAAACCTTAGATTATGCGAAGCAGGCAGATTATACTTTAATAGACGCACCGATGAACTTTGCACAGGCGGTTATTAACTCTGCCGTTTTGTAAGGCACATTCGATTTAGGCAAATTTCGGAGAAAGTAGTCTCATAGCTTACTGGACACCGGACCAACACAGAATAGAAGCAAAGCCTTTTTCCACAAAGCTCAACTTTTAGTAGTCTAACCGCCTTTACCTGTTGTTGATCTCTAGGTTATGCATATTGATAAAGACCACAATAACCATAGGCATGGGCTCCGATTCTATCTGCTATAGATAGAATGTCTTTTAATAACTTTTGGGCGAGCTCCCTCGTACTCCTTGTCCCACACAGTAGATACACATTCACCTGTTGACTCTGCCCATTATGCTAGTATGTCTGTTTTACCAAAAATTAACTAGCCCAAATATCTTTTGCGTGACGCAGAACAGGACATGTCTCTTGTCTATCATATCAATCATGAATGATGGTAGCTCATTCGAAGAGTGTGAGGACCTCATTCACTTGCTCGCCTTCCTGTGTGAAACCTTGTACAACTTTATTCCGTTGATTCTCATGTTAACTATCAATAACTCCTATGCGAGGACTAACCGCATTTTTCTGCAATAAGAACACCATAGTAGTGCGTAATATCCATGACTGCTGATTGGGGTCTGCGGGGCACTGTAAGCCTACAAAGCATCCCGTGTGCGGATAAACAGCCAGCTTGCGCTGCCTTATTATGAGGGCTGGAATCCGTCTACTAACGCTTTTGAAGGAAACTTAAATAATACCGAGCCTTTGCTCTTTCGAAGACGGCACTCGATGGGTAATAAGATTGGCCTTTACCCATCTCATCATCCTATACTAAAATAGCCGCGGACAACACATCGACCTCACGTACAGCAAGCCTAACCCGAATCATCCGGACCGCGGCCTTTCCACCCGGCCGCCGCACTCAGGAGAATTTAAGTTATAAGTCTAGGCCGAAACTGCCGCAACAGCCATCAACATCACTTTTCAACAATAGTTACCAGCACAAACCCGGGCTCCAGTAAAACAACAAACATTATTGATATATTACTTATGGTAATTTAAATTTCCACCCCCCAAATCTAAGGGGAGCAAAGAGTCAACACGACATCCTGCTCCGACGTGCACACCTTGACCTGACTGCCTCCGGGGCTGACGCCCTGAGGCCACACAATGGCAGGGCACGTCGTCTGCCTGCTGGCGACGACGAGCTTGGCCCCGCGGAAGGCGTCGCCGAAGACGGTGCTCAGGTCGTACCAGACCTGGCCGCCGTCGAGGTTGTAAGCAAAGTTGAGCTGCGCGGCGCCGGTGAAGAGGCCGTCGCGCGCGAGAGTGATCTTGAGCGCCTTGCCGCCGGTGACGGGGTCGCGGTAGAACGTCTCCGAGTAGGCGCCGCCGCCCGCCGCGAGCTGTCCCGCGGAGGCGACGCCGCTGCCGACGGACCAGAGGGAGACCTCGTAGGCGCAGTTGTTGACGACTGTTGCCTTGCCGAGGGCGGCGATGGGGGTCGCGGCTGCGAGGACGGGGATGAGTGTCTTGAGCTGCATTTTGATTCTTGGTTTTAGGTTTTTAAGCTGAAGAAGGCTTAATTTGTTTGTTTTTATAGATTGTCTGTAAAGAACCGAGTGTGTTGTTGATGGTGCTGATGTAGGACAACTTTGGAACGTCGTCCTCACGACTTTTTATACCCATCTCAAACACAGCAAACATTAACATCACATCGCAATGACATGTTACGGGACTCCTCGGAAGAACGCCCATCGGGCGATGCTAGGCCCCAAGACTTCCCAGAATACGAGGTGCCGATCACATCCTTCGTGATGGTTTGTCCACAAAAATATTGACCGACATGCCAAGCAGGCAAACATCCCGAATTTTTGGCTCTTCATCCTGAGGATCATCCTGTCAAATGCTCCGAAGCTAGAGACAAGAAGCCCACATAATGCCACGATATCCGGGCTGAACACGAACGCTTAATAGATTGAAAGATGAACGGTGTAAGATCACCCCGTTGAGAACGGGTCATGGGGGAAGGAAATACGAGGTTTCTCGACGGGAGATCCTCCAGGCGAGCTAGCTGCATGCAACACTGCCTATCCACGGCCGTTTGCCATTGGTGTCTTCGTCGATGGAGTTCACTTTTCTGGAGTGGCCCAAGGAATGGGCTGACATGCAAATATGGCGGGGGAAGGAGGGGGGGGGGGGGGGGGGGGAAGGGACCTGATCTGCCGTATGCCCAGGCTATTTCCCCGCATATTCGGCGCGGCCCTCGGAGGTATCTGTGCTTCCCTGCTTACCCGTCTGCCCATTCCGATAGGCGGCGGCGGCGGCGGAAGAAATGGGGGCAGCATGTACTGCACTACACATTAATGGCAGCTGAGGCGCTGTGGAGGTGAGGGGGCGAGCAGGTCTAGCGTCGGGCGGGATAGGCATTCTGCTTTGTCGAAATCCAAAATAGCATCTTTCAGCTGGATGCGGGAGATTGCTATACTGCAGTCTGTGACGTCAGATGTCAGACATTGGACACTTCCCTTGCTTCGATCGATTGTGTGTGTGTGTGCGTGGGTGTCTACCATGTGCTGGGGGGGTTAGCATTTGCCCCTTGCTTTCACAAGAACTGTTGGCCTACGCGGGGTTTGGGCTATTGTTCATTTCTGGGCAAACAGAGCTGCCACCTGATAATCGTACCACACCTCACGTAATATTTACCGGAATGGAGGGGGAAAAGACCAAATTTAAAAGATAATAGAGAAAAAAGTATTGGATCGAGCTCTAACCGGGTATATTCGTGATCCGTCGTCCCAATGCGCCAGCCAATTGATGACTCCAAATATAATAGTCTCAGTGATCCAGTGATCCGCTGGCGCCCTTCCATCGTACTTTTCGCGTTGGCATTCTGTACTCCGAACCCATTATTCATCCAAGAAACCTATCGCAGCCATTACCTCAGCCGCGGTGTATGTAAAACAAAGCCCCTCGATTCGGCGTCGCCCCTCCCCCTGGGGGCTAGCTGAGTCGCAGGCATCAAGAGAAACTGGGGGACCCAAAAGTGGGCATCGTCGACTCTTCCTTCTTTCGCTCCCGCTTGGCGTACACCAGGCCGCACACATTGCAGAGAGTGCTAGGTCCATCAGGGCCCGGCCGCCATTCGGGGGTGTCGACGCGATGGCATTTGTGGCAGGAGAACTCAACCTGGCGGTGGGTTTTACCGCGTCCGGCGGTGCTGACACAGTCAGGCACGACCCTCGTGCGGCTCACCGACGGCGGGCCCATGGCATTGTGCAGCAGTTCGCTAGCTCTTCGCTTGTGATAGCTTGGATCTTCCTTACGTAGGGCTCTAATCTGGCTGATGTCGCGGGCGATGCCGTGGGATAACCTTGTCATGGCGCGGATGTCGCTATCGCTGGGCAGTGCCTGGTCGTTGGCAGTCTCATAACCGCCATCCAAACCAGACCCATTGTAACCAGGGAACTTCTCAGTCAAGCGCAGCAGTTGAGTTGCGCCGTGGCGAATCTGTATAACAGAGATCATTGTCAGTATTATTATCAACTAGTTGCCCCGAGAGAGGAGTGGCTGGTTACTGGGTGGGTGATGTGGGGCAGATGGGGGAGAATGATAAGGATGATAAGAAGATGGATGATGTTGTAATTGTTGGCGCGGGCGAGGGAAAGGAAAGAAAAAAAAAACGAACCCGTTGATGGCTTTCGCCTTGCTTCAAATGATTCAGCGACAGCTGCGCAGGCATATCGTGATCAAGCTGGCCATCACTGCTGTGATGACCGTCCGTGTCAGAGGCTGACAGTGGGTGGTTGACAGCATCTAGTGCGGCGGCGTGCGACGACACGGACCGCGAGGGGGAGGCGGATCGTGAACTTTGGGGGCCGGAAGGCATCAAGCGAACCGGTGGCCCACAAGCCGGTCGAAGACACAAGCTACGTACGGGAGGCCGTACGGAGAATGGCTGGGACAGAATTTTGATGGAATTCGATAACGAAACCGATGGGAAAGTGGAATTTGGCAGGGCCTTTTGCCCAGGATGGCTCGGTTGCGACCGCGAGCGCGATAAAGCGGGCGACGGCGGCGGCAGCAACAGGCCAGCGAAAGTGAAGCGACAGTGACGACGCCAATGGCAGCGCCAATAGAATGAATACGGCAGCGGCTCGGCGATGAATGCGATGCTGTACAGGCACGACACGGGGGGACCAGGGTGGAAACGGGCGAATGGTGTGTGGATGATTATGTTTGGTGTTCGATCTTCGGACAAGAGAGCAGTGATCGAGATCGAGATTTTGGGAGAGCAATCTCAACCGAACAGTATATGCCAGCGTTTTTAAACGGGCAGTTGCCGTTGCCTGACTCTGTGCAGCAGAAGCAGGAAAGAGGAGCGGGGGGCGACTTCCTGTCTGTTGAATTTGCATGTAGGGGGGTGGCCCCTGAACATGGGAAAGTGTTTGGTCAGCGAGGAAGCGAAGGACCCAATGAATGCCAATACGGCACAGCAGTCAGGTGCTTCCGCATGGGTGCACAAAGCAAAAGAGCAAGTACCCTACACTAGCACTGCACTAAACTACACGTACTGCATAGCACAGCAAAAAGAAGCGGCAGGCGCAGGGGCCAGAAAGGCGACGAAAAGTGAGGGGCCAAACATGGGAAAATGGAGAAAATGAAGGAATGCAGATATCAGCAGAGAACCGGAAGCAGCGGGGTGGTTCTGGACCCTGAAAAACCCTCCCTTTTTGGTATCCTCGACCCCTCTCGTGGATTCAAGGAAGGTGCCGACGGTAGTGGTGGTGGCGACACCAGCAACGGGAGCGTACAGGTCCATATCGATTTTATGCGGGTCTTCCGCCAATCAGAAGCATTTGGTGACCTTCAGAAGCTTCAGAAGGGATAAAAGCTCCCTTATTGTCACTTTTTTTTTTTTTTTTCTGCAAGTGCGCAGTGCTTCATACAAGCTTACCTAAAGCTCCACTGACACAAAGGATGACAAGAGGGATCATGCGTTCGCCCCCAAGATAAGGTAATGGCCCCCACTCCCCCCCTCGCAAATGCCATTTTCATTGGCCTTTACCTCTCTTCCCCCCGGGATGCACTTTCCCATCTTGACGGAGCAAATTCCGGGAAGCAAGACCCACTTGACGCTTTCAACCTTGGTTCTCTCCAATCGAGGCCTGTGGTTCGTCAATTCCGTCAGTAGGTCAAGAGGCACCATCCTTTTCTGCTGTTTCCTACCTTGAATTTTGGTTGATTCCTGTATATTATTTTGGCAGCACAACCTGCCGTTGATATTTAACAAACGAAAAGAAGAAATTTGACATTAGAGCAAATCCAAGACACTCCCCTGCTAGCCTCCTTTCCACGTCCACCAATCCCTACAGCTCATCCCGCCCCCATGTACTACTGCACGACCCTTCCGCTTCCTCCTCGCAACACCACGACTCTCTTCTATCCGGATCGCCACCTTTGAATTTCACCTCTGCAGGGTACGCACACAACGGCCTTGTCGAGGCCTCGCTGTCGTTTCCTCCACTAAGCTTATACCCATCTAGCGTCTCGGGGAACAACCCCTCCTCAACCCACGCTCGTAGCGCCTCGAGCCCCTTTAGCGGATAAAATGTTCCGTTCAATCCATAGCAGTGGTACACCCCAGGCGCCTCAAAGTGGCGATAGTATTTCGGAGCATCTCCGTCTCTCCTCAACACCTGGTCATAATAATCTCTCGACGTCCGCATCGTTACACATTCGTCGGCCAGGCCGTGCCAGCTAATCATCTTTTTCCCAAGTCTTTTGAATTCAGACAGGTCTGGATCGTTCGCTCCGATGAGTCCGTCGTACTCTTGCCGGCTTTGAGTGAAAGCCGCCTCCAGATCGGCGAGCCGCATCCCCTTCACGTCATAATCAGGGTCCTTGTGCACGAGGTTGCGGATCCACTCCACCGACATCAGGAACGGGTGTCCGGTGCAAGGTTGATCTGGCAAGCTGCAGTTGACATTCCCCAGACCGAACCGCCCAGTAAATGGGGCCCCTATTGGATACCCCTTTGGAAGCCAGAGCGGCGTGCCTTCGGCATTGTGGGGACCCTTCCATATCTCCTTCGCGATTTCGGCCGTCGCCGCCGACATCTTCATGGTTTTGTCTCCGCAATCCAGCTCCCTCCCAACGACGCTCGCAGGGTCGAAGGAGCACTTGTCCGGGTTCGCGATGATGTTGTCCTTGACTCCGTCGAGCTCGTCGCATGCTTCAACCGCGAACACCGTCATGAAAATCATCTCGCAAATGTGCGGGTACACGCCCTTCTGGTTCATGACAAACTGCGGCCAGTACGTGCTGATGATTAGGCTTGGCTGATTGACAGCTGGCGCTCCGGAGAGGATTCCGTCATAGTCGGCCGGGTACCGCTGTGCTTCAATAATACCCTGTCTCCCGCCTGTCGAACAGCCATCCCAATAAGAATACTCGGGAGCCTGGCCGTAATATTGCTCGACGACCCCCTTGGCAATGACCGTCATATCGTGCACCGAAACATGAGCATAGTTTGTCAGCAACCTCTCGTTGACAGAACCATCCCGCTTCAACGCCCACGACGCTTTCTCCCATGTCGTATGGTCATGGCCAGCATCCGTTGAACTAGCTATCCTCCCAGTCAGCCTGCCGATACCAATCACATTCGCCACGTGCGGGCAGGTAAGACAAAGGGGGCTACATACTTGCATACCCCATCGCCAACGTCGCCACGACCTTTTCACTTCCAAACTGCCCGGCTGAGTAGCCGCCTCCGCCAACGCCCACGAACCGTCCATTCCACCGCTCGGCCGACGGCAACCAGATCTGTACCTGCGTCAGGTCGTCATAACCTATGTGAACGTACTTGACCGTGACGTTGCAAAAGGTGATGCCCGAACTCGGGATGGCTGCGCGCCCCTCTGGTGTCACGGCTTTGAACTCGAGGTCCGTGACGGGTATCGCAGACAAGCCGGCAAAATCAGCGCCCTCGAGCGTGGGGAAGCGGAACGTTTCCGGTGAGCAGCGGTTTGAAGCCTCTGTTGTCGCGCCGCGGACGGGGGACGTCCAGCTTGACAACTGCACCGCCGTGAACAAAGTCGAGAGACCCTTCATTTTTGGTGAGGGATGTCGTCGAGCCGTAGGAACGCCTTCGGGGGTTCCTTGACTTTTCTGAGGCTCAAATAATGCCGTCAACTAATATTTCGTCTCACTCAATGCAGGCGTCTTTTCGGAGGTGCGAGATACCAAGTCCCCGCAAAGGTTAGTGTGCTCAGACACCTCGGCTCTGCGACACGGATTCGGCTTGAGATGTAACGAAACATCAGACTTAACGGGGATTCGGGAAAGTAAAAGAACCCGCTGGTATATTGACGTTTATGACTACCAGCCGGATATTCTGACAAGAGAAAGAAGGGAAAAAAAAGTAAATCCAAACGGAAGCACTTTTAAACAGCAATATAGTAGAAAGGTGCAGAGATGTGCTGGCAATGCGGGCCATGCCGATGGCTGGTGTTTTACCCCACACGATCACTTTTTTTGCAATAGCGTCTGCCGGCGCGAGATCTACAGTAGTAGTTTGCACGCGGAAGCTGCGAGACCACGTCAACAACGTTGACTTGGCATGTACCATGTTGATGAAAACTGTTTCTGATTTCGCCGTTTTTTTTTTTTTTTTTTTTTTTTTTACCAGTGTAGGATGTCCTAAGATAGTGACTCAACTGGTTCAGTTGGCCTTCAGCTACTTGAGAAGAGTGCCACCCTCTGCAAGAGTAATTGTCCCGGTCTGAAAATGGTTCTTAATAATCCCCAAATAGGATTCTGCAACGTCTCTCGGGTCTCCTATCACGCCAAGGATGGAAGCATCCTTCGAAGCTTCCAGTGCTTCTTTGCCCCAATTTGCTGCTGCTTGATCAAAGAGCTCCGTTCTGATGGCCCCTAGCGAGACAAGATTTACTCGGATAGGAGCCAAGCTGATAGCCAGACCTCTCGTCAATGCGTCCTTTGCGCCACCAATGCTAGCCCAGACGCTCCATCCAGGTGGTGGCTTGAAAGTCCCTGCACCGCCAGTGAAGGTGATTGACGAAGTGTGTGCTGGGTCGAGATATTTGCTTGCGATTTTGGCCAGCATGGTATCACCGATGAAGTGGTATCTACTGAAAGCGACAAGATCATCGGAAGTTACGTCGGTCAATGTCAGGGTGTTCGGTAGGCCACCAGCTGTACTGATGACGTGATCAACGACGGTTTTTCTGGCTGCGGTGACGAATTCGAAAAGGTTGGTGATGTCGTCCTCGGCAGTTTTGCTCGAGATGTCACATGCGTAACCTCTGACCCGCTCACTGGCGTTGGGATATGTCGCGCCGAGTCTTTGAACCGCTTCTTCGACTTTGATTTTCGTTCGACCAACAAGGACGACGGAAGCTCCAAACTCGATACATCCTTCGGCAACAGCGAATCCGACGCCAGAAGTGCCTCCCACAATGACAACAGATTTGCCAGCTAGCTTGTTTGTGAAGTTGAAGGTCATGATGCCAAAATAATAAAGTACAGTGAAGATTCTTCCATGACAGAGACAGAAGTTTAATAAGTTAAAATAGAATTAATACTCAGGATAGTTCCCATTTTTCTGCGGACTTGCTAGAGTTGTGCGGAGTGTGGTGGAGTTGAATTGCACCATTCGAACAATATTGACTATTGCTAGACGTTTTCGCGCCTACTTTAGGGACTACAAGTCGATTTGTAAGCCTTTTGATAAATGGTAGTCCGTCAAACTCTTGAATGGCGGAATCGTGTAGATTGTGGGGAGCGTTTGCGGACTTTCAGCGGACTTTCAAAATGTGTTGCTACGGCAGAACACCAAGGTCTGAGTCCACTACTCGACATTTCAACCACCTCACACAAATACGTTTTATTAAGATCGACGATGCACGCGTATCAGCGACCTGTAAAGACGGCAACTATGGTAGCCTAGACGCCCAAGTCCCAGTCTATAGAAATGAGATGCGTTTAGAGTAAAGGCTGTATACAATGTATAATGAGACTAACAAGTTTCGATGAGGAGTCTTCATTTTTCCTAATTTGAATTGAAAGCGTTATGAACTTGACAGCAGTTAAACATTGGTATATCCAGGCCTTTGCATCGCCTACTAGGACCGACACAGTCTTACTTGAGTCGGCGGACGGTGTTTGCCAACCAAAGCGGCTTTCTTCCTCGGAGAATACAGACGGCCGTGAGTGCGAACTCGTATTTGGTCCTCGCAGAGTCACCCTGTTAACAGCCGGTGGGATTCATGCAAGCGGAAACAAGCGCCACGACTGTGTACTAAGGTAGTAACGGAGTTTGGCTGCGTGGGTAAACAATCCACCCGAACTTCCAAATACTGTCTTCATGCGTCTCAAGCCGTGGTCTTAGCTCGAGACTTTGTGGGACTCGTACGTAGTCGGTTATGTCCAGCAGTTCCGGTGGGAGTTGAAGCGAGCTCGATATCAGTTTTCCCCAAGAATGCCTGGTTATGGCTGGCCGTGACGGACTTCAAGTTGACTGGTAGCTTTTGGCATTGGACAGACGGATAGTTGTGAATGCGTTTACCCTCCGCCAGGTCCAGGACAGAATTGTGAAGGCAAAACGCACACAGACCAAAGAACACAAAAGAAGAAGAAAAAGAAAAAGAAGAAGAAAAAAAAAAAAACCTCGTCCCAATTGAAACGTGCTAGGCCGCGTGGTGAACGGGCCCAAAGCGCGTTATAGTGGTTGCGCCTACCTAAACACCGATAACCCCCGTTCCAATGACTGGCAGAAACCTTTTCTACATTCTTGAAAGAATTAAACTCTTACAGCAGCTAAACTTTTAGAGCTTTAATTCAAGCTTATAAGTAGGTAAATAAAGGAATGCAAAGCTGCAATTTCGCCCACCAGGAAACTCGCGCACGATATGCAGACCATCATAAGACAGCATAGGGGAAGACATGCATTGTTAAGTATGCCGAGGACGGACAGCAGCAGCTCATGTCCACAGTTTCACCCTGCGCCTCGTGGAAGTACGGTAACTCGAATTCCGACAGCCAGGGCAGGCCGTCGGTGGGGACTCCCGCGGGTCGTCTTAAAATCACGGCCAGATCTAGAATGACCTTGGCAGAACTTGGGCCCTTGGAATCGCACTCTTACGCGGTGGATCTCTCATTTACCGGCCGAAGGACCCGATGCGACAGCTTGGACAGCCGGACACAAGCTGCTTCTATGAGAGAAAGTCTCGGTGTGGAAATTTCCACGAGGGGGGGGGGGGGGGGGGGGGGGGGGGTTATGAGTTAAGGGCCAAGAAAGAGGCCAAGACGTCGCGGCCTGTCACCTCAAGGGGCGCCAAGTGGTATTGTGTCTTGGCCTACGATGGATGATGGCCTGTAGCTTGGTGAGAGATTGTCTAGTCTGATGCACGCAGCCACATTTTGACGTCGCATCGGCTACACATGCAAAAGACAAGAAGGAATAAAAGGGAAGGGAAAAAAACAATTAAATTCCCGAGCATGCTCCTCTCCACGTGTTTTGCCAGTTCCCGGTTTTTAAACAATAGGCTCTGTGGAGAGTTGGAATCCCCTTTTTTTCCCCTGTGAGGGAAAATCCAAACCGGGTAGTGTAAGCTGCATCGTCTAATAAATGTCTCCGTGTCGTCGGATTGTGGGCAGATATATGCCGGGGCCGCAGTACATAACACCATGGTAGGGGGGGGGGGGGGGGGGGGGGGTTCATGCGACCTTCTTCCCGCAGATCCTCCTTGTTTCAGGAGGCTGAAACGGCGAGTCCCACAAAGGTGATGTGCTCCCGCCTCAGAAAGGGACGAGTTTCGCTTTTCATTCTTTTCCGTGAGGCCGAATCGTGATGTTGGCGTGATAATATGTAATTCCAAGGGAATATGAGAAGCGAGAAAATTGAAGAATTAGAGAAGGCCCCAAAGGAGGCCTGAAAGTCCGAGATTATAGTTTCTGTTTGGACTGTAGTAACGCCCAACAGATGTAGAAATTATATCAGCAAAAACACCTTCATTTGCCAAGTCAATTCATCACTCGACACGATGTGTCCGAGTCGTTCGCAGATCCGCAAATCCATCGCGTCGAGTTGCTCACCCTCTTTTATTGCGTGCGTGGCCGCGATCCCCGTCGTCCCGGGTCCCTTGTCGGCCCAACCCGCTTTGAGGACGGCCCCGAAACGACCTGGGAGGGGGCTTCTCCCAAAGTCTTAGTCAACGGGTACGGCCCGCCCATGTAAACCAATCTTTCTCGTTGGTGGTTCCCTTTTATCCAGGAAATCCAGTCGTTGATAACGTGGCGCTGCATTGGAGAACACCCGCTTTTGAAACCCGAAATGAGATGACATGAGCCCATTCCCAAGCCATCGCGCCTGAGAATGGTTCCAACAGTGACCCAGACGCGCGCTTCATATTGCTTGGCCACCCACCCCGGTCTTCCCGCCTCAGGTGTTTTCGTTCTCTTTTTTTTTTTTTTTTTTTTTTTTTCCCTCTCTCTCTCTTTCTCCACGTAGTTACATACTAAGAAACGGTGGACCAGCATGAGGTGATGGGGGGCCCCCCCATTGACGAGACCGGGCCCTGTTGGCGGGACCCGGCTCTTGGGGTCAAAATTATATGATGGTACGGGTTCCTGCCTTGCCGTACCAGCTTTGTTCTTTTTAAAAAGGTATCTCGTCAAAACATCCACACTTGTTTGATCCCGGTGATCGTCGACTTGCCGTTCCTTCCCGTCTCCTCACTTTCCACTCTTTCTTTTCTTGTCTATTCATTGAACATTCTACACTTCCGCGCCCATGCCCGTCATCGATGCGAGATTGCTTCAGGAGGGGGCCGTTGAGGTCGGGAGCATCATAATGAAGAGAGCCGTTGACCACACTGTCTTGGAGACGCTGGCGGTTGGTGAGTTATGACAGCGTTCTGTCTGGGGTCATGTGGGTTGTGGGCTGACATGATGTCGACAGCGGCCGTCAGCATATTTGGGGTTGGGGGCTTCATCTACTGGGCTAATAGGTGAAAAGAAAAGCACCTGGTTGCCGTAGGTTACATCCTTTTGAAGACTGAATATGGCAAGTTTCGTTACGGGAAAAGAAAACTAACAACTTCGCCCAGGGTTCTCGAACACCGAGTCACCTCAACACCAACACTCAGCTACTATCTCTCCACCAAGATGCAAAGCAGGCACGATTCAATGATTCAGGTGCAGGCCACCGAACCTCCATAATACTCCATCTTGGCAAGACTCGCACTCATGTCCTATGCCCAACACGCGATGCATCCTAAACCAAGGGGCCGTCTTTCTCTATTTAATAGCCCCATCTACCCCCGCCCACCTGTGGCTTCACATCACCCGCTTTATAGACTGTATCAGACACGGCCGAGGTGGATGAAATACATTGTAATATCGAACAGCAGAAGCAAGCGTCATTTGATACCCCACCTGAGGCGACAGTGGATGCTAAGCCTCGACGCGTGCTGCTAGACTTGTACTTTTTTCTGCGAGTTTTAGAGAAGCTAGAATTCAAACTCATTCAAAATCTGGGTGTTACTTGTGGCGGCATCCCTGAAAGCGTGTAAAAAACATGGTCTCTTACATCTCATCAAACACCAAGACAATTCTTGACATATGGCTGTGGTTTGTTATATCTGGCAGAGAGCCAAGTGGCAATGAGGCTCTTGACGCTTCGCCATGCAACGTTGAAGCAAGAATTGTTTGAATTTGGGACGCAAAAGACTTCCAAGTTCGTACCGGGATCTGCATGTTGTTGCCATGTCTATATTTGGTACCACACAAATCATTGACTCGGTTCCCGGAACTGCCCTACACTTGGAAACGGGCTTTGGTAATCGGATTTGGGTTTGGTTCCCGTCGGAAAGATGTTGACTCGAGTTATCTCCGCGGGGTAATCTCACAAGGACTTCGTAACGCGCCCGAAGCAATCGTCTCACTTTTTGCCAGTGTTAGATGTGGCTTTTTAATGTTTTGTAGCATGAACGAAACCGTTATTTAGCTGTGATGCAAACCATTTCATCCGAACACCGAGATGCAACACACACTTACCGAGCCCTAATATTTTTATGACATCAATCGGAAGAAGACAAAATGTCAACTACGGCCTAAAACACTGTGAACCTTGAACACGGCCAATATCCTTTCAAACCGGCAAAAAGTCGTTTGGTTGTTAGACTATTACTTGCCTAGATCGTATCTTTCACGGATGCATGTCGCCTAACACTGGCCGACCAGCGGTTAAGGACATCCGAAGTCTCACCTGAATGAACTCGCAGCTTGACCTTCATTGTGTTCCATGTGAATTTCAAAGCTCTGCTGTTCTACAAGCGAATACCCAGAACATGCCATCTATCAGTCAAATACCCGTGGATATGCTAACTGCGCACTGCCTACTGCTTTCCCCCAGAGCGTCATATACCAGTTCCCAAACAATCATAAAGGCCAACAAGGATATCCTTTGAATTTCTGTGTGATGTTATGGCGCAGTGTCAGGATGCCACTGAACCACTGAAAATGCCACCCTGAAGTGTAGTATTTATTCCGATGCAGCACTCATCTTCAGTGCTAAAAGCAGTGAATCTGCAAGAGATGAACTTTTTTTGTTTTCATCGAAATATAGAAACTTAAATAATCTCCATTGTGAGTGAGGGCTTGAATGCGATTAGAACTGGACTAGTGCTGCACGAACCACAGGAACATCGACTAATAACCGATGCGGTGCTGGATATGGAACAGCCACTTCATCAACGGGACTGGACAATGCAAAAGTTTCTGATCATTTAGCGTATATCACACTTCGCTTCCGATGACATCGTTTGGTATTTCCAAAGCTTTAGGTGAGTGTAGGTGTCACCATGAATATGAAATTCAGACGATGGTGCACTGCTGAACGAAACAGAACGTAGGGAAGCTATCCGCGGCCACTTACATTGTCTTGTAGGCATATTCCAAGCGTGCAATAAGGCGTACTCAGGAAAATAGCCAGGAATTGGCGGGTTCATTGGAATATTTCAGATATTGATAATGAGCGCAAACGGTGAGAACCTGGATCTTCGACACGAATAACATATGGCTCTCTGGAGAGGAGATTTGGTGGCTGGACTGGCATGGAAACAACCAAGACAGTTGGCCTGGGTTACTTTCATAAGAAGCGCAGATCAATTCCGCGAGGGATTTGAGCAAGGATAATTCAAGTGCCATGAAGAACGCCATGAATCAGTATGCAGTTATAACGACCAGCGGGAGGCTGGTGAGTGAATCGCTCAGACATGGAGCTGAGCACATCCAGGGGGGACTGTTGAGTGCTTTGAGATCATTCCGCGTATCCCCTATCCATCGGAATTCTATGTTTTCAAGGTCCAGGCTATGTCTATCATTCCATGGGGCCAACTGGCCAAGTATACTGTGGCCTCGTCACTTGGAACGGTCATAGTGCGTAGGCTCGCGTTCGCCCAAAATCAAGCTGTCTACAAGAATAGATCGGTGGACAGCTTTGAGTGGCCTCTGTGGCATAAAACCACACACTTTTGTTATATTGAGAAGAGTGCAGATGATCGCTGCGCTGGGCATGAAGACGCGGTGACATCAGTGTCGATGTCGTGGTCATGCTGTTCGGAAATCGAGAATCCGGTCAAGTTCAATAAAACTGCTGGGCTTCCAAGTATGATTCCTCAATCCAGAATATTCACACAAAAGAAAAAGAAGAGCCGAGTCGAGTGCCTTGGACGCAGTAAGCTCGCTTCGGAATAAGTTGATGGATGTTTACCGCTGCGGTGATGATGCTAAGTGGTGGCTATCACCACATCTGAGTCAAGCCTCAATAAGAAAAAGGCAAGTATGAGTGGATAGATTGCTTCGACGTGTTTGCTGGCGACGGTTTGCGCACTGGAATTACTCAGATGCAACTCAAGAAAAGACCAGGTCACAATTGCAAAAGCAGAGACAACACGGTTGGTTTTGCTAGATTGCAAGACCAGAGCAAGGAATAACCATAGGTGATCCCATCAAGCCCTGGAATGGCGACAGGAACACAGTCCCAGTTTTGACACCCACTTTTACCCCGCATGAAAGGGATATATGACGGTGCGTTATCAACCCCTATGTCTTCCTGGCTGAATTGGCCGCAACTTTGTACCTCGGATAGTTAATAGAACCAGTTATAATCAGACTATAGACAACACAAGTAGTTATAATATAGACTATCGGTTGGCTGCGAAAGTCTTGACCAACCTCTGGCTGGCTGATTCCCCTCACAGTTATGTGCTAGCCATGCTGGACTCGATGAGATAAGAAAATTGCTGGGTTTGAAATGCTAAGGTAGGACGACAATGGTCCGATTCCTTCCAGTCGCACTCTATGGCGGTGAAAACGTGCCCAGTCAACTCACAAATGTTAGCACTGTTGCGTGTTCTCTGCATGGCAAATCCTGTGTCTGATGATGAATTACCTAGAAACTGGTTAGATGGATGGGTATGGGATTGGTGGCGAGGAATCAGGGCAATAGGCGGGAATTTCCTCTTTGATCAAGGCTCACTCGCGCGCGCTTCCACATTTTCATATACTGTATAACTTCCTTGGACAGCTCGGCCAAGTAACCTGTTATAGCCGGAATATAGTACCACAACAGGAAAGTGGAAGATATATTCCGCTGCAACATTGGAGGATGCAATTCATAGTAACAAGGGTTATTGTTATTCCTTGTGTCTTGTGTCCCGATTTATACAATCGACCGTCTGATGAGGTCGTCAAAATTAGTTGCTGACTGCCCAGTGTTATACTGGTTGCCCCCTACAAAAACCAGTAAGAGGTTTAGGGTTTTGGATTTGAACGTAGTCAATAGACTTCGATGATCATCATCGCGTGGTCTTGACAAATTGACTAGTCCTTCACGACTGTTCCTTTCAACGTCTATTTAAACTCAAGGTTAACATAGAATTAGCTTAAGACTGGACAGCCAAATGCACTGTTCTCAACTGAAATGGCGAATATTTTTGCCGTACCGCGCGGGATGACACCATTTGACTCGTATATAGTGCTACACGCAACATTCCCCGTCCTCTAGATACCTCCTTCCGCAATGGCTCACTTGCATGCATTGATCTGAGGGCACAACATCCCTGTGTCAATGTAGTGGCAATTGAATAGCCAAGAGTATGTGAAGAAGGAAAGTTCAAGGAATTAATGAACAAGAAATCATGAGCGATGGGCTGATAACGTGTTACTCTCGGAGTGGAGACGGGGGACGGAGGAGGCCGTTCTTCGTTATTGGCCGGTCCCAACTAGAAGCTCATGGTTATGTGTGGGGTCTAGGCCCGGAATTTCCACATTGATCAGGTCAACAGCAGTATGTTCCCGATACTTTTGTGATGGGAAGTCGTGATTATATTAGGTTACATGCAAGGTAGGTTGGTATGAATATCGATACTGCTGTGTGTTGACAGACAAGTATATATAACCAGCAGGACAATCCCTTGGGTTCTCACTCCTATGGCAGTGCATCCTAGTTTCCAGCCAACAAAAGCAGCGAAAGCCACAAGAAGTGTCTATCTCTCAGCCCAAACTTAGATCGTCACCGACATTCAAAATGCGCGCAGCCGCCATCCTCCCCGTGCTCTTTTCCCTGGCTGCCGCCGCGCCTGCTACGTCTCAGATCAAGGCTCGCGAAATTGTCTACACTCACACCTGGGATACTTGGCCTGACCAGAGCTACATTATCACTCCCGCCGCCCGTGGTTTTATCAGAGTCTTCCCAACCAACGCCACCCACGAGAGCTTCATCTTCGGCAACCTGCAAGCCCCCAACAGTGGTGTTACATACACCTATACTCTTTCCGGGCAAGGTATCGACACCGTCGTCACGAAGGCGCTGAGCCCGGGAGTCACTGAGACGCATGTTATTGAGACAACTACCAACTCTCCGGCTTTCACTATCAGCGTCGATCGCTATGGCCTCTGAAAAAGAGACTTGACTACCTGACGCTAGGCGCTCCATCGCGTCTAGCGGGGGCCCACAAGCAGCGGAGGGAAAGGGAGCGCGCGCCAATTACCAGGAAGAAGGGGACCGGACTTCAGCGTTAGGACACATCTATATCTGCCTTTGAAATTAGAGTCATTCACTCTTCACTGTTCGACCCATGGCTTATGCCCCTGACTATGATGTCGATCAAGAAACCTAAAGGGCAATTACAAGTGAAGCAATTGGCATAAGAAATTGCAAATGTGAGTTCGCATCGTCTAATGGTCTATGCATAGAACAAAAGCAAGGTCAATCTGGATGATTCGAATGGAAGCAGGAGTGGTCAACTGAAAGGTTCCACCTCTATATCTGCTCCGCTAATTTTTAGTCTACTAATAATCACCACCTCCCTACTTTATCCCTTTGATGCTCTGGACCTTGGTTTGCGGACGCACCGCTTGGAGGTTAGGTCGTAGTACTGGTGGGTAAATGAACTTTTGAAATGTAGTTAACTGCATAGATATAGTTGGAACCAAATTTCATGAGCTCATGTAACAATCTCTCAAAAAACTTGGAATGAAAACATGTTGAAAAGATGGCCATGTTTTGATTTTGGGCGGGCGATGGTATGGTAACTGTTTATCTGTAATTTTGCGGATATCTACGCCTTAAGGCTGTCGCACGGAATATCCGAAGGCACCCCCGTAGGGTTAACACAGTAGTCATGGTACCAGTACACCTGGTGTTCAGCCTTAGTCGACAGATTCGGCGCTGCGTCCACCGACTTGATGGTCTTGAGAACGGTGTACTGCGTCTTATAGCTACAGTATAATCATTAGATATTGAATCCCCACAGCCTATCTGTGACATGGGCTTACTAGATTTGCGAGCAGTTACCCGCCTTGAAGTTATTTTCAATCCGGCCATGAGCCTCGTAGACGGTCGCAGTAGCGTTGTTGTCCGCGATGAAAGTGGTGTTAGGGAAGTGCTGATTAGTCCCGTTAGTTTTCCAAGCCATCGTCTGCGAAGCCAAAGAATGCATACCGTCAGTGACATGCTGCCGTCAGTCGGCAGGAAGCGCTGCTTGCACTTGGTGATGGCTGCGGCGCCAACGCAGTGGATGCTCAACGTTGTCTGCATGCCATCAGGGGTGAAGAAGTCTGTGTACGCCGTCGTGGCGGTCGGGTCCTCTGCCGGCGTGACCAGGCTACAAAACGTCAGATTCCATCTTTTGAAAAGCCACACGAGTGGGGATTTACGCATTGAGGAAATCCTTGAACTCGGGCTGAACGCCAGGCTGGGGGTCATAATCGGTAAAGTCGATTGCCGCCGCAAAACGCGCGGCGAGAAGAGCAGGGAGAGCAAGCGAGAGATACATTGTAAACGGTCTCCAGCTGGAATAACGCAAACGAACGAAATTGAAAGAGTGACTTTAATGATAGCACAGATGGCGGGGTAACACGACCACGATCATAACTGGGCCGGACGGCATTTATAGATGGGTAATGCTGCCAAAATAGATTCAAAGTCACAGCCCTACGGAGTCCCAGCAACCCGCTGTTGCCGCAATGACCGTTTAGCATACAAAGCCCTTCATACAGGTGTCATATCGAGTAAAAGACAGCAGTTAAAATGATGCGCAGTGCCAAATGTTTACCGCGCCCCTGAATGCCTGCCCAATCCCTCGAGGTTCCCGACTCCTTTTCACCGTCCCCCCTTTTTCCGGCCGAAAGCGAGAAGATGCTATAGCAGGAAAAGTCAATTAGACGACGGCCAAAGTATGTTCCTAAAAAAGCAGGGAGCTAACGGGCCGCACAAGCCAGTAGCTACAGTTTGCCCCAAAATACACACTGAACCCGCGGGCCTGGTGCTGGGGTCTTCCCTGTCCGACATGGAATGATAGTTTACAGGGCCCCTCCCGCGAACCCAGTGCCGAGATCGCCTATCCTTCCTCCTTGTCGGACCGACCGGTTGAGCCGGGGCGCCCGATGGGTTCGGACGCTACGTGGTAGGGTATCTTGAGAGAGGATTACCACGGTGGGTTAACGGTGCTTAAAGAGGCCGAGGCCCGGTTGATGATGGAGGCATGTTCACGAACGACTTGATAGCAGCAGTTTACCAGTTTCTGTTCCAAGAGTTTACATTCTTTTACTGTTCAGTTCAGTATTGTTCGGAAGAAGGGAATCACATTAGCTAGTCATCATGAAAGCCACAACAGCTCTTTTCGCGCTCGCCACCGTCGTCAGCGCGGTCGATATGGCACCTTACAAGCCCGACGCAGACGTTGACGCAGGCTTCACGAAATTCGTCGAAGAGTAATGATACCTAACCCCCTGTCCTCACACCCCAGCCCCCCCATAGCCGCTTTCAAGTCTCCAGTTCTACGCGTATCTAACGCATAGGCAGATACTACCGCATATCGGAAGACAAAACAGCAACAACGTCATTCACGAACTTCTGGCCAGCAGACGGCCAACTCGTCATCGCGGGCCGCACGTTCTCCGGCTCCGCGGCCATCCTGGGCGTCAAGCAGTCCCTCCTCCCGCCCGCCGGCAACAAGTCCTGGTGGCACCTCATCCGTGGCGCGTCGGTGGCGGGTGAGTCTGATGACTCCAAGACTTTCGTCGCGAACATTGTTATCCAGACGACGTATGTCGGAGGTAACTGTTCAGAGGCTTAGTAAGTTCCGTCTCCTCCCGCAGTATGCCTAACTATCAAGGAAGGGGGGGGTATTAACAAGATGGTAGCGGCAACGCGAGCTTCACCGTCCTCAAGGACGCACAGGGTTCCCCGAGGTTGGAGCCGCACTCCGAGAGCCTGAGGTTGTACAACCTCACCGTCTCAACTACGCAGTCGCCCACCGACATTCCTTGTAGCTTAACATGAAACAAGCAAAGCGTAAATAAAAGACAACAGTGTCACGGTTAATGAATCATCAAGATGTAGATTTTGAAAATATTTCAATTCGGTCATAGGTCTTTCGTAACATGGGTAGCCACACGTATATATGTACATGTGTCTTTTTTTCGTAGCCTGAATATGCAAAAATAAAACAAGTTATGTCGCTCTCTAATGCCGTAAAGACAGTTTTTATCCAGGTGCCGTACCCATTCCACACTGGAGTGATTTCCGTTTCATACAAAACGCCGTCCAAAACAAAAAGGTTTATGGTATAATACCGCCGCCCCATATATATAAGATGCCGGTCGTTAAATCGTCGCACTTGAGAGAAAGGTATACACACGGAAAAAAAGAAAAGGTATCGTAACTAAATAATGTAACAGAATATCGATGCGCTTGAAGCCGAAAAAAACGTATAAATATTTTGGTTTGGTTGAGAAGCCAGTGTGTTTTACTGGCCCTTCTCAACGTCCCTGCTGTTCTTGTTGTCCTCGGGTTGAGGGGAGATGACGATGGCAGGGGCATCCATGATCTTGGACTCGCTCTTCTCAGAGCTGGAGGAGACACCGTTCTCCTCCTCGGCAGAGGCGGAGTCGCCGTCGGTGGTCTTCTTGCGGCGGAAAACGGAACCGATGGAGCTGAAGAACCTGGCCAGGGCACGGTAGACAATGACCACCGGTCTGCCCACCGTCTTGGCGATCTTCTCGAACCAAGGGTCCGGGAACAGACGGATGAGCACGGCCATGGGGAGGGAGAGGAAGGCGATGACAACAGAAACACCCCAGTGCTCCGCGCTGATGCCGCCAGGGGTGATGCGGAACGCCTTGCCGCCGACGTAGATGATGGCGACTTGGGCGCCGACCATGATGCAGTTGATAAAGATGAAGAAGTAGTTGCGGTGGACACCCTCAAAGATGTTGAACTTGTTGTCGAGGCGTCGGTTGTTGAACTCGTTGAAGATCTGCATCCACACGAAAGTGTTGAAGATCATGGAGTCGAGCTCGAGCTGCTGATCCTCGTTGCCGCTGTCATATCCGAAGATGCTGTTGCCGGCGAAGTGCAGAATGAGGGTTGCGGTAAGCTGGAAGATGGCCTGGCCGATGATCATCTTCCACATGTTGATGGTGATGAGAGGCGCCTTCTTGCCCTGCGGCAGGCGGTCGAGGATCTTTTCAGTCGGAGGGTCCGTGGCAAGGGCGAGGGCGGCGAAGGTGTCCATGATGAGGTTGACCCAGAGGAGCTGAACGGCGGTGAGGACGGATTCCATATTGGGATCGGAGACAGCGGTGATGAAGGCGAGGAGGACGGCAGTGATGTTGACGGTGATTTGGAACTGGAATCACCCATGTTAGCTAAAGAAATGATAAAAAAAAGTTTAGTAGAGATTTAGTCCACTTACCTGAAGGAACTTCTGGACGGCGTCGTTGACGGCACGTCCCCACTTGAGAGCCGTGACAATTGAAGTGAAGTTGTCGTCCATCAACACAATAGCAGAAGCCTCCTTGGCAACCTCAGTACCAGAGATACCCATCGAGAAACCCACGTCCGCGGCCTTGAGCGCAGGCGCATCGTTGGTGCCGTCACCAGTAACAGCGACGGTCTCACCAAGGGCCTTGAGGCGGGTGACCAAGATGCGCTTATCCTCGGGCGAGGAACGGGCCAAGACTTGCAGACGGGGTAGCTTCTCGTTCATCTCCTCCTCGGAAAGAGTCCTGAAGACAGGGCCCTCCATGATGAGACCACCTTCCGTGTAGATACCACACTCGGTAGCGATAGCCTGGGCAGTAACAGCGTTGTCACCAGTAACCATGCGGATGAAGACACCAGCATGCTTAGCCTTGGCCACAGCCTCGGGAACACCGGGGCGAACCGGGTCCTGGATACCAACAACACCGATGAAGACAAGATCGTGAAGGACATCAGCCAGGTCAACGTGGCCCTCAGAGGTAGCCTTGACACCGTGGGGTGGCCACTGGGGGAAGTCCTGGTAGATCAAAGCAATGGTGCGAAGGGACTGCTTGGCATAGGATTCGATGGTCGCCTCCAAAGACTGGCGGTCAGTCTTCTCCAGGGTCGAGATGGAAAGGTCAGAGACGTTGAGCTTCTGGCTGCTGTATCCCAGGAGAATCTCAGAGGCACCCTTGACAACGAGTCTGTAGCCCGCATTGCCGGGCAGCTTGATGACAGCTCCCATGCACTTCTTGCTCGAGTCGAAAGGCATCATCTGAGTGACCTCCTCGTTTGAGCGGGTTTCCGCCAAAGCCTGCATACCAAGATGGTCCTTGGCGAACTGGAGCAGTGCCGTCTCGGTCTTGGAGCCGATGAAGGTAGCCTGACCATCTTCCTCTCCCTCAAAGGCGGTGGAGTTGATTGCGACGGACTGAACAATGAGTTCCTTGGTGGCCGCTGGGAGAGTCTGCGCGAATTGTACAGCAGTAGTAGCCTTCTCGCCGTCGGAAGACTTGGAGAAGCTGGAAGAACCAAAGGTGCCGGCAACAACCGTCATCTTGTTTGTCGTCAGAGTACCCGTCTTGTCGGAGCAAACTGTCGTCGCATTACCCATGGTCTCGCATGCGCGGAGAACACGAACCAGGTTGTTTTCCTTCAGGAGTCGAGTGGTCGCAAATGCCAAAGCAAGGGTGACAGCCAGCGGAAGACCCTCAGGAACAGCCACAACGATAATGGTAATGGCGACAATCAGGATATCCATAAAGGTCGAGGCCTTCTCGGAGCTCGGACGGACGTCGTTGGGCAGCCCAGCGAGGAAACGGATAAGGAGAACGACGAACAAGAAGAGGGCGGCGCTGCTTCCAAGCTTTGCAATGGCCAGGGCGAGACCTTCGAGCTTCTTCTGCAGAGGGGTGGACTCAGTCTCGGTACGGACCGACATCATGATCTTTCCGAAGCTGGAGTTAGTGCCAATAGACGTGCAGACGAAGGTACCGACACCCTCGAGAACCTTGGCGCCAGAAATGATGAAAGGGTCCATGTCCTTGGACGCGTTTCCGGATTGCAGGGCGTTGAAGACGACATCGCCTCCGGTCTTCTTCAGTGCGTCGGATTCGCCGGTGGCCGACGACTCATCGCACTTCAAATCATGACCGCTGATGAAGACACCGTCCACCGGGACGAGATCGCCAGGCTCGAGGTGAATGACATCGCCAACCAGGATCTCTGCAACGTTAATCATGAAAGATTTACCGGACCGGATGACCTTGACCTCACGGTCCTCCTTCTTAGCATTAAGCTTGACAAAAGCCCTCTCCTTTTGCCAGTCGTTAAGAGATCCGACCAAAGTAACGATCAGAATGGCGACAATAATAGCAACACCCTCGACCCAGTCCACGGGCTGGCCTGCTTCAGGATCATGCTCGGCGCCAAATGTCTCGTAAAGACCCAGCGCCAGTGAGATGGCGGCAGCGACAGTCAGTAAAATGATGACTTTATCATTATACGCATTCCACATAAGCTTCCACAGCGGCGTAGCCTTCTTGGGAGGCAGGATGTTCCTGCCGTAAACTCGGATGCGATCGGTGAAACCATTGCCATCAGCATGGTGCGTGGCAGATGGCTGAGCACCCGAGGTGGCGAAGGTTGGCTCCTTGTGGCCGGTGGCCTCCTGGAAGCTGACTTTGCCACGGACTGATGCCTCATCCTGGGACAAGCCGGCCTTTACGTCTGTTTGCAGGCCCTTTTCGATTCCGCGAAGTCCGCCGAGGGCTAAAAATGCAGGCAGTGATTTCGGATTTAACAGTTTGTTCAAGTGCCCGGGGCTAAATGCAAAGGGGTTATTCTCGACGACAAAGTCGCCTTCCGTACCAGGATCGGGCCGGAGAGCAGCATCGGGGTCCTCGACGACGACGGTCGTGCTTGAGCGCATGCTTGCTGCGGCGCTGACCGCGGGTGTGAGAAAGGGATTTGAGTGTGTTGAAATCGGAGAGGGTGTTATAGCGTCGTCTTGGCTATCCCCGCGAGAATGGCGGGTATCGACGCGCAACTGAGGTGGTGCAAGAGACGCCATTAGCACCGATACAGTGTACTAGTCTGAGGCTGATGCAGGGTATTCTCATCAAGTTGTGCAAGTGAAATAAAAAGTCTTGGGTCGATGCTTGATATAGAGGGGAAAAAAAAAGCTTTTGTTATAACAGAGTTGGGCCAAGCCAGAATGGTGGCGGTTATAGCGAGGCCTCTCTGGTGAGAAGAGACAAAAACAAGGTAGTATATAGGTGTGCAAGGCTGTGTAGGGAGGCAAGTCTTGCGTCGCCCCCAGGTTGTTTGTGGGAGGTGGCAGAGTACTCTATAGCGTACCAGTTGTCCAGATGATTCCAAAAGACTGAGCGCCCGTGAGACTTGGCAAGCTATGGCTGCGCCCTCGCCCCGTCGAAAAGAGTTTTTGAGTCCTCTGGTTCACACCGAGCGTGTCAACGTGATACAGTCTGCCTGCTACGAGGCCGACAGTAAGAGGGAGAGAGAGAGAGGGAGGGAGAGGTATGAGGCAGTGCTAGGCAGGCAAGCGAGAAGGGGGTTGAATTTCGGCGCCGGACGTTGGTCCACTTCCCGAGGAAATGGGGTTTAAAGTTGTTAAAAGGTAGTAGCCGTAAGAGTAAGTATGTAGACAATTCAGGCTTGGGCAGCCATGATGTTGATAAGTTGAATCTTCATGAGTCGAGATTGGCAACCAAAGGAACAGAGATTTCAAAAAATTGTTAAGAGATGTGCTGCCGATTGCGTCTGGAACGTGAAGGACAAGCACTCGAGCGTGGCAGTGCTCACATCGACATGCCTTTCTTGGCAAGCTCAACAGGAGATGAAGTCAACCGAGACTCCACCGGAAGCGATGGATTGGTCAACCGAGAGGAAGTGATAGGTTGTGGGCAGGAGAAAAAGTCGCGCTTCACGATATCACAACAGCATATGGCGTCCTTGGCGGGGAAGCAGTGGGATGAGTGGTGTTGCAAGAGGTGATCAAGAGGGGAAGGAGGGAAGACTTTGGAGAGGAGGAGATCCGATGGAGAGGGTAGAATGACGTGCCGGGCAATTCTTTTCACATCCTGGGTTTAGTTGGTTATGTTGATTAGCAAAAGATTGGCTGGGCGAAGGAGGTGAGAGGGAGGTAACCGCCGGGGTCTTGGCTATTGAGGCTGTGCAAAGAAAAGTGCAAAAGGTCCCAATGAGGGAATTAATATGGAGTAGCGAGAAGCGAGCTCTGTTGGGTGGAAGCAGATGCGTGAGTCGGGGCCATCCTAGGACCGGCGTACAACAACGAGTCGGTCGGAAACAAACAAGGGGTTTAGATGGGGAATGGAGATTGGCAAACGAGTAGGAAAATGAAGCTTGGCAACCTTGAACAGTGAGCAAATGCCAATGTCTGGGCCTTGGCAATTTTTATTTTTTATTTCTTTATTTTTTTTGCTGATGCAAGTACACGGACCTTATCACGTCGTTTTGCAGCTTCAGAGAGGAGAAAGGGCTACAATAAAGAGAGACTTGCAGACAAGGCCGAGGACCGTAGACGGAGATGGCGCCCGATATTAGGGTGGCGGCCCCATCTTTCGTATCCTCCCAAGACCTGCGGCGTTCCATTCGGCGGGTGTGTGTGTGTGCACCTTTAGACTGACGCCGTTGGATAGGGTTGGTTTTTTTCCCTATCTCGACCGGTGGCCCGGTGTTGGTTCAGAGAACGGCGCATAAATGTCAATCATCTGGCGCTTGCCAGGGGGTGATCAAGACATGTACTATGTATTAGTTGCCGGGGGGGCAGACGGAGTGGTCCTTTTTTCTCCGATATATCACACCGTCTCTGCGATGTTGGGTCACACCTACAGGGACGGCCAAGCCGCAGAGAGGGAGAGATGAATAGAAAGAGGAAGAGAAAAATAATTTAAGTTAATAGCTTCATCCACGAGACAGGTCTTCACCTGTTGTTGTACGGACAGTGTCCGACAGCTTCGAGGAAAACTCACGGAGACCTACCGGCTGGCCACGGCGGGAACAAGGTGGGAGGGAGGGATTGTCGGGAAGCGGCGGGATTGGGAAGGCCGGAGGCGGTTTAGATAATGGGTGCATGCATCGGGTTCATGTCCGCTCACTATGAACACTAGACCTTTGAACCTTGAGGGGGGGGGGGGGGGGGGGGGGCGTCTATCAAGATTCGAGATCAACGTGGAGATGGGCCCGGAATGGATGGAAGTTTATGGTGATAGTGGAGTCGCGTGCCATGATTGATCCCACAGATGGAAAGCGAGGAGGAGTGAGTAGGGATATGAAAGTCCTGTCAAAGTGAAATAAGCACATAAGCACAGGCCGAGTCGAGCCCCGGAGAAACAGCAACTTGAGACAATGCCAACTGTCTTGGAGGTGTCGACAAGGTCGGGGTTGGTAAGAAAAGAATGGGGGAGAAGTGTGTGTATGTGTGTGACAAGATAGTGACGGTGGAGAAAGAAGAAAGCAAAAAGAAATAAAAACAAAAAAGAAGGTGTAGACATATTTCGACATTGATGGGCCAAGAAATGAAAGGAAAAAAAAAATAAAGGGAGTGGTCGCGCGATCCAATGTCACCGTCGAATCAAGCTCGAAGGTGTGCGCTAGTCAGCGCCAAGAGTGGCTGTGGCATGCAGCCTCCAAGGGTTTGATTGGCTCGTTTAGCAAAGCCAAGGGAGGGAGCCCCCATATAATCCCCGGTTTAGGTAAGCAGACGATGTACAGGGGCTGCACGTCCCTCCTTTCCGCGATGCTGGTCGACACTATTACCACGGATAGCATATCAGTAGTGATTGCTGATAGTAAGGTACGTAGTGGGGTACAGGGAACAAGGCACGTACTATGCACAAGCAATTAGTGGCAAGAGCGCCGTTCTGGAACTCTCAAGGGGTTCTCCCGAACCTTCCAGCCAATCGGCCTTTCACACACCATCAGGAAGGAGCTGTCATCTAATGCCCGAACATGGCATTAATTGAACCCGATTTGAACAGTTAATAGTCACTAATTAGTAGGAACGCATCCCCGGGTTTGTGGTCACAGGGTAAGCTATCTGGGCCGATATTAGACGCCTGCTTGTTTAGGACCGGGGGTGGAGGCAGCTATTAGCTTAGTTGTCGTTTTTGTTTCAATCTTTTCTTCACCCGCTACTTGAGATTCGACTCCGTCCTGTGAGGATGCTCCTTCATGAGCATACACTATGTTTCAGTCTGTTTTAGTCGTTACCATCCACCGGCGCCAATATACCATACTAGACCTTTTCCATGTAACCCTACCATTCAGTGGTCCACAGTTAGTGCCATATGAGACACAATATCCACCGTTAGGCACGTCAACCATTGTACATTCTCCCCTAATTAGCCACTGAGCTTCTGTCACTTTTCGATCGATATTAAGCTTTCACTTGTCTCTAAGCTTCAAGAACTAATCGTTTTGCTTAACCATCAAGCTCCTCCAGTAAGAGAAATCCCATGGGCGTTTCTTATCAACATCAGATGTCGCACCGCTCGAATTGGTGGTTATCTGCTGCAGTTACGAAAAGTCTACAAACCTTCGCACTGCTTATCTGAACGATCCTGCGCCGGTGTCCACTTGATACTCATCGGCTCTATCATGGAAATACTCCGAGTTAAACGCCACCTAATCTATCGCAAGTCGAGCCCGCAGATGGCTTACACTGCCCGGTGGGTTATGATATATACCTTGCTGTCGATTGCGCCCTGCTTATTAGGCCATTGCAATGGGATTGTGGTCCAAGAACCAGGATCCACGGATACCGCTTTGGACCCGCTATTCAGACTCCTTCCAGAGGAAAAAAAAAGTATTCAGAATGTTCGCCATGGTGGTCGGTAACTTTCGCCCTGATGTTTGCCATGCCAGCCAATGAGAATGTTTACCGATAACCTCATTGTCTAAAGAGAACATCTTTGGGGGTTCTTTACGGTACTGACACGCCCCAGTGGCAATCAAGCAACGGCCTAGTCTCTTTCGATGAACACGTCGATGAACTAACAATCATTACTGAGCCACATACAGGACGTCACCTGGCTGTGTTGTTACAGTTCGTTCATCTTGGACTCGTGCATGTTTCGCGTGTGCTGGTCATGACTACGCGGCCGGTGGCTTTGAACCTGTGTCGTGTTTCCCAACGTCGTTACGCATCATCACCATTATCATCATCTGGCCCTGAGACGTACGTGGTATCTGATGTGTAAGCAAAAAAATGACCTCGAGGTGTCTCTCACACGGCCAACATTAGCGCCGACAGTAAGTCCAACGTAATACAAGCCACATTCCATGACCATGCTAAGGTCAACTATGTTTCACGTTTTCAGCTCGACTTGATTTTCTGCATCCAACAGGGAGTAACTATTAAATTTCTTTATGAGCTTGTCTAATGTTTGATATTTCTGCCGATTGTGTCCAAGATGCCATGGCGATCTGCGTGACTTCTCTAGAACACTCCGTACATCATTAGATTACTCATACCTAATCGGCTGGAAGAATGTCCGAGGCCACTTGTATTCTGACGCAGAATGCTACCCTAATCAATGTGATTGGCTCTTGTTCCTGTCATCCAACCTCTTCATCATCCAGAAGTACCAGCAACGACGTGCTTTCAGTGCCAAGACCCGCTGAAGACAGCACTGCCCTCTTAAAAAGGACTGCACTGCCACTATTATTACTGCAAAATGACGTCGATTGTCTGAAAGCGCGCATTTCGCGCCATTTTCCCCTTGGTTTCGTAGTTGGAATTTCGGCGCCGCTTTGGTGTGCTGTATCAAAGTGTTGAAAAAGCTGCCCACCCCTCCCCAATCGACACGCCAAGGCCATTTGAGCGAGGCGCAGTTTGGGGGCAAATGCAGAAAGCCCGGTTGAGAACCAAGAATTCGGCCATTTAATGGAATTTTCTGGGTGGGAGCCGAGCGTTCAGCCAGTCTGGCAATGCCATGAGCGATTTTTTTGATTTTTTTTCTCTATCTTTTATTCCGCATTTGCATTTTACGAGCCGCCCTGGGGTTTCATTCTCTACGGATCTTGCCTCTTGTGACATTTCATCATCCCTGTTAACTGGTTGCAACGACAAATGTGATTGGATGTCTCAAACGCTTTTGGCTGCTTTTTTAATTTTGCAACTCCATCTCATATCTTGGCCATTTCTTGACCTTCCTCAAACCTGTGCAATATTACTGTCGGCCTGACCAGCTGGGACCCATGCAAGAATGAAAAAATGAAGTTGATGGTTTGGACAGAACGATGCCGTCAGACTTGCGTTTTAGACATGTGTGAGACGCACTTGCTGTGTACAGCCGTATCTATGTTTCACCGCAACGATTCTATACGGTAAATGCAGCCGACAGCGAAAACGAGAGGCTGACCCCTCCACGCGAGGAGGCTCTAAGGCGCACTTCGCTGACAACCGATTGTGAATTTCCAAGGGCAAAACGATGGTGATAGTAAGATTCAGCTGTTCAGGGTCCGTATCATCCGTATCCCCGAACTATTAAACGTTGTTACACTTTACATTTTCTGGATCCGAGGCGGAGTTTTGGAATTTGCCGGTTTTCTTCTACCATCTTGATCGACAAACCCACGTGGTGATACAACACAGCCTACCATGTCGATGAATGCCTGACGAATGGTTGAACAAGCGAAAACGAAAACGAGGGGACACGAGGCTTTGCACGAGGTGGAAAAGATGATGAAGAGCTGAGTTTCCGAGATTACATGACGACGCCGCTAGCTTCATGATGATTCCACTGTTCCTTGACAGAATTAACGCGTCAGCACAGAACGAAGTTTTGAACTGGCCCGAACGCAGCATCCTCGATAGCCTCTCCGTCCATATACCCATCCACGTAGACGTCTCCTATGAATTGGAACTTTCCTTCCAAGCCGGTCGGGCGGAGGATGATAGGTGTAGAACACCCGTGAGCAATTACAACCAAATCACCAACGCCCATGTAACCCGTTCCCATACCCATTTTGGTTTGTCCCTCGCCTTCTTGGAGAAGACAGAAGCAACGGCCCATCATGCGGTCCCCAAAGTACTCCTGAAAGATCCGACGAGCTTTGTTCTTCTCAAAATCGAATTCTTTGTCTCTGTACATGTATAGCTCTTCGTCCAAGGGCAACCTACTCAACCGTTGTTGAAGAAAGGCCGCGAAGAGGTGGAAAGATATGTCAATCCACTCTCCGTCGTCCAGTTGCCGTTCTCCTGAACCGAGATCAAGCGTCGAAGGGACATCCCCTAGGCACAACGTTTTGCAGAAAGTCTCCCGTAAAGACTTGTCCCAACCATCGTGCTCGTCCATTAGCATGTGTCTCCATTCCAGAAAAGCCATGAGGTAGTTGGTCAGTCTGCCCATTGTACCGACCGCCATTCCCCTCTCAAATATGGTACCCAAAGTAATTCCGGTAATGGGAAGCTCGTTGCGTAACGGCCATGGCGCCAAGTTCGGGCTGTACTCCCATTTTGTACCTTTCGATGCTTGAAAAGCTGTTCGGTGCGCAAGCTGAGTGGCCGCCAACGATACCGTGTCCGGTGCGTGAGACCAGTCCGGCACCCAGCTAGGGAGATCAAAAGTATCTTGATGAAAGGGATAGTGGATTGCTTCGCATATGATGTCCAGAGACTCGGTCTTCAATATTATGGTGGCAACAATATCCGTGTAAGCTTCTTTCGGGGTGTGTTGAAACTCTCTGAGAAATGAGTTGCTCGGGAGCAGGCTGAGAGCCCCGAGGACCTTGTCCTGTGGTTGCGCAGCCAGCTTGCTTCTACATATGCGCATGACCGTGAGTGGTTTTGGTAGGCTGGGCTCCAAAGCTTCACCTGACAGTCCCGACTCCTTGTTTCCCACCGAGGCCGTTTGGAAACGCCTTCTCCGAGGATCAAACAGACCTTTGGGGCCCTGGGTTGTTAAAATCTGAGCAAAAGAGTAATGACTTTTCGAAAACCGACTCGCCGCACCTCCTGGAGGATATAACTCGTCGACTCTTCGTTTCCAATGAGGCGTGCTGAACTGATCCACAGTCTTCATCAGGGCGTCCCAACCGATTTTGTCAGTGCCACAATAGATTTCGATCCTTTGAGCATAAAAGACTTCTTGCATTACCCACAACCTTTTCCAATATGATCTCTCAAAAAGACTGACTATCGCCTCAACTGCAGGCTTTGAGTTGATCAAATCCCCAATCAGGGCTGGAAATGGTTCCTCTTTTGAATTTTCTACAACGCCAAGCAACGATTCGAATGCCAAACCACTCTTCTCCGACGCCGAGGCGGGCCCTAGCCAGACAGCTACACGCTCAGCTGTTGCATATATCTTATCCATGATCTGAACTTGGCGGCTAAGCTCCTGAATATCGGACTGGTTGATCGAGATAGCATCAGCCCACACCCAGATTGCGTGCACTGAATCCCGAAGAGCTATTAGGGCGTCGCGCAAGCTAGTCGTCACCATCCTGGGTCTTCCATCGATAAGTATCCTTACGTTGTCCCTGCGGTCTCCCCAGGCATACGAGATTGCGGTATACGCTGGTATATTATCCAACCCGAAAGTACGTAGGCTACACTCGATATCTGAACCAGGCTCCGAGGGTTCGACGAGCACTAACCTGACTTCTTCGGAAGAAAGGGTGTTGTCGAGATCAACAGCACGAGGTCGTGCATATCGAGCGACGGGCCGAGATTCCATGCGTGAAGATTCAGGTCGAACCAAAAGAGGGGCGATGGTAATATCTGTGTAGTCGGTGACACTGTAATTCTCTCTGGATTGCCTTCCAGGAGAAGGCCTTTGAAACCAGTATGAATTCGCGTCCCTTTTACCAAGGCTTCTCTGGGCATGTCTGTCACTTCTAAATTCTTCCATGGCACTGGATGTGCGTACGATTCTTTGCTTCCAGTTGGGAATCGTATCGCAAAGATCTCTGAGATGGTTCTGATGGCAAAACTTATACTTGGGTTGCGAAGTTTTCGGATGCCTAGCAGCAGCTTCAGCTGGAAAAAGGGTCAGTTTGCGGCTGAGTGCTGCTTACATTACGAATATGAAGGCTGCAGGGTTGTCATTCGCCTCCTGATCCGTTGACAAAGCAGTGTGGTTCAGGCAGCAGCAACAGTCGTGATCCAGTCAAAACGAGCCTCATCTTTTCCAACCTGGGTTAATAACAGTTGAATCCATAGCAATAACGTCTCATTCATTCATTGGTTTAATAACAGTTCTGATACAGAGCAGGAAAAAGAAAGAAGGTAATATCGTCAAAGTTTAAAAACAGAGCATGGGAGCTAATATTCCACTAATTCACTCGCAGCACAATAACAGTAGCCTAAACTACGAGGCCCTTTTTTTTCTTCGTTTACTTGTTAAATTTCTTAACTGCTCTAGAATAAAGTAGTGTATTACCAAAGGTGAGAGTTAACTAATTGCCAAAGCGAACCATGCCATGGGCCTGGACACTACAAGGCCAAGTGTCTAGAGATGGCCGTGTAAGGGGGAATCCAAGGGGCACGCAAGGGGCACTTTGGCAAACCAGGGGCAGACTGCTTCCTGCCAAACCAGTAGTCTACAAGAACGAGGAGTCCCAATCCCCTGATTGATTGGAAGGGCCAGAGAAGACCACCTAGCCAGCGTCTTCTACTGACCTGTTCACTCTGTGCCATACTGTCCCTGATACAACACATGGTATCCAACGACAGAAGGTACCTCACTATCACCAAAGACAGTCCTTTATCAAACAGGTGTAAGCTACATCTGGAGTCAAGGTGACGACACAATCAAATAGGTAACTCCATCATATGGGTAAACAAGTAGCCGGTTGTCAACCACATTAAAGTTGTATCCTGATACTCTGGCTCCGATAAAGTACCAAATGACGAGGAATTTGTGTATAACACGACGATACAAAACCGTGGCATTTCACGAGCACTTTGATAAGATTTCAAAATACAATTGTCCTCAAATATCCGAGGCACGTCCGTTGAGAGCGAACACCAAGTAAATGCCTTCCAAAGCTCGTAACGAGAGAGCCAAGAATGAATGAACCGGAAATTGGCGATACTCTAATTTAACGATTTCGAGCAGTTGAACTGGTAAGTATGAACTTGTAGTGACCATCCTCTACGTGCGCGGTACTCCGTCCGGGAAATGCCGAATGCCAGCTTGCATTATCAACGTTCAGGTATGGTACTGAAATGCAAGACTTACCAAGTTGATGCGCTTGATACAACAACGACATGTGACTGCAACAATAAGCTAGGTACACAGTGGAATATCACGGCTGATGAGTAGTGGTCCAGGGGCAAGCTGAAATTCCCAATGAAAGGTTGAATTAGCGTAGAGTAAACTTGACTGGAAACTAATTAAATCACTGATGCGTGCGGAACTCAGACCACTATAAAACAAACCTGCTTGCGAGTTCCAGTACAGAACTAAAGCGCCCCAACAACATTCGACTGAGTATGTTAGTTTAAAACACCCAAGACATTGGCTCCTGCAGGTTGGACCTGAAGCAACAGAAAGATTGCAGTATGAATTGCTGATTCGTGGCTTGCTAGTTCTCCGGTTTTGACAGCGGTGGATTGGTATCACGATGAGTATGGAAACGAGTGAATCGGGCTAACCGAGTTGAAGTGGCTTGCTGGATATTGAAATTGTGTAGCTGTGGGATTCTATACCATTTTAAACACATTGGATTGCTAAGTCACGGACTCGCCGCAATTGGTTACAAGCACAGCTGCGGTCGGAATGTGGTGGTGAAACATGTCGGTTTGCTGAACCTTACGTCAATCTCGATCGTGTCTCAGCCTGTGTCTCTTAATTTCCAGATATCAGAATTTTTGTGCCTTGAGATGGAAGCCTACACCCAAATCAAAAGGGTGGACGGATGTGGCTTGCTGAATCTCTGCTGCTTAGCTTGATGGGGTAACTTTCTGGATTGCTAACTTGACGCATACTGAAAAAAATAACAACAACAATCACGAGTGAGGAGGCATGAAACGAAGAAAATAAGCGAGCAACAAACTTTTATCGTTTGATCTGTTGTCTCTAATATCCACAATCTGCTAGGAGGTCACGTTTGTCAGCAGTTGGCTCAATAATCTCATGCCAATCCGGGTTCGACTGGGGATATTATGCATTTCTACAAGCCTCTGAATGGAAAGAGGCTGCGTAACGGGGCTTGCTGATGTTTTTCAGCCATGAAATATCATCGCGATTTATGTCGTCTTCCCCTTAGATGTACCTATGAGATTGTCTAGTTGAGATGTATAAGAAGAGGCCACTTTACATGGGAGATTTCCTCAACTACACACTCAAAACACCTCATTGAAAAGACCTCTTCACTTCACTTGTCAAACCCAAAACTATCCTATTCTTTACATCAACCATGAAGCCCGCATCTTTTGCCATTATTGTTGGTAGCCTTGTCGCCGGTCGAGCGACTGCATCTCCAGCGGAGGAGCTACATGGTCGCCAAGCTGGGTGCGATCGAGACAACTGCCTTCGCGCGGTTGCGGGCCTGCGCCCTGGGGCCGAAGTTGCTCTGGCTGACTGCTCATCATGGATGATCATCACCGAAACTCCTTGCCTGTCAACCGTGACTCAAACAGCAACCGTCACGTCATTTACCACCACGGTGGATCACCCTTTCCCGGGTCTTAGGAAGATGAAGCGAGAGGAGCTTGAGGGACGCCAAGCCTCATCTACTGCAGCCGCTGAGCCATCCTGCGTGCCCTTGCAGAATAGCCCGAGCAACATGCCAGCCTACATTCAAACGGCTTGCCAGTTAACCATCGGCTCACTCGTCCCAACGGCGCGCTACTCGTCCGCTTGCTCGTGTGATGGCGTCTTAGCCACAACGACCACACTACCGGCCTCCTCGACGACTGTGACAAGCACTAGTACAATTCTAGCAGCTTATACGCCCACAGAGGTACCGGATGCTTTCATTCTTCAATCATCCGGTGACGGGAGCCTGTACGTGACCGTTGAAGGCAATGGTGCTATACGCCTCATCAACGACATAACAGCTGCCTCACCATTCTACCTCGACCGTGATGGGCAGCTGCACAACTTCAATAGCCGAAACAAAACTTTGGTAAATTACTATCAGCCTAATCCCGCCGCTGCCGATAACAAGGTGTACAATGACGTACAGAGCGATGATAACTACCGTATCACCTGTAGGGAGGTGATTCTTGGCCCGAATACCATCCACGGGGACTGCGAATCAAGCAGCTCGTCGGAGGCCAGTTCAGTTGTGCGCGGTTTTATCTACTGCCCGGATGAGGGCGGTTACCTTTACATGGGTTCGAACTGGACGAGCATGCGCTGTGTCAGCGGATATTTCTTTAGGGGCTTCCGGCTGCAGGCGTACACAAGCAACTAGACAAGTGGAATTGATCTAACTGTCAGGTTTGAACTTTCTGTTACGCCTCGATTCATATTTAGGTCTTTTTTTTTATTAGTCAAATTCCCTTTGTTAGTATTGAATCAGCTCTGGAGGAAACTGGGAGAAGAAAGCGAAAAAAAAAAAAAAAAAAAGGTCTCATTTGTTAGAAAACGTGTTCAATTAGAAATACTAATGAAGATGGTCAGCTGCGTCCTTTTTCAAACAGCTTTCCTTTCACAGATTGCTAGTTTATAATAAATGTGCGAGCAAAATTTGGTCAGTTATGCGTCCGTGATAGTCTTCTCGAGCATTTGCTTGAAGACTACATTTCGTACGCAGCATGTTAATACTCTATGACGGAGCGTGAGCAGATAAACTACCGCGCATTCTCTCGGTCGACAGGTTTACCTTGTAAGACCGGAGTTCACGGAATCCTCGAATGGTGATGAGATGAACTGATCAGCAGTTTCATGTACCTACCAGTTTATGATCAATATATTGTGGATTGGCTTCTTTTCCAGCACGAACCTCATAAGCTGAGAAGCCCCCACAAAAATTTCATGTGTCAGACGAAGTGCACATTGAGATGATGGGAGTGCGTGATTCAAGGTTTCCCCTTGGATCAAATCATGCTGTCTCGACGCATCGGGAGTTTTGAGAGTGTTGGCTCCACCAATCAAAATATAAAAAAACAGAATGCGCTGCCTAAACTCAATTGTATTATGTGTTCTGTTTAGTGGAGAAGATTCCCGTCTTAAGCTTCATCTCTCGCCGTTTAACTTCTTGATTTCAGAGGATGTTGGTTCAGATGACAACTGAATAATTGAAGTCGGGAACTCCTCATCATGATTGCTAGCTCCAGTGATTTCAATTCATGTAACAATCACAGTGTTCTGTACTTTATTTGTTATTTTCGATATCGGTTGTCGAACCTCGGATTGCCGGGAATTGCATGTCATGCCAAGGCTTTGCCAAGACCGTAACAGAAATTGCTTTGAAGAACCCATCAAAATGCTTCTGCTGGCATAAGTCCGTGTCAAGAGACCTTTTTAGTTCCATCTCGCCAAACAAACGTTAACCCCTAAGATATACTATGGTTGCACCAAACAATGAAATCTCTACAGGAAAGGGAAGATCTGGCGAAACCAACCGCACTTTCAGGGTTAAGGTAATAGCTTAAACATCGACGAGACTTCTGACAGGCGAACTTGTCTAGCTTAGGCAATCGACCATCTGCACAAGCAACGCTCTCTGACAGTGTCCAAGAGATATAGATTGCTCCAAAAGCTTAATTAGTGAGAAGAGATGCCGAGTCCATGACCATGGTAGCCTTGGCACTCGGCGAGACTGACAATCGGCTGTTGGTGGGATCAAGTATGTGGAAATACGCAAGAAAAACAACTTTTTGCCAATATCTCGCAATTATCTCATGCATATGGAATTCTTATGCCACCAATGACAGGAAGATTCACTGCCTAGGATTCCGTCCACCGGCTGGGTCTTGATCCAAACCAGGGCTCCCGTGCCCCGCCCACCGGCAAATGTGCATCAAAAGCTACCCAAGTTACTCATTCCGTATGGGCTTTGGTGGAGTCAAGAAGCCTCCCCACATTCAGATCGTGCTGGGACTACACGTGAGTACGAGAGAAATATCATTTGATGTGGTGTGGCAACGCTAACCCGAGTGTTCTACGACTCAATTAGGGTCTCAAATATATGTGATACAGATGCCTCTCCACTTGACGAATATAAATTAAGCACCAGTCGAAACTTTGTTGACAAGCTTCTTTGTAGTTGGTTTGCTTAAATGTTCGTAATGTGCCTACATAGTACATGTAATCGTGTTAGCGCCAGTAATCTCACCGGTTTCAGCTAGTCATCTCTCCCGTAGCTAGGGTCCCCAGAGAAAAATAAATAGCTATGTGGAGGGCATGTCGAATGAGAACATGAGCTGCTGTCTGGCGAAGAGTTGCCATTCGCGGAATGTTTAAGGTTACATGATTCGCAAACCCATACCACACTTTATTTTTTTAAGTCTTGTAATCTCTCGGCGGGTGGAGCTAACTCTGTGTAGATAGCGAGGTCATGTTGAAAATAGTTGGGCAGCACGGAATAGCCGTTTGGTCGGAAGCCCCTTGCATATCATACAGAAACAGCGCCTGTTGAAGACAGTCAAGATCACGTATATAAAGTGTGAACGGGTAGCGTAGTTCTCAGGTTCTTGTAGCTTCTGACAGCGACATTTTCATACTCTTCAATTCTTAGTTTACTTGGTCTTTTAAACAACCTCCTCAATCACTCCCGATTAGAAATCGGTATTTCAACATGAAGTTCACTATTGTCCTGGCGACGTTGTTCGGAGGCCTTGCGGCTGCGTCTCCTACTCCCGCGAAACAGCGCGAAGGAAAGGCTTCGGCGGATAAGACAGCATCTTTCAATGACAAAGCAACTTTAGGCTATGCTACCCTTAATGGCGGGTAAGAAATGAATTCAAGGCTAGACAATCGACACCAGCTCACAAGTCTGCAGTACCTCCGGCGGTGCCGGTGGCCCAGTCGTTCGCGTCTCTACCCTTGATGACTTCGCCGCTGCCGTCAGTGAGAAGGACAACTCGCCCAAGATCGTCGTTGTCGAGGGTCTCATCAAGGGTAGTGCCAACGTTCGCATTGGTAGCAACAAGTCCATTATCGGCCTTCCAGGCGCTGGTCAGTTATCTCAACATTGTTAGATTACAAAACGAGATCGTTGATTTTCTTTAGGTTTCGAGGGAATCGGCCTGTATGCTCGCCGCCAGCATAACATCATTCTGCGAAACATCAAATCCAGCAAGGTCCCCGCCACCAATGGCGACGGTTTCAGAATTGACGTAAGTTGGCCTAAAATGATTCAACTTGAAGTCCGCAGACTAACATTTTGCCCACACAGGAAACCACCAACGTTTGGGTGGACCACTGCGAGTTCAGCTCCTCTCTTGACCAGGACAAGGACTTTTATGACGGCCTCGTCGATGCTTCTCACGGTTCTGACTACATTACCGTTTCTTAGTAAGTTCCGAAGACACTGGGATTCCCGTTCCACTTCTAACATACAAAAGCACTCATTTCCACGACCACTGGAAGACTTCTTTGATTGGCCACAGCGATACCAATGGGGCTCAGGACAAGGACCACCTTCACATCACCTACGCCAACAACTACTGGGCTGATTTCGGATCCCGAGGCCCATCCGTTCGCTTCGGTACTGCCCACATCTACAACTCTTACTACCTGAAGTAAGTTTTGATGCAATCTGCAGCTTTAGACACAAAAGGAAAAATGTGATTCTAACAATTTCCAGCGGACATACTTCTGGTATCAACACCCGCGAAGGTGCGCAGGTTCTCGTTCAGAGCAACGCGTTCAAGAACGTCCTCCTTCCTATCACCACCCAGGACTCTAAGATCAAGGGCTTCGCCAATGCCATTGACAATGACCTTGGTGGTGCCGAAAACTCTGCCCCGGTTGGCAGCCTGGACGCTGACTCCCCCCCTTACCCTTACACCCTTCTTGGCTCTGCCAAGGTCGAATCCACTGTCCCTGGACAGGCTGGCCAAAAGCTTACATTCTAAACCACGGAGACGCAATAAGTCCCGAATTTTCATACTGCCAAAGTGTCGATCATTTAAACACCATTTTCCTACCAGATTAACTTACTTCTAAGGACATTCGGCATGTGGCATGCGGATAGTTCAGCTTATCTTACTTGTAGATACTTAATTCAATTTGTACATGTCATTTTCACGCTGATGATATTTTTGAAACTCCCACAACTTCTACAATATTTCGAATCTGATCTTTTAGATGAAAGATGGCTCTGAATTAAATTTCCAGTTGCAAAAGTTGAATATGCTCCCGGTCTCCGCAAAGTCTGATTATTTCGGCGACAAAACTAATCATGTTGAGCTATTCTTTTAGAGGACACTGGTGACGATCAGCCATATTTCAGGCTGCACGCATGCATTCTTTTTTGTGAAAGTAGATTTCAATTTTTCTCGTCTCACTCTGATAAAAACAACCGCAATTACAGTCATGAGCACCCAGAGTAAAGAGATTTTTAAAAACCTAGGGGTAGAGAAACCTAGCCGGCTGTGACTGTCAAAAATATCACTGTATGCTTCGTGCGCTCTCATGAATTATATATTATTTGTCAGGAATGAATCAAGCTACTTTCTTAATACACCACAAAACATAGATTCTTATCTGAACTCCTTCTGATCGTGTTGTTTTGATGGATCAGACTCAGCTTACTGGCTTTAGAGTCTACGACCTTGAATCCGTCAACACTTTGATATTTCTCTCTATGAATACTGGCTGGTCATAGAACGGTTCTTGCCTGACTCTGAATCTTGTTTATGCGGAGAGTTGCACAACGGGTATGACGAGCCAGGGCCATACGAAAGGCTAGATTTCGTCGATTTCGTTTGGTCTCCGCTCTCAACATGAGATTTATCCCGTATCATAGAACTACAAGGGGCAATCCACTTGCGTATTTTGCTGCATATGGGTCGCAACATAGGGAGGCTGCCACATATCATTGCGAAATTGACCTCAATGAGTGACCAAATGACAACATCCACATTGTCCCCTGGGGAATGCAAATCAGCAATGTGAAGAGATAACGTGATTTTAAAGCTGGGCACTCACAGGTGGGGTCAAAAGAATACTCAGCATATGAGACCAAATACTTGATTCGAATCATGCTTGCAACGCATGCACTGTGACTTGTCAGCTCTCAGGTTCGATACTCCCTAGAAGTTTGGGCTTCTATTAACTTACAATGAGCCTAAGGTTAGCAACAAAATAGACAGCAACTTTTTTCGTGTTTCAAGTTTCAGCTTGATCAGCTCAGGAAGCGGTAAAATAATGAGAATGACGTCGTATGTCAGGGTACATGCAGCCCCTGCAAAAGCTATGGCCGTAAGATCAAGACAGTGGCCGTGTATCGATCGATCCCATATCGACTGCATTGGGAAGCATTGAAAAAATAGTAGCAATAGAAAAAGAACATTTTGTACGACAAGAAGGACAAGAAGGGCTATTACTGTCTTGCGAAACCACGGTGTAATGAATATCCGTAAGTAGAAAAAGCAGATGGAGGCTTTGGCAGCGACCCTAAACTGAATTAGCCTTATGTGTTTTACCTAGATGAATGAGGAGGACGTATCATACTGCCTCAAAAGATATAGGAACTGAGTAACGTAGAGCAACTTCATACAGATATTAGCCGTAGACCTACTTACCAAAGGGGTTAGATGTTTCCAACCTTAAGAATGGGTATCGCATTTTCTGGCTCGATATTCCAGTAGTGCAAACCGAAGCCAAGTGAAACATCTATTCAGTTGTGAAATCAGTGAATCTGTTTGTTGATGGGCTACTGTGACGAAGGAAGTCTTACGGGCAACACCACAACCGACTGTAACCAACATGGAGACCTGCAGCTGTTAATGTCTGTGGCTTGAATACTGCACGTATGGTCATTTGTGGAAAAGCATTACCAGAGCCATCAATGCTGTCCAGTCATCCCACCAAAGCTTTATTTTAGCCATTCGCCTCGCGATAAACCGAAGTACAACAATAGCAACAGTGAATACTGGGAGAGTGCTAAAGAGTAGTCGACAAGATTGGCGGCGATGTTCATCAACTGGATACCCCCGGCAAAGCTCTCGTGACGCTTGAGCAGTAACTGATGCGGAAAGTAGGAAGTAAGTTTGACAATCGTCACGTCAAATATAAAAGAAGAACACGAGAAATTGCAACGCTTACTTATTTGATCTTGAAACTCGCAAGATGTCTGAATGCACGCCGATGCCTTAGCTTGAAGGGTAATGTTGTTGCAAACACAGTCCGACAGCCTGTCAAGGGTGCATTCTCCCATCCGGAAGACCTCGAGAAGACATGGCGTCTGTTATGCATGAGAGCACTTCGGTTAACTCTCTGTACGATGAAGCCGTCTCATAGCAAGTGATTTCTCGAGACTAGTAATTTTCCTGGTTTGAAAGTAATGTCTACTTACCGAACAACTCGGTGATTTTGTTATCAAGGCAATTGGCGAAACTTCTCTTCGATCTGGATTGGCCGCTGCCTGTACCGCTACAGCAAAGCAGAGTGAGACACTTATCCAGGCGAACATGCTTTTCCTCATTCTCGGTTGTGTGTTTTCGGGAAAAAAATCCACCAGCGATTCTTAACTTGTAAAGGAAACAGAGAAGGCGGTGTTTTGCTAAATATGTGGCACGCGGCGTCTCAATTCATGGATGAATGCTCCTATGTGGCGCATGAAGTTGATGAAAACGGGCATTGAGACGGGCGGCGAATCTGTGATATCCCGCTTCTAAACGCCACAGTCTGAGGCCTGGTCATGTTATTGGTCGAGACAATCATCGTATGATGTGCTCCAGTCTGTGTAGAATGCTTGTATCGACAAAGCTAAAAAAGTGCCAGGCCACTTCCACCCGCAGACACTTTGCTTCAAAGAACTTGTGAGACATGACTATTGCATTAGAGTTTTAGAAGCCTATGATGAACAGTCGGTGCAGTGATACTAGACGCCCATTGAACGAATATGCAAAAGTAGCAAGCAAGCAAACTTTGCTTGACTGGGCTTGGCCGCAGTCGGTTTACAGCATCCCTGCAACAAGTTTAGTGTCAGACGCGAACCTATGAAATTGCCATGAGAGGGCGTATTCTTTAACGAGTCTTTTCCATCAACAAGGTCGCTAGGTTTTCTCTAACTGACCGATTTGGGTTTCGAGTGCTAGGTGGCTGTAAAAGCAGCTAGATGTCGGCCGTCAGGCCATATGACATAAGCTTGATAGTGTGGCTATGACTGTTGAGAGAAGCAAAACTTACACTTGAGCAAGGTTCAGAGGCATTTGTGGCTCTAAACTGGTAAGTACACAGAGCCTAATGATGGTGTTGTGCGTTTCCAAGAAGCCTACTGGCTGCATTATATCTAGACCTTGCGCTTTCCAATTTCTCCAGGCCTATCACCGAAATGAACTAGGTAATGAATGTAATTCTATGCTGGACATTATAACAAGCAGTGAACTAACTGTCTGAATGATTGAAATGCCCTAAAATGGACAGCGGATGAGAGCGATGCCTAATGGAGACGTAAAATGCTCTGAATGCCAGCCTTTCGAAGACATTCTGTCTCGTTCAGCTATGCAACAGCAGAAACTATCTCCAACATTGCAAAGATTGTGATTGAGACCACCCTGTCGACTTTTTTCACTGGCTCTTTTGTTCACCACAGCTTTTCCTCCTAAAAATAAGACGAACTCGTCGCCGCATCAAGTTGAAGATGCGCTGCTTCATAGAAGGCATCTTCTCATGGGGCAGGATTTCTGGAGTAGTAACGACAGGAATTCGCATTTCGAATGAGGCAGGAGGTTGAAAAGGCTCACAGTGGTCCTCGTCGGTCGCAATGCCAGGGTTCACCTCGATTGCGTCGACTTCATTAACAATGCGAGCCATTTGACGCCGGATAGCCTGGCGTGCCTGATCAAGCCCATCGATAGTTGCCTCAAACGGGCTGTTGTCTTCAATATAGGGGTAAAATCCGTCTTTCTTCGTGCTTGACTCGGTGGTCTTCGCCTGCACTGTAACTGCAGAAGTAGAAGAGGCCGACTTTTGGGCACTGTCCACTTTCTCAAATACCTCAGAAGCTTCCTTTACTTCCCACGGCACAATTTCCATCGTTTTCTGGCGGACTTGAAACATTTGGTCGGAGATCTGCTTATATAGCGTTTTGTAACTCATGAACGACTCCATAAGCATATTTGTGTAAATCTGCGCATTCTCATACTGAAGTTTCGAATGAGCTGGTCGATGTTTTGTGATGAAGCTTCTTAGGTTTTCGTACTTAGTAAGAATAGCGTACGTCCTCTGGGGGCACTCTGCCACGAGATCAGGGAAGCGTGTTGCTGCTTTCATGAGGCTCTTAATATCCCATTGCTGCTCCATAGGTTTTATTCGTCCACCGCCACACCAGCTTACTTGAATCGTAGTCTCCGTGTTAGACTCGATCTTATTTCGAGCAATAGCAATGTTAGACTCGGCTTCAGGACCCATGGGGCCAGCTGTGAAGGCAATCTTTGCTTCCTTCTGAAGATCCAACTTCTCAGCCTTGTCAAGAATCTTCATGCTGACGACGGCGTTGAACTCGCCTCCCTCTAGGAATCCAGAGATGAACGTGTCTCCATACACTTTTTGAAAGTTTTCCTTGTTTACTCCTTGAATATCATTGAAATGGAGCGCGTCCTTAAAGTTAATAGTCTGGTTGACGACCTTTACTGAAATGTAAAACGTCAAATCGGACTCCTTGAATTTGTCGCTGTCGATGAAAGAGCCTCTGCCGTTGCCGCCAATCTTGGCAGCCTTGATGGAGAGAGCGCCCGAAATACACATATCGTCCGTGATGTCACTCAGACGGTCTACAAACCGACTAGTGTAGGTGACAGTTTGACTTGGCCCTCGCATTATGCTGGCGTCAAACACGTATTCATGTTCATCGCGGCCCATGCCGTTCAGTCGCCTGGGGAACTCGTTCTGTTTCAGCATGGCTAGCATTTTGCCCATAGCAAGGGCCTTGCCCTTGTCATCCGTAGCGTTGTTGATGGACCTGTACATTTCCATTCGGCACTCCCTCTCGAAGCGGCGTGTTTCCTCGCGTATCTTTCGACGCTCTTCACGAGCTTCCTCCCGGCATTTTTGGTTCTCAGCACGCATTTCCTTTTCAACCTCTTTTCGGTGTTCGCGCTGCTCCTGAAGCCTTTCATTTTCGATTCGACGGAGAATGGCTTGATCTTCATCATCTGCGACCATTATCGCGGTGTTGACAGATGCCAGCCTCGCCTCTGGTTTGTGCCAGTCTGCAGACTTGTGGTCTTTTGTTGATGCAACAGTGCAAGTTCCATCTTGCGGGCAAACACAAGAGGCAAGCTCAGTCTTTTCAGACATGCTCTCCTCGGTGACGCTCTCTGCAACATTTTGTGATTGGTGCTCTGTAAACTCAGCAATTGCATCTGACGCTCCTTCCTTTCCTACAGCTTTGGCAGTTGGTGATCCATCTTGTGTTTGGGCACGTACACCTTTCCAAGCGTTATTTACTCAGCAACTATAAGTAGATGGGGGTTTCTTACGCTCGATAACCACGGAGGTCTTGTTAAAGTCAGCTTGCATTTCCGGATACTCCTGGAGCTGAGGGTGATGGGAAAGGTCTCCGAAGCCAGTATAACGATTTTCAACGACCACTTCCTTCTGGCGTGTCCAAGCTGAACACTTCGCCATTGATTGGGCAAGTATTCGCATAGTTGTGCCATCATTTAGAAGGATATTCTCGGCGCGGTCATTGTTAACTACCACGGCGTCATCGACACAGATTTGTTGGGTGTAGGAATTGAATCTAGACAAGCCTTGAGTCAGTCCATTTCATTAAACTGCTTGTGGAAAGGCAATTGATAATTCCCACTCATACCCTTGGCCGAGTCTCATGGCGTTGTTATATGGCACCAAAAATAGCGCCATATTCGGTAGTTTTCGTGTGAAATTCTTCTTTAATCCTTGGTGAATTTGCTTGGATTCAGACCTGTTGGAAATTCGAGTAATAGCTGGAAGTATGCCCTCCTTTTCTGCAGTGATGCAATGTTATTCAAATTGACAAGTGGATGCTGTTTATTGTGCGCAATATACCCAAGGTCGGGTTATCATAGCAGTCCAGAAAGCAATTCGACCTGGCGCCTGAAACAAACCTCACACCTTATTGTTCAGCTGCAATCGCTTACTACTTCCGGTTCAAAGCTTTGGCGTTTTTGAATCATGCTTTTTCAGCTATAATCAAATGTAGCATTCTGATTGGTGACGTCCTAGTAAAACATCATCACGATTGAGACTGCTCTACTATGCATGCATGCGTAGGAAGTAAAATGAATCCAGTCCGTTAGAGTAAACCGCACCAATGTGTATTCTAGAAGTTGAAGCCCAATTCTTCGTATACCTCAATAACGACCTCAAGCCTAATTAGGACTTCGAGTTCTGCTTTCCGTCTGTTTTCGGCCTTCTTCTTTATTTTCGGGCCACGCCGAGAGCAAAGGGCTAGCTGAGCCCCTAGTGAATTCCTCAAGATTGGAAGTTTTACTGGTCCATGGTCTTTTGAGCACAAGCTTGATTCAGATCGGTTTGAAGATATTTAAATGAATACTAACGTGGTTTTGAAAATTGTTCTCTGCATTCTTTCTACTGTGGAGGAACGGCGCTGGTAGATTCCCGATCAAGAGGCATGTGCCTGTTGACCTCACGCTTACAACTCTTCCCCGAGGATCATGACACTCAATTTATGCCTCTCGAAAGCCCATAGAACATTGAAATTTAATTTTATAGTTTACTAGCTTCATTCTCTCCAACGGGAACAAGTATGTGGCATATTTAAGATAGTAGCACCCTAGGTCTTAAAATCGGTATTAGTGCGGAAGGTAACTGGGATTGTTAAATTAAACTTCATCTATCTTGTGAATCGTGTATGTCTTCTGTGGTTTTCACAACCTCTCAGTCGAGATTGGGGCAGCTGCCATTGCAATGGCAAGGTATTCACAGGTGTTTACCTGGTGCTCTCGTACCGATGCCAAGGCACACATCCTATCTATTCATCTTTCTATTATGCCAGTGTTTGCCTCAATCTTCATTGGGAATGAAAGAAAACGAATCCACACATCAAACAGCGGCCTAGATACCAGGAATTTATGACCAGACGATGTGCGTGACATACTGCAATCAAGGCATTCGCCCTTATGACTGCCATCAGCCCGGTCAGCAACGCTTTGCTTCAGTCACACGGTGTTTCTGTGACTGCTGTTCTTTGCCAACGCACGGCCGACGCAAGTGATCAAGTAACTTGGCACGGCAAGAGCCTTATAATAGCAGAAGTTGTATGCCTATCTCGCGACGCAAAGTTCTGGGACGCGGAAACTGTCGAGTATCTGCGTCACCTCTCCTTCAACTCTTCTTCAACTCTTCTTGATTAGCGGGAGGCTGAAGGGCTTGTTGGGGTAAGAATTGAAACGGCTGCTGCTTTTTTTCGGGCTGTTTCTGCTGCGTCTGAAATTTCTGTAGATTTTCGTGATCTTCAATCTTCTGCTTCTGCTCTTCTGGAGACAGAGCGTTGAAGGCCGCTATGTCCTGGTCCCACTTCATCACGCACTCGATGTTCCAGTTGCATCTCTCAACCTCACCGAAGATTGGGTGCCTGAACCGAGGATGACGGCTTGGCCAGTTCGATGCGTGATAATGATGCTTGACGAGCGCACCTCTGGAGTTGTGATTGCCAGAGTCAGAATGACCTTGGCCAGCCGCGAAAGACTCGACATCGCGTACAAGAATACCGCTAACGACCTTTGATTCATCAATGTCGTGGAAGGTGTCCCATGTCACTGGTCCTGATCTAGACCTCGATGACATGATCTCCAGCACGGCCTTGGTAAACGCAGAAGGTCCAGTTCCGCTAATGACCTCGTCGAAGTCGAGCTTGATCTCTGAGATGGAAACTCCTTGTGTCTTGGCGACGTCGTTAAGCCAGCTCATAATGTTCTCAACTAACTTCAGCATAACTGGGTGGCGGGGACGTGACATAAAGGTCCACTGGCAGAAAGACATAGACTTCTTCCCGAGTATAGGGTGGTCTTTGAAGTGCGGTTGGTCAATCTCAACGCCAATGACCAGGTCAATATCCTCCTCTTTGTACCTTTCGGGAATCCATCTACTGACTGGACGAAGGTCTTCAACGTCAATGTCGGCGTAGACTCCTCCCTCAGCGTACATTATCATGTATCGTAGCAGATCCGCCTTGATAATGGTCGCGTTGACGTTTTGGTACATGTCGACAATGTCTGGCCGGTCGAAGCCTTCTGGGCCATAGTGCTCCTCAACATACTCCATGTCGTTAGTGTCGGTGAGTACTTCATAACGAAAGCCGGGATTTTTGTCAGTCCAGGTTCTGGCAGTAAGTATTTGTTCTCCTTCGAATGAAAAAGGCGCCACCTTCCAGCTTTGCCATATCTTCTTGGGAAAGCCTCGTGTTGGTCTCGTCGATATACGGCCACCGCGCTTCGAGAGGTGGACCGGTTTGGGCACCGATCCAAGTAAGTCGGTATTCAAAAGGAGGAGAATTATGCATACAGATGCAATGTACAATGGGATGCATCTTCTTAGCTGTGTTGGGACTCTGTTCCTGAGAAAGTTTGTTTTGGAACCCGTAGGGCTCAATGGACTCAGCGGGCTCATGATGGGTGAAGCCATGTTGATGGGAGTCGCCCAAGGCTCAAGGCTATCACGGGTGCTCGGCCAAAGAAGCTTTTGTAACAAGCTTTGAGTAGGACGCAGTGGGCATGAAATCAGAATCGGTGGGATGCATGTCGTATTTTGAAGGGGCTTTCTACATGCAGGCACACGACCTACAGGATGCCGATTCTGCGGCGGGGATGGCCCTATTCATTTTCGGTCACCTCTTCGTTCCCCACTCGCATATGAACTGTGCATCATTGTCACGAGCCAGGATGTAAAGACCAAGAAGGAGAAAGAGTCGCCGAGGCCTCTGGGCCGAAGTCGCATTGTGTTTGTCCCTACTATCTGGTGGTTGGGACGTCTCCGCTGACTGGCACTATTGTCCCTTCGATCCTTTTCAGTAAGTTTGCCGAGCTCTAGTCGAATGCAACTCAATACGAGACGTAGGTACCAGGAGATGATCTAAAGATGCCCTCCCTCCTTCATTCGACCACAGGACCACCTACACCAGTCACTAATCTTGGACTACAGAGGATACAGGGCTCGGCGGATCAAAGACAAAAAGATTGTGACAATGGGATGCAGGTCTGTCGTTGGTTGGATGTCCACATTTTGCGCCATAGTAGCGCCGGGATGTTGAGCTTGATCGAGCGCCAGTTGGGCAGATCCTTACCACCGGCACCAACGGCTATGATAGTCAGGGGAGCAGGGCGCGGTGGAACCTTCCCAATTAGGATAGACTGCAGCAGCATTACTCAGAATTCAATGATTTGAGCCGACAGCATACAAGAGTCGAACGAGGTCATTCACATGTTCGGATCACACTTCCCAGCTGGGCCGAGTCATGCTACGCCGCTCAAGCTGCGGTCCATTTGATTTTGTTCCAACTGGCGAATGGCATCTACGTCACAATGAGGGACATTTGGTGATATCCATACTACGCCAGCTAGAACGACTATGCTTGATGTTGGCCCAAGTTTGGCTGTGTGCAATCTCACCCCGGTCCCTCCCCCGCATATCCGCCTATACGACCAGGGCCCTGGACATTTGTTGGACCAGATATCCTCAGGTCAACCCGCCACCCCGCATTATCTATGCTGTTGACCTCGGATTGTTTCGCAGAACTCACCTGGCTACCATGTGTTAGGATTCTTCTTATGCCTTGTCCCCATATTTGGCCCCTCATTAAGCTCGTGACACTCTGGGCAAGCATTCTATCGCCAGAAGCAGACCCATACGTTTCTCTTGACATTGAGTGGAATCAGGGATCTACGCCAAGCCATACTACGAAGCCCCAGTCTAGCTTTCTCCGGCCGACTGGCCATGTAGCCCGCATGTGCCCCTGGGATATTGAAAAGAGCTGTGACTCTTTCTCGAAAACAACTCCTCCACTACTGAAGTAAGAACGAATGAAGCGATCCTTCTGCACTATTAGCCACGCTCATGCGGTGGCAAACCTTGAAGAAAGCACACGGCAAATGATACCAGCAGCTTGAGGCTGACAACGCTGCCTTGACAGTTCCAATAGCCCAGAAACATTCTTGTGTGCGTTTGTTCAAGATGTCTCCCAGAAATGAGGGCATTCTCGACAGCAAAGAATGGGACGAGGTGAAGCCCGGCTGGTCGGAAGGGTCCAAATGGCTCTCTGAAGAAACCGACTGGAAGCCGGCCACATTAACTCGCACAAGACGCCCGTCACGGTTGAACTTTGCCAGTCTAGGCACCTTCTTTTGGCCGATTAAGAACACCAAACAGTCAGAGGTACTAAGACCGACTGCTTATCTGGACGGACTCCGAGGTTTCGCAGCGCTCCTGGTGTATTGGCATCATAACCAACTCTGGGCACATGAACCTCATGTTCAAAACAGAATCTTCGAAAACGCCTTTGGCTACGAGAACAAATACCACTTCATCGCTTTTCCTGGTATACGGCATATGTTTACCGGCGGCCATTTTGCGGTTTCGGTCTTCTTTGTCATTTCAGGATACGTCCTCTCCGCAAAGCCCTTGAGCCTCATACAATCCGGAGATCACGCGAAGCTGGCAGAAAATGTCGGCTCTGCACTTTTTAGACGGTGGCTAAGACTCTACCTGCCGCTCATCACAACCACTTTCTTATTCATGGGTTTTCTTCACATGTTCAACATTTGGGTTAGCAACGTCGAACAAAGCTCTACCTGGCGAGAGGATGTCTGGTTGTGGTACTGCGAGCTGAAAAACTTCAGCTTCATCTTCACCACTGGCGGCAGTCCCTTCTTCAGTTGGAACCCCCATCTGTGGTCCATTCCAGTCGAGATGAAAGGATCAATTATCGTCTATACGGCACTCTTAGCGTTATCCCGATGCACTAGGAATGCTCGACTCTGGTGCGAAGCTGGCCTCGCGTTTTACTTCATGTACATCGCCGACGGCTGGTATGGTGCCATGTTTGTCATGGGCATGATGCTTTGCGACCTTGATCTCCTCGCGAAAAAAGACGATCTTCCAAGCATCTTCAAGAAAGTCGAGCCAGCTAAAACCTTTATCTACTACCATCTATTCGCCATTTCGATGTACTTGGGCGGCGTTCCTTCATACACTGGCGACGTGAACAGGATGCGGGAGAACCGGGGGTGGTACTACTTGTCACTGCTAAAGCCCCAAGCCGTCTTTGACTACAAATGGTTCTATTTGTTCTGGGCGGCAGTTTTTATGGTGGCCTCAGTCCCGAGAATTGGCTGGCTGAAGCGTTTTTTCGAGACACGCTTCTGCCAATACCTTGGCCGGATTTCCTTTGCCCTTTATCTGGTTCACGGGCCTGTCCTCGGGACGCTGGGCGACCGCATCTACACGGCAGTTGGCTGGTCGATGGAATCAAAAAGCCACCATCTGGCGCATTTGGTTAACAAGTTTCCATTGCCCAAGTCAGGGCCTCTTGGTTTAGAACCGGCTTTCATCCTCCCGCATTTGGTTCTTTTGCCTCTCACTTTGTGGCTCGCCGAAATTGTTACGAGGTTCGTTGACGAGCCGAGTGTCAAGTTCGCCCAGTGGCTTTACAAGAGAACCCTCCCTCCGCCGTCAATGCCAATTAAGGCCTAAGACAGACTTTCAGCATCATAATATCACAATACCACTTCATAAAATCCACAGTTTTAAAATAATATGGAATGATAATAAAAGCACACAGTTAGTGATTAATAATGCCGTAGTTCATCAGCTACACAAGGACATTTGCAAAAGGCCGAAGACAGCGTCATTGGAATTGAATTTGTGACATCCAATAGCACTGCCTTTCAGACGAACTGTAAAGCCTAAATACCATAATTGAGATGATGAACCAAGTGCCGACGTCTCTCAGTCCCTGTGAATCCATAGCACACACATGCAAACGGGATCACAAGTAGCTTCGATCTCCAGTCAGTTGGAGGCCCTTGCTGATTAACAGCCTTGCCAAGGCTTATCATGCACTGTTCGCATATTTGCAGATTTCCGTCGACCTGCAGCTATATTAAAATCCAATAATGATGCACCAACGGAATTCCACCCTGTTTTGGGTGATGGTGTGGACGCTCGTGAGGGGAAAGGAATCGACTTTGACCGGGGTTCGTTGCCGCTCACCGAGGCACTCACATGCTCACATGCTTGGAAAGAATTCTAGCAAATCATTGCTTCAATTCTACTATTGTATTGCAAGAGCTGCTTATCGTTGTGCAGTAATGGCCTGTTTGCCATGTTACCTGACCATCCCACGCTAGCAAGGGATGCAGGCTCGAAAGTGAGGGGAAGCTCGTTTTTCGACATCAATTCATTTGCTTCTCCGCCGATCCCATCACAGGACAGGTTTCTCCCCATAGTTCCCCATCTTTTCATGCTGTCTCCATTACACAAAGTTTTGATCCCCATCCCCCACATTCCTTGGTATCGTTGGTGATGCAATTGTGAACAGCGGGATAGAAACTGGTTCGCAACATTGTGGATGGTCACATAGCATTGGCATTGCTTGTGCCGTAGTTCCGGTGCCTGTTCGCTTAACTTTGGTCGAAGAAGTAACAGGACAAAGTCCTCCTGAGTACCGCATAGCCGGCGTATGCGGACATCCTCTCGCGATGCTAGCACGAGACTTCAAACGTGTCGTCGTTATTGTCGGGCCCTTCCTCCTACTTGTCTACATTGGCCTTCGTTGCCTAGATATTAGAGATTCAGCCGCAGGACCAAACTCCTGGTTCGATCATATCTTTGCACCAACCTGGAAACAAGTCGATGAGCTGAAGCCACATTCTGGGCCGTCATTAACGGCTTCTCCACCTTCCGCGGTGCCCACCGCATCATCATATGCCATCGCGAACCCTGCCACGGCTGCTACAGAGCAGACACATCATGAGTTATTGTCGATATCAACTCCTGATAAGAAGTTCTTCTCTATCCGCTTCGCTGATGAAGAAACCATCAATCCCAACATTATTCCCCACCCTACCCTGAGCGACACTTACATCATCGTCGCCCAGAAGCGGAAAGCAGAGGACAACTCCATCGAACATGTTGAGATCGTCTGCAATGCAGTCTTCACGTTGCAAGGCCTTACATGTACTGAAGCACCAACCGTTCTTCCAATTGCAGCAACAAAGGGCGGCGATGATAAGTGCCCTCCTAATTTAGCTTATGTCGCTCTAAACATTGGACCTCACGACGCTCGTGTCTTCCATGGACCCAAGGCACCATTCATCATTTATGGGTCCAACTCTGTCTTTGCTTGCTTCGGGCAGCACATGCAAGACTTTCGGACACTAGGCAACTGGGGGTTTCCGATCTCACTCAACGAGGGTTTCGGGACAGGAACGGAGCTTCAACGCCCGCTCCCTTGGAACACAATGGAGAAGAACTGGTTCCTATTCTGGGACGAGGAGGGCGCCGCTTATGTGCATCACGACATCGCACCGAGGCGAGTCTTTTCGAAGCTAAACCCCGACGGCTCTGCAGGAACGGACCTTGCGCCCTTGGCGTTTGGTGATGAAGGCTGCTTGTCGAAGTACATGCCGAAACTACCGCCGGACCACGAGTCAATTCACCAAGCAACCAATTCGTTGAGTGTTACGTTTTGTGAGCGAAACGACCCGAACTGCAAGCCTAGTAACGACAACACTTTCATTTTTGCAATATTCCAGCATAAGACATACTATCGGTACCATAGCGAGTATGAGCCTTATGCGATGGTATTCCGACAGAGGGCTCCATTTGAGATGTTCGCTGTTTCCAAGAAACCTCTATGGATTCACGGACGTGAGAAAAAAGAAAACGGAAGTTCGGATATGTTCTACGTCACGTCCATGAGTTGGAAATCGAATCAGCAAAGATATCATGGATACTTGGATGATGTGATTTTTGTTTCCTTTGGAATCGAGGACGAGCGGACAGGTGGTATAGACGTCCTTGCTAAAGATTTATTGACTGAGCTTGGGACCTGTTTGGAGGTCTGATGAGATCATCAACTCCAGCTTAAATCCATAGAAATTAGTACAGCTATCAAGATTCCCGGGGTGGGATTGGTAAACTGGCACAGCTCTAATGATAGACGAATTTATAGTATTTTAATGGTCGTTTCGACTGCCTTCTTGCCAAATGTTGGCATTTAGTATATTTTCATATCATTTTTCAAAACCATTTGCTTTCGGGATATGATCTACAGCCGTTTTGTCAACGGCAAAGCCGACAGAAGTGGTCACATATAAAGAATATAAAGCATACCTAACTTCAAAGAATAACCGGATTGGATTCTAGGCATTTGAAAGTTGCATAATAACGGTAAATAGGCTCCTAGAGCCTTGATATGAAATATTGGCCTTTTCTTTGTTCAAATACACCAGGCCATAGTCGAGCTACTCACCTGATCATGTCTCAAACACCCCCAGCTGCTAGACGATCTAAGAAAAGCGAGCATAGTAAAACATCCAGCTCCCCACCTCGCATCATGAATGATGAATAAGGAACTCTGAGTCAAAGGAAGGTACGCTCTTTGATCGACCCGCAATCTTCTTTCTGGGGTACTTTAGAAGACGTCAGGGACGTTAGTAATGGGAACAGGAAGAAGAGAAAAACTTTGCGACGCAGGAACGTCGCCATTTACTCGGGCAGCAATGATTTCCAACATCCACTCCAAGGCGGTTTTCTTTCTATATGATGTTATCTAAGAAGAATCGATCATTGGTGTATGCTCGAAGGATGTCCATAATGGGCTTAGCATCAAGCAGAAATAATTATCCACATTCCAAAAAAACAAGTGGCGAACGACGATATAAAACCAGTTGGATAATCTTCCCGACTAGGCACTTAGACTTTGTAGACTGCATCCGGGCGATGTTGAGTTGTCGGGCCTGCATTGAGTAACGAAAAGATGGCGGCTCCTTGGTATGTGCCGAATTGAGCCGGTAAAGACAAAGCATAAGGAAGCCATGTGAGTGCCACCAGACAGCCAGATCGGTCTAGCCCTGCCGGAAGCGGCATGTTGTCAGTAGGGGTCGGCAATTGTTGGGGAATATATCTGAACGCTAAATTCCTTGAAAGCTGTCAAAGCCCTCCCGAAGCATTTAGGTCTCTGCCTGCGAGAGATTTCCCTGAGACAAATCGCATTCTTCGTTGCAGGTCAACTAACAAAGTCGAGATCATTAAACAACCATTCTCCAGCAAATTCGGATTGCTTCAAGCATCCCCCATCACAAGCAATGCATTCTCACTCACAAACACTCAAAATGATCACTCCAGATCATTCGTTCACCTTCTCGAATCTCGCCTCTGTGGGCTTTACCCTGGCAGAGCATACGCATCCGACGGCGCCCGACACCCGGATGGTTCAGGATATTGGCAGCAATTCATTACCAGCAAGAGGTGGAGAGCAGACCATGTCTTGGACGAAAGGCTGTTATTTCGGAGAGAGCGGGCGGGACGATGTTGCTCTCTGCTGGCAGGACATGGAGGCACTGCAATCATTCTGTGTTGGCATCGAGTCTCCCGAACGAGGCTTCTTCAAGCCCATCCAGTCGCACTATAAAACCAAGTACAACGACGGTAACACAAACGCAGCGTGGACCTTCCCTTCGGAAAACCCGGCAGATCCGTACACGTTTCCCAACGGCATGAACTATCATATCACGATAACAAGCTACGCTGTAAAGGACCAGTTGAAGCTAAACATCACAATCGAGGACAAGGTTCCCGCTTCGAAGAGTGAAGAAAAACAATAGGTGCATCTCAGGGATATCACAAGTGGTGCGCAAGATTGTCAATACGACTACACTCGTTGCGGCACTATATCTTGCATGACGGTGAACATCAATCGTTTTCTTTGAATGACCATCAATCAGCCTGAGATTTGAATCTGCTAGAAGGAATTGGATTAATAATAAATGGATATCTGCAGCTGTATATCGAGTATGCTTGTAAAATATTTAGTCAAGTTACCATAAGGATTTTGAGTTGCTATCAACAGGTCACTCGCCAGTTTGGCTTTTTGTTTTGGAAGGATCCACGACATTATGTTAAATCGTCTCTTGCTATCTGTTATTATGTTTAAGAAGGCTTTCATGCGGTTCTGCACTTAAGGGTTCTGTTAAGATTAACATGAGTTAATACAAGTCAAATTCCACGCCGTCTACGTTGTGTCCGCGTCGTTGGTATCCGATGATTGGCAAGACCTTGAAATTCAACCTTTTCTTGACGCATGTATTTAGCAAAAGTTTGACTCATTGGTTATATTTTGAATTCTTGTTCTTCCTCTCTTATGTACACATGACCGTTTTTCCTTTACATCGACCCCTTTCACTTCTTTGTTACACGGTAGAAACAGCACAATAGACCACTTTAAAACGATACTCGTACCTTGTGAATGTGAAATTGATAAGGTATCTCCAATCTACTAAACTATGATTGGTTTATAAATCCAGCTTTTCTACGTGGTTAAAACTAGGGGCAGTTGAATCAAGAATTGTCAAGATCCTAAAAAAAACCAGATTCAGAACTTGTCCGCCTGGAAAATGTGTTAATTGTCTTACATTTCGGCACCAGTTTTATGTCGATTCGTGAGACTCTTGCCCTTCCGCCATAGTAATGGTGAAGTCCCCGCAGGCGGTAATGAGGCCCTCTTGCACATATTCGGTTCCATCATGCGATCCAATTTCAAACGTTTCCAAATACCATATCTGCTGGTGTCATCAGCTGTTTGGGTTAGACCTTTACCCTAAGGGGCGGGCCCCCACGACAGTAATAGAGCCCCATCCGCAGTGTCCCACTTTAAGTCGACCCAACCAGAGCTTGTGTTTTACGGTTGCCTTGCCAGGATTAGAGCGCCACACTTGAAGCCATCCACACGCAGCCCTGGTACCCAAACAACCTGGTCTGGTGGTGTAGTTGGTTATCACGTCAGTCTAACAGTTCGAGTTGCATCGACAACTCATCCTGTTCCACTGAAGGTCTCCGGTTCAAGTCCGGGCTAGATCATGATATGGGCGATTGGTTTAGTGGTATAATACTCGCTTAGCATGTGAGTGGTCGAGGGTTCGATTCCCTCATCGTCCATTTTTGGAGATTTCAAAAACCGGAGGCACTTGGAACGTAGGTACAAAGTGGGATAAATAATAGGCCTTTGGTTGGGGGGGACCTGTTCATTCGCGGCTTTTCACTGGATTCTCGCTCCTTTCATTTTGATATTACTTCAAATACCAAGGGACAGCAGAGGAGAGCGAATCTCGGAACTAGGCAGGATATAGTCTAGGGTTCGCTCGCCTATCTTTTGTTCTGGCATCTTGTTGTTCTTTGGCTGCCCAATTGTCGCACGCGTATGTCCCTCGCACTTCGATGCAAGGTTGTGACATCTCCACTACTTACCCCTGAATATGAAGTAAGCACGAAGAACACACATTAGCCAATCAAGTTTTGTCCTTTTCTCACCTCATGCATAGAATACGGACTACTTCATAAGGAAGCGAAGGAAGTGGCTGCTTACTGGCATGGGGATCCAATAAAATTAGGCTCCAGCTAAGGTGCTCAAGTCTTTGCTGGTATCCCATTCAAGGAACTGTAAGACAGCTACAGCGCCCAATTCGTTAGAATCTGCTGTACTGATGATGCCTCGCCAACGCAGATGCACTAATCATAGGTGTACACTCTAGTCTTCATGCCCATAGGCTCGATTCGAGTTTTATTCGAGCCACCGATTGACCAGTCATTCTTAATGGCTTACGCGCAAAGTAACAGGGATTGTCAGCTCAGTCGCTTATGTTGACCTCGGACTTTCCGCAGTTACCCAGCATACAAGAGTACCATTTTGTTCACTTCAGGTCGGAAAGTTCAAATGTCCGCGCACTAGAATACATGCTGTAAGGTCATGGAGATTACAAGAATAGCTATGGAAAACTTTAATGTGGTCATCATTTATTCTAGGGAGGACGGCCCATAAGGTCACTAGCAGGGTCAATCCTTGCTAGTTTGCAGGTCGGGTCCAACGTTCTCCTCATCCGACTCGATCAAAGACATGGTAATAGAATGTAGCCTGTGCTGCCTGTACAGTAATCAGACGCGTTTAAATACCCCAGAGCTTCCCCTCAAGTCCACTACGAAGTTCGACGAATCTGAATTCCGACTCGCGTCGCACACGCCCTCAACCGGTTGACCACAATGGCTCCCACCTCAATTTTGTTTCCGACGCTCAACAGCTGGTCTGGGATCGGACTCCTGGCGTTGGGGGGCACTCTCATTCTCTTCCTAATCAGCCGAACATTCTACAAGATCCCGTACCCCAAAGGCGTCGCACTCGTTGGTGAGCCAGAAGGAGCTACGAGATTTAGCTTTCGCACCGTATGGTGGTATTACACTGACTGCCCAGGTCTGTTTCGGGAAGCTTACGATAATGTGTGTGCATCCCCCTAATTTCACAGCCAAGGCGAACGCCGTGCTGATCGTTGGTGTTCAACCAGTTTTTGAAAAAAGGAAAACCTGTTGTGCTCCCCGGCATTGGTTTCCGCCACGAAGTGGTCCTGCCATCAAGCTCATTGCGATGGATTCAGACACAATCAGAAGCCAAGCTGAGCCCTACTGAAGCATTCGCAGAGGTTGATCAAGTGCACTACGCACTCGGAGATTCCGTATATGTTACAGATGCTTGGCAAGGACACCTGGTCAAGACGGAGCTTAACATCGTACTAGAGAATATCTGCGCTGCCATGAACAATGAGTTGGGTGTCGCCTTCGACAAGTGGTTTGGTACGGATACAGAATGGAAAGAGATCAATCTCTACTCGGCCATAAGAATGGTTGTGGGCCAGGCCGCAGGCCGTTTCACTATCGGCTTGCCCATATGTAAGACATATCTCCGTCTAAGCTCGAAATTTGCAACTAATAGACATCAGGCCGAGATGAAGATTATCTCAACTTGAACTACGAAATCATCGACCGTCTCATAACAAACGCAGGCGCTGTTGGTGGTAGCCCCAGAATGCTGCGTCCTGTTATGGGATATCTGATCAACCTGGGGGTGGACCAAAAGGTCAATAGGCTAAAGAAGATGTTTCAGCCCATTTGGGACGAACGTGTCAAAAGCCTACAGTACGCACCAGACGATCCGGAACACCCGCACAAGCAAGACCACTTGCAAATGATGGCGCGATATGCCCAAAAGAATCGCCCTCAAGAGTTCAACAATATCGACATGATGACTAGGCGCCTAATAGCTGCCAACTTCGGCTCAATGCATCAAACCAGCATCCAAGCCACAAACATGCTGCTAAACATCATCGGTTCAAATGAGGAGTTTAACACGGTTTCCATCTTGCGGGACGAGATCAGCCGTGTTCTTTATGAAGATGGGACCGACAGCTGGACGAAATCCAAAGTCAGCAAAATGACCAAAGCAGACAGTGTCGCCCGTGAGACGCTTCGTCTCAACTCGTTTGGTTCACGTGCTGTCATGCGTAAGGTCATGGTCGATGGTTTCAAGGGTCCAGATGGTCATCATTTACCTAAAGGCACGCTCACCTCCTTCCTGGGGTTTCCTGCCGCTACGGATGTTGAACTTTTCGATGATCCGCTGAAGTATGATCCATTCCGGTTCTCCCGAATTCGCGAAGAGGCTGCTGCCAAGGATGAAAAGACAGCGCCCGTCACCTTCGTCACAACCGGGCCTGAGTACCTGCCATTTGGCCACGGGAAGCACGCATGCCCCGGTCGATTCTTAATCGACTTTGAGTTGAAGATGATCATTTCCTACGTGTTGGGCCACTACGATGTTGAGTTTCCTCCGGAGTACAACGGCAAGCGGCCGCCCAACTATTGGCTAACTGAGGCTATGTTTCCGCCCGAATCCGCCAAGATTAGAATCAGGAGGAAGACCGAGGATTAGACAGTAGTTCTGCTTGGCTGTGGATGCTGAAGCACGTATCAATAGACTTTGATTACAACAAGTGGGGTGTTCACTTTCTAAATAACGGTGAACGCTACGATACCTTCTGCAAATTAACGTTCAGTATGTCGTACTTTAATCACGGTTGATTCGGGACTTGATGCCAGTAGAAACTGAAATCACACCGGCTACCCATGACTGTTTTAGTCTTAAAAGGGCATTGCTGCTGATAAACATCCCATTGGCTAATACATTTAGACAGGTACGCTACGCTTACGTGGTTGCCGACTCTTCTTGTCGGCCTGAATTGGGTGTTGAAGGCAGTGAAACCTTGGCAGCGTCCTGCCCAAGCACTTTATAAAGGGGGGGGCATCTCCTTAAGGTTCTATGGAAGACTAGGATAATTACACTACAGCGTTTCTAAAGTGCCGAAGGTATGTGTACCAGTTGAGTAAAATTATCAAAGGCAAGTTAACGTTAAATAGACTATCTGCACTACTATTGCTGGGGTATGTAATAGCTAGAAGAGGAATGGCCGGGAGCTATCTATAAAGTGAATGTAGAGCCTGAAGCTATGAGAAATGACTTATTTGACAATAGGTCAAGTTCTATATTGCTGGTATTACTTATGATTAGCGTACATCTCAGTAGTCTTATCTGAAGAGTGGTGCTGGACCACTTCACACGATTTGGGGGGAAACATCGTGATATTGAAGTGGTCGCAGCTATTAGTGGCTCATGAAAATGATTCAGTGACAGATGTTAAAAATCCTCATCGCCGCAGGGTAGAAATAGACACCACACATTGTACAGCAGCCCACTTCAATGAACTTAATCACGCTAAAAATTGAAACATACCTCATGCTTTATTACTGCAATATTGACGCAGCGAAGCGAAGGTAGTTGATAGTATGAGCTCCGGAGAAGCCTAGGATGTGAATTAGGGGCCGCAAGAAAGAAAGAAGCGACTCATGTCCCGCCACTCTATCTCCCCGAATCGATTATTGATACATTACATGGTGTGTTCATGGCCCCCGAAACTTACTCGGTTAATTTGGCCTTTAAAACTGCCATATTCCGAGGCAACACACTTGAAGCAAGGAAAGAACTGAAGAAGTTGAGACAAATCAGTTCGCACAGTCAGTTACACGCCCACAGTTCAAACCTTCAAAGGCAAGTCTCTTACTGGTGTTTAACTTCCGATACAAGAAGGGTCTGAATGAGAGGAATTTTAGTAGACTCAGTATAAAACGGCTCTCTATCTTATCGTTCTTGGCAGTACTCTATCTATACAGCTTGATGTCACAGTCGCTTGGCTACCGAAACAGTTTCATAATCTCTTCAAGTGAAAGATTCTCTGAATAACTGTTGTTTTGCTTCCTGGAAATAACACACCCTGTTCATCTTATATTCACAAATATCATGACACAAGATTTTTATGATACCGGTATTGAGCGACGGAATACATGTCTTCTTATGAGTGACACGACATCAAATATGTCCATAACGTATCCGAGCTCCTCTGAATCTAGTATTCTGATAATTCGAGTGGGTGAAATGTCAAATATTCTCGACGCTGTCCATAATTGCGCTCTAACTCTAGATTAACTTATGCTGTCGGAGGATATCGTACCTCATACATCGAGTTTGAACTAGGTAGGTAGTGCAGAAGAAATCAAGGTAACTGCTGGAAGATATCTTGTGCCGACATCAACCAAAATATAAGTTCTAGCATTATAGATGACTGCAACCAAACAGCCATTTCGAATTCCCTAGAGCTTAACGCAGCCATTCCTGCCTTCAAGTCGTATTTGCTTTGCCAAATTCTAATGGTGTTTCAAGAGGACACTCAAATCACTACTATGGGATGCGATTGAAAGGAAGAGGTGCTAGAGAAGGAGTTATCTGACCTCTTATGGACGCTTTTGCTTCGCTGTATATTGTCTGAGCTTCTTCGAATAGTAACGGGGGCTGCTGTCAATGTTTGCGTTGTTGAAAGACCGCTGGAAACCAGTTTTTAAATCGTCCTTGCAGCACATACTAACACATTTGTTTCACTACTTGTCTGTACTCGTGACGAAACGACATCTTCAACCCAATCATCGCTCGGTCAGTCAAGACGTACTGCCAGTCTAAGGAAAAGCTGTGATGATGAAAGATCATAATTACCTGGCAGAGTTTGTACCAAATCCAGTGATACTGGAAAGCAGGGCTCTTAGAAAGGCCTACCCAGCGGGCTACTTAACATGTGCACGTATAAGCAGGCAGCTAAGCGAGCAACTGTTATAGGCATAACAGAGGAGAAAATGAAAATGACTTAAAACTCTAACTCGTATTAACTGATTTCAGATACCGCAAGACGCTAGTACTCGAAGTGAGGCTATTTGAAGGATTGTGTCACTTATGACGAATGCAACCACAGTTATAACAGAGGAAACTGCCGATAAATAGAAGAGGAAAAGCAAGTGGCTAAATTACATGAAAGAACTAAGGGTGTAGTTATGCTAGGAACAAACCATCATAGCAAAGTCTAGTAGGAAATAGAATATCTGTTCCTACAGATAAAACCTTTTGACGCATAATTCTATGATGGATGCTGAGACCGGTCAGATAGTACGTTGTCCAGAATTAAATGGCAAAACGATGCTCTCCGGTTTCGGATTCACCATGGTTATTCTCAGTGTACTAGATACAACGTCGGCCGAAGGAACTAAAGGGGGGTTCCGTATTCTCTCTACATGCATGGAAAACATTCACTTTTACTTTCCTCGAAATTACCATAGCCGCCGTAACTAGATCAGCTACTGTAAGAGTTATATCTTAGCAAGATTCTAGATACTGGTGCATGGCTCAAGCGAAGGCGGCTACAACGGCCAAAGGCAAGACTAAAGTATGTGTTTTGGAAGGTGTGCTAACATCTTGGAACTATATACAAGAAGGTGTCCAAACCATGACCAAAGACCTAGATATTCCTAGCGCTAATGGCATCTCTTACACACATTGCGAGTAGAATGGGTTCAGGACCTGGCAAGTCGATCCTGCAACGCAGGTCGTCGGGCCAGACCACCCCTGACCGCCGCACTGACCCCACTTCGGTGCGGTGCCAGTGCTGCCACCAGGAGTGGTGGTAGCGGGCGGCGCAGGAGTGGAGGTGGCCGGAGCCGGGCCAGTGGATGTCTTAAGCGTGGTGGCAACACCAGTGTTGCCGCCTCCAGGGGTGGTCGCACTTGAAGTCGCTGTTGGGCGAGCAGTGCTCTGGGCAACGGTAGAGGGGAGCCCAGCCACCAGAGTCGGGCCTGGGATAGGGTACACAAGAGGGCTTGTGTAAAGGTTGAAGAGAACGCCGGGGTCAGTATCCTTGTACAAAGCCGTACCCTTTACACCAGCAGGCGCAAGGGAGCCGCCACCGGTAACTTGAAGGTTGAAGCACTGAGGATAGGCCTGGGCGCCGTTGGGGTTGCCACCAGAGTGCAGGGCAATCATCTCGTGACGAAGGACGTAGTTTCCAGGGGCCAGATTCGAGGGGATCTGGACAGTCCAGGTGAAGTTGTTGGCCATCAGAACGTCGTCCGCCCATTTGCCATTCTGGAGAGACATGTCGATGAGACCTTCGGCACTGATCTTGAAGAAGTTCAGCGAGGTCTTGTCCACAGTCTCGCAGTTGCCATTGCATTTCGCAAGATAGTCGATGACAGGGCCCTTGTGAGACTCAGGCCATGTGTTCCAAATGAGCTGGATCTTGGCTCCTGCGGCAACAGTAGCATGACCGCCAGCCGGGGTGGCAGATCTATGGCAAATGATGTCTGGGCCACCAAAGTTGACGGGCTCGACGAAGCCATTGTCAGGGGCGTCGATCTTCCAGCCAACGACAGGGTCCTTGGGAGGCGAATAGGTGAAAGCCGGGGAGTCCCAGCCGCGGTAGGCAACGCCATCAGCCACGAGCCAATCCACGTGGCCGTGAGCAGCTACCGTCGCTGCCAAGGCAAGCAAGATGGAAGAATAGGTAAGGTTGCCCATGATCAACTTCAGAATTTGGGGAGATAGATTAAGTGCGTCCTGAGATGATGAAGAGCAGCCCGATGATTTGGGTGAAGAGCAGTGATGAGTTCAGGCAAAATGCACTCTGGTCGATGAGAGACGCAGCATATATAGTGCTTCATCTGGAGCCGAAGAGGTGTGCCGACTGAACCGCACAACACTGCAGTTTAGATTACCTGACCACCCCAATAAGACCGTTAATATTGTGATGGAGAACGGTTTTCGTTGTTGTGCCATCGCGAAAGAGTCATGTTACGACCACCGGTGCAGCGAGCTAGGCCCAGTTTCCCAGTATGGGCCAAGTAAGGGCCTAGGAAATATTCAGATTCCTCAGCAGTCGCTCCTATCACCCCTTGCTTACATGCAGACTGTGACTGTCACGAGTACACCACTGCAGCGCCATGATGGGGCAAATTCATCCGGAATGCCTGAATCAGAGGCTGGGCGTTGGTGTTGAGCCCGAGCATTGTTGATTGGGAGCCACGTTGTAAGGACACATGGATGTTGCCATGGGAGGGCTTAAATGTCAGTCCAGAAGAGGTGTCGTCAAAGAAGAAAACTGCAGAATTAGGAAATCTCGGGTGTCTTGCACCGAGAAATGCGACGCCGCACAGGAGCCGTGGTTGCATCGAAGAACCGGGGATGTGGGGTTACGGTGATTGGGGGGTAAGAAATACTGGGGTAAGAGGAGGATGAAATGTGCAACCCAATGGTTGCCTCTTCATCAATTGTTTTCTCATTGTGGTAAGTGTGACCGGACTTGACACTCGGTTGCATTGAAGGGGGTCAATTAATACATAAAATGGCGAGCCCTTGGGAGACTGTGCTCGAATGACAACGAGGCTTCTTACGCGTTCTCCACGGGAAGAGGTCTTAAATCGCTCGCAGCTCGTTGAATGTAACAGGACATGACTTGACTGACTCGAATGTCGACTACAGGTTTGTACACAGACGGAACTTCTCGTCGATATCTCGGCGAGTCTTTCAAGATTTTGATTGATTTTGTACATGTTTAAGCGTTAGAGATACGGGACGATTTGAATGTAGAAACACCTCACTTCTTTCAGCATCTTTGGCTGACATCTCTGATATGGAAAATATAAACATTTAATGACAGATGATCGGGGCTGCCTCTTGGTTGTTTCCAGTAGAGTAACTTGGGTAGGGATATAGGATGCATCCTTGAGATGCTCACGTTGCCTGGCAGAAGAAATTTGACCATCACAGTATTGGGTAAGAGGAGGAAGCCATTCCGACGGACCTTGTCCCGGTCGGTGGAGCCCAAGGGCTACCACAATTCATAACAGGGCTGAAGGACATTGTGACAAAGGGCATTGCGTGATTCACAAGAGTGACGATTTCGTTAGCGGAAAGCTTCAAGAATTTTGTCATGAAATCTTCATCTTTAATCTCACTTCTATAATAGTAACGCTGAATGAGCATGGCTCTGCCAGTCGCATCGTTTCCATTCTCAAAGGTGCGTCTATCTGTAAACGTCATGCGACCAGCCTCGCTCACTCTTTTGTCATTGCTTGAAGCACCTATTTACTAAATGAAATCAACGACCAGGAAACTACTTTACCCTAGATGATTAGCTATGAAATATTTCACTCACGTTCATTCAAATAACGTTTCATCAAGCCCGTTTTCTCCCGTTGCAGGAAATATCAATTGTGGGTTGATTATGGTGGCAGACATAAAGGTAATCATTCTTGGCAGTTCAGGGCTGGTTGTGACTGTCTTCGGAATATTCCATAGATCAAAAAATCCGATTTCGCGAGCTCGGAAAAAATATTGGTATAATATCTGCAAAATCGAACAGCTTCTCGGCACGCTACATTTAAAGGGCTATTTGTATACCATCCATGGTGGCCGTCTCCGGCGGTTGCGGGGCCGCTCTCTAGGGCTGTCCCGGGGCCCATTTGTCGTCATTTGGCGCTGGGGCCATCGAAAATGCTAGGTCGATCACTGAGTGCAGCACAGAACTCTACTATAACCCCAAGAAACTCTCCGAACCCAAAATCAGCTCCCACGATCGTGACGTCAGAGTTGGTAACACACATACCCCAAGCTCCCGCAAGCTCAAGCTTCATCCCTTCAAAGCTTCCCACCGTCTTTCTTCGTCGATGGTTACTTTCGACGACGACCTTCCACCTGGTACGAACATCTGACGATAACTTTATTTCATTATTATTTGCGTACGCAGGGTACCTCATCGCAAAGCCCTCCAGGCGGCCAAACGCAATGCAGATCCGCAGCGCCTCCATATCCTCTTCAATTCTAGCTGCCATATCTTCGGATCATGATAATCCCAACCGCCCAAGCCTGCGAGTCAAGATAATTCGCACGCTCGCTACCTTCTTCTCATTTTTCAGCCTACCACTTGCGCGGTACCGTGGGGCCGACTTTCTCGACCTCCGACACAATGTCTGGCACTTGGATGAAGAAGAATACGCCACCTCTTTCCAGCTCGCACGGAAAGCTAAGAAGGGCAAAGGCCGCGAGTCTGACCTGAAGCCAGTCGGGGATTTGGGATACAGCGGATCTACATTCTTCACGACGGCTGATGGCAAATTTCTCGTCAAGTCGCTACCACGCCGATTCGAGCATGAGTTCTTCACGCACGATTTGTTCGACGCCTACGTTGCTCACATGAAGAAAAACCCGCATAGTCTTTTGGTACGAATTACCGACATGGTATATACCTCTTTTGCAACATTGGGGGGTATTCTGGGTGTGGCTCCGACGCACCACATCATCATGGAGAATCTACTGTATGGGAAAGACTCGGAGGTGGGTGAGTTGAAGAACCACTGGGAAACATACGACCTAAAGCCAAACGATTACTTCTTCCCCGAGAGGGATATTGCGGGTGGCAAGTTGGCTCCTGAGAGTGTCAAAGAAAGGCTGATCGACGAATTCCCTGACAAAATCCGCGTCTCTGCAAGCCAAAAGCAGGAACTTCTGGACCTCCTCGAGGCAGATACCAAGATTCTCGCAGAAAATAATGCCGTCGACTATTCCCTCTTTCTTGTTCGTTATCCCGGCCCGAATGCCACCGAAGAACCGCGCGATATCCCGACTGTCCGCTCCGAGGCACACCCATGGCGTACCGGCATGGTTGATGCCGACGGTAACTGGATCTATCGCGCAGTTGTGCTCGACTTCTTTTGGGCCAAACACAAGTTCCGCGCGAAGGCAATGACCAAGTTGGTCAAAACCTATAACACCATTGCCCACCATGGCCCAATGAGTATTACCGCCAACCCGGCTGAGTATCGTGAACGGTTCCTCAACATGGTCCGCGACATTGTCATTGAAGCCTAAGTCGCTTTAAGAAGTACTTTCTGCAAGGATATTTTATTCAGCCAAGAAGTGTAGCGCGGCGTTAAGTTGATATTGCAGCGTCATGTATACCCTACAAGTTTGTTACTACTAGTCTCGTGTTGTAAACAAAATTCAATTAGCCAGTTTTAGTAGTGCTTTACTGTGACTGTTGTGTTCGAAATCGTTGTCACACTGCTTTGGCTAGAAGCAATCAGACACTGAAGTATTTGTTCTCAGGTATTGCCTGTTTGTTTCTGTCTCGAGCTATCTCGCAACCATGTCTTTGCTTGAGACGGATCACTTCGGCATAGAAGTCAGGAAAAAGACATTTTCAGTCTAATCCGAGTCAAGTTTCTACCTACGAATTGATGAACACATTGGTGTCAGCGCTACCTTTGGTGAAAACCTTTGACGTGTTCCTGTTGTCACTTTTCACTGAATGTTTAAGTAGATGTATGTCCCTTTTTCATTGTACCCGTTAAAAGTGAGTATCAACCTTGCGTCACTTTGTTCGTGCCACTTACACAACGCGAGTATCCAGTGACCATAGGCGTCTCTTCTCATCTGAATCGTGAGGCTGAAGGCATCGCGGGAAGGATTACCTTGTTTCAATTCACCTAAAAACAAAATCCTCTCCTGCTTCACTACTTTATTCTTGCTTCGGGGTCACCTTCTATTTGAAGGCTATTACTATCCAAAATGCCCCAGTCCAGCATTTTTGGAAGGCCCAGACACGAGACATCACATTGATCATCATCAGAAAGCCAACTAGGTAAACTTGGAGGTTATTTTCGAACAAACGACAGGCCTCTTCACCAGGCAAACTGTCAAATCACAAGGTCATCAATTCAAAAGGTATACCAAAAGCCCAGGCTATTCAGGCAGATTACCTTGGGAAGGTGTTAGGCCCATTCCCTCATTCTATTCCTTCTTTCTCATACTCACTGCTGGTGGAATCTGGTACAGCTTCCATTTCCAGGAAAGCCCTTTCCTCTGTCAACCACATCCTGCTTACCCTTCGAAGCCATAATCAGCTTCCCTGGTTGCAAACTCTTTTTTCTCCACGTCACACAATCCCTCAACCTCCATTTTCTTTCTCTTACAACTAATTCACTCTCTTTCTTTGGCGCTATAGCCTTGATTAACTAGAGATTAGACGAACCGGTTGATTGCTTTCCTCGCCCCGGCTTGTGGTTTCCAGGACCAAATCCTCTCTTTTGTCACTACGGCGTCTTTTTTCCACTCAGGTCCTATTGCGAAATCAACTTGGTAAGCTGCCTTCGAAGGCAAACTCACGATATCAAACCCGCCTCTCTTCTCATGGTCCTCTTCACCCTTCCAAAACGGCATCCCCTAATTAGAGAGCAACTACGCATCTCAACAATTTATAATCTGGCTCTGCGCACAGGATCAAAATGGCCAACAACTCCTTCCCTAGGTCCATTGAAAGCACAACCAAGGAAGGTGACCATGAGTCCATATTGTACGCCGAAACTGATAACGGTTGGACTCATGATGGAAGGAGTGACTTCGGTCATGACTTCACCGATATTCCACCAGGCAACATCAGCTCGGATATTCCTGATCTAATCGACTTGTCTGATCCCGAAGACAGCACTCCCAGCAAGGGACCCACTGAAAGCATTCCTCTCACCTCCGACAAGTGCAACCTCAAAGAGTCTATAGACTGTCATTTTCCAGTCTTATTCGAGAAAATAGAGGGTCCTTCATCGAAAGAGAGCCCGCACCCAAAAGGGTTCCTGGATCCTGAGTCTCCTCCTTTTGAACCATCCAAGTCAGTTCCATGAATCAAGCACCTCAATTCCAGCCGTAAATGCCTGGTAACTAACACAATATATAGGATGTGTCTCCTCGATCAAGAACTGCTGCCGTCATGTCACTCCTCTGACACTGATGGCCGACAAAACCGCACCACAGAGCACGACCAAGTGGCTATCCTACAAGCTCATATCAAAACGTTAGAAAACGAACATGAGACTTTGAAGCGCGAGAACGATAGCCTCAGTACCGTAAATGAGGTCTTGCAGCATAAGACCTGCCAACTTGAGGTGTACATCGAGACCCTGCGAGATACGGTTGCCGAAGCACAACTTCTGCGAACAAGGGCTCAAAAGTTCGCAGTTGAGCTCAGTGAGAAGAATGCAAATCTCAGAGCTTCTCTAAACCAACTGCAGAACGATTACGACGAAGTAAAGCCACAGGTAGCTGAGTACAAGAAGAAACTTCATGGAGCCACGAAAAGTATTGATCCTTTACAAAAACAGCCACAAGACGTCCAGAACCGTCTTCTCAACGTGACGGAACATGTCAGAGAGATTGAACACTTCTTTAGAAACGATTTGGACAATAATCCTCAGGACATAGAAGCTTTTGCTTCTGTCGGTCTCTTCCCCAGCGGCGCCGGTCAAAAGTACGATTCTGCCGGATTTCGTCAAACCCAAACATTGATTTCCTCCAATGAGTTCTTTCCAAAGCCAATGATTACTTCCTGTGCTCGGCTCACTGGACTCCAAAACAATGGTGGAGGAAACAAAAGCCAAGGACCACAGCCTGTCGAGGCGCCCAACGATGATTTCAACGCCAGCAACATGAATAGGAAGGACAGCCCATCTCAGCCTGGCGAGTCTCAGAGTCGCACCGGCTCTACCCTTGACGGTATTGAATGGAGCCCTGGCTCTGGCAAAATCTGGGCCACCGAGGTCGAGAAAGTCCAGGCTGTTCGTAATCACCAGGGAGCTCGACCCGACATTCAAACACCCAGTATGTTCAGATATGGCATTCGGTTCGTGCGGCAGCATATTGTGCAGAAGCTAATTACAGAAGATGGCATTCCAGACGTTGCGTCTCGGCGGATCATCATGTCAGGTGTCCCCGAAGGTGTCCACATCCGGCAAGTTTTGGAGCACGTTCGAGGCGGTCGGGTTCTCAAGGCTCACATCATAACTATGGGAGACGGCACAGACCGCCACAGGGCAGCCTACATCGAGTTCGGCAATGCAGGGGATGCTATGGACTACTACCGCTTCACTCGACGCCGCGAGTTCGGTTTCATCGTCGACGACGCGTCGATCAGAGCCCGAATTATGCTTCCCGCCACCGATTCTTTCCCTCTGAGCGACATTCAGGAGGCTCAATTAGCTCAAGGGTGTACCCGCTGCCTAGCCGTAAGTGGCTTTCCAGTTTTCCATTTGCCAACTCTCTTCGAATCCGCGGGAGCTTTCCGCAAGTTTGCGGACAACATTACTCACTTCAGCTACTCCGATGACGGAAGCTTCGAAATCTCATTTTCTGACATCCAGTCTGCCCTTGGCGTCCGTGACAGCATCCTTTGCTCCAGCTTTTATGGTGGAACTCAGTGTAAAAACGCTGTTGTCTTCAAAGAAGACCCTTGCGATGCACCTCTTGACACTCTTCAAGTGCCTTTTCTTCCCATCAAACCCTTGCCGGACTTTTCAATTCTGGACCCGAAAATCGCCCCATTATTTATGACCGAAGAGGGACAAGACATTGAGGTCGACCACGCGAAGAGAGACGTTACAGGGCCCATCACCGAGACTCCTCGAGTCGTCCACGAGCAAGATCTTAGAAAGGGCATCGTTTGGGAGAAAGCGGCGAACTGGGACGAAATACCAACCTATGATGCTTACGACCACGAACAGAGACGAGTAGTTTCGCACCAAAAGGATCCCGAATCCGGAGCAATTCGAACACTTTACCACGGCAGTTGGGTCATGTCGCCAGATGAGTCACGCAAGATGTGGCTTCATTACAATCAAGACAGCCCCGACCCTTGGACTCAGGGCACAGCGGATCTTTTCTATAATGCGACTGGTGATATCGACATGCGCAAGGTGAACCTCTATCTCAAAAGCAAACAAGAAAATGCAAAAAAAGAAGGAGGGCGATATGACTAACAGATTTGCCGATAGTGCATCGTCGACGATGGGGGACTCTACGGAGACGCCGATCAATGGATGAAGACCCCAGATTCATCTCCGCCCGAGGGAGAGAGTCTGACACCCATTGGGACCCCTTCGACTGTACCTCCTCTCTCTGAGCTCACCGAAGGTCTCATAAACGTTCATGATACATCGAGGAATGTGCCTGCGGGCGTCTATAGCAACAACATTGGTAGCAACTCCGGATACACCAGCCCTTCGTCTTAGGAAGATGCGCGAGGCAGCAATGGTGGAACGGCCAATTACACCTCTAGAGCGGGCTCCAACAAACTTTTACGAGTTACAAACAACAGAAACCGAACGGCTGGTAAGAAGGTACCAGTTGACGGTCCGTTTTGGTGAAGATTCGTAGGGGAAAGGTGCTGATTACGAATGGTTAAATTGCGATCACTTGGTGCCGCGGATTTTTTTTTTTTTTCCCCTTTGGCAGGTTGCCAGTCGAGGGCCATAGATGGGTGCGCGATGCTCATATGAATCTTTTTCTCAACTTTGGCGTCTATAGACAGCGGATGGTAGCCGTCTATCAATGCGTGGCCTGGAGATAGATAGGTCAATGCATTGGTAGCTTAATACAGTGGATCTTTGCCATGAAAAAAGTCCCTTCAGGCAGTGGCACAAACAGGTGAAAATGAAGCGCAATGATGGCAGAGAACTGCGATGAGTAATTTGTTGATTTGTGAATTCTTGCTTGCCTTTACAAGCATGGTCCTATCTACCCCTTGACTAAGGCCAACGATTGGCGATGCCCTTTTTTGCGAGCCGAGCTGAAAATGCTCGCTATGAAAAGTCTCGTGATGCCAACTCCACGTCCATGAAAATCTCCGAAAATATGCCAGGATCGACCGATTCCAACTCCTGACCCCGAAATCCCCAAACAAAACCTCGCTGTGACAAAAAATGTATACCGCTTTACCACCCAAATCACCAAGAAAACGTCGGTCGAACAGAGGAAACGGGGTCTTCCGTTACGAGCAGCACCTCATCTTGCCCCGTATCTCCGCCGTCCTCGTCCTCCTGCTTCACGGCAGCCTGGTCGAGATCGAGGTCCTTCCCGTTGCCGCCGGCAGCAGCCGCGTCGTACTCGACGCCCTCGAAGGCTTCTGACACGGAAGAGTATTTCCGCTGGGACCACAACGGAGGAGATAGGTACTGGTCCAGAGTGCCGTTGGTCCCCTTCCGCGGCCGCGGCGGCGGCTGCGGCGTCGGGGCGGGGTGCGCGAGGAGGTACTTCTTGGTCATGTAGCGCGGGATGTTGGACTCGGGTTCCCAGGTGGGGTTCTGGTCGGGCGGCCAGTTGCCCTTCCAGCGGACGGCGAAGTAGCGCACGGGTTTCCCGCGGACGTGGCGGATCTGCAGGCCTTCTAGGCGGAGCACTTCGTAGACGTCGTCCGACTCGGCGAGTTCGTCGCGGTCTGCGTCGTGCGGTTTGACGTGGATTGAGTCGTTGGCCGGGGGTGGCGGTGGTACCGAGGCGGCGGGTTTCTCGGGTTTTTGTTTCGGTGTGGATTTTAACGTTGACGAGACGCGGGCCTGTTCTATTGATTGGACGGGTTGACCTGGTGTTAAGCTTGACGCGTTGTGGACGGCGTGGGCGACGGTCCAGGGTGTTGAGCGGTGGCTTAAAGGCGTGAAGCCGGTTCGTGGTGACGAGGTGGATGTTCCGTTTGTAGGGGGTTTGATTGGTGTTTCTTTCATGTTCGCCGGGGGTTTCCATGGCTTCGGCGTCGGTGTTTGTGTTTGTGTTTTTGATGATGATGATGATGGTTGAGGTTGAGGCTGAGGTGGTGTTGGAGGATCTCGCACTGACAACTGGGAGCGTTTAGGAGGGGCTGGGGGGTATATGGGTGTTATCTTTTTGGGGATTGCTGGAGGAGTGGAAGCGTAGTTGGCTGATGCCGGTAAGGCGGAGGGAAAGGTTGATGGAGGACCAAGTCTGTTCGCTTGTGATGTCGCACGAGGTTGAGGCAGCGGCGGGAGGGCGGGTGAGCTGGTAGCTCCCCGTGATGAGTCGAAGGGCGTGCTACGGTTGCTATCCGTCTCGATGCCGGACAGAAACCTCGAAAGGACCGGCCGAGGTGATACCGTTCTCTGTTTCTTGGACGGCGGTTTCAGACCGGACGGTACATTGCTCCCCTCGCCGGAATCACATGACTCCTCTGCGACAGACGAAGGGTCCTCCCCGTTCAGTTGTCGGAAAATGGCCTTATCGTCGTCGTCCTCGGCGAGGTCCTCCGTCTCCGGCTCAACTTCCGTATCCAGTTCGCGGAACTCCTCGAGTCTGGTCTTGGAAGGCGTAGAAAGCGACGGCGCATTCCTCTTGGGCCCCCCAGCTTTTCTCTTCTGCTCACTGCCCGGCGTCACAGCTCTCGTGGTTTCCTCCCTTTCGGCCTTGGTCTTCCGTTTCCTCTTCTTGCTCTCCACCTGAGTGGTCTTTGTCGCCGGAACTTCCTTTGGCAGTCCATTTCGAAGCCTGACCCTCTTCTCCCTAGCTTCCGCCTCCGCTACCGCGCGTACGTTTTCTTCCTCCTCCATCCTGCGCTCTTCCTCGATTCGCTCCTCTGCCCTAGCTGCGCACCATTCCTCGTATGCCCTCGGCGAAACGTAATCCGCTATCCTCTCGGCATCAACAATGAGCCTGGCCGCTGGGAGGTCCGTCCAAGCGACCTGGTATTGGAGGTGTTTCCTGCCATCTCCCGATATCGTGTGTGGGATGAGGAACTCGTCGCGAATGTAGGCTGTCGTATCGCGTACGGGTAAAAGGGAGATAGGACGCAGTCGGGGCCCCGCGCCGGGCTTGTAAGAGCGGTAAGTCGCTATGTCTTCGAAAACGACGGCGAGCTCGACTTGCTCTCGGGGTTGTCCCTTTGAAGGGCGGGTTGACAGGGTGGCCGATTTCGAGGATGTGACGGAGGGTCTGCCGAACCAGACGGGACCTGGTCTTCGCGACATGTTCGGCTGCCGCTAGACAAAGCTATGCCTCGCTTGACACGAGGAAATTATCGGCTGGCAGGACGTCGGCCTGTATTTCGGTAGGTAGTGAGAATGTGGCCCAGTCGTGCGACGGGTCGCGGTCGAGATGCCGTCTCGCGTCTGTCGCAAGTTTGGTACCCTGCAAGCGGCGAGCACCGCAACTCTTCAACGCCGCCAGCTGTGAGTGTCAGGGAAAAAAAAAGGTCCATAATATCTGTGCATATTGGGAATTTTCAAAGGGAAAACATACCCAATTTGGGAGCCTGCGGTGCAGGAACAACACATAATTTGTGTCGAGGTTGGTCGTGATGCTTTATTGGGTGGAGAGGGGGGAAAGCTAATGTGGGTGGCAGGCCTCGCCGGCCCGTCACGTGGGCTGACGGCCGCCACCACTGGTCTTAGCCAGCCTCCACAGCCCTCTAGCCAGTTAGTTAGTTCTTCCAACCAACAACACCACTTTTCCCATTCTGAGCGTTCTGTGCTGGTTTCGCCCACAGGTTATGAGCCCAGCGTTATTCTTTCGGAATAACGTCGTTTTACCCATTATTCTACTCGTCTGTCAATTTTCTATTGATTCACGAATTTTTGCGATTTTATTCGCTTTATTTACCCTTCTGTGCGATTTTCTCGCCTTATTTTCCCTTCGCTGACGAATTTCACTTTCTGACGCGATATTGGCTGCCTGGCGCGCACGAATATCACGTGGCACGCGACCGACCACCACAACCCACTGGTTTTCACGAACACCACGGAATTCCACCACAACAACAGACTTTTCAGTCACAACCACACTACAACCATACTTTTACTTCGATTTCCTCGTTCTCACGAGAATTCAACCATTTCAGCTTCGGTTTTTCGAACCAGCCCATCAGTTTCTCGTATCTTCTACGAGTATTCATTCTTCCCTTCGATTCACCGTATTTCTACGGTCGGATCTCACAATTCCACCCATTTCTCGTGTTCTTACGCAAGATTCTCCCTCCTACACAACATTCATACTTCTTCAGTACCATTTACTCATCAATACCTTCCCTTCAATACCTTCCCTTTCCAACAGCACGCGTAGGTGGCAGCGAAAGTAAGCCATCTAACGTACAGACACGCCTCCAAAGCTGCGGCCTCGGAGAAACGCCTGTGATCGAGGTGCGACTATAAGTCTGTCCCGCACTGTTGTGATACCCTCATTTTTCACTTCAAGATGTCTCAAAACGACTTCAAGACCGTCTTCACGCCTCTTCCTCGCCTGAAAGGTGAATCCAACTGGAACACATGGCGCATGCTTGTTACAGCGACCCTGCGAGGATACGACTTCGAGATATTCCTCGAGACTGACGTCCCTCGCCCTGCTGACCCTATCGCTGCAGAGGAATGGAGAAAGAACCGTAACGTCACGAATGGTCTCCTCATGAACGCCAGCGAATCGGTACTCGACAGGCTCTGCACAGCGGGTTGGGTTGACGATGGAAACCCTTACGAATTGTGGCAGGCGCTCGAGAAGCACATTCCGAGAATCTCACAAGACGCCACAGCTGCCCTTGTTGACGAGTTTGCCAAGACCACCGCCAACGATCACAAGACTCTTCACGATGCCCTCAATCGCTGTCACCACCTCAGAAAGCGTATTGAGACCATTCACGGTCGTCTGCCAGACTCCTTCCTCGCTGTTTTCCTCCTTAACTTCTTTAAGGACCGACTTCCCGATACGTACAAGCATTTCACATCGAAGGGCGCCACCCATCCCACGTGGAATGAGGTGGCTGATACGATTTACACGCTTGCCCAAGACGAGGATCAAAAGCGCAGTTATGCCACTATTCGCAACACACCTGGAGGCAAGTCTGCTGGCAGTGGGGGTCCTGCCTCTCCAGCCGTCACCACCACCGTCACCTCCACTGTCACTGCCTCCAAGGAAAAGAAGAAGTGCGACCACTGCAACTGTGATCACGAGACCACAAAGTGCTATGTCGCCCACCCCAATCTCATCCCTCTACACTACGTCAACCGGGATAAGTTGATTGAAAAAGCGAGAAAGCACGTGTGTGGCGATCGCTGCCGCTGGGATCAGCCTACTTCTGTTGATGGCACCCGCCAGACTGTTGTCAGAGCGTCACCTGCCATCTTGGGTCAGTCTGCCCTTGCCTCCATCGCCAGCCCAGCAGTTTTCACTGCTGCCCGCGATGACCTCATCACCCGAGACGATATCGTTCTCGATTCTGGTTGTACTACTTCAACCTTCAACAACTTGCGATATTTCGTCAAGTACGCTGAAAAGAGCGATTTGACACCTTCCACTTCTGCCTCCGGCGCCCCAGTCCGGTCACTTGGCGTGGGCACCGTCTTCTTCCAGACCCAAGACCCCACCAACCCTGACGTTATTCACGATTGGACACTTCACAACGTTGAGTACAACCCTTCCAGCCCAGCCAACTTACTGAGCCCTGGAAAACTTCGTCGTGATCACGTGGAATATGATTGGCAGACCTCAAGCCTCATACACGTGACACAGCGCACTTCCCTTGCCAAAGTTCATTGGGTTTCTGACGTCTGCGTCGTTGAGACTCATGATACTGGAAATCACGTGCCTCGAGATATTGCTGTCAGCCTCGCCGCCTTCCGGGCTACCCAGCGACCGTCTCTTGAACTGATGCACCGCCGGCTGGTTCACGCCCACCCATCACGTGTTGTGGAGGCTTGCCGCCGTGTTGGCATTCGGTTCACAACGTCAGAAATTGACGCTTTCTTCTGTGAGTCTTGCCATCTCAGCAAATCCACTGAACGGATTAGTCGAGACCACCCACTTCCACTTACGAGTATTGGCGATGAAATTCACCTTGATCTCGTTGGTGTTCTTCCCCTATCAACAAAAGGGAACCGTCAGGTTCTACACCTCATGGATAAGTATAGTGGTTACCACTGGGTTGTTTTTCTGCCCAACCACAAGTTTGCCACCATCCTGGCAGCTATCAAGAAATGGGATACTGAATTCTACAGTCTCACCGGCCTCAAGCCCAAGGTTTGGGTTTCTGACAATGCTCCCGAGCTAATCAAGGTTTTCAACGACCCCTACTTCGAGGGTACTCGCCACAACACGACTATTGCCTACACGCCTTCCATGAACGGTACTATTGAGCGTGCTGGTCGTACCATCGTCGAAGGCGCCCGGACACAGCTGATTGACATGTCCCTTCCAGAGGAACTGTGGGATTACAGCATCGATTCGGTGACTCAGATTCTCAACCTCTTGCCCACACCCTCCAAGGGTAACTTGAGCCCTCACGAGATCATGGCGAGAGAGCTGAACTTGGCTGCTGAACGTGAGGCCCCCCACATTGAACATCTCCGAACGTTTGGCTGTGCTGCCTACGTACACAAGAAGGGCCCTCGACGCCCTATGCGCTCTGCCAAGATGGAACCACGAGCAATCAAGGGATTCCTCGTCGGTTACGGTTCTCTTCGTGGCCACATTTACTACGTTTACCTGCCTGATCGAAAGGAGGTTATTCGCTGCAGAGATGTTCGATTTCGTGAGGAACCGCACAAGACAGTGTTGCCTCCAACTACTGGCACACCCAACATTGATGAAATTGAACATGATGCTGCGTTTGTCGAACCAGATATCATCATCCAGTACACCATCCGTCAGAAGCCTATTGAAGGTGAAAAACCCGTGACTGGTGATCCCAAACCAGATGAGACCATCGTTGAAAAAGCGATGGCACCCACTGATACACATCTCATGTCTCCGCCACCAGAGAACCTGTTGGAGACCACTGCTACACCTCGTGACAGCATTACTAACGAATTGAATGATGACGAATTCGTCGCTTCCGTGGAAACAATGGAAACTGATCACCAGGACCCTGATTCCCTCTCCACGATTGTTGAGGAAGCAACGAGTCAACCGGCAGAGTCCTCTCGACCTCGCCGCGCCTCAGCCCAGCGACCACCTGGTCACTACCGAGCCGCCAGTGGCGTACGCTCCTATGCTAAAAAGACTTTTCTATCTGCTGACATTCCAGCTTCACTAACTTCTCGTCAATTCTCTCTCAGCGTGCTTTCTGCTACTGCCCTTTCGAAAGTCCTACCCGACGGCGTGGTGATCCCGAAGTCCTACCGTGAGGCGCAGAAGAGCCCACAGTGGCCCCAGTGGGAACAAGCCTTCGAACGAGAGATGACTCAATTCACGGAAAAGGGGGTTTACGAAGTCGTTTACCCACCACGTGACGCTAAAGTCCTGCCCGGCAAGTGGGTATGTGACATCAAAACCAACAAAAACAACGAAATCGTGCGCTACAAGGCCCGATATGTGGTTTGTGGAAACCACGAGAAAGGTGACTGGTCATCGCAAGAGGTTTACGCTGCAGTTGCCTCTGCCACCGCAACCCGCCTTTTCTTCGCAGTTGTCGCACTTCTCGATCTTGAATACGAAGTATATGATTTCGACACTGCTTTCCTAGCCGCCTCGATTCCAGAGGGGGTTAAGGTGTACGTCCGGCCCCCCGCTGGCTACGCCACTGCAGACAACAAGGTTTGGCTGCTCCACAAGGCACTCTATGGATTGAGAAAATCACCACTTTGGTGGTTTCGACTTATCAAGGGTGAAATGGAACGAATTGGCTTCACTGCTGTTGATGGGGAGGTTTGTCTCTTCGTCAATCACAAGATTAAAGCGTACGTTCTTATGTACGTCGACGACAACGCCATCGCCGCTCCCAACAAGCAAGTCATGATGGAAGTTCGTCGTCTCCTCGAGAAGGTCTGTTCTCTTAAAGACCTCGGCGAGGCTACCGATTTTCTCGGTTTCCAGATTGAACGCGACAGAGCTGCCGGTAAGATTTTCGTTTCCCAAGCCAAGTACGCAAAAGCAGTGCTTCAACGATTCGACTTTGATGGTTTGAGTGCTGTCAAGACGCCTATGGCGACCACTGACGATCTGCCCGTCACCTGGGACAAGAACGAGTGCTCGCTTGACGAACAACAACTTTACATCGAACAAACCGGCTGCCTTAACTTCCTGGTGGCTGGAACTCGCGTTGACATGGCCTACACCGTCAGTAAATTGTCACAGGCGAATTCAGGGCCTTCTAAGGCCCATCTTCGTGCTATTAAGCACTTATTCCGATACCTCAAGGGCACCGTTTATCTCGGTATTGTACTTGGAGGCATCCCCACGATCAACGAGTTGGGGCTCTACGCTGCTGCAGATGCCTCTTTCGCTGACAACAAGCCATCACGAGTCTCGACAGGTGGTTACGTCGTCTTCCTCGCTGGTGCGCCGATTGCTTGGAAGTCAAAGAAACAGACTTTCGTGACTTTGAGCACCACGGAGGCTGAATTCATCAATCTCACACCTACGGCAATTGCTGTGAAGTGGATCAGACGTTGCCTCTCCCAACTGCTCGGCAAACCCATCACCACGCCTACTATCATGTTCACTGACAGTGCCAACGGCTACGACAACGTCATGAACCCACTCAACGAGGCACGAACCCGCCACATCGACGTCCGATACAAATGGATCATACAGGAGGTTCACACTGCGAAAAGCATCGAACTCCGACTCATCAAGGGCGCTGATATGGCCGCCGATGGACTCACGAAGCCACTGGTTGCGGTCAAACACAAGGAATTCGTTCGTTTGTTGGGCATGGCGGAGGGATTGGATTGAGAGGGGGATTTTGAGACTGTGGGACTATTGATATTGAGACTTCGGGATTCGGAGGATTTCACGGCCTCCTATTGGCCAGGTTTAACCGGTAATTGACCGAGTTTTCTAATAGTTGAGAACTCCTCGGATTTGGAGGATTTGGGACTTTTCCTGTATTTCCTATTATTCTACTGCTTTTTCGCTGAGGAGTCTGAGAGGGGGTGTGGGTGGCAGGCCTCGCCGGCCCGTCACGTGGGCTGACGGCCGCCACCACTGGTCTTAGCCAGCCTCCACAGCCCTCTAGCCAGTTAGTTAGTTCTTCCAACCAACAACACCACTTTTCCCATTCTGAGCGTTCTGTGCTGGTTTCGCCCACAGCTAACCTCTGTAATGGTGAAGTGACTGGCCTACTACCTGTAGCTGACAGAACGGACCGCTGTAATTCAGGTAGATTCTACTATGTACTCCCTTGCTTTGACACACTAAGTCTTGTTTAACCTTTTCCCTTCGACCCTTCAGCAGCTAACAATACCCAAGAAGCTTAAAATATTAAAAAGATAAATTGCTAGCATTGAACACTATAAAAGAAATATATTTTCTCTAAAATCAAGTGAAGTAATTAAACGTTCCTATACTAAGAACCTCTCTCTCACTTTCATGCCTCTCACTAAAAAAGAAACGAACAAAAAAAGACCCCCACTAACTCGCGACCAGTGTACGTACTTTACGCGGTCTTTTGTTGTCCCACCTCCCGGCCGAATCATTCGATCCGAGGGAGCATGAGCTGCCTTTTGGCCCGTGCAGAAGCTGTGGCTGAGCAGCTGTTGGCGCAGTATTGTACACTAAGGCGTTAAATCTTTGTGGACCGAGCTTGACCTCATCGCAAAGAGTAGAAGCTCCATCTAGCAGCTTCAGCACATTTCCAATTCCTCCCGACAGGAAGTCAACTGGGGAAAACGAAATAGCCCTTTCCAACACCCACACACTCACCATACACAATCTCCTACCACAAAGCGATTCTAGAGAAACATTACATCTACAATGTTGACTCCCACGAGCACTTTCGCTCTCCGCATGGCCGGCCATGGCGCCGCCCGCGCTTCCATCGTCTCTTCCATCGCCCGCACCACCGCCACCACTACTTGCCCGTACTCGACCGCCGCCGCCGGGAAGAAGCCTTGCGCTGCCCGCCCAATTGGCCTGGCTCCCTCCTCCTCGATCGCCCGTAGCAGCGCCGTCTTCTCCTCCGCTCCGTCCTCCATCATCGCTCGTGTCGTCCGCCAGCCCTGCTCCCAGCGCTGCAACGCAACCGCCGCGGCGTCGCAAAAGTCCGCCGCCCCCGCTGCCGCCCAGCAGGGCGACAAGCTGGACTGGAACTCCTTCTTCGCTCTGCGCAAGTCACGCCGTAGGTGGCAGCTTGGCTTCAGCGTCGTCTCCTTCGGCGCCTCATTCGTCGGCGGTGCTACTGTTCTCGCGACCGGTATTGCGGACCCCCTGGTAACCCAGATCCCGCTGGACCCCTTCATCACCATGGGACTTATGACAATGAGCTTCGGCGCGCTGGGATGGTTGGCCGGTCCGAGTCTGGGATCGCTGGTCTTCTACACGCTGAACAAGAGGTGGAAGACCCAGATGACGGCTGTATGTTCTCCTCCTACCTGCCCCCCCTTGAGTCACCTCCGCCGGACGCATTGCTAATACCCAGTTGCAGAAGGAGAAGGAATTCTTCGCCCGCATCAAGAAGAACCGTGTCGACCCCTCCGTCTCTTCCGTCGGTAACCCTGGTAAGTCGCATTCTCCGGGTCTTCCCCCAGCTGCACTTTTTACTGACTCCGATAGTTCCCGACTTCTACGGCGAGAAGATCTCCAGCGTTGCGGGCTACCGCCAATGGCTCAAGGACCAGCGCGCCTTCAACCGGAAGCGTGTCGCTTTCGTGTAAAATCACCATCACATTCACATCACGGCTCGACAGCACACGGTTTCTTCTACTGGTAAGGTTAATCAGGGTCATGGCTCAAGTTGGGCGTATGCCGCCCTTCTCTCTTTGTAGCAATAGGGGTATCGCGTGGGAAAAGTATGTATCATGACAAACAGTGCCCCCTGTCAGAACAAATTCAACTTTTTTTTCTTTTTAATAAAAACCTCCCCAGGCACGCAGGTATGCTTCGTGTGTCGACTCGCTCATGTGAATGGTAGCGTGGGATCGATCTCGGCTTTCCACGCCCTCATGCCTCCTTTGATATCGCCAATGAATCGTTTTCCGTTGCCGTCCAGCGCGAGGTCTTTAAGGCGCTTCGCGGCAAGCTGTGAGTCATTTCCGACTCGGCAGACGAGGTAGATGGGTGCGTCTTCGGGGAGCTCTGCAGGTAGCCATTCGAGCTGCGGCGGGGTTCCGTCGTTTGACGGCTGCGTCTGCTTCATAAATGTTGCAATGGGTATGCTCACGGCGCCTTCTATGCTGCAAATGTCAAAGTTCTCTCGCTCTCTGACGTCTAGCAGGAGATGCTTGACTGTCTTGTCTTTGCGGGCGCGCTCGTACTCGGTCGCCGTGATTCGCTCCTCGGGCCCCAAGACACTAACCGGGGCGCTGACGCCACAGAAGGAGATGTAGTCTAGGGACCCAGACCGCAGAGTCTCGAGTGACAGCGTTGATACTGCAGAGCAAGCGAAGCAGTCCTTCCTCCGTCCGCGCATTCTAACTGACCTGAAAGGACCCGATGGCGCAGCCCCTGAAAAGATGAGAAGTGAAGGGGCTGCAGCTTCTTTTACCTTCACCTCGGGATCCACAGCGCCTGCGGCGACAAGTTTGATGGCCTCGAGAGCCTGCAGGACACCCATGGCTCCGACGACAGGTCCGAGGATGCCGCCCTCGCCGCAGCTGACCACGCTGTCCGGTGGCGGCGGCTTGGGGAAGACGCAACGGTAGCACGGTCCGCCATCTAGGCTTCCCTGCGGCGCGGCGGGAGAGTTGAGAATAATGAGCTGGCCGTCTGTCCGGAAAGCCGACGCCGAGACGAGCGGCTTTTGAAGGAGCACGCAGATGTCGGAAATGAGGTAGCGAGACGTCGGATGATCTGTACAATCAAGGATGATATCGTACTGTGAAACAATCTCTTCGGCGTTCTGCGGCGTCAGGTGCGTCTTGTGGGCACGATATGTCACAGTTGGGTTCAGACTAAGGCCATCAGTGCTGAGCGCAACGAGAATGAAGTAGATGAGACCCACCCCTTCAGATACGTGATTGCGCTGTCAACCTTGAACACTCCAACCCTGTCTGTTGAGTGGGCTATCTGGCGGTGAAGATTAGACACTTCGACCACGTCCCCATCGACGAGACCGACGGTACCGGCCCCTGCCCCGGCGATGTAAGCGGCTGCGGGGCATCCAAGGCCGCCGGCGCCGATGAGGAGGACCTTTGACTTCTTCAACCTGAGCTGGCCTGTTGGAGGTAGTTAGCATACAGGATCATGGCACGAATATTCAAGTCAGGCGCCGACCTTTCACTCCTACTGCCGGGATGATTAGCTGACGCCCATATCTCTCACAATCCTCCGCTTGCAGGGGCCATTTCCAGGGTTGCTGAGCTGGTTCCTTAACATCTTGAGCTTCCCTCTCCGCTCTCGCAAGCTCTTCTTTCAGTCCCCGGAGCTCAGACTCTGCTTTAGCGACCCTTTTCCTCAAATCCTCGACTTTTTCCATGATTCTGTTGGAGCGATTTGGTGCTTTTGGTGGGATGAGTAACGCAGAAGCGGCGAGTCCCCCCCGGTCTCTTGTGCATTTTATACAAAAGTCGGAGGTGCCACGGCCGACTGCCGACCCCACGGATTCAAAAGGCCCACTTTAATTATACCCCCACCATGGAATTTTTGAAGCTTTGCAGTTTCCCAAACTTCGCCAGCGCTTCTTCACCGTCTGGCATTCTTGCGCCGAACCAACTCAATCCGTTTTCACAGCTCCAAACACCGAGTCTCAACGCTCAAAATGGTACTTTTGAATCTATCGACCTGCTTCATCATGTATGCTAACCCTTTCAGGCTCCCGTCGTCCCCTCAAACACCCTCTCGGCCCGCGAGAAGCGAATGGCCCGAATCCGCGGTGACATTCACCCCCTCGCCCCCCACAAGACGCACCGCGCCGATGCCCAGGTCGACGATAGCTTCCTGACGAACAAGAAGGACAAGCGCACGATGAAGCACAGTGCCTTCGTCAGCAAGATCCACAAGGCCAACAAGACGCCCCTCAAGCGTCGCCGCCCCTCCAAGAAGCTCGTCACCACAATGGAGTCCCTCGTCGACGCCCTCCCTGACCTCGACGAGTCGTCGCAGAGCCTCGAGCAGCTGCGCGAGGGCAAAGTGCGTCACAAGAGTCTCAAGAGCAGACCCGGCGCCCTGAAGAGGAAGGAGAAGGTCGTCAAGGGCGAGATGCAGAGGTTCGGAGCTAGCATGGCTGCCTTGGCCGCCGTTCCCGGTGCTCCCGCGCCCGCTTCTGCGTCTGCCGAGGGCGGTAATGCCGCCATGGCCGATGTCGGGAGTGCGGGTGCGGCGGCGGATGCCTCGAGCGCGACGGCGAACCGGTGGGCTGCGTTGCGGAAACACATTTCAAACACCATGGAGCAGAACCCCATGTTCAGCAAGTAAGCCGCCGCTGGCGTGCACTTGATTCGAGTCGCGGGGTTGGATGCGTAGTCGATGTCAAGGGCTGGCTTCCCCATTGTACTAGGATAAACCTGGTAGAGGGGTTAGGGATGGATTGACAGATGCCTGGGTTCCTGTCAGTTGGAATCGATGCATCATATGCGGCGTTATCACCTGGTCATCAATGGCTATTTCCTCCCTGTGGATGAAGAAGGGTAGCCTCCATCACATCATCGCCAGGGACATGGGGTGGAAATGTCGAAAGACCCCGTTTAGGGCGAGTCTTAATGGTTACGGCACCGGTCGGTCGTAAGAGTACGAACCAGCCTCACAATTTCTTTTTCTTGTTTGTCATTCTTAGGTGACGAAACGTTGAAGTGGTTGTTGCAGACTGCACATTTCATGGCGTCATCCAGGAATCATGGACTCAAGGAGGCTTATATAATGGCCTGCCTCCCCCCCCAAGCGGCGGCAGGCAGGAGAGGGACCTGACCCTCAAGAATACAAGGAAACAAAAGATACCCAACCAACACAGATTCAGACTTTCAATAGACAAACTACTACTACTTTTCACCATGTCGAAAAACTCCTGGGCCCAGAGCGACGAGAAGGCGTCTGACAGACTTCCTGGCGACGCGCCCCAGGGCCAAGTGTATGATGACTCTTACACTACTACAAAGTCCGAGGCCGTCCCGGTGACCAAGGATGATGCCGATATCGAGGACCCTGTTGACCCCGCGACGGCCGACTCGGATAAGCAACTGGGTGAGTTTGGACTGCAGTTGGCGGACGAGTAGTTACTGATTCTTGTAGATCGGGACGAGAGAGAGGCTATCGACAAGTCCAACGTCGTCAAGGAAAAGACTCGACATGCTAAGCCTGCGAATGGGACTTATCAGGAGCCGAACGATGATGATTTGGGCTTGACGCAGTAGATGTTGGAGGGACTTGTACATTAGATGAGGTTTGAAGGAATGATTATTCTCATTTGAGCTACATTGGTTTTATCTTGGTGATATTGTTTTGTGATATTTGCGCCCTTTTGTGATTATGGTTATTTTCGTTTTTTTTTTTTTTTTTGGTAATGGGATCTCGAAGTTGAGAGATGTTTTTGGAGATCAGCCTTGCCAACTTCCAGTTGTTTTCTCGACTCACGGGAACCATATCAAGCATGCCCAAATTGAACATTATCAGAATTTAATTTAAAACTTGTCATTTGACGTTATTATCGTACAACTATCATAACAGCAGAACCAACCAATCCCTACGATAGCTGATCCAACTTCTCCTGAGCCCGCTCCTTGGCCTCATCAGACACGCCGGGGTTGTTGATGCTCGCTTTCAAACCGCGGGCGCTAAGTTCACAATCGTAAGCTACGGTCAGGTTTTCGTGTTTGAACAGTACTTACACATTTCCCGGATCCTTTTGGCCGTCATTCTTGGTCGTCTGGCCTCCGCCGGACTGATCATACGGCTCGCCAATGTCATTGAGGACCTGGCGGGAGTGCTCCTTGGCTTCATTTGAAACTTCTACATTCATCGTTAGTTATGTCCAGACCTTTACAGCTCTTTTAAGAAGCGTCGGGGCGTACGGGGGTTGTTGAGCGTGGCCTTGTGGCCGCGGACTACGTTCTCGGGGTCCTTCTCCGTGTCGGCGGAGGCGGGGACCTCGCGGGGAATGTCGCTGTAGTCGTCCTGGCTGGCCATGTTCGAAATCTGGTATGTGTATTCTTTGTTCAGCCTATGTTTCTGGTGCCTCCGTCACTGGTTATGCAACGGCGTCATCTTCTTTTCTATGGCTGAGGTTACAGCTGGATATCCCACGGTGACTTCATCTTTACACCCCAGACCTCGAAAAAAAGAAAGCGTGGGCAGCGTGGTGCAACCTTTTTGTGCCTCTTGCACACCATCTACGCTTGTGTATTGTCACCTATAGTTCGTGGTTTGGCCGTCATTTTGAGGTCAGTGATGTACGCTTTACCTAACCCCAAGACAACGCGAAAATGGCTTCCGTCAGGGTGGTGGAAGGTACGTTGCTCGACCCGCTTTTGAGTTTGTAAGTGATCTGAGTTGTTTGCCATTCTCGAAAGTTCTGGAGGTCGATATGGTTGCGGCTACATGTTTGTCACGTCTTTGGAACCTGGAATGATGCTTTTACTGATAAGCTACGGCTTGCCACCTCCTCGGATGTGGGACATGGATTCTCTACTTTATCATGTAGTTTGTTGAGAATAGCGGCGTAGGAAGAGTAGAAACGGTGGGCTTGAATGGAACCAATAATGTTTCCATTGTTAGTGTCCTGCGCCTTGCAGGTAAATTCTAAGACGCCCATTTGAAGCCGAATCCCACATCTCCGCGCATTTTGAAATAATCTGATGATGCCGGTGCCATGTGCTCGGCATCTGGGCCGACAGTGGGGCCGGCGATTTACACGATTCCCGGCCGAGCTTGTTTCTCAGTCATTCTCGCAAGGCTGGATTGCACATCTGAACAAACCTCTCATAGTTCAATAGTATCACTCCCATCAAGATACGAACATCATTACCATTTTACCCTCTCACGACTGCAAACAGAAACACTGCCGAGACGCCCAGACCGGAGGTTTTGCACCGGGACGGCCCCCAGCAGGATCTCACATCTCATCTCCCCTGCTTGGAAGGGGCCCGTATTGGCCGCCTAGGCCCCCGATCGCCGCTTATACCTCGCGTGCATCAAGACCCGATCGTGGACCGCGGAGGCTCTGCCAACGATCCGGTGTGCCGGTCACATAAACTACATGCGACGCTTGCCGGGATATTAATTGAAAATACGACCAAGTTGCCTCAACTACCCCGCAGGAAACGCCATTTTCGTTGTTCAAAGGGAGGAGAAGCGCGATCGAAATCGACGGGCTCCGCGCCATTTAGAGACCCATAAATTGATGGCATCATAGACATGCAACGGACCGCCCATTGCAGGAAAAAGAAATAACTGTAATTGCGAAAACACTCGCGGTTGGAAAACCCCAAGCGAAGAAAATGCATACCCAATGTAATTGAGGCCAAGCACAGGCAAACAAGCCGTAATGATCGACGAATCGGTTGAGTGGGCTGGCGGTTTTGACGCTGGAGTGATGTCAAGCCTAGCCCCCTCGATGGATCCTGGGCCCCTCGTCCCGGTGTTAGGGGGCACCTCGCCCCTTGCTGGGCGTCCATTGAATGGGTGGTGATTGTTTCCGTGGTGATTTGATGAAGCGATGCGATCTGGGGTAAGAGTGTGTGTAGATGAGGCTCCGTCGTCATCATCCGGTCAGCTAACGTGGAGATCGTCAGGAGAGGAGGTCGGGACTGGGTTGCTTGCCTAACATCAACGTCACCGTAGGGCAGGCAGCGCGGGCTTTCTTGCGTTTGCTTTGCTTGTTTGTCGAGTGGAAAGAAAGATATAAACCCCAAGACCATCCAGCTTTCATCCGGACCTTTTCTTCTCCATCATCCACCAAGTTCTACGATATCAAACGATTTTCACACAACAGTCATACTCATAAATCACTACCCAACACACAACCCAAAATGAGCAGCAACAACCCCGGAAACTTTGCCAACCGGTATGCACATTCAAACCCTTTCTAAGCATCAACGCTGACCAAAACAGCCCCAAGGAGGAGGTCCAGGAGATCGCGGCCAAGGGCGGCCACTCCAGCGGCGGCAGCGGCGGCAACACCCACAGCAGCTCCGGTACCCACTCTTCCGGCACCGGCAACTCCAACCCCGGCAACTTTGCCAACCGGTATGATCCACTTTGCCGACTCTGGTCCGGATGAACGCTAACACTAAAATAGCCCCAAGGAAGAGGTCCAGGAGATCGCGGCCAAGGGCGGACATTCCAGCCACTCTGGCGGTTTCGCCAGCATGGACGCCGACAAGCAGGTACGTTTTTCACTAGGCTACAAAAATCTTCGTTGCACTGGCTAGATTCTAACTCTGTATTTTTAGCGCGAGATCGCGTCTGAGGGCGGCAAGGCCTCGTCCGGCTCTTTCGAGCCTGGTTCTGAGAAGGCGCGTGAGGCGGGCCGCAAGGGCGGTCTCTCGGGCGGCTCCAACTAGAGTTTGTTGCGTGTAATATGTTCTCGCGATGAGAACGATGTACTATAGAAGGAACATGAGATATGAACTTAAGGGCGACGTGCCCGAATGTAGGGTCCTAATGAGAATCCAATTTTTAAACATTTGGTCTGTTATTCGGGTGTTTGTCGACGTTTGGACTGTGGCCCGGTCACTTTGGATAGAGTCGCATTGGTCTATGACCGTTCATATGTTCGGGCCATGCATCTTTCGATTTTGTATTGTTCTCCATATCTTTCGGGGTCTAAGTCTAGACCTCGATAAATGGGTCCACCATCTGAGTTATCCTACTTTTTCACAAATTTTCTTCACCGCCTCTAGCATAAAAGTCACGATGCTAGCTGGCAGTTCTCATGCTCTGATATTCATAGGCTAACAAATACACTAGTCTACCACCTCCACCATATCGGACAGCCGGCTGCCAACGGGTGGCATCCCTCGGCCCCCGAATCGAAAATGGTGGAAACGAAGATTTCCTTGGCGCCCAAGTCTAAGCCTTATCCTCCTCGGCAATCGCCGACCGGTGTGATTTTCCTTCCCTCCCCCACCTCCCTACGTACCAGTCCTACGTACCAGTCCTACGTAGTAGTCACACGTCCCTGCGCAGGCAGCCAAAGGAGGGGGGTCTGCAAGAGCTGAGACTGCCCCCTGGACTGAGGGCGCGGCGTACTATCCGACTCGCGGGGCACTGTTCCGTCAGTGGCAGAAACCAGTGGTGTCCCAGTGTGGTTTGGCGCCATTGTCGTTCTGTCTTCGCCGAGCCAAAAGAAGAATGAAAAGACGTACTACGTAGGTAATTCTGCGAAGTAGCTGTAGGCCTGCTGCAGCGGCAGGATTTGCCCCAGGTGGGTGGTATCCTTCCCCCCCAAGGGAGGTACCGGCGCATCGTAGAGGCCTGCAACGGTGACGTAGACGAGGTGAGACCTAAACCTGAACCCTCAGCCTGTCTTTCACCTACTTTCTTTCTTATGGGGGATGTGTCATCGCGGAGGGTTTTGAAGTGACTGAGGCGTCCTAGGAGAAGGAAAATGGCAGCTTGGTCGACGATTGGAGTAAAGGGAATTGCCACGGATAAAGTAGGCAAAAGAATAGCTAGATGACCTTGGCAAGACGGATTTAAGTGAGGTGGGAAAAGAAGGTTTTCCTAGTAGTAAGGATTGGTGTCGTCACCCCTCTCTTCTCTCTTCGCCCGTCGCAGTCATTTGTCACAGGTCTCCAAGCCAACATACCAGATCCAGACAAACAGGTGCTGAGGGGGGGAGGCGTTCCAGATCTCAGGCCATTCTACCGCCTAAACCATTCCATTCCCAGAAACTCTCTTCGTTTGTTCATCGCGGGGGTGATCTACCACACCAACCCGGGTTATCGTTCTCTTCGACTCTGTGGGCCTTGTTTAAAAGGGCATGTTGGTTCCCCCCTTCCCGATGATTTTAACCCGATAGTTTGTCTTCGGATTTCCGCAGTCGTCGCGAATCAGTTTTGACTTACAGATATATCGACGGACACACAGAGCTTTCTCGCACCACTCGGCTGCATTGAATCAGCTACAATCTCCATAAAACTCGAATTGCCTTTTTTTAAGTTGGCTGCTGGAGCCTCGTATGCCAATAAACTTTGGTCCCCGAAAGTACCCCAGGATCCCCCAGACATCGCCGGCATTGGAAGCTTTTATCGGTTGTTGGTCGTATGATGGCTGCGGCAGTAGACGCTCACACAGAGCCAGAAGTGACAGGGCACAGTCACCGAATACCGAGGTGAGTTATATCTGATTTTATTTTGGCCTTGGTCCTTTTCTCATTGTGCATTTTGGTCCCTTATTTTCCCTTCCTATTCGGGGGTCTTTAAACTCATTTTAGGCTTCGCTTTGCCCTCTCGTCATTTTCAGTGGAACTGGGCTCAAGTGCCGCCCAACTTCCTGAATGAGCCGGAGAGACCGCTCCAGCGCATTGCAGTGCAGTGCATTGGGTGTGGGTTAAGCGACAGAAGTGGCCCCAGCTTCTCTGCCCCCCCCACATCTCTAAGCCCCACCAAGTGTGGCTTGTCCCCTTGTCACCTCGGCTTTTTGGTCCTTGCGTCACCGTTCAATACGTGTGCAATGCAGCTGCTCAGCCACCCGTTGGCCACGTCTCCTCCCCTACCCTGAGGCTACCCCACACCCTTTCGTCAGGCCTCAAGTCATCATTCAAGCCTCACTCGCCATTGCTGCATTGGACTTTCCCTTTTCTGCCTCCCTCACATGCGACTTCTCTACCATACGCGTACTTGCCTTACATGAGTTTATTGGGAGTCGGCAGCTACTCAGCTCGCCCTGCCCGTTCCCAGTTTTGGTCTTTCCAAAAGACGGGACCAGTGCACCGCACCCGCCCGTTTTGCTGCACCTTGCAAGCCTCTTTTTTATTTTTATTTTTATTTTTCCCAGTGTTTACTAGTATCATACTCCATACTCCGTACTCCGTACCGTTCTTGCATTCCTCTGGCCTCCAATGTCTGTTCTTCATTCCTTCCCCACTCTAGTCGCCGCCGCCCACTAAGTTAGCCCGTCTTTCTTCCCTGTACGAAAAAAAAATAAAAAAGAGTGACCCTGTGACTGGAGACTCGGGAGGCTCCAAAAGAGAGCGATACAACTGCAAGCAAAAGTATCTTAGAGGACCCTCTTTGCTTCCCCCCCGCCTTAAAAATTGCAGGGAAAAGTAGACCGGGGAAAAAAAAAATTACACACAGAGCCGACTCGACTCAAGTGAGGGTCCTGGTTGTTCTTATTTTCTAGCCGCTTTTTGATTCCCTCGTCATCCCTTCCCCCATCCCCGTCTTCCCCCAATTTGTTTACAATCCCATTTTCCCCCTCCAGCTATTCTTTTTTATTTTTTTCTTCTCTTTACCACCACTATTCTTCGTTGTCGTCGTCCTCCTCCGTTCCCGCTTTCCAAAGATCGGCATTCATCTTGAACTGGATAGTCGCCTCTGACGCAACTCCACATCAGAAGTCGCTTTCTCGCCTTCCGCTCCTCTCATCGTCATAACCACCACCAACCCCAACCGAATCATCATCGCAACAGCTCTAGCTCAACATCCAGCTCGACCTCCGTCGGCTCCTCTCTCGACTCTTCCGCCCCCTCGTCCCCTCCCACAAACAGCCCTACCAACATCTCAAAGTCCGGCCCAAGGTCCGAGTCGCGGTTGAGTATGCCTTTCAGGAAGATGGCTCGTCATTTCGGTGACACTGTAAGACCCTTCTCATCTCACCTCTCCTCTCTTCACTCGTCTTTCCCTCCCCACGAAGCCTCCGTCGCACTGCTCTCCCACGTCGGACGACAACAATACCACCAGCGACGACGGACAGACGGATGGGCACATGCGCCCTTCGTCTCGTCGCCACGGTTGCTCGAGTCCTCGTGCGATGCGCAGCCCAACGCGGCGGGGTACCACCGAGGGGGAATGGTTCTGTTTCAGCGCAAAGAGCCAAGTGTGAACTGACCCAGCCCGCGTCCTAGCTCTCCCCGCAGGCACCCTACCTGTCGTGTAAGTCGCACCCCCTCCCAGTTCCCCTCCCCCGATATCCGACCACGCCCACGCGCGCGTCCCGTGGGCAAGCCTCCATCTGGTGTCGCTATCATGGACCCGACTGACTGGTTTTCCAAAATTGCAGATCACGATATCCTCCGTATGTACCCTCCGAACCTTGCGCGCCTCGAGCCGCTCCGCCTCTTCCGGTTCTCCCGAGTTACGCTAGCTTACTCACACAATCTACAGTTACATACGAAGACATCAAGTCTCTGAAGAACGACTGGTTGACAGATAACGTACGCATTCCTCATTTCTCCTGTTTCGCCTATCGCAGCCAGCTAACGTATTAATAGAACATTGCATTCTGGGAAGAGTCAGTTGCGTCCGTTTTCTTTTCTCTACCAGCTTTACAGACTAACAATGTCAGATGGCTCGAACGCGAAATCCTGCCCAAGTACCCCCAGGCCCGCATCGTCCTCCTTAGGCCATCCATGACCTTCCTCCTCATGAAGGAGCCCGATATGCGCCAAATCCGCTCCGCCCTCCCCGATTTCAGGAAAGTCACCCACATCTTCCTGCCCATCAACGATGCCCGAAACGTAGCCCAAGCCGAAGGCGGTTCCCATTGGTCCTTGCTGCTCGTAAGCGCAATCGACGGCGTCGCCTTCCACTACGACTCTCTAGGCGGCGCAAACTTCGCCGAAGGCAGGCTAGCAACGCACAAGATGTCGGAAATCCTTGGCCGGCCTCTCCGCTACCTGAACCTCGACGACGCCCCCCAACAGGAGAATGGCAGTGACTGCGGCGTCTTCGTCTGCATTCTCATGCGCCATCTCCTCGTCAAGCGCCTGCTGAGCGCAAACGCCCGTGAGAAGGTCAGCATGAGCATGGCTAACAAGCTCATCGACAGCCATGGAGGCCGCAAGGAGATGCTCAAGATCATTGAGAGCCTGAGGAAAGAGGGCGAGAGGAGGAGATCGTAAGCGCTTCCTTTATACCCCCGTATCTTTTCCCCCCAGTAATGTGGCCATTTGCCGTCTTGTCTCGTGTATTTGTTGTACTTGCCACCGCTTTGTACCGAAAGGGTTCCCTGACACCCCTTCTTTAAAAAGGAGAAGCGCATCACCGTACTCATCAAAGACGCCACCGCGGATTGAGTAAATCGAACATATTCAAGGACCCTTAGCAAGAGGCTCCTTATTGCAACGATTACCAATAGCGACCGACCTCAAACGAAACTGGCCGAGCCAGAGTCGATACCTTTTTCCCTCTAATGGTTTCGATCAACGATATCCACGAAGGCATGCAAACTGTACTTTTTTTTTCCTTTCTTTTTTCCCCTTCCTTTTCCGAACAATTACACCTATCGACAAAAATGCTACGACGTATGGGGCGACAACTGCAACTGAAGTAAAGAGGAGCCTACGGTGAGGACGAAGGAACAGTCAAGAATGGTGCATGCGAGCATCCCTACTTGCGTCCGCCAAATTTTCCGAGAGGCGCTCTGATTCAAGGTTTTGGGCGCCAGCCCCACACGGACGACAATATCTGAAGAGGAGTATGGTGCTGCAGCTGGCCTGAATTTTGAAGGGCAATATGCAGTGATGGGTAGTAAGCGCGCGATTCGTTTTAACGTGATGTGCGCTGTTTGCTACAATGGCCGTGCAGAGTAGAGAAACGTGAAGCAGAAAAAAAAAATGATGAATTGCGGGGACAGGCGAGGCGTTTGGGCGTGCTCAGGAGGATGAAGACGTGGGAAAGAAATGGTTGTTATTTTTGCGACTTGTTCCGATGAGCAGAGTTGCTTTGCGCGGGGCCAACCGGGACTTGATTCTTATGTTGTTCTTCATATTGGTGGTTCGGAAGCGTTGACTTTGATCAATCATCTAAAGACAATTGGACGTGAGTCCTTGCGCAATGCCCGGTTTATATGCTAGTGTGAGTGTGAACGTTTTTCGAGCAGCAACGACGTTGACTGTACGTGAATGGTAGATGCTATGGAGCTCACACTGGAGCTGTGCCCTTGACTGAGTTATCAATACCGGGACGATGAATGAAAATGAGTTGAAAGACGCGATTACATTGCGCGTATGCGTCTGCAAAGGGTCAATCTTTCATTTTAACCAGATTTCCAATATAAGCTAGAGGACCTCGGGTGGGCTGGACCCGACATGTCTAGCCGAGCCCTTGCTGGTATATCCTAAACGTCTAACAGTAATTATGTGGCAGGCGATATGCCCCGTCCGTCATTCATAGTTGCGCCATTTGGTGTAGGCCCAAAATGAGTGGGACAGGAAACAAATTCTGCTGCCTCTGATGCCCAGATTCCATTGTGTGGAAGGGCTTAGTACATCCGAGTTGTGCTTACAACCAACCCATAGTGAACTGGTAATCATGTGGCACATCTAGGAGGGTCAGGGTCCATTTCAGCAAAAACGCGTAACATGGCTTGCCTGGACTTCTGTTGTAAGCAGTTTTCCCGCTATCTGCGGAGGTAGGCAGCTTGATGGGAGGTAGCGACCTCTGAATTCACACACACACACACACACACTCCCTATTGAACCTGATCCCTCTTGCATACGTATCATCCTCGCCGCAATGCTGATTACAGCTTTTGGGCCGGGGAACATGTGCGGGGTGAGCTCCCCTAAGGTATGCTCTAGCTCTTGTTCAATCCACCATATGGAGGTGAAAGCTACCCCGGCTTGAAGCTTTCCTTGCCGTATTGGTGCTAGCAGTTTGGCGGTTCAGGTCTATCGCCGGTTGCGGGACTCCCAGCCTGTTTTCATCGTTGGCCCAGTCAATAAACGATTAGCATGTGTATTGCACAAAGACATTTTCAAAGTATCCTGTAAAATAGTTTCTGGCGCACGAGAACGAGTGTATGGGACAAGGATACTGCTCCAAAAGGCCCGCCTCTTGTGCGGAGATTGGCATCAAAAGGCATCTATCCCACCCTGGATGCTTACTCCGAGTCCAAAATCAACAGGATCTCGAAGGAGTTGGTTGGTAATTTCATGTCAGCTGTACATATAGAGACAACAACTTGCCCAACGCCAACTGGCCCGTAATTGCTGGACAAAAGCTGAACAGCCATCTTGTTGTCGTGAGCCTGCGGACTTTCCTCCCATATCCCAATAGCGGATGTCGCGTCGATGCCCCCCCACTAAATAGGCGTGGCGGACTTCAGCGACGAACACCCCCCTTCTTTTGACCCATGTTTTTTCCACGCCCATACTTTATATATCCGCCGCCTCGTCCGTCCGGTCGGCACCCGCATCCTCGGAAATTCTGGGACATTCCAGGTTGGGGTCGTCGTCATCCAAACACGCCTAAGGGGAAAAAAAAAACCTCCGACCGCCATTTAAACCCTCTCAACCGTTACTTCCCATCCCCCCCGTTTCACAACAATCGCCTCATCGGAGGAATCTCTTGCATCATCCCAGCTTCATCCCTCCCCAACCAAACAGACGACGTCCCGTCTCATCTGATAATATCAGTCCAGCCCAGCTCGCTCAGACCCCACCGACAGGCACATCCGGCGGCACGGCCGATAACAAACGAAAAGAAAAAGAAAAAAAAATATGGCGGCGACGACGACTGTCGAAGTCCCGCAGGAACCGGCCACTTGCCTCCGGCGCCTCCAGGACCTCGCCGTCTCATATCTTTCGAAACCCACTCCCTCCTCGAAACCCTCATACCCGCCCATCTCAAGCATCCCCCGGACTTCCGATGCCCGTCTCGCCGCAGCCGCCCCGGATGCGGACCCCTCCGCCGAAAAGACCGTCCTCTACCTCGCCTACGGCTCCAACCTCTGCGCCGAAACCTTCCTAGGGACCCGAGGCATCCGTCCCGTGTCCCAGGTAAACGTCTCCGCGCCCTCTCTCTCCCTCGTCTTCGACCTCCCTGGCGTTCCCTACCGCGAGCCCTGCTTCGCCAACACCGCCCCGCGAAAGGTCCCAGAACTCCCGAACCCGGGAAACCCCCCCAAGCTGCCCCCCATCGCACCGCCCCTGCCACCCCCCGCCACCGGCAAGAAAGCGGAAGAAGGCACGCCGACCCCGGACAACCTGGGCTGGTCAAAGGGTCTCTACGGCGTAGTCTACGAAGTGACGACCAGCGACTACGCAACCATTGTCGCGACCGAAGGCGGCGGCTCATCCTACACCGACATCTTCGTCCCCTGCATCCCCCTCCCGCCGCGCGTGTCCGTCCCTGAAAAGCCGCCAATCGACATCCCTCGCCCCTTTCTCGCACACACCCTCTACTCCCCCGCCATCCCAGACGCCCCGCCAGACGACGACGACGAGGACGACGACGACAACGACGACACAAAGAAACCCAAACCCCCGACCGACCCGCGCAAGGAGTGGTACTACCGCTTCATCAAGCGCCCGCGCCGTCCGGACCCGGAGTACGCCCAGCCCTCGGCGCGTTACCTAAAGCTCATCACCGACGGCGCCGCGGAGCACGAGCTGCCCGACGACTACCAGCGCTGGCTGAACAGCCTGCAGCCCTACACCGTCACGACGTGGGGACAGCGGGTGGCGCAGTTTCTGCTGACGCTCGTCTTTTTGCCTTTTCTCCTCTTCTTCCTGTTCCTGAGCAAGATCCTGGCCGGCAAGGACGGCAAGTTACCTCTGTGGCTCGCCGTTTCGATGGGCGTTTTGTTCAATGTCATTTGGATGGCCTACGATTACGTGCTCAAGCCTGTCTTTGGCGACGGCGAGAGGACGGAGGAAGACAAGGAGGACGTCTTACGTTTGTCTAGACCGTGGATCGGCGCTCTTGGGACGGACGCGGAGAAGAATAGGTTGTTGAGCGATTGGTGAGGATGATGAGATTCGTGGGAGGTTTTTTTTTTATTCGAGGGATATTCTCGAGGGATCTGTAATTTCTTACATTACGCGCTTTGTACACTTTTAGAACAGAACACGGCTTTTCTAAAGTTGGGATACCACCGGGTCACCAGATTGATCAAACAAACTATATTTGCTTAAACTTCATTCGCCTAAACTTGTCTAAATCCGTCCCGCATTATGCCGCTGGGGTATTTGATCCAGAGGATATATGTCTCAATGTGCGTCATCTCAATCCTATCCCAGACTCCGTGCCTCCGCGCTACATGCCTCCTACGCGTGTCATCCGGTGCCGTGCCGTAAGCTTCCTTTCCATCAAAGCCAGTAATGTTCCGTATTAAGCGAATTTTGGTTCTTCTTCTTCCGTGTCACAACCACTTCTTGGCCCACCCTAACTATCCGAGACCAAACTCGGGATGTCGTCAACGCTGTACCGTCCTTCGAGGATGCCGTGCACGGCGGTGAATAGCGGGTAGTCCTTCTCCAGCCCCCTCGCCTTGAGGAAGCTGTTCACCTCCTTTGCCGTGCTGGTACCCTGCAGCAGCTGGCCGTTGAGCTCGCGCTTCTCAATCTCCTGGACGCTGACACCCTCTGCGACAGCCATCTTGGCGCACCTGAAGTTGCGACCGCCACTGCAAGAGGTAATCAGATCCGCCACGCCGGCCGACTCCTCGGTGAATGTGCCCGCGTGCACCGTTTCTCCAAAGAACTCCTTTCCAAAGTTGACCATCTCGAGCAAACCCACGCGCATGATGGCAGCCTTGGCGTTGTCACCCCAGCCGCGGCCGTCGACGAAGCCTGCCGCCAGCGCGACAATGTTCTTGAGGGCACCGCCAAGGGAGACACCGGCAACGTCGGAAACCATGCGGACGTGGAAGTAGGGACGGTGGAAGAGGGTCTTGAAAATCTGGTGGTCGAGGGGTGGGTACTCGGCCGGGACGGGGGTGAGCTTCGTCTTGGAGGTGCGGCCACGGGCGTCCTTGTGCTGCATGTCAACGGGCGTCAAGGGCGCAACACCGTTGCCGTTAGGTGAGGTGGAACGCGGGGTGGGCGCACGGGAGTTGTCCATCGGCGGGGGATCGTAGGCAATGGTGGTCTCGGACCACTTCTCGGCAGCGATTTCGGACGCAATGTTGGCACCGGAGAGGGCACCGCAATAGATTCCGAGACCATCGCCGATCCACTCGGAGAAGAGCGAGATGCCGTCATCGGTCACGTTTACACCCTTGATGCAGGAGATGCCGCGGGCAAAGGGGAGAATGTGGCCGCGCAGCTGCTTGCAGACGTTGCCAATAAACTGATGGGGAAGGTTGAAGATGAGGATGGAGGAGTCCTTGACGGCATCCTGAAGAGAAGGGTTCGCAATGATGTTGCTGGGGAGCTTGATACCGGGGAGGTACTTTGTGTTTTCGTGGTGTTTGTTGATGACGGCCGTCAGCTTCTGCGGAGAGTCGCCAACAGCGGGGTCATAGTATGGTGAGGACTTGTCGAGGACGACATCTTCTTCGTAAACCCACATGTGGACATCTTCCACAAACAGGTCGGGGTGGGCTTTTGTGTTTTCAGCAACAATCTTGCAAATGGTAGAGCCCCTTGTGAGATCACAGTTAGTCATGATATCACCGACGTGGGTGGCTTGTGGGGGAGGGAGAGAGGAAATTACCAGTTACCAGAGCCCACCACGGTGACCTTGTGTCTCTTATCGGCGCCGAGAAAAGCCATTGTAGAAGAGGAATGAAATCGACGTTGGGGAAAGCTGCTTCTGGCGATTGAAACAACAGATCGTAGACGGAAGAGCATGAGGCACAGCTGGAAGAGAGAATCGGCAGAAAAGGAGATGGGGTGGTGCAAGAAGTTTATCTATTATGTACTGGGTTAGGTGTAAGGGAGGGTCCAGTCCAGTCGGCCAGGTCCAGACAGGTATCGGCTATCAGGTGTGAGTGATTGTGTGCGCGTGTGTGTGTGTCTTGGTCGTCGGCGGTGGCAGAAAAAAAAAAGAAAAAGAGACAACGACGGCGGCCATTATCGTGGTCCCGGTCCGCATGTGTTTTTGCCCCTCTATTTGGGTCCAATGTCACCACCTTTTTTCTACCACCCCCAGTTCTATCCCTGGAGGGAAAGAAGCTGCCATTGTCAGCGGCGGCGACTGGAGCAGGTTTACCGGGGTGGTCCTTCCCAGCGGCAGTGTTGAGAGCAGCATGACGCACGTCCTACCCGGCAGGGTTGCGGCAGAGCTCCTGACCGCTTTCCACTTTAGGTATAGTCGCTCAACGAAATGCCAGGGGTTGAGGCCGAGTCGGGCCCTTTCTAGACTGGGGAGGCGGTCACCAGCTTGGGGGGGAGCTCATTCAGCGCTCTTTCCTTCTGTGTACGTCTTCTTTACGTAGTTACGTCTACGCAGCAAAGAATCAATCAGTACGTACCTCCCACACTCACCTCTTTGAAGGAAGCCACAATGAGTAAGGTACTAATTACTACTAAGTAGACACTACAGTGGCTATCGGACAGCCTCGGCCGGCCTCTCCGCTACCCCGGGGCTCTGGCCGAGGCACCACGGGAATGCCCCAGATGCTCGTGTGCCCGTGTAGTAACTTTCAGGCTGTGTTTCCCCTTATTTTTCTCCCCTAATTCAGCTGTTCTACCCTGGATCTCGGCTTATCACAAGACAGAGGGGAAAAAGCCAACAAACTGCCCACCACATTATGCCCCTCGGTGCCCTCCCATGTCTTTCTACCATGTAGTATTCTTTCCCCCTGCCAAAATGTTCGTGTCAAAGTGGCTCCTTAGTGGGAACCACACGAAAACGAACCAACGGCCTCACGATTAGATTGCAGTGCATCCTCCTCAGCATTCCGGTTTCCTCCTTTGGACCCCCAATCAGTCCCCTGTCGTCAGATGGGGAATCACATGCAATTGTGTTTTTTTTTTCCCGTCCGATTCCCTCTCCCGTTCCTGTCCCATGTTCTGGGAGATCGCCGCATGGGTCGACTCCTAGCCAATTCTCTCATTGGCGAAAGCACGAGAATAGCTGCAACGCGGATGCGGCTGCGGCTGAACTCCGACCGACAGATTAAGAATGCCGCGAGCTACATTCACCAAAATCACCAAAGTCACGCCGTTTGGTCCGCATTGCTGCTGACCCCGGGGAATCTTGACTTGCGCCCGGTTCCGCGTGGTCGCCTAACTCGATTGCTCCCGTCCCGACGGACTTTTGACCGTTTCGCCGTCCGCCTTGCCTCAAGCGGAATGGCATACCCGTTTGGTTCATTCCTAGAATTTAACGGCATCAAGCCGATCCCCAGGTTTTGCGTCGGCGTGGCTTCATCCTCTGAAACATGTTTCTTCTGCTTTCTGCAGCGGCGCGCGAACAGTTTCACCGTCTTGACTGTTAGTCGTGGAAGTCCAGGTGCCGTGCTAGCCATGTCTACCATACTTATATATATGGATGAACCTTTACCCGCCCACGTAAAAGTATATGAAATTGGAGAAAATGCAAAACACATTGGTCATCGCAATAGCATTGTCGTAGACCTTGTAGCTGTCGACCGGGTAATATCTTGGCTTCCGTCTTTTAAATCAAATTGTGTTCTGGTCTCCCTCGGAGACCAATAAACACTTGAACCTAATCACCTGGTGGTGGAGTCTGCCAAGCATCGCCGTGGCAGTGGACAAAACCAGGAACATCCAGACTGCTGCGTGATCTAATTTTAGAACTACTTGTTATTCATTATGGTCATGTCCACTGGTGTCGCACACCGTTGACGCTCTACATTCCGATCAACGCCAAATTCTACACAGCGAGCGTCGGGTATCTTCATCATGACAAGCTCACCAACTAACCACTCATCCGCAAAGAATTGCCACCGAAACCATGCCGTTTAGCCGTCCTTCTCGTTGTACTTCACGCCAGACATCTAATTGATATTCGTCAGTATTGTTCGCACTGCCAGTGGTGGACCAATACGTACCAGGAACGGACCAAGGTAGGTAAGTGGAACTCCCGATTCGCTACTCCAGAACATAGGTACTCCGTAGCCTCTCTGGTCCGGGCAGTTGATGAATTCTGGCGGGTTGTTACGTTGGTTGAGGGCCTGGTAAGGGTTGTAGTCAAAGTTGAACTCGCATACGGGAATATTCGACTGAACGGGAATCGAGTCAGTAAGCGGGTTCACTCATGCAAAACCTGAAGGAAGGCGAGGCGAAGGTTGAGAGTTGACTTACAGCACAGCTCAATGACAAGTCCTTGACATCGAATGCGTCGGAGCCGTTCTTCCCCTGGCATTCTTGCGAATCAATGTAGAGTTCACGGGGAGTCGTCCAGTTCTTGGAGAACGCTGTGCCCAATATCTCCTGCATGCGATCCATTCCAATATCTTGCCGTGGCGTCAGCGGTGTTGCAGGAGACGTTAAATGTCATGCTCTAACATACCGTTTGCCCTGGCAAGGCCATAGGCATCTTTGCCATCGTACCAGATTGGCCCGCAGGTACTGTGGTCGTCGAGTTTGCTGCAGTCATAGGGGTCGATTGGGATCAAACGAGGGTCAACGCCGGGGCTGCATCCGGTTAATCATTGTTCCAACGTATCTACCAATGCGACTAACTCACTTCTTTACTGCAAAGTAATCGGCCTGCTGCAGGGCCTGGTTGAACACCCACTTGAGGAGGTTGTGAAACATGAAATCGGTGTTTTCGGGAAGGTCGGTCTTCATTTTCTGTTTTCGATATATTGTCAGCTTCACAACGCCTTCGCGAGGGATGCATGCTTCCTTACCACACTGAACGCTCCTTGGGAAGTAATCGCGGCAAACGTCTTGAAATCGGTTTGGATTTCCGTCAACGTGTCGCCCACTTGCTTCTGGTAGTCATTTACGTGCTGAGACAAAGCTTCCGAAAGTCCCTCCCACGGTACTTGGTATACCGGCTTATTCGGGAACAAAATGTTATAAAGACCGATACCACCACCGAGGACACCGGCCAGTGAATTAAACATGATAGCTCCCGGGATCCAGGCGCCAAAAAGGGGGCCGAAAGCCTTTTTCACACCCATTAATGTCAGAGCCCTGTGGGTTTGGTGTAAGATCTTACCGCAAACTGTCCAAGTGTCACGGCGTAAATTGGAGCGAAAAGGGGCGTCTTGGGATGCGAGTCTTTTGGCGGCGCAACTACTTTGACAATCTCGGCAACGGTTCCACTGTTTAGAAATGTCAGATGGTGTGAGTGAATCATCAATGGGGAGAACCCATACATTGCGGTGGCCTGGCCTTGGAGAAGAGCTGCATGGTAGTTGGTAAAGAAGAGGTTGATGGCTAACACAATGTAAGCTTTCCTTAACCAGAACACTCTTGTGGTTCAGAAAAGAAAACTGACAATAAATGTTCCAGATAACCTGTGCCGGGGTCATTAGCGACGATCTTGGTTCTGGAAGCCTCTCAAAACTTACATAGAATTCCTGATACGACGCATATTCGGCATTGCGCCCGCTGGGAGGCGGTGTGCACCCGTTCAGCGCTACGAAGTCGCAGCTCCATGTGATTAAACCCTGTGTCAAAGTCAGAGGGTAACAGACAATTGTGCGTGACTTTGGTGGTGCATACGGCGGTATCTAAGTAGCATTGGCCAAAACCCTTATTTTGCGACTTGCATCTCTCGGAATTTTTCGACCACCAATCCTGCAGATATTGTCAGCACACGGCGGGTCTCAAGTATGAAAATTCATTTGCATGTTTGATACGCACGTTGAGATGATTATTCATTTCCAGAACCTCCCAGCATTCTGGCTGTATGCTATTTCGATCGCGTATCGCGTTAGCAAGTTGAAGATCTGAAGAGAGGATAGACTGAGCAAGTGGGTTCCATACCCGTCTGGCGAAGAAGGAGAGCATTTGTCAACGGTAACATTTGTCCGTTGTTGAAGTGCATGAGGCTCTTCTCTCAGAGTGTGGACAACTGGTGACGCATTGACAACCAGAGAGAAAAGAGTGACTAGGCTCCAGAGAACCATTGTGTTCGTAGGTGAATGAAAGAAATGACAGACTTGCGCAGTCGAAAATCGTGGCCAGCGGAAACGGCAAAGAATCCGGGATATAGTTATTTGAATGCGCACACACGAGTTCGGCTCGGGCAGCTCTCCCTGCTCGAACGGCATCTGGCCCAGCGCCTATGCCTGGTCCCCCAAAGGGGGATCGTGCTCGTGTGATTAGGATTCCCCGCAAACTGGGACCGAGCCACGACCCAGTCTTTCCATGGGACGGGGTTCTGTCAACGGCGATCCTGCAAGTATCATCCCGTCACGTAACAGGGGCATATGGGATCGCCGGCCAACTCTGTTATATTAATTTCATGCGGCATATGGATTACAATGGGTACCCTCAACATCACATAGACTACTGGCCACTCCACTCTGTGCTATAGTCCCTTTTGGGTCAAGCCCCTCGTATTAGCTATATCCAAGTATGCGATTCAAGCGTGATATTTCCTGGCGACTTATATGTGAAAGATTGCTGCGGCCCTGGGCATACTGACTCAACATCCCACCGGCGACCTTTTTTAGCTCACTTTTTCTACGTTTAGAGCGGTTCGTCCAATATTTCATTCCTTCCGCTCAAGAGTTATCAGACGAAGAGAGTGTTACAGCTTTTATTCCAAAGCCCTTACAGAAACATTAATCAAAACTGACACCCTCCTCGACTAATCCATATTTGTTTTACCACTTCATCAACTGTTCATCAACTTTCCATCATGCGTTCAACCTCATTTCTTCCCCTCTTCGTTTCTTCAACACTTGTTGCCGTTGCAACAGCAGAGAGCTGCTGTTGGGGCGACAACTGGGCTTACACAAACTGGCTATGGCAGAAGTGGGATGAGCCTGCCGGAGTAGTTCGCTGCGGCCTGGGTGGCAACTTTCCGCCTGGTACCAAGTGTACTGTGGAAAACTCGAAAGACTCAAAGGGAAATATCCAGGCGGTGACCAACGTCACGTTTGGCGGCAACTCCCAGCCCTTCAGGTTCCGCATCGGCATCGACCCCAACAGCTGTGATACTTTACCCAATGACAAGGTCATCACTGGATGGGAAGGCTGGGGCGCTTATCTCTTCAAATCTCATGAGTTTAACCCGCAAAGACTCGAATCATGTACGCAGGATCATGCAGCATGACATCAAAGGTATGTGGTTGGGCTTCATTCTTCAGCCACACAACTTGCGTCACCATACTAAGAGGAAACAGTAACATCACTTGAGAGGAATCTGTGGGATGTTGGGTGTTTGTGGTCTCGATTATTTTTAGCCAGTCAATACCAGGAATGAAATATTTGCCTCGAAATACAGTATTAATGAAGACCTAAGATTGAACACGAGATAATGCTTTGTCTATACGTGATTATTCTCAATTTTTCTATGAAGTGAAAATTGTTTAATATCATTCCTCTTTCCAAGTGGGACTTCAATAACGCTTTTTTGACCTGTATGTTTCATGTCTTAGTGGTAATGTGTGGTAATTGCCGAGCTTGGAAAATTGAGTTTAGAGTAACGGCAGGCAACAACAGGCGTGACCATTTCCGGGGCTAGAACACTCAATTGTTCAGAGAGATAGATTGGTGATTGTCATCTTATGATGTTAGCTTACGTACTTCGACTTGCTCTTATCTTTTTACTTTGAAGCTACCATGGGTGTTTCCGTTGATTTCACTATATCATGATGTAAATATAGCCTGATGGTGGCAGCATTCACTCCACAGCCACTTATCCGGAGGTCTGGGCAAGGAGGAGAAGTCCAGGCCGATGAGTAAGGTTATCAGTTCTCACCTGGGATGCGCGGTTTGAGAAAAAGGACCAACTAATTGCTTTGCTAGTCACGCGTTGCTGAGGAGCGCTTCCCAGAAGTCTATCAATTTTCGCAAATATTATTGCGGAGTATATGTCAAGTGTCATGTGCACGTATGCAGTCATTCCAGTGCCGATCACTAAGCCAGTGTATGATCGGCACCTGCTCAGCCCATTTGCGCACTTGTTGTTGACTCGCGTGTTGGCCACTTGGGCCGCCGGCCAGTCCAGCCCTTCTGTCTTTCCAAAATACGAGATTAAAGATTATGATACCAATTAGCGCGGAGAGCACTGTCAGCAGTTGGGTCAACGGAGCTTTCCATCCTGTGGTTGTCAGGTGTGGTTGTCAGGAAAGAGTCAAGAACAAAACAGGACGACAAGAGTTAAACTAAGCATGGTGTTAGTTAACCCGGTTTTGTTGTTACGCTTGGGCCAGTTTCTTGTTTTCTTCAATGCCTTCTCGGGGCTTAGACGTTTATCCATGGCTCATTCTGACGTCGAGAAACCCTCACTCTTCTTGGGTCGCGTGAGTCGGTACTAAGAGTCCAGCAGCCTTATGCGCCTTACCCCGCGTCTGTCCTATTAAGGTACTGAGATAATGTGACCTATATCTGCAAGTTATAGCTGTGTACTATGGCAAGCGTGCTCCCTACTCGATCAAGGTTTCATATTCATGAGATTAGTGGAGGCTTACTACGAACTGTCGGCTGCATTCCGCTTCAAGCTGCCTTTCAATCTCCGGATCTTCGGCTGACATGGCAGGCAAACACGATTCAGTGCTATCCGACAGGCATCATTGCTCAACTGCCGCCCTTAATCATCTGCCATAATTGTCTACCTCATTTGGCTCTTTGGAACCATCCTATTTTGGAATAGCCATGACTTTAGCTCACATGGCAGTGGACCTCTGCAACGCCTGGGCCATGCCCCGTCCCCTCACTCCCAGAAAACAGGAAGCAGGTACATAAAGATGGTCTGGGCCACAACCATTGCTGGCATTGTAGCAGTTCACGATTACTACTGTCTCAGAACTTTGTGTGTTTGCGATCTTATAGGGAGCAAATAGCTCTCAACCCCAGAACCTTATTTCTCAATACCTACTCATACAAACCGATCCAATGTTTCTCAGAGTTTTTTACCTTTGTCTTTCTCTGGCATTGTTTGTCTTTCCAGTGTAAGTGTTGCCTCTTCAGTCACCTGATTCAAAGAGCCAAGTTTCTGACAGAACCTAGAGCGTTGGCAAATGAGCATGCAAAGTGCTATTGTGTTGTAAACTCAATAGCCAATAAATGTCTTACGGCAAAGGCTTGCGATATCTACCGGCGGACAATGACAATCTTTGAAGAAGATGATCCGCAAAATGTCAACACCACAATGATTTTCCAGGTATGTCACTTCAACGACTTTCGGTAACGTGTTATTTTGAATTTATACTAATTCTGGTCTTTCAGGTCTGTGCAACTATTGCACCCAAAGATGGTGGCAGAATGCGATATGTCTCAGGGTTTGGTGGCAAGGAGTTCAAGAATGCCTGCGATCAGGCCAAGTCTGTTGGTGGTTGCGAAGAGTCAAACGGAGATGTTGGTTCAGAGTGCGACTAAGCGGTGTTACTACGTATACGACTATGAGCATGACACACGATGATACCCAAATTGCGGATTTAGGGGAGGCAAGGAAGAATCGAGTAATGGGCGAGTATAATGAGAATATACCCAGGTACCTCAGGACGACGATATGCGTCACAATAGCCATTTTTGATAACAGAGAAGATTGCAATTTCCTTCTATGCATTACAAAGAACCTTCTTTGCCACTACGATGTAATTTTGCGGGTTGCCTCACTGAACGGGCGATCTCTTCTTCGTCAAATATAACTGAAATATTGCTTACATGACTCGGTTCGTGTCTTGGCACCAACATGTGGTCTGAGGGTGTCGATCACAAATTGTAGCGAAGGCCTCGTAACTGTCGTTGGCACACGGAAAAACAGGGTGTCATTTAGCCGGCTAAAGGCCCATGGCTTCAACTTTAACAAGCTGGCCATTATTATCTGAGGTGGACAAGCCGTGAAGCCTCGCAGCGAGATTCTACACCGTACAGATAAGCGATCGTCGCATCGGATGCCCGCTTCTAATCAAGATCTCTCCATCCCCACATTGATCAGCGTCAGCGACATCAGTCATTGACGGATCCTTCCGTCTTGACAGGTTGTTGTTGACCTGGCTGTCAGCAGATTCAGAGCGGCTGATTGTGAAGACAAGGGTCGTCGCTCTAATCTGAGTTGGTTAGCCACTGAAGCTGGTGATCGCGCAACAAAACATCTTGTTATTGAGTCAGTTAAAGCCTAGCTCACTGCATTTATAACATGCTAAGAGCTTAGTTCCCAACATGTTTCTACATCAATTAAGCGTGTGGGTGGATCATCTCCCTTCCCCGCTTGCCAAGAAGTAAGGACGTTGTCAGTGTACGGAAAACAGAGTCAGCCGGCTTAGATGATGTCTTAACAAGTGGAGAGTACTGGTCTCGTGATATACATGATGTAATGTGTCAGAAGAAGAAGTCCTTTGTGGGGTTGGCTGGGATCTGATTCAAATTGGAAGCCTGAGAGTACCGGAAAACATGATTTGAATTTAAATCGATTGCGATCAGGAAAGTTGGGAACAGAAATGAGAGGGGCACAAAAGAGAAACGAGAAAGACCAGGAGCCCTGGTTAGAGTCAGAGTTATGGTGGTATATGCTTGTCTTGATGATCATTTAGAGAACCCTCTTCGAGTTACGGTTGAAAAGACTTTTAGTGACTGTGGACGTGACTGTGACTGTGACTGTGGCTGTGCCCGTTGCGGTTTCTGTGTTTGTCTAAACAAAGCTGAGGTTCGGGTTTGTTAAGACTGATGTCATGAAATTAGTTGCTGTAGAGGTGTTCCTAGAAGCGCTAGGAAATCAGGACCTGACCCCTGGGCTTGAGGCAGAAATGACGCATTTTTAGCAATCAGGAATTTAGAAGTTTGCAATCATTCGTTTTCTGATTCGTACCTAGACTGCCTAACAACGAACATAACGATGGCTGATACTGCCCTTGAATGATCCAGAATGCATAATTAACCAGATTGCCTGCCAATGTGATCCTTCTACAGATTCCAACATATCACTAATACAAATTGCGTTCTGGATTCCGTTCTGTAACATTCATGTTTGAAAGCCGATGGGCATGCAGTTCGTCTCAAAACACTCGTATCAGAATTTCAAGTTCTCAAAATTGGCACAACTTAAGTATTATGTCACTTTACACACCACGTATTTTTATCTGAATTCTGTGGGGGGAGAAACAACAAGGGGATTAAATTAACAATTACTAACAAGCAGTACGTTAATCTCTCTCTTTCTCGTTGTTTTTAATGTTGATGTTCAGTAACGAGTGGATAGGAGATAGCTTAACATAGGAGAAAAAACGAAGAAAAAGAAGAAAAAGAGGGTAAAGAAGATAGAAGCGGCAGAGCCGACCTCAGGCTAATGTAATAGATGATGGTTATTTGCACCTTTTCAAATCGAGTAGTCCAGACAATACTATGTAACACTGAGCCGTTGCTCGTTCTACTCAAAGCCTAGATCCCTAGGAGTAATTTGAAGAGTACTTTGTGCGAATCAGGGTGAAAATACAAATAGCCAGGCTGGCTTCAAATTCAGTTGATCAAGAGGCACACGAATATTGAATGAAGGATCGGAATGGCACCTCCTTTGTGAAGGGTCAGACCTCGCCCACAGGGTTGCAGTTGCAGACATACACCAGCCTGCAGCACGTGGAAAACTAGAGGCGCTACCCCATTGAGCTAAATGCCCAGACGGATACGCAACAAAAAGTCACTCAAGTGTTGTTTGTCTGTACTTAAGTAGGTGGGGATAATGCGCAGGCACAGCTTACGCCACATCAACCGTGGCACAGCCGGTAACATACTTATCTCATATAGAAAAAATCGGTAAGACGTGGAAGGTGCGTACTAATATCAGGCTGCCTGCCTCAAGCCACTCGGCACTAATCTCATGTTCTTTGGACGATGGATAGGTAGCAGAAATCAAAGGCACGACACCGGGAATTCAGTCAACCCCATAACACTGGTGCACAACGACCAGATCCATCTCCAACTGGCTTCATCCGTCTACAGCCGAGACTATACCATGAAAAATGTGATATTGAATCAGACATGGCACCAACAGAGTCAGACAAAAGGTGCTTAAAATTAAATAATAAGATGCCAACATTCTTATACAAAAGGCGTATCAAATCGTTTCTACAAATTTCTGCCTCGCTCCTTCTATCAAAACAGCATCAAAGTGTGTGCTCCAAAAGTGGCCCATAGAAACTATGAGATGACCCTTCTGTGAAAAATGGTTATCTATTCTAAATCACTGGTATGGTCGCTGAATGAGAAGAGGTTTGCGGATATACTTGTTCCAGTAGCTTGACGATGTAGGCAATTTTTCGTTGCAATCCAGAATTCTTAAGCATGCGGTGGCGTTGTTTTTTCAGCTATTCATTCAACTTAGACTATCATTTCGACTCTTCTATTTTGGGTGTGTAATAGCCTGATTGTATTTTAAGTTGTCCTTCAATGTTATAATCATCATCAGGTATGCCTGCTACCTCATGAAACATCTCAGCAATGCCGTGGAGAGTAACACGGAGCCGAAACTTGGGAAGGACGAGAACACTGTGAACAAGAAACTGGTGAGGCAACGTTTGGAAGAATCTTAATTGATAAAAGACGTGGATGTCATGGGCCGTGTGTTCCATCAGGCTGAGGCTTCTCTGACAAAGGCTCATGGAAACAAGCAAGGTTTACCAAGCTCACGATAGCTTACTTTACCCCATTCAGCTTCTAGCTTAGGCGAAGATAGTTTGGATGCCACTCCTCAAGTCATATCATTTATTCTTTTTCTCCTTATTAAAAGCTGGTCTGTCGAGGTACGTTCTGAAGCAGGTGGATCCACTTGACGAGGCCTTTACAGTACTAACGAGATTGGGAGAGGTGATATCTGCCACGAGGGTTTAAATGAGACTGGAGGATACGCTAGTCCGCACGCGGTGAAAGGCTGTTGGGGTTGAACCAGCCGTGCTATCTGCAGTATGTACGTCATTCTCAAAAGCGGACATGGTTTAAGGACATGGTTTCAAAGAGCGGTGTCGGTTCCGTGGCATCTGCCAATGCCGAGAGATTGAAGTCTAGCCTGATGAAAGATGACAAAAACATGCCTTGTCGATGCAGGGTGTCAGTGTGGGTGAGAGAAAGGCAAAGGGAGCACATGAGAAGCCGAATGCGGGTGCCCGTTGCGGCGGGAGATATTCAGGCACCAAAAGTCAATTACCATGAGGCGTACTGGGAACGTTGGAGATCAACAAAGCACAGGGAACGGCGAGTGGAAGTGTGATGGATGCAGATGAGGTGAGGCGAGGTTAGGTGAGGTGAGAGGCGACCATTGGAAGGTATGCGCTGCTGTAGGTATTCCCGGAAAGGGCAAGATGCAGCCAAGCAGGTCAGAGCAACTTGGCCTACTAGGAGCAAGAAGACTAGGAAGGAGGGGCATGAAACCGCGTCTGTGCATTGAAGCCAGCGCTAGGATGCGGCGCGACGGTGTGGTGACGTCATTCCAGCGCCAGGATGATAGCTGTTGTGATTCTAGTCTCTTCTCGCTTGCCGAAAAGGAAGTGAAAAAGATGAAATTGGTGCAACAAATTGCCCAACCTTTTCTGGTTTTCCAAACGTCAGACCAGACTGGACTAAGGAGATGTAGAGTCTCGAATTGGACCGGAGTCGGCACCGAGGGTACACCAAGCATCGAATCAGATCATGCATCGAGAAATGTTCTTGGTTGGGAATATCCGGCGCCAACGGATTTGCTTCATCTCTGGCCTTGTTTAACACGTCGCCTTGTGGGCAAAGCCACCAACATGACATGGGCGTCATCAACATTGCCGACATGCTGTATGTGATACATAGGCCTGGAAATGAGAGGCGAGACCAAGGGGCAATATTTAGCGTTTGCTTCAAACTGTTGGGAGGTCGTAATCATGCAGTAATGGACATGGATATCCGCGACGAGATGGCACCAGCGCTTCCACCAGCTTTTTAGACCGTCCGGCACGAAGATGCCCTTGCTACTAGCTCAAGTCGCACGAGGAAAGAAAAAAACCCTCACGGGTGGCCACTGACGGGTTGCTTACTGTAAAAGCCCTGGGAAGCATTCATAACGATACATGGAGAGTGGAAATTCCAGCGCCGAATCGCGGTCTGGATTCTCTGGGATCGTGATGAGGGGCTCCACGGGTGACAGGCACTAACCGTAAACTCCGCTAGGGCACTCCACTCCTCTGTGCTGGCCCCGCCGAAGCTATCCGTTCCGGGCTGGTTGGTGCTAAGCACCCGCATGGTTGGCAGCTTGACACTTCGGACCAAGTATCTTTCCCATGTTTTTGTTCCTAGAGCTACCTGTGACCCCCCCTGTTGTCGTGTTCAAAGTTTCTGCTGGCGGAACTTGCTGCTACATAATGCTGCTGCTGCTGCTGCTGCTACTACTGCCGCCCTCCGAGAGCTCCTGCCTTGCCGCTAAAGTTGGCAAGGTTACGGATACTGCAGGCATGGAAGGTGCTCGAGATGGGCTGAGGCAGCTGCAAACTTCCACCACCCCTTTCCCTGTAGAGCTGCAATGACGAGAGGAATAATTCCGCCAGGAACCATGCAGAACAGCAGGTTTTATATGCACATGGATGTACATATACGTATATTGACGCTAATCCTTCGCCCGAAAAACATACTACGTACTACTTGCGCTGGGGAAGTAAAGGAGCTCTTCCTAGTGCAGTGAGCTGAGCTTGCCCGTACTTTCTCCAATTCCTGAGCTATTGTCCCCAAATACCCCGCCATACCTATGGTCTTTAGCTCTGTCCCTCCGCCAGGTCGTCATCATCTTTGGTCGTTTTTTCATCTCTCTCGTTCTCGCTCACTCTCACCTACTCACACTCTTCTTTTCCCGTTCCCTATCTCTTCGGCAGCAATTATCATTACCTCCTCGAAGCTCCTGGCCTGCCAAAGCTGCTGCCGCTGACTTGTCATATCATATTCTCCATCGGTCTCCATCCTCCCCTGTCGCTTACAGAGCGAGCTCGGATCGACGTGTTTTTCCTCGACCGGAATCGCCTCCGTGCATGACCCGAGTCATTGCGCCAGCTGCTGCGACCCATTCTACGTCGATCTGTCCGCGGGGCACGAAGCTGCCTCCTACAACATTTGGAGGATGATACCAAAGACCATGATCTCCAACGAAGTCTACCTCCTCCCTCTAAACGACGATGGCTCGCCCCAGGTCGCCGGCGAGTACATTTACCTCGCCCCCAAGACCAATGATCCCGTAACCATCCGTTTTGCAATTGAGGGAACCTCCTCCATCTGTCGCCATGGCAGTCTGTGGGTCAACATTCCAGAGCAGGGCGCCGAGTTCCACAGAGACCACTTTCGCGAATTCAAGTAAGCTCACCAACAGCCTTCAATTGACAATTGACCGTGCTTTGTAGCTCATTTACCATTTTAGGCTGGTGCCCGACTTCAATCGCACAATCGAAATCTCTATCCCCATTTTTCAGGCCGGCGCATACGCCTTCTACACGACCTACGCCGAACTGCCAGATCTCGCTGAGAAGCTGGATTCAAACCCTCAGACCAAGACCACCAACAAGAAGACCCCGCTTTACTACATCGATGTTGCTCCTCGCCTCAGTCTCGATGGCCGGCCCTTACCATTGCCAGCTCTGTCCATCTTCTCCGTCATTAGCAAATTCATGGGCAAGTACCCAGGTGACTGGGAAAAGCATCTTCGCGGCATCAGCGACCGTGGTTACAACATGATCCACTTCACGCCGCTGCAGGTCCGCGGCGCCTCCAACTCTCCTTACAGCTTGTACGACCAGTTGGGCTGGGACCCCGACTGCTTTCCCGCAGGCGAGAAGGATGTCCAAGGCCTCATCGACAGCTTAGAAAAACAGTACTCCATGCTCAGTTTGACTGACATTGTCCTCAACCACACAGCGCACAACAGCGAATGGTTACAGCATCATCCTGAGGCTGGATACAACCTCGTGACGGCGCCTTGGCTGGAGTCAGCTTGGCTCTTGGACACAAAGCTCCTGGAGCTTAGCGACAAACTGCAAGACTTGGGTCTTCCTACGGAGATCAAGACCGACGATGATCTTATTAAGATCATGGATGCCATCAAGAAGCATGTCATCTCCGAGATTAGGCTATGGGAGTACTATGCTATTGATGTCGACCGCGACGTGGAGACTGCTTTGGAGGCTTGGGTGGCCGGTCGCACCACGTTCCCTGACGAGGCAGTCGGTGCCGGTGTGGCTGAGCTTAAGGATGCGTCTCTGAAGGAGCAAGCCGAGTTCCTTATCAAGCACGGTCTACTGGGCGCAGACCGCATGGGTGAGCGCTTCAGGAGGAAGATTGACCCAAGTGTCGCATCTGGTCTTCTTTCTGCCACATTTGGACGATACGAAGGTGAAAAAGGCAGCTCCCCCAGACAAGCTGCGGCTAAGTCAAAGCTGGTTTCCATCTTTGACGAGGTAAACCTGCCATTTTACAAGGAGTACGACGCCGAGATTGGCGAAATTTTGCAACAGCTCTTCAATCGCATCAAGTACTGCCGTATGGACGAACACGGCCCGCGCATGGGTGTCATCAACAAGGAGAACCCTCTGATCGAGACATACTTTACCCGTTTGCCGAAGAATGAGACCACTGCCAAGAACAAGCCCGAGGAGAATGTTCTTGTCAACAACGGGTGGGTCTGGGGAGGCAACGCCCTTGTCGACAATGCTGGTCCTCAGTCTCGTGTATACCTGCGACGCGAGGTCATTGTGTGGGGTGACTGTGTGAAGCTGCGCTACGGGAACGGTCCGTCCGACAGTCCCTTCCTATGGGAGTACATGACCAAGTATGCCCGTATGCTGGCCAAGTATTTTGCCGGTTTCCGAATTGATAACGCTCACTCTACACCTCTGCATGTGGCTGAGCATATTCTCGACGAGGCCCGGCGTATTCGACCTGACTTGTATGTCGTTGCAGAACTCTTCACTGGCTCTGAGGAGATGGACTACGTCTTTGTTAAGAGACTGGGTTTGAGTGCCTTGATCCGTGAGGCTATGCAGGCGTGGAGCACTGGTGAACTGAGTCGCTTGGTTCACAAACACGGAGGGCGACCCATTGGCAGCTTTGAAGTGGATGAAGTCTCCCGCCCTGATAACAAATCACCTCTGAGCCCCATGAGCCCATCTCATGAAGGCAGTGATATGCTGAATGGGAATTCATCCTCGAGAGAGATTATCCGAAGGGTCAAACCGGTACCGGTACAGGCTCTGTTCATGGATTGTACCCACGACAACGAAACACCGGCACAGAAGCGCGACGCTCGAGACACTCTGCCCAACGCTGCCCTCGTCAACATGTGCGCAAGCGCAACAGGTAGCGTCATGGGTTATGATGAGATCTACCCCAAGCTTGTCGACCTTGTGAACGAGACTAGATTGTACACTTCCGAGTCGTCGTCCAAGCCGGTTAAGATTGGTGGTGGCCGCAACGGCATCGGTGGCATCAAGAAGCTCCTCAACCAGATCCATACACTTATGGGCAAGGATGGCTACGATGAGACTCACATCCACCATGAAGACCAGTACATTACGGTTCACAGGGTTCACCCTGAGTCAAGAAAAGGATACTTTCTGATTGCCCACACTGCCTTTCCAGGATATGGCAACGGCAATGGTGCATTCAACGCAGTCCACCTTACCGGAACAAGAGCTCGGCACCTTGGAAGCTGGATGCTGGAGGTTGACGCCAGCGAAGAGGCTAAGAAAGAAGTCTTGGACGACAAGAAGCTTCTTCGTGGCCTCCCCAGCCGCGTCGTCGACGTTCCTGGCGTTCGTCTGGAGGTCAAGGGTGATGAGACTATAATCACCGTCCGTGACAAGTTCCCACCTGGCAGTATTGCCTTGTTCGAAACCTGGATTCCTGCCGCTGAGCACTCTGCAGGTCTGGATACCTACGTTACCTCCGGTGCCAGAGCGGCTGTGGAGGGTCTGAATCTCGTAGACCTCAACTTCCTGCTCTACAGATGCGAGGCCGAAGAGCTTGACGGCAGCGGGGGCAAGGACGGTTGTTACGACATCCCTGGATATGGAAAACTTGTCTATGCTGGCCTTCAGGGCTGGTGGAGTCTTCTCAAGGACATCATCAAGGACAATAACCTTGCACACCCACTCTGCCAAAATCTCCGTGATGGCCAATGGGCTTTGGATTATACTGTTGGGCGACTGGAAAGAGCCAGCCAGACCCCCGAGTTTGAGCGTCTTGGCAAGCCTGCAATCTGGCTGAAAGACCGTTTTGATGCTATTCGCAAGATCCCAAGTTTCTTGCTGCCAAGATACTTTGGTCTTGTGATGCGGACTCTGTATATGGCTGCTTGGGAGCGCGGCCTTGAGCAAATGAATGGAAACGTACGAGAAGGCCAATGGTTCCTCCAGAGCCTCGCCATGGTAAGTGTACAGCAGACAGGTCTGGTTAAGTCTGCGTCACTGTGGCCGAAAAAGTTGGTGCCGTCGCTGGCTGCTGGCTTGCCCCACTTTGCAGTTGAGTGGGCAAGATGCTGGGGACGTGATGTCTTCATCTCCCTCCGTGGCCTCTATCTTGGCACCGGTCGCTTCGATGAGGCTAAAGAACATATCTTTGCCTTTGCTAGTGTTTTGAAGCACGGCATGATACCCAATCTGCTCAGTAGCGGCGCTTTGCCAAGATACAACTCCCGTGACTCAATCTGGTTCTTCCTTCAGTGCATTCAGGATTACACCAAGTTTGCCCCCAACGGCCTGGATCTTTTGAAGGAGAAGGTTAAACGACGGTTCCTTCCATACGACGACACTTGGTTCGATGTTGAAGACTCTCGCGCCTACTCACAGGAGAGCACAATCGAGGACGTCATTCAGGAAGCACTGCAGAGACACGCTTCGGGAATGTCTTTCCGCGAAGCCAATGCTGGACCCTCTATCGACTCTCAGATGACTGACGAGGGCTTCAACATTTCCATCAATGTTGACTGGAACACAGGCATTGTTTTCGGAGGCAACCAGCACAACTGCGGTACCTGGATGGACAAGATGGGCGAGAGCCCACGCGCGGGCTCCAAGGGCGTCCCTGGGACACCTCGCGACGGTGCTGCCGTTGAGATCACCGGTCTCCTGTACAGCACTTTGAAGTGGGTGGCGTCACTTAGCTCGGAGGGCAAGTTCCAGCACTCCTCCGTGAAGAAGGCGGACGGTTCATCCATTTCATTCAAGGACTGGGCTGATCTTATCCGCGCCAGCTTTGAGCGCTGCTATTATGTCCCTATCTCTCCCGAGGATGACTCCAAATACGATGTCAACACCAAGATTGTCAATCGACGTGGCATTTACAAGGATCTGTACAAGTCCGGAAAGGAGTACGAAGACTACCAGCTACGCCCCAATTTCCCCATTGCCATGTGTGCCGCTCCCGAGCTGTTTGACCCCACGCACGCCTTGCATGCTCTTTGTGTTGCCGACTCCGTTCTTCGAGGCCCTACCGGTATGGCGACGCTCGACCCTGCTGACTTGAATTACCGACCTTATTACCGCAACAGCGAAGACAGTGATGACTTCGCCACCAGCAAGGGACGCAATTACCACCAGGGCCCGGAATGGCTTTGGCCGACTGGTTTCTTCCTTCGTGCACTGCTCAAGTTCGACTTGGAGAGAAGGTCCTCTGACGCTGATCGCATCGAAGCATTCCAGCAAGTCACTCGAAGACTCATTGGATGCAAGGAAATGATTAAAGACAGTGTTTGGGCGGGTTTGACAGAATTGACGCAGAAGAATGGAGAGCACTGCCCTGATTCGGTAAGTTTTGCATATTGTAGTAATCGATACGAGACTAACAAATCACAGAGCCCAACACAGGCTTGGTCGGCGGGCTGCCTGATAGATCTGTACATGGACGCTGCCGAGGAGCAGAGCGACAAGGCTAAGATTGCCTTGCCAACAAGGTCTAAGTAAAGTTGGAATAAGAACATGAAATTTCCACACAAGGAGACCAGGGGATGTTCCAAGTATGAGCACTCGTAAAATGAAGGTTTCTCGGATGAAGGGAGAATGGGACGTTTAAAAGCAGCCAAAGCAGTGGGCCATGCAAACATTAATACAGAATACGACATGAGTGACTGGTAAATAGATAGACTGCATTGATAGCCTACAAGTTATTCTCATTACAAGTTTTCGAATCATTTGACCAACGCATCCATCTTTTGTATCCAGTACTGCACATTGGATCTATCTTCGATCTCTTCCGTCACAACCTCGGCCGGCTGAACTTGCAAAACAACCCCTAATTGTCTGGCACTCTCTATCTCTTCTGCTGTTATGGACTGGTTTTCAATCTCGACAAGGACCTCTTCCATTCTACTTTTCCAATATGTCTGGAAGAACTCTGCCAAAGAACAGTCCATCTGGTCGAGCTTTTCTTCAAATTCAACGAGCAAACTTTCCAAGCGGGCAATTTCGGCCGCGTCCTCTTCGTGGATATCCTCGATTTCGTCTTGCGTGTATACTCTTAGCGGCTCTCTTGAGAACCAGTATGCACCTTCCCAAGGCTTCCAATGGCTGCAGCAAGTGTGGCGCAGAGGAAGCACGGCAAAGGTGCATGCTCGCAAAGCTACGGATTTGACAGGTCGTGTAACATTCCAGCCCTCTTCCAGTTCGGTACACTTCTTGTAAACGCGCTTTGTCATCTTATTCAGTCTTTTTTTGGTCATGTCTCCTCGTAACTCCCAGAATAAGTATTCCTTCCACATCGTTGTGTAAGGATGACAGCCATTGCTAGAGCAGGCACAGACGCAGTTGTCAAGATTCCAGTCTTCACCAACACGGCTTCGTAGAACATCCAACAGTGTTGGCTTCATATCTTCCGTTCCCCATGCATGTTTATCCGTTCGCGTAAACAGGTAATGCGCAGCCGTGTATCCGTCAACTTCCCCTGGCACTCGGGCATCTAAGCGCGCGCCGTGCTCTATGAGCCATACGGAGTGCTGTGAGTAATATGATTGGATCAATGGAGTGGAGCCATCCGAGCTGGGTATGTCAATATCTTGAAATCCTCTGGAATAAAAGGCGTCCGATAAATGTCTGACGTTGCGATTCAAATTTCCCAGCCTGTGATATACAGAAGTTGATGGTTTTTCGTCATAAAGCTCTGTCTGAAGTTCTCGAGGGACTGCTTTTCCCGCTTTCTGGAGTTCATCTAATACATTGTGAATATGCAAGTCGAGTACCCCTGGAAGTCGTAGGCCGAAGCGGTCGACAAGTGCGGGCTTCAATTCCAAACTGGCAAAATCTTTCAATGCCTGACGACGATGCGTGAGCTCATCCAAAACCAAATCTCGCGCTTTGGCAGATGCTTCACCCATACTCGAGAGGAAAAACCCCCGCGAGACTGCTCTCAGAAGACAATCCCTATCGACATCCAACAGAAGCTTAACTGTAGCCGCACAGGAACAAGTTTCTGAGCACCTTATTGAGATTGGGCTTGTGCAAAGGTGACCGCTCCAATACAGTGCAACTTGTAGTGCCGGAGTTTCGCTATTGTCGTATAGTTGGAGAATAGACTTGCCAAAGTTCTGCAGGACCATTTTGAGGCCCTCATGCCAACCGACTAAATGGTGCAGAGCGGTGTGGCCGCCTGCATCCACTGCGGATAGGTCTAATACGGAAGTGGTTTTCTTCAAAGCTTCAAACAGATCTTTTCCCTTTCTTAAAAAGATTGCCTCTGTCGGGTGGCCAGCGTATACTAATTGATGTCAGTTGATGTTTGATTTTTGTCTTTTCCAGATACAATGTGTCTCTCTAGCAGCCATTTTCTGGGAGCCCTCAGCTACTATTCGATGTTGATTGAGGTCGTCTAATGTCGCCGTACTACGATCAATTTCCCGGATTTCTAAAGCCATAATGGACTCGTCGGGAACAAGCATATCAACCGCCTGAGTGCCATGGGATTCACAACCACCCCAGGATGAGGTGCCCAAAGCATCTTGGAAGGGAAGCCTAAAGTATGTGTTAGACGTCATATTCCAGATCTAAAAAGACAGATCTGGCGGGATCCAAACCTTCCACGAGCGTCCGGACGATCTTTTGGCACCTTTGCATCCAAAAGGTACTTCAGCAACAAGTTGCGTGGTCGATACCAATGATTGTCTGAGGCAAAACTAGCAGAGTGCAATAACGTCTCGTCGGAGAAATCTACGTCAAAAGGGGATGACATTCTCTTTTCAAAACTCGTCCGTATGGTTCGGATGCCTCGTTCGAGAAGATTCTCTGACTCTTCGTCACTCCAGTTGCTCGAACAAAACGCATCTTTGAGTATTCTTATGACTTCGAAAGCGGGGCTTTTTGCGTGAACGTGGAAATAAGTAAATGAGGGCGCTATACTGTAGCCCCCTGCTCCGAAGGTACTAGACATCGTGACAGTAACGGCCGTGGACACTAGGAATCGAAAGGCTTTTACCGAAATCCCAGCAGACCATTTGTTATTTGCAGTTGAGCCGGGCGTTGCGAAGAAGCATCCAATCTCGTGTTCATTTTCATGGACAGTCTCTTCCAGCAGAAAGGCTGGGCCGAATTGTCGTTTCCTGCGCCTTGCAATGCGTCTGAAGCTGCAACGGCATTTGAACTTTGAGTAGAAGTTGCCATACTCACTCGAACTAGATTCCGGGACATCTACTGGTTGTTCCGGTAAATGATGGGCTCCCACAATGTCGCAAATCATCTTCAATCCGCTTGATTTTGATGTCAATGTCTGGATGGCTGCCATGGGGCTAGGAGAGGACAATGCTGAGGCTTTCAAAGCCGCAATGTCATCTCTTAGGGCAATGCTCTCTTGTTGGACTGCAGAAAGCAACACGATGCCCTCCTGTACCTCCAATCTCATCGAATCAACGCCCATGGCCAGTCTCTTCAAAACTTTGTTGTTATCCGACGTAAAACTACTGTAAAATATGTTTAGTCAACGTTTTCATCATCGCTAGGGAAAGGAGGGTACATTTGAAGAGTCTGCAAGGCCGCTTGTAAGGCGTCGTTTGCGGCGTCAAGCCGGCCATTGAGGCGATCCAAATGATCTCTGCGAAATGGATAAAGAAATTTCTGCGTTTGGCCCTTGATTTTACCCCTGAAGGTTTCGGGCGTGGTAGAGCTGTCATTTGCGTAGACCTTGCCAATAAATTCGTCGAGAAGCAACAGTTCTACTCTCGCATTGGACATGGCTTTCAATACAGCATCATTCGTGTTAGTAGGCGCTAGACGGCCTTCATCGCCTTGAATCTGATCTATAATCGATTTCAGGAATTCGACTTTTCTGACAGTTGACTCGATATCCTCCTTGCGGCACTGGACGCCTTCGAGATACGTATTGATCCCGGAACAGAGTTGAATTCCCAGCGATACAACGCCGACCACAGTCCCGAGAATCTCCGCCATGGCGTATTGCAGCTCTTCCGGGTACAGTGGTGATGTTGAAATTAGTTGCGAGGCTGTTGTGTCGTGGATTTAATTGGCACTACGGTCTTGTGGAGCTGAAAGAAGCCGAAGCATGCGGACAATTGTTGGGTCGTAGAAGGCGCAAGTCACCGCAGCAGACTCATCGGTCAGAAGAGGGGATCAGGTGTTAAAATCTCTGGTAATATTAAATCAGGCTAGCGAATGAGATGTGCGTGGGATACTTCAGCCTGCACCTGTGGATGATGCATGCATGTGAGTGGCACAGCCCACGTAGTTAGACTAAAGAACGGAGAAATACACCTTGCCACTATTTCGAAACGCATAATATTGTCGACAGACCAAAGGCTATCTGAGATTCTGCACATTCCGTAAGTGAGGCCCGACATTTTTTCTCCCCCTTTGTCGTTTCTCTGACAATGAATACTCCTTATTCGACTAAGCGCCTGGGCAGCCATTCTGGTCACCTTATTCGAAGAACCTATCAAGCGCCGCACTTCTGCGCTTGCCGAGCTCCGTGATCTTCTTCGTAAGCTTTTTGCGGCCTATCTTCAATTAAATAGTTCGACAACCCGCGTAGGGTCCGCGAAAGCCATCACGGAGAGACTTTGTTCACGATGCGGTCTTGTCTTGCTGTCCATTACTACTTGCTGATTAGCAGAGTCTTGAAGAAGAAGCGAGACAACAAGTTGGTAACATTGTCAGCAACGTGGCAAACTGGTACTGCTGTCAGCTAGTCAGTAAATATGTGGCATTACCACCAAGGAGTTGTGAGGATGATGCACATCAAGAGTTGACGGCATTAGAAATCGCATGCTAAGGCCCAGGTTTTACAGTTGTCTGATGTCAAGTAAAGGCAAGGATAGAGATGAGTGTAGAAGAAGCACCGGGTAGTGTGACTCGGTAGTGTCGAGATTTCCTGAAGGGGACGTCTTTATCACGTTGTCTTTCTTTCCGAAATCAAATCTGGGTTTTGGGACTGCGTCGTTTCCTTCCATTCAACTTCAGCTGGGCCTCTCTTATTTATGTTTAAAGTTATATTAATGTTGTCCGAGGATTTTGTTGACTCTCCCTTAGGCAATAACCCACTCATGTAGGGAATAACCCACTTGCGTACAGGAAAGGTATGAGGTAAGGTTTAATGCATGTATGCGCCATGATGCATGTAGACAGTCTAGTTAGATAATCTCTAGCTAATCAAGGCTTGAGTAAACTGTAGCGGACGTGATCGAGGAGAGCGAACCATTGGTAGTAATATTAAGGGCATTGGCGCAGTAGATAAATCCAAGATTGGGTCAGGTTTTTCACGACATGACATAAGTATTCCATGACATGACAGGGCCAAGGGTTTCATGGAGTTGAGTAGTTAATTTTTCTAGTGCCGACAAATTATGGTGACTCATACGCCGGCAACGGCGTATGACGTGGAACGGGTTGCTCCGTGCACACCTCTAACACCCACCGTTTAAGTCTTGTATAGCCGTTCTTAAAGGCGTTGTAAATCCTCATCGGATAGGTCGAAACCATGTAACTGATCTAGTCAACATAACGGTATCTCTCTGAAGCAAAACAGCATGCTGTCAGACAGTCTACGTGGAAAAGTCGCGATTGTTACCGGTGCCGCAGTAAGTCTGAAAATCAATCAATTAAGCTCTTCCAAGAAAGATACAAGACCGCCTGATAGTTCTACAGTCTGGTATTGGTGCAGCTCTCGCAGAGCATCTCGTTTCGAAAGGATGGTGTGTGGCACTTTGTGACGTACAAGACGATAAAGGTCGAGAACTAGGTAAGCAATGCATGGCAGTGTGTGACGGTTCTCTCCACTAAAAGAACTCTCAGCGACCTCGCTTGGCCACTCCGCGGCTTACTATCATTGCGATATTGCCTCTTACGATTCTCAATCAGCCGTGTTTTCCAGCATATGGCAAAAGTATGGCCGCATCGACGCCCTCATAGCCAACGCTGCCTTCTCAGACCGCAACGCCCTGTTCCAGCTTCGACTTCGTGCGAATGGGCTTCCTTCCATTGAGGACATTCCTCCTAGCCCGGACACAACTTGTGGGTGGCAGGCCTCGCCGGCCCGTCACGTGGGCTGACGGCCGCCACCACTGGTCTTAGCCAGCCTCCACAGCCCTCTAGCCAGTTAGTTAGTTCTTCCAACCAACAACACCACTTTTCCCATTCTGAGCGTTCTGTGCTGGTTTCGCCCACAGGTTATGAGCCCAGCGTTATTCTTTCGGAATAACGTCGTTTTACCCATTATTCTACTCGTCTGTCAATTTTCTATTGATTCACGAATTTTTGCGATTTTATTCGCTTTATTTACCCTTCTGTGCGATTTTCTCGCCTTATTTTCCCTTCGCTGACGAATTTCACTTTCTGACGCGATATTGGCTGCCTGGCGCGCACGAATATCACGTGGCACGCGACCGACCACCACAACCCACTGGTTTTCACGAACACCACGGAATTCCACCACAACAACAGACTTTTCAGTCACAACCACACTACAACCATACTTTTACTTCGATTTCCTCGTTCTCACGAGAATTCAACCATTTCAGCTTCGGTTTTTCGAACCAGCCCATCAGTTTCTCGTATCTTCTACGAGTATTCATTCTTCCCTTCGATTCACCGTATTTCTACGGTCGGATCTCACAATTCCACCCATTTCTCGTGTTCTTACGCAAGATTCTCCCTCCTACACAACATTCATACTTCTTCAGTACCATTTACTCATCAATACCTTCCCTTCAATACCTTCCCTTTCCAACAGCAAGCGTAACGAACCCGCCACATCGACGTCCGATACAAATGGATCATACAGGAGGTTCACACTGCGAAAAGCATCGAACTCCGACTCATCAAGGGCGCTGATATGGCCGCCGATGGACTCACGAAGCCACTGGTTGCGGTCAAACACAAGGAATTCGTTCGTTTGTTGGGCATGGCGGAGGGATTGGATTGAGAGGGGGATTTTGAGACTGTGGGACTATTGATATTGAGACTTCGGGATTCGGAGGATTTCACGGCCTCCTATTGGCCAGGTTTAACCGGTAATTGACCGAGTTTTCTAATAGTTGAGAACTCCTCGGATTTGGAGGATTTGGGACTTTTCCTGTATTTCCTATTATTCTACTGCTTTTTCGCTGAGGAGTCTGAGAGGGGGTGTGGGTGGCAGGCCTCGCCGGCCCGTCACGTGGGCTGACGGCCGCCACCACTGGTCTTAGCCAGCCTCCACAGCCCTCTAGCCAGTTAGTTAGTTCTTCCAACCAACAACACCACTTTTCCCATTCTGAGCGTTCTGTGCTGGTTTCGCCCACACAACTTGCACGGACGTAGCGTATAAAGGCGTTATATATGGCACGCAGCTTGCTATCCACTTTATGCGCCACAACCCCTGTGATGGGAAAGTGAAAGGCAGAATCATCTGCACGTCGAGTCTGGCGGGTATTGAGCCGGAACCCGCAGTGCCACAGTACAGTGGTGCAAAAGCCGGTGTTATTCACTTTGCCCGCGCGACGGCACCCGTTCTCTGGGAAAAGGATGCCATCACCATGAATGTTGTGTGTCCCGGACTGGTCACAACTCCACTGGCGCCAAAAGAGCTTCTAGATGCCTCGTTGCCAGAGCATCGAACTTCTATGGAGCTTGTTCTAAGAGCTTTTGACGATTTCATCGACCGTGACGATGGTAAACGGAACGGCGAAGTTGTAGCTGCTCATGCTGCTAAAATCACAGAAGTTGGCAAATCCTACCTGACGGACACTGTTGATGGTGCCGATGAGAGCGTGCGAAGGGTGTCAAAAGTTCTCATGAGGTTGGTTCAGGGTGATGAATAGACACGGATGGGTACATAGGAATGCTGAACCCGCGAATGCCGCAAATTGAAGGCCATGGATATTTATCTTCCGCACACTTGAGCTATAGTATTATTCTTTGTTCTCTCTATTAAACCTAAAAGTTAAGTTTTAAACTAGGGTTTAACGTTAAATTGCTCTTGCTGTTGGCGCTAGCTTATGAACTCATCAAGGATGAAGAGCTTTTAGAGATGTTAGGGCCGATGAGTAATGAAAGAATTGGCGAACGGTTTCAAGGTAATACTCGTTCAAGCATGATTTGAAAGGCTTCTTCCGGCTAACCCAAAGTTCTCTAGTAGACTTCGAAAATGAAATATAATGATCTCGTCCAGCTCATGCCTCCAGACTGCTGCACAGCTAACACTATTGAAACCAGGCCATACGGTCGTGAACCTCATCTATTGCTCTGGGAAGGCGCTGTACTTCCCGGTGCGAAAGGAAAAGCAAGCTGCCTTCGTGCAGGGGATGCCGCACTTTATGGCGACTCGGTCACCGGTTTTGAGCCGCTTCACGCCATGGCCGGCTGCGATGGCTGTGCCGGCGCCCTCGTGGCCAAGTCCGTTTTCGCCCGTCATAATCGTGTTGCCAATGACACCCTTCTTCCAAAAAACGCATATCAGAACCAAAAATACCTGTAGCCCGAACATAAATAATACATGCATTAGGGCGTGGTTTGGGGAGCTCGTCACAGTGTAGGTACAACTCGTGTTTTGGATTTGTGAGTACAGCAATGTTCTCAAGCTTGCGCTAGAGGCAATCTGTTGAGTCGTTCACTTACAAAACAATGAAACTTTAGGGGAGTATTTGGCGAAAAAGATCATAAAGAAACAAGATGATTGGACAGCCTTCGTATGAACGTGAAGTTGTCAAGGGATAGACCTCATGTTTTACTCATATCATGAGCGACGGACTCCCAAGGCTGTCATTAGGGTTCTCCTCAAAGCCCAAATACAAGCTGCCTTTGTTCTCATGTCGCACAATGCATTCCTTATGGCAAACTTAGCCGCTGTCGGGCTTGCAAGAGGATAGAAAAGAGGAATCCAAGAAGGCCAAGCCTTGCTTATATTGCTTCTTCCCCGCTGAATGCAGTTGCATATTGTACAAGTAAACCACCGAAGGTCTGTGGGGAAGCTAGGCAACTCGAAATTTTTAATTCACTATATTCTTTTTGTAGAGTATGCTATAGGCAATCACACAGCTACGGGCAGCCACATGAAGCCTCCATACAGCAGGCGCCCGACATACAGCAGCCGCGGCAGTTTTTAGTGCTACCACATTGACCAACAGACGGCTTTGTATTTACTCTGCAGTTGCAGTAGGCACTACTCATGGTTAATTGTAATTCGGCGCTTTAAATTGATACTTGTGGTAACTTACGATCCACCGCTGGGATTGGAGCAACCATCATAGAAGTCGCCGGCAGAGAAACACTGTTGATCAAATTAGCGAAGTGACTTAAACTAATAATTAGCTGGAAGTTGGAACTCACAACGCTAGGGCACCCTGCAGTACATTCCTTCATTGATCCATATACGTGACCAGTGTAGGCTTGGGCGGCTAGTGGGGCCGTAAGGGCGATCAAAAATGAGAGAAACTTCATTGTTGTCGATTTAGATGGCTGGCGGGTTCTGCTTTGCGAAGAGGTAGTGGATTTAAGTGAATGAGTGCCTATGTTTTATGAAAACCACGGAGGAACTGCTGTCTTTTATACTCAGTGCTAACGCCCATAGAAAACCGGAGGTTGCGGACGGAAGCTGGCTGATGTGGGTTCTACAAGTCGTCTCGGAACCGAGGATACCGTACTAGTCGCGTGGAAGACAAATGAAGCTTGAACTTTTGTTGGATGCATTGAAAAACCGCTGCCGAGTACTATAACTAGGTTTGAGTAAGAAAATAAACTCCGATTAAGGGGTCCACTACTCTAGGGCATACTCTACAAGCAAGTATCTTAGAAGCGACGACTTGCTTACTACCTAGGTACAGTCGAGAAAATCTGGACTACTGTAAAATCACTGATACACTTTTCCTTCATTCTGGTGATACCTATGGCCTTAGCCCTACACATCAATGGGCAAGACCTTAAAAACTTACAAGCTTCGCCTTTTATTTATTTACGTGTACTAGTCAGCTTACTGTGGAAGCCGAACTAATTAGACACTTCTAGATAACGTAGCTGGTACTTCCTCTACAATCGATTTGAGACAAGCCATACCCAATTACTAACTACCTAGACACTGACTCGGTAGTCACCTAGAGAGCACTGTAGAGCGTTAGCGTCAGACGTTAGTCTCAGTTAAAATACGGGATTTAGAGTTTGGCAACTGCATCCTACTTCAAACTCAGCCAGGCACCTACCGGCCGGTAGAGAAGTAGTAACACCCTACAGTGGGGCAACAAAAGGCCTGTAGAGCTTAAATTCGTAACACATTAACGCGTCTCTCAGGGATCAACCTAATCCCTTCTACAACGAATATTTCCACCGTTCTGACTCCCAGTAGCCCAAATACAACAAATATGACATATTGTCGTTCTGATTGGGAACCGGGAGTGTGACGCAGCTACCCAGGTTGAATACGGGGAAACGCAGGCGACTGTTGTAGTCTAAGTCAGAGGTTCTGATGACATTTATGAGATGATTGATAAAATCTTAGCCAAAATGTAGATGAACGGATCTTTTCTCGGTCAAGTAAACTTTATTGTGATCACAGTCATTCAAGTTTAGGAAGCTTGGACTCGGTCTTGAAAAATGGAAAGCCATAGACATATATCTTCCGCACATTCGAACTTTGGTAATGTTCATTGCTTTATCTGTCAAACTTGAAGATTAAAATAGATTTAGTATTGAATCGCTCCCGTTGCTGCTGGCGCTGGCTTTTGGACTCGCCGAGGGTTAAGAGCTTTCAGAGGTGACACGGTCGGTGTGAAACGGGAAATTGGCGTGCGGTCTCAAGGTAATACTCATTTAAAGGAAGATTTAAAGGGCTTTTCCCAACCAACCCGAAGTCCTCCGTGCATGATTCTTTACAATGAAACTATAAGAATAAACCCGGAATATTTGGTCGTCGGTACTAGCCGTTATATTGAGGCCGTAATGCTAAGTCGCCCCAGAATGATTGGCTTCATTTCTCATTTCATCAAGTGTTCTACATTTGAGGACAGCCAGCCGACCGGAGATTGTGCAGCAAGCACGTTAATCGATGATAGCTAGGTACCTTGATTCCACGACTTCGTACACAGTCCGATAACTAGCATGCGGATGCTATTTAGAAGCGAAGGCGCAAATTCGGCCATTAGGGCTGTCATTATCTATAGGATGCAATAGTAAGGGAAGGAGTATACCATCATTATGATTTTACATGTTGAAGTAGATTGCTGAGTTCTGGGAAGCTTTTGAGTGTGCTGCGTGGTGATGTTGGATAGAATTGATGGCCAAGGCGGAATACATTTTTATTTATTTTTTTGCAGTCCAAGCTTCTCGCCGACAATGAAAACGGTAACGACGCCAGAGAAGCAGCCTCTCTCGTAAACTGCATTAATAGTGCCGAGAAGACTGGACGACGGATTTCTGAAGGTTTTGAGGAAGTCTATGGCGGTATTAAGACCCTGATGAAGACATTAACTGCTAGCAGCTGCGGTTCAGACGCTAAGCACGCCCTGATCGTAGCCGAAGAGCAGGAAGCCGATGCCACCAGCCAACGTATGACTCCTATCAAGGCAGGTCCGCGAATTCTTCTGCAAGAGCTACGCTTTCTGTATCCAGGCTCAATAAGCTCGAGGTGTTGAACATCGTCAGGTGGCCCCTTCATCGTTGTAGGAATGGAGATTGAGCTCATAGTGATGTTGTGAAATCGAGGGGTGATAGCAAAAACGATGCTGGGGAAATAAGACAAATTTGGTTCCCTTACCCTCAGAAACAAGATGATTAGAGAACATTGTAATCATTTCTTGAACGAATTTCTTCAAAAGCACGCTGTATTTACTAGAAATAGGAGTTGGAAAGGAAAAGGAAGACCTGGCTGTTTGAGTTCTGCGAGAGTCAGCGACAATATGTAATTACTATGACTAGTATCGGAGTCGATGACATTACATATTCTTCCGCGGGATGGCCCCTTGTCGTCCCAAACTTGTCTACATCCTTTGTCCCCAATGCACCGCTACATTTCTATGGCAAGGCGAAAACCTGGGGTAAATCTAGAAAACGATGTGGCTGGATGGGTTTCGACCGGAAAACACCTGGTGGCGTGTGCACCGGACCCTCGGGCGACTTTACTTGAAGAGACTAAACGTCTCCGAGAAATAACACCAACGCAAACTTTCCCCGGCCTAGCTTTTCTCCCCCACAACACCCATCTTTCCACCCAACGTTGTGGTCAACGATGCCAGATTTGGGCCACAGAAAGTCGTGTAAGCCGTGTCGACAACGTCACCTAAGATGCGATCGGGGCACTCCGAAATGTTCCAATTGTCGGAAGCCCTCCCCTCCCCTCAAGTGTTTCTACGAGCCCAAGGAACTAAGGTTCCGACGCTGTCTCATCTCGTCACTCGTTGATAACGGTGTAACGAGTACCGTTACCGGCAGCAATAGTAGCACTGTTAACCTGAACCAGAACGCAGGCTCAGTAGCCAGCATTCATGAGACTAGCGACCATTGCAGCGATGGCGCCGCCACACAACATTCCGATGAGGAGCTCGCAGAGGAGCCGGGTCTTCAAATGACATCAGCCTCTGTTACAACGCCCGTGCCTTCAAACTCGAACTCCACTGTGACGCTCAGTGAGCGCAGAAATTTATCCCAAAATACACCTCAAGGTGAAACCCTGTCTCTATCGGAGCCATCGGCGGACTTGCTCGCAGACAGGGGCTCCGATGGTCTACGCATCAAAACAATCTCGTCGAGAGATACTCTGAGCCGAGTTACGCCTCCCCAGGAGCCCTCTCCTGAATCGTCACTGGCTTTCACGCTACTGCCTCCACCAGGAGTTTACAGTATCACGAATGAAATAGATGCATACATCTTTGGTTTCTATTTGGAAAAGGCGGGGCCATGGGTAAGTCGGCCAGTGCATGACAGCAAATTCCCAAGCCAACTGTAAAACAGCTAGACATCGTGTCACCAAATAACTACTTTGGTGTTCACGTCCCCCGCTTGATGGCGGTTGAGCCCGTATTAGGCTCGGCGTGTCTTGCCTACGCATCTCTTGTCTTACATCTGCAAGGCCAGATCCCCGCCCATATCAAGGACGACCTGCATGACCGTGCCCTGAGACATTTAATACCTCTGCTTACCTCCTACCGTGAGGATCGCGGACACCTTCAGGACCTAGGTCCTGTCCACGCCACCACAGTCATCTTGCGAATGACGGAGCAATTCCTGGAACTCGGAGAGGATAAGCAACATCACCTCCATGGAAGCTCCACGCTCTTTGAGACGGCTTATCACGATTGGTCGCTCCTCGACAATTCTATGTCTAGCACGTCGTTCTGGGCATATCTTAGGGGGAGCTTACGAATCTCATTTCTGCAGGAGAAGCCATGTGCGTTCAAGCTGAATCACCTGGAGATGTGGCGCTATGCGTCGGGAGACCTGTCCCTTACAGACGAGGCTCGAACAAACCTGATGACCTATCTGCTAGCAGAAGTCTGCACAATATGCTGGGCTCCGAGAACATGCTCCGAAACGACCATGGCTAAATTGGAGGAGTTAGGTAAGGCCATCGCTGAATGGAAGCGCTGTCTTCCGATTTCCTTCCAGCCATGGTATTTTCGACGCAAAGAGGGTGACGTTTTCCCAGATGTTAGATTCATGGCGCCATGGCACGGTATGTTTTGCGAACCCGAACAACAGAATACTTCAATGGGCGCTACGATCAAAGGCTAACGAAGAGAAAATGCTTAGTTGTCGCGTGGCAATTTTTCTATTCATCCCAGGTCATGCTAGCCGTTCATCGCTCAGCAATGAGTAAGGACACGAACCTGTTGCGTTTAACGAGGTTTCTAGAGGTAGATACTTATTTGCCTTCCTTGGCTTGTTCTTATCCACTGATCCCCTTTCGTTCTGTAGGACAAGATTGCAGAGCCAACAAGATGGCTTTGTGGGGTAACTCTGTCTTCAAACAGCATTGGAGTGAAGATTAACGGAAGTCACCTAGTGGCATGGTGTGCTCAATATGTGACAGCTAAGTCGGAGAGAAGAAAGATCCTGGAAATGTTGCTTTCTCTTTGGCAAGAAATCAAATGGCCGAATCTTACCTGCCATGCCCGCCTCGACAAGCTTTGGGATGGCTCTCGCCAATCGTGGGCATCCCCAGATCTTAATGAAGATGCATGAAACTAGTATCACCGTAGTTCTTGTTATCGAATGTGTTGTTTGGAAGATAAAAAAACCGATAGCCAAAAAAGAAATATGGGCCTATTGTCATCAGAGACGCAGAATTCTGTAAGAATTTTGCTCTCTATGTTGAAGCCACTGCAGTCATTGCTGGAATGAAGGTGCTCTTAAAATAACTAATAGAGAGTTTAGTGGCTGTACTAAGGGTGATATTTGTCAGTAACCAGCCATATCATCCTTATTACGTACCACATGAAAACCTTCTCTGACGTTATTCATCATTTGATTTGCCAAAGTTATCGTCAACTCAGGGATGGTGCTTATTGGTAAGTGGGGCCTACCAAGGCTGGTCTTGTGCGGGCGAACTAGCTTGTTCAGGGACACCCTCTCCGATTTCTTAGGTGTAGTTCCGAGATTCAGTCATGTGAAACTCTTCGAGATCAACACTTTACTGCGCTTTTTGTTACCGAATTAGGAAATCCATTTCCGACACCCATCAAGCTGGCCTCCCAGAATGTGTTGGAATCGCCAGATTTCCTTGAGCCTAGGTGAACATGAAGACCATGATTTTGAGCCAGATTCAAAGAGAGGATGGACGCATCTAGCACTTGCGCAGGAATCTTCTGGTACAAGTTAATATATAAGCCGATAACTAAATAAATGCTCTTTCCCGTGACAGTTACCAGAGATTATCCCTATGTTTTCACTACCTGCTTGCATCATCATCACTAGCAGCGATCTTCTGGATTAAGGTTTCCTCGCTGGTTCTGTTCTGTTTCATAATCAGATCTGACAACCGACAAAGTTCTGGCTTGCTCTGTAATTTGACTGAGTATCCCACGCAAAGTTACCGCCGACATCATGCTTGCTAAAGAAGCTACCCATTGTCGGCTTTGGACAATGGTGCACTCACAAGTATGTCCCGAAATACTACTCATGCTTATCTTCACTGGCGAACACCAAGTATGTTTAGAGTACGTATAGTGGCTGTGACGGCCGTTGCTATTGCGATGTTGGTCCCACTATTAAGATATTTTTGGGATTTGAAAGGGCTTCGAAAATACCCTGCTGCTGGCCCGTTTGGCATCCCGGCTTTCACTCCACTATGGATAATGTATGACAACTACTTCGGCGTCAGGTGGAACGCCATCGAGAAGGCTCAAGGGCAAAAGGTTGCGCACACTGACCGCTTTATCCCCCGCGACAATGGTAGTTTTGACATCCGACCTTGGTTAAATATGTACACTTATGACTAATCAGTACTATCATGTGGAGCGATTGCTTCGGTTTCCTTGACATGGGAGACGACGTTTGCATCGCATAGTCTGCTGATGGAGCCCAGAAGACGGTCCATGTCATGCAGACTTTCCAGAATGGTGTATGGCATAGCGTCTTCTGCGCTCATCTTCCTCTTTGGGTGTAAATGACACTCCGGTCCCTCTCAAGCTGGTACAAGGGGACAGTAGCAGCAGACGATTTTGACAACGTATGAGTCTCTGTAATTGCTTGAAAGGATAAGTGCGCTGACGTCTTACATAGATGGCGAGGTACAAGACTCACAAACGCATTAAGAACATACCAGTAAATCCAAATATCTTCTCTTATATCCCTCTTGAAGTTGACGAGGAAGGCGGGTCATCATTTCACATGTGGGAGATTCCTGATATGTATCACACTGAGGAGAGGTACGCACTAGGCCTTCACATTTTAAGAAAGATAGTAGAGAAGAGGGAAAAAAATGATTCGGTGTAAAAGTTAGCGAATAACTTGGTTATCTCATGTTGCAGATCTCGCCACCTTCACAGCTCTATTTCACTATTAAAAATGCGCGAAATTTAAGGAGATGCCATGTAATATGCGCCCAACGTATACACCAAATGTCTCGAACGCGCGAGGGACTGTCTCAACTTCCATGGCAGCGTACAGCCCCCATCAAGGACAAGATTGGCCCCTGAATGAATTCAATGTCATGAGCTTGGAACGTTACTACGGATTAGTCTGGCCTACCAGTCATGGAGCTGGATGGCTCACTTGCTGAATAAACGTAGGCTCCCTTGATTTTGCAGCATGACAGAATCCGCCGACAACCTGTGGGGAAGCTAGGCAATTCGGAATTTCCAAGCTACATGAACAATTGGGAAGTCAGAGTTCCGCGCTCAAATTTCCTCTTTAGGAAACATTTCTCCCCTCTGGTTAGGCTTAGTGTGGGCGAGAACCGGCACAGAACGCTCAGAATGGGAAAAGTGGTGTTGTTGGTTGGAAGAACTAACTAACTGGCTAGAGGGCTGTGGAGGCTGGCTAAGACCAGTGGTGGCGGCCGTCAGCCCACGTGACGGGCCGGCGAGGCCTGCCACCCACACCCCCTCTCAGACTCCTCAGCGAAAAAGCAGTAGAATAATAGGAAATACAGGAAAAGTCCTAAATCCTCTAAATCCGAGGAGTTCTTAACTATTAGAAAACTCGGTTAATTACCGGTTAAACCTAGCTAATAGGAGGCTGTGAAATCCTCTGAATCCCGAAGTCTTAATATCAATAGTCCTATAGTCTTAAAATCCCCCTCTTAATCTAATCCCTCCGCTATGCCTAACAAACGAACGAATTCCTTATGTTTAACCGTAACCAGTGGCTTCGTAAGTCTATCGGCGGCTATATTAGCGCCCTTGATAAGTCGGAGTTCGATGCTTTTCGCAGTGTGAACCTCCTGTATGATCTATTTATATTAGACGTCGATATAGCAGGTTCGTGCCTTGTTAAGTAGGTTTATGACGTTATCGTAGCCGTTAGCATTGTTAGTAAATATGATAGTAGGCGTAGTAATAGGTTTGCTAAGCAGTTAGGAAAGGCAACGTCTAATCTACTTTATAGCAATTGCTATAGGTATAAGATTAATAAATTTAGCCTCCGTAGTGCTTAAAGTTACGAAAGTCTATTTCTTTAACTTCTAAGCAATCGGCATACTAGCAAGGAAGACGACGTAACTACCTATCGAGACTCGTAATAGCTTATTATTAGCGAAAGAAGTATTTATAATAGCGTAAAGCCTTAACTTATTAATTATAAAGATGCTTCTAAGTATAATACCGAGATAAACGATACTTTTAAAGTATTAGAATAAGTACTTAATAATATAAAGATATGTTCGAATATTCGTAGGCGCACATTCAGGGGTCAATCGTGATGTGTATTGTGCTTCTTCTTTTCCTAAGACCTGTCCGTATCCCTTACGCGCCTTCTTCCGGCGTGTTCCCTGTGACTAAGCGCACCTAGCGCGGTCCTCGGCCAAACATTCCTCCTAGCGCCTTCCTGGCATCCTAGGCGCTCTGCGTGTGCATCGCTTCCAGCGCCCCTGGCCTACCACCCTTTTTGACACACCCCTTTAGCCTTCGCGGCTCGAGACCTCGGTCCTAGGGCGCTCCTGCGCGCTTCATACGCAGCAGCGGAGGCTACCCTTAGGGGTGGCAGGCCAACCGACTTCTTCCTTATTCCTCTCCTCCTTCAAAGATCCCTCCGCTCCATGCGGTCTCTGCGAGAGGGTCCCTCTCTTCGCGTAGTGGTTCCGTCTCCTTCTTCACCAAGTTGAGCTGTTTTATGAAGTCTTCAAACGGTTGCCTTGCGAGGCTCTTCGTGAGTCCGTCCGCAACAAGGTCTTTCGTTGGTGTGTGGACGACGTTGATGGTGCCGTTCTCAACCTCCTGTCTCAACCAGTGGTTGTGTATATCAACGTGACGAAGCCTCGTCTTTAGAGTCACGAGTTCCTCAGTTACTATTCGAATCGTCTAGAGGTTGTCGCACTGGATCGTTATTCCGCCGCTTGGAATCGTCGTATTAAGAGCACTCAACAGACGGCTAACGAATATAGCTTCGCGTGCTGCTTGTGAGAGGGCGAGAAGCTCTGCTTCTGTCGTTGATGTTGTGACTGTGTCTTGTTTGTTCGCTCTCCATCCGATCAATCCTCCAGCAAGCCGTAGTGCGTACGCCTGAGAGCTCTTTCGATCTAGCGAGTTATCTGCGAAGCTGGCGTCTGATGCGACTTCGAAACTCTTGTTGTTGCCATCGTACTCGAGACTAAGGAAGCAGGTGTCCAAGATGTACTGCAATACTCGATCTGCAGCGCGATGATGCTTCTGAGAGGGATTCTGGTTAAACCTCGCCAGACGGCTTGCAGCAAAGGCGATATCGGGGCGCGTCATCACCGCCAAGTATAGGATCGATCCAATCTTTCGTTGGTATGCCGTTATTTCGCTCTTTGAGGCGTGCTCCTCGGCGGGCAGTAGCTCCTCGTTCGTCATAGGTGTCGTAAATCGAGTGTTCTTCCTCTGTGATCCTTTATGTGTGCCTTGACCAATCAACCGTGCGATCTTCTGTGCGTATGCTGCCTGAGATAGCCAGATTTTCTTCTTGGCTCGGTCGCGCGTGACCTCGATTCCTAGAAACCAGTGAAGAGGGTCTCCGCCTTCCAGGTGGTACTTCTCTTTGAGCCCGTTAATGAGGCGCTCAGCAGCGTTTCTACACTCAGGGGGAAACGCGAGAACACAGTCGTCGACATAGAAGAAGAAGAGCACGCGTCCCTTCCGCCAGCAGCAATTCTCGCCTGCGACGCGTTCCATCCCCATTGCTTTCAGACCGTTCTCTAGATGCCGTTGCCACAGTAGAGGGGACCTGCGAAGGCCGTATAGAGCCTTCTTCAGCCGCAGGACCTTCCCCTGCTGCTCATGGCCCGGTGGAAACTCCATATATACTGTCTCGTCGATCGGAGCGTGGACAAAGGCATTAACTGCGTCGTACTGCAGTAAGGTAAGATCTTGCTGGGCCGCGGTGGCAATAAGGGTTCGGAACGATTGTCCAGCGAGGGTTGCAGCGTATGTATCCTTGAAAGCGTTTTTAGCCTGTTGATCTCCTCGAACAACGATCCTTGCCTTAAGTTTCTAGAGTGCTCCCTTCTCGTCCGTTTTATAGACGTATACCCACCGGCAACCCAGAATCTGGTGCCCGGCGGCTTCTCTACGGTCCACGACGACGTATGTATCCATCTCATCGTGGCTCGCGAGGTGCTTCTCTTCCGCTTCTCGGAATCCCCTCTCGTAGGGGTGGCCGTATAGATCGGCATGTTTCTGAGGCACTGGGGGTAGTACGCCTGCTTGGCTTTTTCGCTGGGGCAGAGGACGGTCCTCTCCCGGAACGCTAGAGGCCACGGTCTCAACCGCGGGCCCCCCGTCACCTGACACGGGCCTACCGTTGTGGGAGCTTAGCCCAGAGGGAAGGTCTTCCTTTACCCTCGAATCAACGTGGTTTCTTCCCTGACGGAGGTCGAAGGCACGCTCACACCCAGGGTTTCTAAGACTCCTCCTGGGCCCAGGGGCAGGGTTCATACCATTACCACGTCCGGCTACGGTGAGACCTTCGAGTCTGTTGTTCCAACATACTACCGCTTCCAGGCTGGTATCGGCGTTCTTCGCCTTTTGCTTCATCTTCACTCGTTTTCTACCCGTTCTGGTGCCGCCGAGGAAAGCGGCTTGCCAGGAGGTACGCGGAGTGGTAATTGGAAACTCTTCGTGGATCGATTCGCGTGCATGAACCGCCTCAGGAGCGATCGAAGCACGTCTCTTCCTCCACCCCTTCACTCCGAGTGCCTCCTCAAGGCCTGCGAAGAACGAGGTGGGTGGCGTCCGCGGTGGTGTATTGAGTTCGAATCGTGACTCCACGTACTTAGGCGACGGCGGTGCGGTGTATTCTTGTGCCTCTTCGTCTTCAATGTACTGGACTTCATCGACTTCTTCGTCTGCGGTGTGTGCGTACTCTGGAGATGTTATCCCTGTGGGCGAGACCTCTAGTCGCGCGAGAAGAGCGTTGAGCTTGTTCACGTCGAGGTCTTTGAGGTCATCCCGCAGCTCGTTGATATCTCTATTAAAGAACTCGGTTTCCCTGAACACAACGTCTCGCGTTGTGATAACGCGGGCAGTAAGCGGATTCCACACGCGGTAGGAGTTGCTAGTACTGTACCTAATGAGGTAGCCTATCCATCCTCTCGGTTGAAGCTTTCTCGACTTATTCCTGCCCAGCTGTGCGTCTGTTGTGAGCGCATACACTTTGCAGCCGTACGCTCGAAGGTGGGCTTGATGAGGCTTCCCGAGATCTGGGCCGCGAAACTGATTATGGAACCGTTCGAAGGGCGTTTTCCAGCCGTGGCCGCTGACGGCGTCCTGTTGTATAAATACGTCGCGGCGGCAACGATTTCGGGCCACAGCATCTCAGGGAACTTGCCTGCCTCGCGAAGGGTCCTAGCCTTCTCCTTGATAACTGCTGCGATTCGCTCGGCGCCTCCGTTCTGGGCCTGCGTATTGGGCGCAGAGGGTTCGAGGACCACCCCTTGAGATTGAAGGTGAGTGGCGACTTGCTGATGAATCGTTGCAACCTCGCGGTCACATTCGAAGACTTTGACCTGTATATTATATTGCGTCTTCATCATGGCCATGAAGAGATCGAATACCTCGAGGAGCGTCTCTGTTGTACGGTCCTTAAGGTAGTAGTCCCACGAGTATCCTGTTAGTCGGTCAGAGAGTATTACCGTAGACATATAGCCTCCGTATCCTTGAGGGCTAATCGAGTGAAAGTCGAACGCCACTCTTGATCCTGGTTTTGCCCACGCTATAGACTCGCGTGGGGCACGTCGAACAATTCGTCTTGTCTTCCCTTTTCCACACGCTGAGCAGTCAGGCAGCTTGTTGCGTAGGTCACCCATGATCTTCACGCCTCGAGAGGCGTTGACGAGGTGCTCCAGCACCCCCTCGCCCGGGTGACCCAGTCTCTGGTGCCATCTGAACGGTCTTCCTGCGAGTCTTTTGCGCGGTGTAAACGATGTGTGGCGCTGCTTCGCCTGCGTGACGAATCCTGCTTTGGTATTGTCCTCGATAACCTGTTGTCCATGGAGATCGTGAAGGTAGCAGACGAGTGTCCCATCCGCTCTTCGTACGCAATTCTGGCCTGGGCGGTTATCCCACCACATCCCTCGTTGCCGTAGAAGGCGGTAGGAGACTAGATTCGTTGCGAATTCTTCGCAGTAAGCGACGTTGTATAAGCGGAGTCTTACCTTCTTCCCCCGCTCAGCGTCAGCCGTTATATCCACGTTTCCATACCCTAGGATTGGGACTTGTGAGGCTCCTGCCCATAGGTAATCCCCTGGTTCAGCTGCTCTGAAACCTGAGAATCGAGCCCGGTTGTTGAACACGTGTAGCGATGATCCTGAGTCGTATATCGCAGAGTTGTGTAAGGGGTACTCAGTCCGGATCATGAACGCAGAACGGTCACTCGTATACTGCTTCCTCCACGATGCGTTGGCTGACCCCATACACCGACCATACAGTCAGGTCTGCTTCGCTTCCTTCTCGCGTTGTTCACGGATCTTCTTCACGCGGTCCGCAAGGTCGTCATCGGCCTTAAGACGCTCAGTAACCTTCTTCATGATGTCGTTGCTGGGCCTCCATCCTTCATACGCTTCCTCTGGGAAGCAGTAGAAGCAGTTGGCAAGTAGGTGTCGTGGCAGATCACATCCGTGACACGTTGGCATCTCGTTTTGGGTCCGCGAATCGGCGGCCCTATGTCGCTTCTTGGTTGTACTCCGAGGCATGGTCTCCTTGGGTCCTTCTCTTGTTGTGGCAAAGGCACCTCTTGAGGCTCTTGGTCCTGTCGATAGGGTATCTGCGTGGATTCGTATATATCGTCGTACTTCCGCAGAGATCTCGCTGATCGAGGGGTTGTCCGACTCGTGGAACTTCGCCTCGAACGTGGCGTGGAACGCAGAAATAGCGGTCTTCGCAATGACCTTTAGGAAGTCCTCGCTCCACTCGCTGAAGTCCCTTGTCTGGGCAAGGTTGACCTCTTGTCCCTTCAACATTGCGGCCTCCCATTGCTCGAGCCAGTTCTCGATCTCGGCCTTCGTAGGTAGCCGCTTGCTTGACGGTCTTCTCGTACTCCTCACGCGCGGCGCTCTTTTGTTCATTGTTCGAGATCGAGGCCACGCCCTTCAGCTTGACCATCCAGGCTTGGAGGGTCTCCGTAGGTTTACAGCACGCATTGACGTACTTCTCGGCTGCTGTCGATAGGACCCAGTTGCGGAGCTCTCGTAGAGCAGCCGCTTCACGCTCGTAGATACGGATATCATGGTTGTAGTCGCTCCGGAGCTGTACATACTCCTCACGGTCCTCCTTGACAAGGTCTTGGAGGCTTCTAGCCGTCTCGTTCGATCGAACTTCTTCGATATCTGGTGTCTGTGACACCTCGATGATTGATCCGCGGGTATGTCGCGGTATACCTTTCTTCTTGTAGTCGGAGAAGGCCGGAGGCTCCGGCTTCGGCATCCGCTTCTCGGGGTTTTCGGCGCCGGGATCCACTTGCTCCCAGACGTCCAAGTCGGTGGCTTTACCCTGGAAAACCTTATACCAGGTTGGCCATTGACTGGGGTTGTTGAGGACAATGGATTCCATCTTTGCTTATGTCGTTATTGATTCGGGCTTATCGCGTGGGTTTTGAGGGACGTAAACGGGGTGTTCGTGTGTTTTGCAGTTGATCGGATCTTCGAATAGCTTCGTTTTGCCTGTAGGTAGGCCAATTGGTAGGTAATCAGACTGTTAATTGTTCGAATATTCGTAGGCGCACATTCAGGGGTCAATCGTGATGTGTATTGTGCTTCTTCTTTTCCTAAGACCTGTCCGTATCCCTTACGCGCCTTCTTCCGGCGTGTTCCCTGTGACTAAGCGCACCTAGCGCGGTCCTCGGCCAAACATTCCTCCTAGCGCCTTCCTGGCATCCTAGGCGCTCTGCGTGTGCATCGCTTCCAGCGCCCCTGGCCTACCACCCTTTTTGACAAGATAAGCCTTAGAAGGCTTTAAATTCGCTTATAATAATTTACTAACGGTATAAGCTATATTAACGCAAGTTCTAGCTACTAGGAAGTTAAGGTAGCTGGTTTATTCGATATAAAGTTGTTATTCGTTAAGCAAGCACTCGTTCTTATCCTAGGTAATAGGCAGATCGTTAATAGTCGCTGTAAGCGTCTTAATAATATGTTACGACCCGACAGTTAACAGACCACTGACGACGACCCCGCAGGGGCTCAGCGGTTATAGGGACGGCCGTCAGCCGTTACGTCGTAACAACCCCCACGGAACGGAAGAACTAGGATACAGGTCACGTGACGATAAGCAGGACCGACGGACGATAAGCGGTCCTGGGACAGGACCGACGGTGCCAAGGGCGGTCCATGGCGATGGACCGACGTCCTGGGTGTCGGTCCCCCAGGATCAGGAAGTGTTCAGCATGGAACCAGACTTGTATATAGTTGGGACTCGAGTCCTCTCGAGTCCTACCTTTCCTAGTTCTTCAGCAATCAACTTCGTGACTACCCTCACCGGTACTTTCAGCTATCCTAAGTGACGACTACTCTACGACTCTTGTTGAGGCCTTGACTGATCACCAAGACCTTTGAAGATCTACGATCTATTCGACCAGGACCACGGAACGACTGTTACTACTCTCAATCCCTGACTTACTGTTAACACAAACCCACTGTCAGTTAGCTGGCCGTAACATAATACTTAAACTATTAAAGTCGAATCGTTAAAGTATTGCTTTTATATACTTAGCTTAGGAAACGAAAATCTTACTAGTAGCTCTATCGCGTTCAATCTAGAAACCGAGAAAATCGGTAGCCTTGCCGAGGTTTTTAAGAGAACAAACCTTCTCGAGGAGACGACAAACTTCTATTATAACTTACTTATTAGGAGTAGCGATAGCGTTATCGTCGACGTATATAAGAACGTATGCTTTAATCTTATAGTTAACGAAGAGATAAACCTCCTTATTAATAGTAGTAAAGCTAATTCGTTCTATTTTACCCTTAATAAGTCGAAACTACTAAAGTAGTGATTTTCTTAAGCTATAGAGTGCTTTATATAGTAACTATACCTTATTATCTTTAGTAGCATAGCTAGCAGGAGGCCGGACGTATACCTTAACCCCTTCTAGAATCGAGGCGGCTAGGAAGGTAGTATTGAAATTATATACTTCGTATTCGAGATCGAGAAGTATAATAACTACGAAGAAGAGTCGGGTAGCGGTAGCAGAGGCAACTATAGTATAAACCTCTTATAATAACTAGTTACCTTTCTCGTAGTTTTTATAAACTATATATCAAGCCTTATAACGTACGATTTCGTTATTTTTATTAGTTTTGATATTATATACCTACTTGCTAGGCAGGACTTTAGCATTACGTAGTAGGTAAACGACTTCGTAAACCCCCTTTTCTATAAATTAAGCTATCTCTCGTTCAAAGGCTTATTCCTACTAGGGCTACTATAGGCTCTTCTACGCCTTACGGTAGGACTTCGGGATTACTACGCTGTTAAGTAGGACTTTCGAAAGGGTAGTAGTAGAAAGCATGCTAAGAGAAAATTAATAAGAAGTTAGTAAAGCTAGAATATTAGTAGATAGGAAGGTCTTTTTAGCATAAGAGCGTATGCTACTAGCGGCTCGGTAGTAACCGGGTGGTCGCTAGGCTAAGGCGTAGCAAGGTCGAGAAGACTCTACCGGTTAACTTATTACTTCCTTAACAATCGTAGAGAGGGAATTAGGGTCTTAGTAATTAGTTTCTATTATTTCTACGGAAGCGATAAATTCGTTATTATTTAATTCGTTAGTAATACTATTATAAGGTATAGTAGTAGTCTCTAATAGGTTTTCTAGTAGCGGAGATATAAGATATGTATTAGTAGGTGCTATCGCTTTTTTAACGATAGTCTTATCTAGTTTAGGATTACTAGTTACGGGTTTTTTACTTTTAATAAGCTTCTAATAGATAGTATACTAGATAATAATATCTAGTTTAATAAACGCAGTATTATGTTTAATTTTATTAATATTAGGTATGCTAGTAGTTAGAGGCAATACTATCTTATACGGTTCCTTACGAAATCGAATATCTTTATAGTAAATAACCTCCTTTCGATTAGGCAGGTAAACGTAGTAAATATAGCTACGAAGAGAACTATAACCGACGAGGAATCCCTTGATTACTCATGGTTTTATCTTAGCAAAGCGTATAAGGCGTCGAGGGCCCTTCTTATATACGTAGGTAGCATAGCTAAACGTTCGGAGATGTTTAATATAGGGGGCCTCACGTTTAGTAGCTAAGTTTAGCTTTCTCGCTATGATCTCGTAAAGGCTTAAGTTACCCTTAGAGGGTATAGGCAAGAGGTTAAGAATCTAAGTTACCGAATCGATACTATAATCCTATAGTTCCTCTAGAAGGGATATGTTAATCAGCTATATCTAGGCGCCTTCGACGATAGTACGACTAGCATGCTTAATAATACCGTTTATAGAAGGCGTATAGGTAATAGTCGTGTTATAGTAAGTACCTTCGAAGTAGGGGTTATTAAAAACCTTGATTAGCTCGGGAGCATTATTAGAAACCTAAACCTTAGGCTTAAGGCTAGTAAGACTATAGAATTTAGTATCCTATTTCTTAATAGCTGCTAAGATAGTAGCAAACTTATAGTTAGGTAGAAAAACAACCTAGTAGTAACTACTATACTTATCTATAAGGTATAAAACCTAACGGTTCCCTTTTATTAATAAGGGAAGAATACTAACGAGATTAAGGTAAATTTTATTACTAATACTTATAAGTAGAAGTAGTTAGTCTCGACTAATCCGTTTAGTAGATTTACTAAGATAGCAAGACTTATAGAAGAAAGCGTTAATTTCTAACGTTATAAACCGAATGCTAATACGGCGGCAAGCCTTTATAATACGTAATAGGTAGGCGTAAACTAGCCGGCGGTATATTAGTTTAAGAGACGGTTGCTAGGTAGCTTAGAAGGCGGCGAGGCTGATAGCAATATCTCGAAGTACGTAATTTCTAGTATTATAAGTCTTAACGACGTAGACGTTAGAAACCTAATAAACTTTAGCAAGGGAAGTACGTTATATTACGTATATAAGGCTTAAGGTCTGCTAATTATATTCTATGTAATTACGACAAAGTTTTCTAAGGCTTAGTAAGTTAGCTAGGCTAGAAGGGTTATACTTAACGTTATAAAGTATCTAATCGTAAATAACGTTAGGGTTAGTAGGGTCTTAGGTTTGGAAGAAGACGGTGCCTATGCTAAGTAACTAGACTAAGGCGCCGGAAGTAGAAGTAGAAGGTGTTAAATCGCTTTTTTTAACGTACTTAACGAAATATCGCAAGTTGTTAAAAGTTAAAGTAGTATAACTAGAATCGAGAACGATATCGTCTCGGGTAATAAGGTTATCGCAGGCAGTAGTAAAAACTACTAGGCTAGTAATAGAAGCAAGGGCAGACTAACCTAAGATAGTAGGTAACGCTTTGATAATAGTCTAGCAGGTGCTATTAATAGAAGTAGGCTAATCCTAGCGGTAGCGATCGCTATATATATACTTTCTTACTTTTTTAATTAACTTATCCCGGTTAACGTAGTATAGAGGGATAAGATTAGGGTAGGTAATATAGTACTTCGTAGTCTCGTAATTATAGTTATAATAGTTATACTTCTTCTTTTCCTTAGAGGTAGTAATAGTAAAGGTAACGGTAGTAGTAACGGCTAGAAAGGCAAGACCCCTATTGCTAGCAGACTTGCCTCTAGGTATATTGCGAATAGTAGCATAACTATGCTTTTAATCTTTGTCTTAGGTAAGTATATAAATCGTATTAGCTACCTTATTCTACGTAGGATAGGTAGCGCCTTTCGATATAAAATGCTTATACGTATCGGGAAGTCGGTCCTTAAAGAAGTTAAGGAGGAAAATAGCGAGGAAGGAGTCTAGCAGACGACCGTAAATAGTCTTAATATGCTTTCTAAGGTAGTAATAGCGATTAAGGGTATCGTAAAGAGTCTTATAATCGTTAGTAGTAGTCTTAGCAAACTTGTTAACAAGGGCAGCTATAGCGTCTTATAAGATTCTCGGAATATGCTTCTTAAGCGCTTGCTATAATTTATAAAGGTTTCTATCGTTAACCTAACTGTTACGACCCGTAAACAAGGATAACAGCTGAAAGACCCACTTGGACGTCGGGCGGCTGTAACAGGACATTTGTACTGCAGGATCACGGGAACAACAGGGACTCACTCGGGAACGGAAGAACTATGGTGCAAGTCACGTGACGATAAGATAAGAGATTAGATCCGTACGCCAAGAATACGGAGTCCGTCCTTGGCACATACGGGATCCGTATGAACGAGGAACGGACCCCGTCAGGATCAGGAACGGTAAAACAAACAAAGGGTACTGTTCGGACTTGTATATAGTATGACCTGAGCTCGACTCATAGTCAGACTTCCATAGCTCTTCAGCAATCAACTTTGTATTCATCCTCAGGATACTTTCAGCTTACCTTCACTGCGAATACTTGTTGAGCCTAAGATTGATCACCTTAGCCTCTGACTACCGATCTACGACACAGCCTACGACCTACGAACCAGACTTACGACACGACAATACTGTTTACTAGCGTCAATCCCCAACTTCTGTTAGCAGACCCTACTGTCGGATAGCTGACCGTAACACTAACCTGCTATGTAAAGTCTATTAAGAACCGATTCGCTAGCGTTTATAAGGAGACTATACGTAACGTTACGTTTCTTTCTCTATTCCTCTATAGCGATAGGGTTAGTAAGGCGAGGGATGTTAGTCTCGAGGAATATCTCGAAGTCGTATCCTCGCAGGGTCGCTATAACAAGCATACGCTATGTGTTCTAGTTGGATTTACCTTTCAGGCGGGGGAGAGGCGTGAAGACGGTCTTGAAGTCGTTTTGAGACATCTTGAAAGTGAGGGTATCATAACAGTGTGGGATAGACTTATGGTCGTACCTCGATTATAGGCGTTTCTCCGAGGCTGTAGCTTTGGAGGCGTGTCTGTACGTTAGATGGCTTACTTTCGCTGCTACCTACGCGTGCTGTTAGAAAGGGAAAGTATTGATAAGTAAATAGTATTGAAGAAGTATGAATGTTGTATAGGAGGGAGAATCTCTTGCGTAAGAACACGAGAAATAGGTGGAATTGTAAGATCCGACCGTAGAAATATAGTGAATCGAAGGGAAGAATGAATACTCGTAGAAGATACGAGAAACTGATAGGCTGGTTTGAAAAACCGAAGCTGAAATAGTTAAATTCTCGTGAGAACGAGGAAATCGAAGTAAAAGTATGGTTATAGTTGTAGTATGGTTGTGACTGAAAAGTCTGTTGTTGTGGTGGAATTCCGTGGTGTTCGTGAAAACCAGTGGGTTGTAGTGGTCGGTCGCGTGCCACGTGATATTCGTGCGCGCCAGGCAGCCAATATCGCGTCAGAAAGTGAAATTCGTCAGCGAAGAGGAAAGAAAGCGAGAAAATCGCATAGAAAGGTAAATAAAGCGAATAAAATCGCAAAAATTCGTAAATCAATAGAAAATTGACAGACGAGTAGAATAATGGGTAAAACGACGTTATTCCGAAAGAATAACGCTGGGCTCATAACCTGTGGGCGAGAACCGGCACAGAACGCTCAGAATGGGAAAAGTGGTGTTGTTGGTTGGAAGAACTAACTAACTGGCTAGAGGGCTGTGGAGGCTGGCTAAGACCAGTGGTGGCGGCCGTCAGCCCACGTGACGGGCCGGCGAGGCCTGCCACCCACACTTAGCGACCAATGGGGGAGAAATGGAAGTGGGTACAAAAGTCGGTAGTATGCTCGTTATGGCAACAGGATTCCGATGAGCCATTCTAGGCGATACTATAAAAATATCAATCAAGGCTCCAACTGGTTACGCTATTTCAAATAACCTAGTTTTGAGTTGATATTTCATATATTTGCCTTTATCTGTTCCTTGGCTTTGGACCCCGCCATGTTCAGTCTCATTCCTTCACTTCGTGATGGTGCGATATTAATCTATTCAACCCTACCTCCACTGAATAGAATGGTCCTATATATAACCAACTGAATGTGCTGATCAGTAAGTTGCCATCATGGAACGTTCTTCGCAGAGTTCACACAACCCCGTTCAAAATGGCTATGTCTTTCCTCCGTCATGCGACACTTGTTGCGGTGTTTGCCAGTTCAACTTTCGCCCAAGTTTTGCCTAAATGCGATCCTGTTGAAGGTAAGGTTATCTCTCATGCGTCTTCTTGCCAGGTGCTTTATTCTTTGCCTTCAGCCAACTTTGACATTGATGTTGCGATTCAATCAGTCTGCTTCATGACTACATTCACTGACCAAAACTCCAGATTCTTGCACCACCGTCACTGGCCTGGCTCAGTCTGCCTACTCGGTCGACTTTACAAAGGGGTCTGACTTGAATAACTGGCGCATTGTCAGCGGCAATGTCTCATACACCTCTGCTGGTGCCGAGTTTACTATCAATAAGCAGGGTGACGGACCCGGCCTTGAAACGCCCTGGTTCTTTTTGTTCGGTCGTTTGGAAGTGAAACTGAAGGCGGCTTCTGGCGTTGGAATTGCGTCCACAGTAACTCTTGAGTCCGACGATTTCGACGAGGTTACCTGGGAATGGCTTGGTGGCAAGACCTCAGAGGTTTTGACTAGCTACTCCGCGAACAAGGATGCCAACGCAGCTCACTCCGTCTCCGCACCCCAGAGCACGTCCCACACTTATGCTATCGATTGGTCCAAGGAGGCTATTTCGTGGTTCATTGACGGCGCGCTTATCCGCACCGTTAATGCTGCAGACGTTTCCCGGGGAGGGAGCTTCCCGCAGACGCCGATGAGGGTGAGCCTTGATATCTGGGCCCCCGGTGACCCGAGGAACAGTCAGGGAAGCATTGACTTCGCTGGCGGCGTCGTAGACTACAAAAAGGGGCCATTTACGTTCACGGTCGAGTCTGTGTCGGTTACCAACGCAAACCCGGCGGCCTCGTATACGTACGGTGATCAATAGGGACACGAAGGCGTCCGGCCTGGCTCTTCTAGCAACAACGGAACTCAGCCAGACGCCAATAACACCACGAGCGTAAAGAATGCCGCTAGTTCTTCCAAAGGAACTTTTAGACACGGCTTATTATGTGGCATTATATTTGTATTATTAGTATGAAAGAAAGAGGGGGGGACGAGTGGCTGGTGTATTTTCGGGTTTGCCGTGCTCTTGATGTCTTCCTTGGAATTTCAGAGGTACATGGATTGCATTCAACATGTAGACCTTTTAGAAGGCTTAAGTCATAATAACCTGACAGCCACAAACAGTGTCTCTCTTGGTACTTCTAGTTAGGTAGATGATATAACCATGTGAGACTTATCCTTTCGAAGCCAGTTTCCACGAACTGTAACATATTGTCATTCTGAATAGGAAACACAATGACGATGCAGCTACTCAGGTTCTATAGCTCGGAAAGCAGGTCACGGCAGTGGTCCAAGTTTGAAGTTCTGAGGGTATTAAAGGATGATTGAGAAGGCTTCAGCCTAAAATTTACATTGTTGGAGCTTAACTCGGTCAAGTAATCTCGTGGTTATCACAGTTGTTCAATTGTAGTGAGGTTTGGACTTGCTCTTGAGCAGGTAAGTTCCCGTTAACACGACTCATTCAGTCGCTCAGATGCAAACGAATCCCCCGCCCCCAAACTTCATTAAGGTTGCCTGAATACGGCGAGTCAAATGATTCAGACATGTAAATACTTTATGGCTTCCCATATACGACGTATTTCATACTCGGCTTTCAAGCGCTTGTCACATGAATCCTGCTTGTAAGTTCATGCAAGGGCAGGGGCCCAGCGGTCTGTCTTCTAAACGTTACAGGTAGCCTAGGTGGATTTATATCCCACTTCACCTTTGACTTCGAACCTCTTTATTTCTATGTTTCAATATTGTGGTGACCGACGTCAGGCACGGGCGGCATCAACTAGGAACAAAACGGCTTGTATTCTCTAAGTGAGCGAGCGGAGCGAGGGACGCTTAAGAATACGGTCGCCGGAGCGAGGTCATGTGACCTCGCGGCCGAGACGCGGCAGAGTGGGTCCGGAGGCCCGGAGCCATCACGACAAATATTTATGCGGGTATTACCAGTAATAGCCACTCATTTTGTGTTGGAATCCTTTTTATCTACAGATTTCTTTTTTTGAATATCATAAAATAGGTTACACCCCCACAAGACGACGTGGGCACTAGACAACTATAGCATGCTGTGATCCAAAAAAGGTGAATTGACTCGATGATGGATTCCTTTAAACCCTTTCTTCGAGCGCGCGAAGGAGTTTAATAACTACGGGTTTATGACATCTATAGGTGTTGTGAGTTTCACAAAATGTTGTCCTAACTGATCAACAATTGGAAAGTGTTCCTTTGAACCACATGAACCCTGTAAACTCTCCTACAGCCTCCAAGGGTACATTCTATTTCAAGCAAGCACAGCACTCGTGTGTGCCTTATTCCAAGCATTCCTGCCACCTCTGCGGAGTCGCGCTATGTGAGTCTTCCCTGTATCCTTGTGACCCGAGGTCGAGTTGTTCACAAAAAAGCTTCAGTCGGCGTTTTCTGTGACGATGAACGAGCGTCAATGGCAACATACTTCGCTGCGTGGCAAACTGCCCAACACTGTAGTGGGCCATATTGCTGTTGTTGCAACTCTGCCACGCATGCGCTTTTAGTACTCAGTGGAGAGAATGCTACCTAGAATGAAGTCTAATTCGTCGCACAATGAGGGAAGCATAAAGGAGAATTGATAGGGTTAATGAAAGCAAACAACCCTGTGGTCTTCTCCTGCCAAAATTGTAATAAGCGGCACTGTTAAGTTACAAGTCCTTGACCGCGGGGATTTGGATAAAAATATTAAGTCTGAAGTAGCAGGACTGTTTCAAAAGAAAAAAACAGTGCTGAAGACGCATGCCCTTGTTGTGGTTGTACATGTTGAGGTGGATCGGTGAGTTCTGGGAAGCTTTCGATGTGATGCGTGCTGATGGTGGGTTGAATTGTCCACTTAAACGAAATTTTTTAAATGTATTGACAGGATGTACGTTGTGCAGAAGATGACATTGAAGAAGAGGAAGCAAAGGTCTTTTTGAGAGTAGCGACGCGAATGGTACTTTGCTGGTCAAGTCGACGAACCAAAGGCGTAATAAGGTCTTTTACATCCAGAAACTTGCTGGAGCCGGAATACAAGAGGGTGCGATGATCGAGCATGTTAACGAAGAGATTGAATGCACTTTGTCACCTCAAGAAACATCAGTTTGGCTCCATTTAAAGAGCTACAAGCGGAGGCCGCCAAAAGAGGAAATCAAAAAGTGACTTCCTAGGAAGTCATTGACTGCCCATGGCCCTCCCTGATGTAGAAGCTACAGAAGGGATGGTAGAGTGAACAGTGGTGGAACAGGGCATGGCGTGAAAAACGAGTACCGTGAGGCAGGAGGTACAAATGAATCCATTGTAGGCCCACATGCTTCCAAATACTGGAAAACCCATTGGACAAAAATGTGGCTTTGTCAGAATATGATTGGCTAACAATCCACATGCGATGTACCTACTAACTTACAGCAATCGATGAAATACTAACACAAGAATTTCCTAAAATGGAAAATCTTCAACTATCTTGCCTGCAAAATCACGCTTGGTCGCTAAAAAAGTGCCCTCTCCTTCTAGTTCACTTCGGCTGAGCGATTATTTACTGTGGTTTGACTAGTACGATGATCATAAATGCTGTTACTAACTGGTGGTGTTTTGGTCTGAAGAATGTTATCTCTTGTGTGAAACGATCTTGAGATTACCCAGGCCTCATTCTTGCTTGAATTGGGCAGGGATGAGCTGTTAGCACATAACTTCCTCCTATTATCTAGATAACTCAGCAGCTGCTTTGTAAATGATCGCTATACACGGTATGCCCTAAAAGGCCTCGAAATAGACGTACGCGAGGGACGAAATAAAATAGACATTACCAGAAGGTTCTGATATGTGATAGTAAGGAAACCTGCAGGCTACTTCAACACCGCCTTAAACTCGTGGCGAGGAGCACATCACGGAAGTTTCTTGATGTCTTGCAGAATACTGATACCTATTTACAAAGATTTACAGTTGCCCTTCTCTGTACCGTCATCGGGTTTTACCGCGGATTAAATCATGTAATTGTAGTAATTGTAACAATCTAGCCAGCGACCCGTTTCCTGCTCAGCTTTTCTTGCTTGCCGCGTCACGCTTAGGAACGACCGGCTCAGTCAACTCTGCTAGCTCCACTACCTTGGCAAAAAAAACCGAAACCGTTGCTTACTGGCTTCAAGAGAATCGAATCAAAGCTGCCTTTTACCAAACATGCCAGTCTAGTTGAAGTTGTTGTAGTAATCTGTATGAGTAAACCCCATCTTTTACCAAATCCTTATGCGTCTCGGGTCGTGACTCTCTAGTGTTTTAATTTCGTGCCGGCGACAGCACAGTCGAGCTCTAGGAGAAGACAAATTAGTTATTGCGTTCGATATGAAAGGGCCATGACCTCAACCTTGTTTAACTTGAAAACTTGGCCTTTTGACCACTTGTGACATCTTCCATTCGGTTCAATGTAGACTTCTAGCTCCCCAGGAGGGCAAGGCGACCGCTGGCGCGCAAGGCATTGTTCTTGGACCTTGGTGATCACTTGTAAGCCTAATATGCCTTTATCTATGTCAATATCCGATAATGTCTCGTTCTGTTGCATGGCAGTAAGGTCAAAGATGCTGTTAACGTACCAGAAGATTTAGACAGTCGAGTGAAGTATCGGGCTGCCCCGACCAAAATACTCGTACAAACAACCACAGATATAAAAAACACAATGGGGGACGATGGGGCGACAGAATCCAAAGTTGCAGAAACGCTAGACATAATGTTTAACAAAACAAGTGTTTTTGGGAAAACTTGAAGAAGACATAGAAATCTCTTCCTGAGAAACTACAAGAGCCCCTTTTCTTAAATAGGTCATTTTGGCCCCCAAGATCTGACATACTTGCTTCACTGCTTCCAGTGCTTTCTGATAATTGCTTTTTCTCCTTGAGCAGGCCTTCATATAACGGTGTCTGCCTTGCCTGGTCAAAGTGGGAAGTCAATGCAACACCAAGAGGAGGCAACCATAAAATTTGCTTGCTGTGCCGCAGAACTCGCAACACTTTGCAGCCCTTGCGGTCTCAAGTTGGAGGATGCAATTACCAATGGTTGTGTTGGGCCAATAGCAACTCTTCGCTCGCTCCGATACTCCGCTTGTTGGCGTAAGAGTTATGACTACCCATGAAAGCTGAAAACATGCTTGTTAAAGGGGGCCTTAGGCAAGTAAGTCAAGTGCTAGCTGCTCTTCACTTCTCTGTGTTTTTCACTTTTCCCTCTGGTTCAGTTTCTTTCCCATCAGAGTGCTTCCCATCAATACCATTGCTCAAAACGATGTCATCCACGAACCCATCAGACATTCCTCCCATATCGGCTCTACGAGAAGCACTCGATTATGGCGACGTTTCGTTGCCGCGATGTAAGGCCTTCTACGACAGCTGTCGATACTTTCAAAGTTCATTCATAAGTCGTCAAGGTTGGGAAGCAAGTAGTCTTTTTGACTGGAAGTCAAGGGAACACCAAGCTGCCCTTAGTGAAATGACTCGTGCCTACCTCGACACTGGCGGGAATGGACGAGTATTTTGGCCAGACAACGAGACAACAAGTCGTTCCAACAAATTAAAGTATTCTGTCAACCAGGCTTTGTAAGTCAAACCGTTGTCGTTGGTGATGTCTCGGTGCTGATTATCTCGCAGGATCAGGCGAGTCATGCGGCAGCTTTTCTGGCGACTGAACCTTCAGCAACATCGCAACGCCAAGTACAGGAAAAACAAAAAAACAACAAACGAACCCTCAAGGAATGGGAGGGGCCTTAGCCACGATAATCCCATAGACCTGGATCTTGTAGTCGATGAATCATCTAATCGAAGGGCAGCTGATACTCCCAACACCCCGAGGTACGAATTGCTACGGCACAGTCTTCCCTCAAGAACACTTGATCGCTCACATGTACAATTACTAGGTCAGAAACAGTTCCCGGCTTCGCTAATCGGCTGGAAAATGACAACGCCAATACTCTAGGCCCTGCCAGTTCCATGAGGCAAGGCAGCAAAGATCTTTATCGTGTGCCCGACAGCCCCGATTTAGGGACTCATGTTCCTACTGTTAGTAACTAAACTTTTTTTCTCATCCTGTCCAAGTCAAGTGTACGGCACTAACAACTCAACTAGAATCAGCCAATATTTGGGCTCATGTCTTCCGGTCCCCGAAACAACGACACCCGCCGATTTGTGCCCTACACGGATGCAGAAATGGAGCCCCCCGCCAACCGCACCGTTGCTGAAGACACGGCCCCAGCTGATACAATGTCGTCAGTCAAACGCGGTAAGAGACGTGCTGTATATCAGATGAGCCGATCATCGCCCCGTAAAAGGAGGACACGCAGAGACCCGGGATTTGCTACTCAGGAGGAAGTTGACAACGCCTTGCAATCTCCTGAGCGCGCTCCCAGCCCCGCGAACGATGAAAATCACGCAGCGGTTGAGCTCAATACGGCGGCCGGTGAAGGTTCATCCAGAAACACCAACTACGCACAGCGGGACGCTGGAGAGGGTCCATCTACAAACACCGACTATGCACGACATGAACTTCGAGCTACCATTGAAGACGAAGCGGAAGAAGATGATACAAATGCATTCGTTGACGACTCGATCATTCAATTGGAGAACGAAATTTTGCAGTCCGCCAACACGGCCACGAGCAACAACAGCAACATAGCGCCTTTTGCGCAGATGAACCCGACTGAGTCTACGCCCCAAGGCGCAGAAACCAGTGCAGCTGGGGAACAAATGGGTTTGGGATCAGTACCTTCTGGTTCTTCGGCAGTTGGTATTGAAGACCAACAAGCCCAAAATAACCAGCCAATTGTGGACAATAACCCACCTCAGGTGACTCCAAGTAAGAAGAAGCCACAGCTCGAGTTCAACTACAGTGTGATCACCAATTACCCCACTCGCAAAAGCACACCCTGGATCCCCAAGGGAAGCTTCAAGAGCAAGACTCTTTCTGAGCTCTGGAGCGAGTTACCCGTTGACCTCTCTTCGTCACACGTAAAATGCCTCCGTTTTCTAATGGTGGCTCCTGGGACTTGTGCAGAACATTTGGTCTACCCGGAGCAGGAAGATCAATTTAATGTCACTAAGCGGCGACTCGCAAAGTTCATGATCGCCTGCTTGGCGGAGGCAAAGGATGGGAAAACTGTTAATGTAGACATTGAGATCGAGGTGGTGACTGATGCGGACGCCACGGGGGGAGGAATAGACGAGGAAGATCTTGTCTGGTGATTGCGGCAGGGTTTGGGACCGGTTTTCCACACTTGATCGCTTCTCTGGTGGTGATTAAGCTGGCACTAATCTCTGGAAGACTTTGTGTAAGTTACGGGTATGTTGGGTAATTTGTTTCAGCGCGCTGTTCATTTCAAATGTCAGTAATAAAATTGGGCTTTTTCAAGGACGTTCGTGTTTATTATCCAGTCAATTCACCTTTTACGGTTGTGGCTAGCCGTACGGTAACGGTAACATGAGCGTTTGCTACGAATTTCCTCTACATGTAAATGGAATATGGGCGTTGTCAGATACATTTCCGTCCCTGAACTTGTTTTTCATATGAATCGATGCCAGACACAGCAGGTCTGATAGTGGCCTGAAGCACTCCCACAGTGTTGTGTTTAATCTTTGGCAGAAACCACTGGCTGTCGCTACCTGCCATAGATAAGGCCAAACAGTAAACCACTGCAAAAAGACAGTGGATAGCGGGATGGATCAGTGCTGTGCGCACAGGCCCGCTCACAAAGGACAGCGATCGGTTACTGATTGATTCCAGGTCCTATCCTTTTGAAAAACCACTGTAAGAAGAGTAATTAGTCCATTATTCAAGAAAATGGCCGTACTTGGGTTTTCAGGATTGGGCAAAGTACCTGACGGTCGGTTTAAACGCACAAATGATTCAATTGATGCCCTTCCCAATTTACGCAGTTCTTTGCCAGAAAACCACCCAATTTGGATTCTGCCCTGAAGAATTGGCAGCGCACAAAGATGCATCAATACATGGAGAGTTTACCATGGTTTTCGTTGAATTATTTTCGCAACGCATCCGCGGCCATTGGCATTTCATGGAACTGAGCAAACGAGTCCAAAAAAATGATTCAGAGAAGCAATGGTCGCTACACAATGACTTCGACCCGTTTAGGGAAATATACTGAAAGCAAAGTACTCCTCTCCACCCTCGTTTCCTTCCTGAATGATTTCGGTTGTGATAATTCCAAAATATTAACAAAAGCACTACATCAACTAGCAGGACAGCATGATAATACGTATTCTAAAAAAAAAGCCTAGCAACACAGCGATCAGAGCACTGCAAATTAACAGTTAGTATTTGGGTTTCAATGCAAAAAGAAGGGTCTGCACGTGAGTATCTTCAGGTAAGACGGAGAGGTTAACAATGCAAAAAAAAAGAACAGTGCGCGCAATCGCGGACGGGAATTGAGCCCGACGTGGGGGTCGAACCCACAACCTTGAGATTAAGAGTCTCACGCTCTACCGATTGAGCTAGCCGGGCAGATCAGGTGATCTGCCTTGTTGTTGGAAGACGAAGCCAATTTGGCATTTATCAATCTTCCTATCGTGATTTGTTGAGTCCTTTGCTTCACGCTGACCATCAATAGAGCAAGCAGATCAAGCACTTCCAACTTGGAGGACCATCACCTCTTTAGCCACAAACTCCTGGACAAGAAACCTACAAACCATCTTACCTGGTCGTTGACCAATTGGGTATTTAGGAAATTAGACTCTATGCATGTTTCTCGTACACTTCAAGCACGAACACGAAGATACCAGACGACACAACTTAAACTCACGCGATCCGAAGACTCAAAACTGTTACGCAGTGCCCTTGCAGAAAATTTTCGAGATCCAACCCTGGCGCAGTCTCACGAAAACATGACAACTAGAAAGAAGTATGATGCACACGTATCCAATCACCAAACAATTGACTACCCTATCAACAACTTGTCAACGTGACAAGCCCACGTAAACCACAGCATAACTCACCTCACTCCCAAATCCAGAGCCGCATCCCCACAAACTCTCACATCCACACCGTATCCAAACACATCCCAGAACACCACATCACGAAAACAACCGGAGATGCGCCTCCCTCATCCTTCACCAAACTTTACAAATCACCTCCCTCCACAGCCACCCAGACACTCCCTCAATTCTCCAACGTCAGTAAGAGCCAAACTGCAAGGAACGTCCGTCCAAGTCCACACCAACTTGGCTAACCCAACCGCGTAATTCACAAAGCAATGGCCATCAAGTTTCACTTGAACCCGTTTCGCCTCCCAGCAAAACCCAATGCCCCCACACACACAGGCACGACCCGCATCCATCGAAGCGATGCGTAGAAAATCGAATGCCAAGATGGGTTTATTCCCGGGCGGCCAGCGAACATTCGGAACAGACCGATTTTGATGTCTTAGCGAGTCGTCATGTGTGTCCCGTGATGATTTCCCCCAATGCTGCGTGATGAACCTCAATGCATGTCTCGCAGTGAACGTATCTCCTGTGCTTCTGCCGCAACCTAAACTCACACGACCACTCATCAACACACCGAATCGAGTCCATCACAGTCAAAGTCTACACTCCGTAGAGAAATGTTCATTTGAATAAACCACAAATGACCAACCGCACGCTATTCATCATCCCGGGTAAATTTTCTACAAAACACACGTCCAACCCTATCCCACATCATCCAGAACAACCATCCATTCACCAGCATGGTCCGAATCTCAAAACTCCAAACAACGGCTCGACAAGCCGGTCAACGCCCAGGCCCTGCGGCATGTCACGCTCCGCTGTAACAAACCCGCCAGCGCGACCTTGCAGGTGTCAACGCAGCGCAGGGCCCGGCGAGTCCACCCCCCCTGGGGCCTCGACAAGTTTGATCGGCCCGCTCGGACGGTCGGAAAGGTTCCCCCCCCCCCCCCCCCCCCCCCCCCCCCCCCCGTTGTGGAAAATGACGCTGGCAAACATGTTTGGTACACTCATTGCTACTTGCCGAGTCAGTTAAGGACTGCACATCATTAAACGAAACATTCAGAGAAGATCATGCGAGCTTTGCAGACTCAGTGAAGAGATATAAAAAATTATCATTTTTGGATGCCGAGCTGGTCTCGAGTCCATCCCCGGCCTTCCATGGCCAAATTCTAAAACCGCTCAATGCGAAGGGGATGGACTCGGCCGCTACTGTGGTGCGGGTTTTTCGATGCCGGGTCTCTATGCAAATGTCCAACAACCTTTCGACCGTTAAAACCCGCTTTTGAGTGTATGGTGTAAGGACCGTTGGCCACCAATGACGTGTATCCAACGAACCAATTCTCCTTTGTTTCCAACCGTACGCCTATAAAATGAGGAAGAAGAAAAAAGGAGAGAGAGAACGAGTTTTGCCAAAACCAACGTGGACGGATATCCAAAAGCCAAATGCTGTTCAATAAAAATAAAAACGCCGTCTCGTAAGCCGTTGCGGGATAGTGTTGAAAAGTAGTGTTAAAACTATCCTGTAGTGGGACGGTTACGTCCGCTGGTTGACGATCCATCTCTTCTTCTCCTTGGGCGGCTTCTCATCATAGACGGCAGGAGGAGGGCCAGGCATAAAAGATCCGGGACCGGATGCGAGGCCAGCATTGTTAACATTGACACCGGAGCCGGCGATGATACCGCTGGGGCCCTTGTGTGCGTGCTTGCCAAGCTCGTACATGCGGTCCTTTCTCCTGAGATAGCGGCGGCGCCAAATGCAGGCACCAACCCAAATGCCGGCGATGGCAACGACGAGGATGACAAGCATGACCACCCATCTCCAGTGGTTGGAGAGCCTATGAAAGTATTAACACCCGAGCCCAAGAGGGAATATGAAGCTGTCAACGTACCAGTCACCACCGTTGCCGTTGTTGGCACCAGACGAGCCCTTTGATGCGCCTCCCGTGCTGGAAGAAGATTTTGATGATGATGTTTGGGCAGCGCCTCCATCGACGGCATTGCACATGGAGGTAAACCATCCCTGGATGCTGCTGAAACCAGCGGCATCACAGCTGGCATACTCACAGACTCCGGTTGCAGCTGTCTTCCACGGCTGCAGAGCACCGAAGCTGCAGAAACATTTCTCGTAGGTCGCCTCATCGGCGGCGGCGGCAGCTGGGGGAACGCAGCCACCGTTGGCATCGAAGAGGACACCGCACTGCTGAGCGCAAGCCGGCAGCTGCGCAAAGGGCATCAACGTTGTCGTAGGGGAAGCTGCACATTGTCAGAATCTGGCCCACACACGATGGCGAATGGACAAAACTTACACATTGTGACGGCGATGAAGAGGCGTCAAGAAAAGATTGAGAAACGAATGTCCGAGTCGAAAAAAAATAAGAGAGGGAGGCTGAGGCGGGAGGGATGTAGACGTGGCTGCTCACGCACGCTGGCCTAAACAGGACACTGGAATGCGGAGACAATGGAAGCAATAGAACAGAAATATTTCCACCGAATTGCGGTCACCCAGCAATATCCCGCGAGTGACACAAATGCAATATTGAACCACAATCCAGCGCGGTAGGCCTAAATTATTGGCGACGTAGAAATGCGTAACGGTGCCTGGTGAATGGCGGCGTGTGCTGTCGCCCAGAATGCTTTTCGAAAATGGTGCACTGATGGGTCGGTGTGATGCACGGCAGTGTAGTGTTTTCGTCCCAAGTCAGTCGAGTATCGAACAAGGTTCAGCTGCCGTCCCAGCTTTAGAGCCACACAGATTGATTCAAAGCGTAACTTTTTGATCTCGGATGCAAGATGTAGGGAAGCCAAGTTCTCTCGTTTTCCGGGAGGCGGAATTCCGATCGTGTATATGCAGGTCACGCGCGTGGTCTCTCGGGCGGGTTTGTGGTCACGATTTCTGACACGGGAAGAGTTCCAACGGTCGGCGGTTATTCGTCACTAAAGGGGTGTTCGTTCGGCTCGGTCTTCGGGATGGTGGGATCGTGAGAGAAGCGAGATTCTCGTGTCGGGCGGACCCCAAAAGCGTCGTTGGCGGCCTTTGCTTGATCCTTTGTAGCCTTCTTTGGGCGAGCACCGTCCAGGGGCGTAAGTAGGGTCGGTGGGAATGTCGAAGATGATGTCGAGAGTCTTATGCGTCGGCCGATTTGACTGGCGGTGCTGACAGACGATTGCGAGGAGTCGGTGCGCTGTTGGTACCGGTGAAAAACGGACTGGATCTGGTGTCGGCCTTGAACTCCTAGTCCTCCTGGCTCGGTGACAAAGCGAGTGTGCGGAGGGGAAAAGGAAAGCAACAGATCGGAGGCGCCGGATACCTCGGGGAGACGAACGACTTCTGCTAAGTGCTTGGCGGTGGTCGGTGTTGGAGTTGGGTGAGGGAGGAGAAGAGTAATGAGAAACTAGACTAAAGGAAGGGAGGGAAGAAACCAGACAATGATGACTGAATTGATGGGAATCGACAAGTCAAAAAAGCAAGAAATCGCGGCAAGACTGGCGGGCCAAGGAGGGCGATGGATGGGATGGATGGTATGACCACTACTGCCCTGCGGAGAAGAAGGGCAGGTGGATGTACCTTTTGGTGGGAATTGGCGGAAAGCGGTACTTGATCTTCCGCCTTGCAGAAGCGCCAGCAAACGGCTAAACAGCAGATGCATCCACAAATGCCACAGCATAACAACGCACAGCGGGCACTGGCTGACTGAAGCAAGCACGTCGCTGCACGGCACAGGGAAGACCGGGAGGGACGGGGGCATCAGGGGGGGTCTAGTGCGTGGGAGACAGGGGAAGCGCTGCGGGAGCGACAGGCTCAGAGAATCATTCAGCCAGTGGCTAACAGGTAACTGGGTCCGGGGTTCCATTGGATGTCTAGCGATTTCAAGTCCCCTGGATGAGAACCACTAGATCTCAGGCCAGGTTTACGCTACTGGCAACTCGGGGCAAAGCGGGGCGGGAAAGGTACGTACTCTGCTGTTTGTAGAGTGGGAGAGGGATATGGACATGGATTAATTTTCCCTTGATGGACACTGCCTTGTGGTTTCTGTTATCCATCCATAGCTACAAGTATAAACACCCACCTTCACCTAAACTATACAGCGTGCATTACCGTATACTAGTAATACCCGACGTCGTCACTTCTTCGACGGCCGTGTCCCATAATACATGCATACGTGCTACATAGATTGGACGAGCGGGCTGGGGGCTGTCCTCAATCGCTCTAACTGCCGCGCACTACCATCGGTTTGACTGGTTGGCAGCCGCCAGCTAGCAGCCAGCGGAGAGCAGCACAAACCAGGCAGTGCAGCGACGTCAGTGCGGTGCAGAGTTGCCAGCTATCATGTGCCATAGTAGACGAAAGTGCAATAAAAGCAGGCTGGCCGGTCTGACCGAGCACACTAGCACACAACAGACAGGACGGGACAAATCCAGCCATCTCATTCATCTAATGCTTGGCTTCTGACCCGGTCTTGGCTATTGAAGATACCATCGAGGCAGCCCTGCGGCACAGCGCGCTCGCCATCACCTTTTGTCCGCTGCCCAGTCAACAATGTTCAACTTGTCCCGGCAATTGCAATTTGCTGTTGGGGAACCCATAGAGCCATAAGAACAAAGATGTCCGGCGGCTGAGAAAATTGGCTGGATTGGCAAGAGCCACCAAGGTACAAAATGTGCCACATAATATGAGAATCGCAGGCCAGCTGTGCCTTATAAATAACGTGGGCCCCCAACTTTGACGCCAAAGTACACACCATAACGCAAAGTCAGCAAGAGCTGTCCGACCTGTTGGGCGGGCTGCTTCTTGCTCCCGTTTAGAGAACGAATACGGAAGGATGGATTGGTGCAGGGGGGTGGCTGGTGTTGTGGTGGGCCCCGCCTTACTCTTCCTGGTTATTTCTTGCTCCAATAATTCCTGCAGCATTCATTGTGGGAATCTTACTCAGAGTCGGGTCGAGATCAAAGACCCTGCTATTAGTATATGACATGGACAGAGGTAGTACGGGAAGAAAGAAAGAAAAAAAAAAAAAAAAAAAAGGCAACTTCCCTGCGTCTCTTTCCCAGACGCTCGTTTCTGTGTCTCAGCGCCCTGCAGCAGATCCACGAACGAGCGAAAGCTGCAAACACTTTGGGCCATCGTGTTCCACCTTTTGCCTTCATTTACTCAAAATGGCCCCCGTATCCCCCACCACTGCCCCTCGGCCTCCTTGCCGGAACACTGAAACTGAAGCGGAAAGGGGCATCGTCAACTGGGAACTGTGGTTCCATGTGGAGAAGGGGTCAAAAAGAGCAAAATAGCAAGGGCACACATCTCGAGCCAAAACCCGTGTCGTTCGATTCATCTGGATCATGGATCTGCTCCTGCATCTGAGATGTCATGACAGACTGCTTGTGCTGTAGGTAGTACTCCCGTAAGTACCATGTAGTACGCACCGCCACCAACTCCAGCTTCAGCGCTACCATATACTACCATCCTAAGCTGTGAGAGATGACGGCTGGAAAATCTTCCCAGTATTCTAGACCAAACACGCTTGCACAACCTGCCCATCCATTTCGTGCCAGAAACTCTATTTCCGCTCCCAGTTAATTTCCCCCGTCGCAGCGAATGGCTGTCTCTGATTTGCTGACGTCATGCATCCAGCCAGAGGTTGAACGTGCTCATTTCTGCTTTTATGCTTACGCAGTATGCTCCCTTTGCTTTTCCTAGATGCAGGGAACAGTCCATACAAGGATTCCCAGCAGACAAACCCTCTAAATGAAGAATAGGAACGAACCCAACCTTACTACTATCTTATTGTGTACTGACTGCCGTCCCCTGGACTAGCAAAAAGGGAAAGACTAATCGTACTCTAGTAGTATCCGTACCTTCCGAACTTTCTCATCTCGCTTACCTAATACTCTCGAAGACATTGTTCGTGATGAAGATCTGACCCAAACAGAAACAGCGGACCTCCCCTCTAAAGCCAGGGCGGCTATTGATCGCCCACCCAATTCGAAGGAAAAAACAAACATCCTCTCCAAAAATACACTCACTGTTCAGTCAGCTTACGAATATATGTCCCTTGTCAATTTCACCCACCGTCCCCCTCCGTCTTGGCTATGTCCGTTTACCGGACGTCCAAGCCGCACTCCAGCTCTCGGACATTCCAGCTGTTCCGACTCTTCTAGCTAGAAAGAAAAGTCCATGACGTCTCTTCAAGTCCTCCCGTCGTCTTGCCAAGCTGCGCCGTTGCGCTCGGCGCTTTCCCCAGATGCATCCGGATGCCAATGCCGGATATTCACCTAGTAATACGAGCTTGCCTGCTTTCCTTACACATGTCGCCAGTCGGAAAAGGAGCTTTTGCTTTACTTTAACCTGTCTTGAAGCATAGGCGGAATGTGCAACGATGATACTACTTTAGAAAGATGGGGATGAGGGAATTGGCCCCAACAGGCCACTTCATCATGCTGGTCTCCGCTGCTTGAGACGTGGCGCTGCAGCCACGCTAGGCACCATCGTCTCGAGTAGCCTGGATGAGACCGTATTCTCAGCCACCTCAGATCCTCCCTCAGCTCCCCTTCGGACATTTTGGGCTCTCAACGACTGCGCCCACGAGCCACAGTTTCTTTTGAGTGCCAAGCCGTAAACTGCCAAAGTCTCGTATAGATTTTTGGCCGACTCACTTGGCGTTCGTCACCACAGTTCAGGCTGAGTAAGACACTTTCCAGCCCAAGATATGCAAGATTCCGCAGGACGGTTGGCAACACCCAGGCAGCTACAATTGATCGAAAATTTTAGCATTTTCGTTTTCGGTCTCGGGTCTGTGCCATCGGCCTTAGGAAGACGTCCGAATGGGCTCCGGAAACTTCGCGTTGCGGGCCTGATGCCATTGCCGGGCCGCCGCCCCTGCATTCCACCCACTCTGCAACGACAATTAGGTCCATTCTGAAATCTTGTGTTGACTGGAGTAACAGTGTTGTCAACTTACGTAATGGTGCCTTATTCGCACTCCAGAGCCTGAAGATCTTGTTCAAGCCCTACATGATGGTCCCTCCCTGGCATGCCCCTCCCCTGCACATGGCCCTCAGTCGATCTTCTAATCGGTCTACCCTGGAACGCATCATAAACCAGTGGAGGTCAAGATTGGCATGTGATGCCAATCTGTTGTTTTCGAATTTCTTCCCTATTCCCTTCAATCTTCAGCCACGTAGTCCTTTTAGAGTCCTAAAGCTTGTTTTTGTCTTTATCATAAATTTCACATTGCTGGTGAGGGTTGCCAGCCTGTGACCAGCCGAATGACTGCTGTCTCCAGCGGACGGTAGTGTGGGGTCTCGATCTTGTCACAAGAGATCGAACGCTTATCACTTCCCAACACGCAGATGGTGGTCTTGTCACGAGCAGGGGAGGCCTGAAAGCAAGAATTCGGACTTGTATTGCCTGTAAACCCATGTTCCTACAATCAAATTGTTTCGTCAGATGAGACGACGTACTTGGTACGTGAGGAGCGACTGCCAAAGAAAGAGTCCTTTTACGTGAGACGTTTCTCACAGTTGTTGATACTAAGTTAATCGAGTTTTGGTGAGAGCAGAATGCATCCAGCTAATACAGAAGTAAATTATTTGACTCTCGAGAGAATGGAATGAGGCATCGTTACGAGATAATTTAGATTAATCAAATATGAATAACTGAATCAACTTAGATGTATAACTAGGTCAACATCCTTATGGACTCCGAAAACTTTTATTGCTCATGTCTTTTAGTCAACCACTAACCAGGATAGAGTCAAAACAAGAAACTGAACAAGAGCCAAAGTCTATAAGCATAACCACAACATGCGCTCCAGTCTCTCGGTACACTCTTTCACTCATGCTGCTGCGTTCTGGACGTGGCATACGACGCAGCCGCACCTGACCCCTGATCTCCACCCGCGCACCTGGACTTGGAGTCGTCCGCAGGCACCTCAGCAATGGTGTTGAAAGGCTCCTGCCAAGACGGTTCCGTAAGCCAGCGGCCCACGGGGTGGCTTGCTGTTGAGCTTCGGGCACCAGGTGGCTGGCCACGGTCCAGCAAGGGGTCCTGCCACGGTCTATTAACCGGGATTGTGCTCGTGCTTGTGCTTGAGCCATTGTTGCCAGAGGACTTGGTGGGGCCTGTTTGTAGTCAGTATTGATGGGGTGATTGTTAGCTGTCATGTACTTGCCCTTGGACTTCGAGGAGGTTTTAGAAGATGACTTGGTCATCTTGAGTTGGTAATAGCGGAATAACAGCGTAATTCCAGGTATGATATGGAGTGTATGATGTATTGTTTAAGAAGCGGTCGAGAATAAATATCTGTTTCCCAACTGGGAACTATTAGTCTGGCGAGACGATAGAATATGGATAGTCTTATACGAAAGCTTTTCCGCCATGTCTATTTCAATTTGTCACGTTCAGCGATGCTAGACATTACTTGCTAGAGGGCAATCTGCAAATATACTTCCGAGTGGTATCCTCAATGCGCCACCAGTTGCACATGTGCTCTTGAGTTACCCATTAGATTCAGGAACCACGCGTGTGGCAGGTTGCGCGTGGCTTTGTACAGCATTCGCAAGCCCTTCCATAAGTCGGCTCATATACGAACATCCTTTGTTCCTTCCAAGGTTTTGTAACAGACACTGTGGACAATTTCAAGTCCTTGATGCCAAATCTGAAAAGGTGGCCAACGCGGCTAGAGTTAGACCTAAAGGCTTGTGCGAGGCAGCCCCTACTCGGCTACAAAGTACTTTTCTATCAGTTGCTTTAGGCTCAACCCATGTGTCTATGGATATTGTATGCCCACATGCAAATACCTTGTGGGACGTTTACCACGTTGAAAAGTCTTGGAGTAACTGCTACCAACCTTCTCCGAGGATGGCGGAACTCAGTTGTGTATCACGTTTCAACAACAATTACACGTACCCGAGACACCCAGAAGTCTGGCAGAAAGCTCCGATACCTTCTGAGGCACATGAAATTTAACACCAAGTCGGTGCAATACGGACATAAACTCGAGAATGAGCATCAAGTAATCGCTAATGGGGCCGACCTTACCCAATACGGCTACAAACATATCCCTGCATTCTTGGAAGCAGTGCAAAGGGCGATTGCATCGATTGTACATCGCATAAGAGGCTGGCAGCCCTCAACGACAAGTTGACCTTCCGAGATGAACATGTCGATGAAGGCTACTTACAGCTTATCAGACAATCAAAATGCCGGTCCGATGAAGAGAATTGCTATGAAGGTTGGATACATAATAATTTATTCTGAACGGTTTGAAAACAGTAAAAGCCCCTGAAGATCATTCATACGTGGTTGAAAGGACCCTCGCTGACTGATGGCTGACATGTCCAAGGTGGGTGTCACGACATGACCTTATTAATCAATATCAGACTTGAAAGGCATCAACTACCAGCAAATGCGACGTGTCAAAGTTCGATGGCACATTGAGCCTCATTTATTAGCTGATGCGCGAGTTTACACCTTGCAGGATGTAACTTGGAGGCACCGTGGCACATGTTGTGCCGCTCAACCCTTCAACAGATAGAAAGAGAAGCTTGAGTCTTTGGAGGGTTGACCTCCTCTCGCATAGATGGATATCAAGTGGTGTGCATTGAGAAGTTAATACATTAACTAATACGTACTTCAGCTTGCTTCAAGACACATATCACCTCCCTTATTTCGGATATCCCAGGCTTTACCTGACTGAGACATTGCCTGCTGTACACCTTGTGAGGGTATCACAAGCTGGTAGATACGCAGTATGATCGACCGTCAGACCAATTTTCATGGTTATCATTCCGGCGAATAGAAGAATTCCATACCGTAGAAAAGATGCAAGTCTTGATTGCCGGTTTTCCCCTTCAAATGAAACCCCCCGATGAGAAAGCCGTTCAGTTGGTGATTTCCACGTGTTGTGCTACCAGCAACACATGGCATAAACAGAGTGGCGCTCATAGAGTAACATAATCAAAAGCTGAGAAATTACAAGAAACTTAGGATCATGGTACTTTTGCTTCTACTTGAAAGCTCTTTCCGACTTTAAAAGTTTTGATGGTACCCGTTGGGGTCGGACGGAGCTGAATAAATAAAAGTCGCGAAAAGACCTAGCTGCGTTGTCAGACGAATATTTCACTATGTAGGCACGCAATATTGTTTTGACTTGAAGTTAATCCCCTTGAACTCCGTGTGTACTGAACCGTCTCCCTCAAATAGCAGCACCATCAGTCTAACCCTCCTAAAGGGTATCTAAATTCAACAAAGGGTATTCGTGTTATTTTGTCACATTCTGAAATAATAAAAATGATAATTTCTGTCACACTGACACTGGTAGTGCGACTGTCATAGGATAACCTCGTGTTCTGAGACAGAAAACGACACAGTGATGGGCTCCTGGGCCTGCCATGAGACCTGTCGTTTACCCCAGCCATGTGGTGAGACTATCTGGCAATGTTGCCAGAAGGAACGCTGCATGTGATTACATAGTGGCCGACAGGGTGCGCCAAAGTCGACAGAAGAAAAAACTGAAACACATAAACAGGGGATAACATGGACAAAACATGCACCAAACCATTCAAACCCGGAAGACTGGATGAGGCGGCAAGATCGACAGTCCTCGGATTTCTCTAGACCTATGAGCACGCAACAAGCTTGTTGAGAGTAAGCCGGAGTGCCAAATCTTGAACTTGTTGGTGTTTTGTGTCGTTGCATACATGATGAGGTTGGCCAGGCTACGTGACGGCGAAGAGGCTGTTCAAAAAGGATGGTTGGACGGGGGCTGGATTGGTTCACTATGAAAGAAACAGTGTAGAATAATCAAGGAACGAGAAGGGTGTGTTGGAAAGCTCCATGTTAACTCATTTTTTGGTCATCACGGACCGTTTAGCATCGTCGCCGTTGGCTTGTTCTTTGACCTATCATGGCATGGACGTGAATTCAAAAAGATTCAGCAACTTGGATAAAACATAAAAGACGAGCATAGCGTTGATACTACATGGTCCATGATCACATCATATATCTTCTTGAGGAGGCAAAAGGGGCTACAAAGATCCCACTCGACTGCGGCTTACTATGACATATCTTGGTAAAGATGGTTCCCAACAGCACGGATGCAAGTAATTTCAGTTTTCCTTCTTGAATCAACACATTGGACGCGACTAGGGCTTCCATGCGGAGAAAGCAATATCCGTCAAGGGCCTCGCCCTGTGGCATGGCGTCCGCCATGTCTTTGCAGCTGAAGTTCCTGGCCCCCAATCGGCATACCGTGCTTTCTGCCCAAAGTACTGAATATTAGGGGGAACTGTACCAAAATATGGTCAATAAATGCCCATCAGGGGGGCAGGCTTTAGGAAGCAAGGTCCATCATCATTTATGAAATCTTAAAGTGAGGCCATACTGGATACAATTAGAAGAGGATGAATTAGCAGAGAGCTTCGAGGACAGCGGTTGAGTGATGGGCACAGTGATCCGGGTGCAAGACCAATGTGGACATGATTTATGAAAAGACATTGAAACTTTCTGTTGGTCTTCTTAACGAAACCCCTCCGTCAGCCTCTGTTAGCCTCCGTCATCCTGGCCCAAAGAGTCAAATGAAGTAGAATCGATGATGCCAGTTGATTATTGCGACATCGACCCATCATAGATAGTGCTCAAGTTAAGCTATTTAATCTAGTCATGGCCCGCAATAAGGGGCTAGCCTGCTAAGATGTAGAACGTGGGGGGAGACTGTCGTGAGGTTGGATGACGATCCTAATGCCTGCAAGAGAAGGGAGTATGAGTCCAGGCGTAAGTATCAAAGCGTCTCTGGGTGAGCGGTATGTCCACATAGTACACTAGTGAATGCGTATTTCTTGGCAGTCGTGATTGGCATCGATGAAAGGTTCCCAGCAATAATATGTTGACGGTAAATACACGTATTCAAGACTTAAGTCAAAACCTTTGGGCATTCCCAAGTGTATGAATAGAAATGGTACGAGATCTGATAACATCCAGGATGCGGAAAAGAAGCATTTGCGAATTAGCAGTATGAAGCCCGAAGCGAATGTTAGCTGTGCTTGCGGGACTGCTCATATGAGATGAGCCATGCCAAGTGCACATGGAAAACAACCAGAACAATCTCGTATTTGGCCCCCACCAGGGTAAAATTCTTTCACAAGTACAACGAGCTGATGTCTCTCTGTTTCGTGGAAGACGTAGGAAACATTTGCGTCGTCGTCCTTCTCGCAATTCGCCTGAAAAAAATGCCGCTTGTCAAAGGCACGGAAACCGCTCTTCCCGAACGAGAAAGTTCCCAGACGGGAAAGGTCAACATGCATCTGCCTCTTTCAATCTATAGACGGGTAATCTGATGGATCTGGAGCCCCACAAAGCCCGGATACCATCGATACCTTACTTCTGTCGGGCCGTTTTTCAAGGGTCTTTGTCCAGCACCTTTGACCGCTCATTGGATATTTTAAAGACTAGACATTCAAGTGGCTTGACCATCCAGCTTACTTTAAACAGACTGGCCTGTGAAGATCCCGAGTTTTAGACTACAAGAAACGGCCAAGAGAAGCTATGTCAGTCTTCTCATTGGACTGTCAATCGTCTAGCGCGACTGACTGCTCTGTCTAGTTGAAATCGATCTGATCCAAAGTGCCAGGGCACGGATGAACGCCATTCTGATCGACAAAACAAAAAAGCAATCACGAAAGTGAAAATGAGTCGTAATTAATTCCAAACGTTTTTCTAGCTGTGCTTTGTAAAATGCGCTGGCCACGACCAAAAGGCGCCACATGGGCGAGGGGAAGGCAACCCGATACTTGGCCGGCACCCCATGCTTCGCTATTCTGCCCAAGCTGTGCGGCAGTAATGCATTGGTACCACTCTGCCAAGCGGGTTATCGTTTGGTTGGATCTAGCGATTCTAAATGGTCGATCAACATGTCTTTCTGTGCCGACACCGTTGACCCATCATGCTTTTTTCTTGGTGGCTGATCGGTTCTTTCCTCATTCATGTCTATCCTTCCGGTTCTTCACATATGTTCGCTCGTATAAACCTCTCATTTTGCCACTGTCTTAATAAAAAGGATATACATCTCAATCCAGGAAACAGAGGGAAACAGGAAACGTTCTTCTCTCTTTGTACTGCTCAACCTAGCCAACCTTCACCATGGACCCAGCAGTGTTGGCGAGCTTCACGATCTACAACCTTCCGTCCAGCCCGCCAAGATTTGACCAGATAGGCCGATTCTATATCGCCTTTTGTGCAACATGGACGGCTCTCGTTATTGCTGGAATGGTCTTTTGCTGGGTAAACCGCAACAGTCCAGTCCTCAAATGGCGTGGCCTGCCCTTGTCGTTCACCGCCATCACTTGCCTTCACATGTACTGGATACTCGCCCAGATCACTTATCCGGTAGGTGGAACAATGCCTGTTGTTCTAGCATATGACATTCAATATTTCGTCATGGGTACTTGGTTCCCCCTGGGTATTGCTTTGTTCCACGCCTCCAACAGTCGTTTCCTTCATGTTGCGAAGTTGCAAAGGCTGCATTTCACAGGTAACGTGGAGGGAAGCCGGCGGGGCAGGACCGGCTGTGATGGAGCTAAGTCATCTTGGCTATGCCGTCTGAGGAACATGGACTATTCGAAAAGAATCATGATATTCATCGGTTTGGGCATGGTCGCCCAGGTATGTATCACTCTCCAAGGCCTTCCCTAGCCCATAGCTAAATAGGGCCCCCTCAAAACAGGTTCTCTTAACCGTAGGCATGTGGTTTGCTTGTAAGAAGTACCACCCAACATATGGTATCCCTGGAACAGAGATCCGTGGCTCCAACTTGATGGAGCAGATGGAGGACCTGGGTCGGGGATGGGAATGGTGGCCCACTGTGCTCTGGCAAGTCATTTGGACATGGATTGTAAGTTGGGCGGAAAAAAATCCAACTATGACAACCGGAATCTTGCTTATGGTTCGCTATATTAGGTTGCTCCTTCTATGCTCTGGAAGGCATGGTCCATCCGCGACACCATGGGGTGGCGTACTCAGACTGTGGGCTGCTGCTTGTCCAGGTTTGTGACTACCGCTTGCTCTTAGAAATCGTTTCTTAAGCTGATATTTGGCGAAATATTTTTTTAGTCTTCACGCAACCCCGATGTTTCTGGTGGCATCATATGTGCCAGCATTTGCAAAAATCAACCCTTACTTCACCCCTAGTCAATGGTAAGCGTTAACGACTGGAATGAAAGACATTATGCATGCTCTGTGGGAGGGATTCATAGTCATACTAACAAAACTATTTAGGCTTCACCTGTCATCTATGATGTTCGAGATATTCACCATTTTCGTGCCTGCTTTCCAGGTCATTCGTCTTCGAATTCTAAGCAAAAAGGCAGTCGACGCCAACGAAAAATGGGATACACTATCGCAGACTACTACACTCAGACCGGTATCAACAAAGGCCTCGACTTACGGAAACTGCAAACGATCAACGTCTGCGAGCCAGCTAGAGAAAGGCTACGCAATTTATGAAACCGAGTCTGCTGAAGTGGGATCTGAGCCGGACAGCCGTCTTCTGACAATGACGGCTCTGGAACATGCATTGCGTGATAACCAAGGCTCACTTCAAGAATTCTCTGCCCTAAATGACTTCTCTGGAGAGAACATTGCCTTTTTATCACGTGTAGCGGCATGGAAGTCAGTGACTTGGCCAGAGCTATCCGAGATTTCTGAGTGCCAACCGGTCGATGAAGAAGAGAAGCTGAACGCATATAACCAAGCCCTTGACATCTACGCTGATTTCGTCTCCCTTACTCTTGCCGAGTTTCCCCTGAACCTTCCTTCGAATGAGCTGAAGCAACTTGAAGCGGTCTTTGAGAAGCCTGCTCACATTCTTTTCGGCGACAACGCTTCCACAAACCCGGTCACACCATTCGACGACGCCTTCCATGGCTGTAATGCATCAAGGTCAGGGAGTGGACAGGATGTGCGGAGTCAGGTCCGCTATACCGGCGAAATCCCAGCAGGTTTCAACGCCAACGTTTTCGACAGGGCACAAGGTCACATCAAGTATCTTGTTCTGACAAACACCTGGCCCAAGTTCGTCAAGGAGATGCACCAAAGGCGCCGGTCGAGCGATACGGGAAGAAGTGTCAATACAGCTGATTCTCAAAGGTCTCTTTTAAGTAGAGCATCTACCAGCCTGTCGGGTTTCCTTCGCTCGATTTTCTGAACAAAGTCTCTATGGCCAATCGGATACGCTTCTCGCCATCTAATCCTTTCTCTCCTTGAACATCCATTCAGAAGAACAATCTGTCACTCATTCAATTCTTTCATTGCTTCTATTAAATACCCGGGAAACTGTCCCATCGCTAGACACATGTAATCTACAATTTCCATAAATATAAACTTTAATACTCGCTATAGTCGCGTTCACATATCTTCGTGCTACTTGTTCTCACAAGGTTGTATCTCGTTGCGAACAAATCCAAGCTTATTGGGTAAGCAGTTTGAACTTTGTATCTTGTGGTGCACTGTCAAAATCTTGCGTACGGACGTTTGCAGCGTTGGCAAACGCGACAAAGCCATAGAGGTAGTGGTTATTATGAAGCTATCAAAATTCGAAAGATCAACCCAAGATGAGCCCTTCCCGGGAAAATGCTTTGTGCTATGCTTTGAACGTCTGCGTATTCTCATCAAACGGGAGTCCTATCTTTTCGCCCAATTAAAGTCATTTACACGAGATGTGTCACTAACACAATGCAACGGAAAAATAAAAATAACCGACGGGAGAATACATGCATAAACAATCTGCCAACTTATCGGAGCATCCAGACCCGAATACATCGCAAAAGCACGCCGAAAACCCTATAAAAATACAAATCAACTTCTCAATTGTGAGTTTCTGAAGTCAATCAATCAATCACTATTTTCACCAGCACAAGCTACATATCCATCATGCCCGCCTCTTCTAACAACTACTCCGAGCCTCTTCAGGGAAAGGTCTACGCCATTACTGGAGGTGCCAGTGGCATTGGTCTCGCTACAGGGAAGCTCCTTGCTAGCAAAGGAGCCACTATCTGTATTGCAGATGTTGATCCAGAGGCTATGAAGAAAGCTGAAGGTATTTTCATCGAAGCTGATTCTCCATACATGATCTCCAAGGTCGATGTTTCGAGCCGAGCTGAAGTAGACACATGGATCAAGTCCATCATTCAAAAGTACGGCCGGCTGGATGGTGCTGCCAATGTGGCAGGAGTAATCGGCAAGTGCCATGGCATAAAGGCCTTGGATGAGCTCGAAGACGAGGATTGGGACAGAATTATCGCCGTAAACCTCACCGGTACAATGTATTGCATGCGCGCGCAGCTACAAAACATTGTGGATGGAGGCTCCATCGTCAATGTATCATCCATCCACGGCTTGAAAGGTAACAACATCCCTCTAATTCGATACGAATCATGAATTCTAACGGGGTCTATAGGTTTTGCTAGGCACAGCGCGTATGACGCGAGCAAACATGGTGTCATAGGCCTCACTAAAGCCGCAGCCTTGGAGAATGGTGCACGAGAAATCCGCATCAACAGTGTGGCACCAGGTTCTATCTACACCCCATTGATGCAGAAGGAATGGGATTCTCGTGGGCGCCGAAGCGATGCTCCTTTTAGCGAGCCAACAGCTTTCCGAAGACTAGGCACTCCAGAAGAGACTGCAAATGTCATAGTATTTCTATTGGGGCCAGAAAGTTCCTTTGTTAGTGGCAGCGTCTATAACGTTGATGGTGCATGGCAATAAGGTTTACGACAATTTCTTAATGTATTCAATTTTGCGCACTTTTCCTATATGAATCGACTGAGGAGACACACACACGTTCATGCAGGTAGACCTTGAATTTGCGAAACTCGGCTTGTCAAATAGATGAGAAAAGTCATGGCACCTATTTGTGCCGACACACCAGTTGTCAATGCCACATATGTCTTGAAGTGAGAAGAGGGTATATAGCATGAACATACTCTTTCTAATCGGCGGAAAAACAAGTGTCGATCCAGTCTCGCATTCAAAAATATGCCATCTGTTTGGAACACTTGGACGTTGACCAGTAAAGGCAACAAGAGTTACCATGTTTTAAGATCATATTTCAAAGAGTTTGAATAGAACAGCCTTTCGACGAAACTTTGGTGATGATGAGCGTAGATTTAACAACCACTACACTACCTATGATTTAGGACTGTTTTGTTTCCTCTACTCGCTCAACCTCGAGGCCTCCTGTCTTTGCTGTCTCCTCATCAGCAGCAGATTGACCATGTGATCCGATCTTGGTATCGCTATAAGCGTCAATCATATCACGATACCACGGCCAGAAGTTAACAGCAGCCGCATAAGAAAGAGATCCAAGAAAGAAGACCAGAGGCACAAACATTGCTACGCCTGTGCCATAGGCATCTGCAGCAACTCCTAGCAGTGGAGGCACACATGCACCACCAATGACACCTCCAACAATGTAACCAGATCCACGCTTTGTATGCCGACCAAGACCTTTCATTCCAAGAGCAACAATTGTCGGAAAGCAGATTGACTCAAAGAACAAAACGACAAAGAGCATGCTCATGCCGATGTTCTGGCGTTGAGTGATAGCGGGGGCCAGGAAAATTATAACAGCGGACTGGAAGATCAGGAAGATCCAACGTGGTCGAATCAAATACATCAATCCTGTTCCGACGAAACGCCCAGCGGCAAAAGCACCCTGAGCTCCAGCGAGGAAGTTTGAAGCGAGGGGAGCACTGGTATTTGGACGCGTATCGATGACATAGTTGATGAAAAAGCTGCAAGATCCGACGCATTAGTATGGAAAAGATACGTCCCAGTCAATCAACATACCCAGCAATTGCCACTTGAGATCCACAGTAACAGAATTGTGCAAAGGCGGCATGGAAGAGGCGATACTGTTTTCGGAAAGGCAAATCTTGTTCCTCTGTGTGTGTCTCGGCGGCTTGGTAAGCCATGTCCGCGTCGGTGACTTCGGGAATTTCGGCGAAGAGGAATACAACAGCAAGAGTAAAGACGAAAACCGATATAGCCAGGTAGACCCATTGCACGTTCTCCATTGCAGTCACATCAGTGAGACCAAGGAATGCATGTGCGGCAACGACTGGTGAGATGATGGTACCGATGCCGTTAAAAGCTTGAGAAATATTGATGCGAATCTCTGCAAATCGAGGCGGCCCGCATACTGTTTATGGCGTTAGCGATGCACAAAAATAGTCACCCACCCAGAATTATCTACCTGTGATGTAGGGATTGGCGGCTGTTTCCAGAGCACCTAGTCCGTTGCCAATGATGAAGATGCAGATGCAGAAACCTGCAAAACTGTGGGCCTTGATGGCAGGAATTGCAAGAAGTCCGCCGAGGCCTGCGAGAAGGTTAGCTGAGCCTTTCCGGTAAGACGACTAGAAACTTACCATAGAGGAAAAGGCCCCAGATGAACACTGCTTTGTAGCCGTAGTGCCGCAATAACCAAGCAGCGTGTCCAAGAGATGCCAAAGGGTAAGCACTGAGCAAATTAGTCCTCGGTGGAAGAATTAAACGAAAGAAACCTGGCCTACTTACCCGAAATACGCAGCCTGAAGCCCTGAGGATTTGGCCTTGTTAATTCCTAGAGTGTCCTGAAAGTGTTTGTTGAGGGTATCGAGAAGGCTGTAAGAAAATCCCCAAAGGAAAAATAGAATTGTCACCAGGGCAATGGGGAAAAGCGATTGCCGCAGCGTTAGTTCGGGCCTGTTGCGTTGGTGGTCGCTAACACGAAGCCCACGTTTGGCCCAAAATTCCTTGCTGAACATGATTGCACTCCAGTATTCGCGACTGTTGGATCAGGAGGTAAGAGGCTGACAGCAGGACGTGGATCCAGTTAGCTCAACTGGCCAGCTAACGGGCAAGAAATAAAGATAAAAATTGGGGGCGTATTGCTGAAGACTTTATAGTTGTCGGGTAAGTCTGCCGCGTGACATCCAGCCATCAGTTTTCATCCGTAGGTCGACGGATACTTCTTTCGCCTGGCTGACGCTCTGGTCCAGGCATTTGGTACAAACATCAGCCACACACTATAGATTCCCTTGTACCCGCAAGAGGCTGCCGGCTTCTATGGTCCAAACAAATACACCTTCGCTAAGGGTGAAGTGTGTGCCTTCTACCAATTACCAGTGGATCTCTCCTGAATTCAACCGTGGCTAACGCTTGGTTTTTCTCGCCCATCAATGAAAGGCCAAATCTTGCGCGAGAGCGGATCGTTCTTTGATGGTAAATATCCGTCGGATAATATACATGGTTCGATGTGGAGACCGAGCAAGCATGCTGGGGAGGGGTCTCATGCAATGGAAATCTATTTGGGTAGCTTCAGAGCTGGCATGGCCTGTCAGCTTTGGTCCCATGCTCTCTCAACCCCTCATCAGATTGCACTAGTGATCCCTCAAACCGGATGCCGCAATGGAAGTTGGGATGCTGCTCGACCTGAGCGAATGAAGAGCGAATGCTGTCAACAAGGACCTGATCTTAGAGGGAAGCCAATGTTCCTTGGCAACAAAAGGCACAGGATCTTCACATAGCTTAGCACACTGAGATATCGATACCGTTAACGCTTGGCTTAACTGACGGGTTGCGACTTGCATCTGTTCTTGAGTTCCTGCCATTGAATTTTTCGACAGCTGCTAAACATGTTTTTGGAGATCAACCACGAAAGCCGAACGCGTACCCTGATGTGGAGAAGCTGAGGTGAGCGAAAGAGTGTTTTTCGTGCAACCTGAAGGAGAATAGGAAGCTTATGTGAATGATGGACTGCCTATGAGTATCACTGGCACCATACAATGTGGTTAGGCATCATGTTGCGCAAACTGGCAGCAAAAGATGTAACAAAGAATTTGGGCCCAAGTACACCATTACTATGGTTGTGCCATATTGTAAGAGACTTTCATTCCCAGGTAAAAGCAAGAAGGTCGAAGAGGTCAACGCTTGACGACTTCTAAAGGTGCTCCTAAGAAGCCTATTATATGCACAAACCCCTTGCGCCATTTGTCCAGCGGTATAAAGATAGGATACTGCGGCGCGCAATCTTGCGCTCCTCCCACTCTTCGAAACTGATCCCTCGGACACTGTATAGCGTTGAACGCAACACCCTTCGAAAATTGCGCTGAAACTCAGTGCTCAGTGTTACGATAGACACTTCGTGAGCACGTATTATAACCTCGCAGGCCTGCTCAACGCTCTCATTGGTACCCAGCTGAGGCATTCTGTCCGCAAACAATAGTAAGATAAAGCTTCCCTGCAGGAGGTAGATTCCGAAAAGGTACGGTATAAACGTAAGTTCGGGGTCCAATTCTAGTATTTTCATCACTGCGTCGGACGCAGCAACAGCGTGTGAAGCACATTTTGAGAACGCAAGCGTGCTGATCCATCCATCTTCGTCATCAAGCATACTGAGTGCGTCCCACTTCCCATGAAGAAGTACGTGGAAAACGTGAAGAATGTGCTTGCTATACGCTATGACAAGTCGTAACTTGTGGCTGGCGAGGTTCCAAGGCCGCAAGCTCACTTCGTGAACTTCGACTTCTGTTGCAAGCTCAAGCACACTCGTCTCGCAAGTTGTTATCATATCTTCAATTATTGCGATGCCTTGGCTGCCGTATGTTATGCCCAGATATGGATGTTGCTTTGTATGGTGATCGTGTATGATATTTCCAAGGATGACCATAAGAGGTAAAAAGAAGGTAAAGAACGTAGCCCCGGTAATAGTGGTAGGAAGTTGTGTTGTCCTTCCAGATATGGCACAACTTGGAAACTCATCAAGTCGTTCCCAAATTTCATCATCTAGAGGTACTGAATACAAGTCAGCTTGCTGTAGAGTGAACTATGATGTGGTCATGTCGCACTAACCGTATACTTGGCATGATGAGTCGAGGATACGAAGAGGCCTGTTGTGAGACAGAGAAAGGTGACGGTCAAGGCAGTATAGAAGCCAAAACACCCTGCGTCTCTCTTCTTTAACCTCTAAAAATGCCAATGGCAGGTCTTCGTGTGAGTATCTGTATTTACACGGGCAAAATGGAGCTGAGCAGAAAGACTCTGAAGCCCGACAAGGTTCATCCTCACGGCCCAGGCCTAAATCAATAGCACCTCTAGTGGCTTCGTCCCACCATCTAAGGCTCTCAGACTTTGAGTCACCACCAGATACGGCAATGCAAAGGATGGTAGATGTTAGTATATGGTCCAATGTCCTGTAAGCTTCATCTGTAGCAGCTAGGAGTGAATCGGAACTCATGGTTCTTTTGTCTCGACTCAGGCATTCTGAAGCAATGGAAAGGTCAGCTTCGGCAAGGTTTGAGAAATCAAAATACTCGCCTTGATATCCCTGCCAATGTTTGTGTTCGTGCCCTTCGATAAGTGATAAGACAAGCTTATATAGGGCTTTGGTCGTGCGTGAAGCCGCCCCAGGTTGTAGCATAAACGGAACCTCGGCTTCCTGAGCACAGCACCAAAGAATGGCTGCTAACAACGCTGGTGATAAATGTCGAGGATTTGAAGGATGAAGCAAGGATTTACGTCGAAATATTCGAGTCAAGATGTAAGGTGCAGTGCGTCTAAACAACGACGACCCTGGATCGATAAAGTACAAATCGAAGAGGTCGCAAGCTTCATCTACCTGTAAAATACCACCGAGATAAGGAAGCAGGGGCTCCAAACAGCGGTATCGACAATACCCGGCTGGTGGATTCGGTTGCGATGGTTGTGCCCAGCTTGGGCTCGAATCTTCTGAGGCGGATAAGATGTGTGGACTTGAGGCGGAGTTAGGGGCGTTCTCATTCTGTTCGTTATTAATAATGCTGAGTTCTGTCTGGGCGAGTTGAAGAACTGGCTGAACGTGCTCATCTGAGATCCTATTGACCGTAGGAGAGTGATCCGAGATTGTGTGCGGCGATACCAATGACCTGGGAGAAGAGGCAGGTACCTCGACAAGCGAGTCACTCGGCCATCCATCGTCCCGAATTCCGTGACTTTTGTTCATTAGAGCACCAGGAGCGCGGCCCCTCTTCTTGAGGGGTCTTCCATAATTGCATGGATAGCCATATTCTATTACCGAGACAGTCAACAAAAGGTTTCACCGCCAAAGTTATGGTCATCCGCAAAAGCTGCATTGAATGGCAACCTACCTGTGCATCTGCGGCTGGCAGCAGGGTTAGCTGTGAGTGCCAGTTGAAAAAAAAGACTTGTCACTTACCAAGGAAGATTACCATCACATCGGGTCCGGGACGAGAAACACTTGTCGCACGCTCTCGTAGTCCTCTTCCTTGACTTGCCATTTCCACTCATAGGTATCTGTTCCACGTCTGGAACAGGATCCGCAATTGTGCTTCGTGCCATGTCTGCCTGACTGAATGGCTTGAAATTCACTTCATGTTGCGGACAAACCAGTAATGAACATGATGGCCGTCGGCTTTTTAAGAAAACTACCCCACTTTGAACAATCCCAGAAGCTCCAACATTTTCCCCGGAGTAATCCACCTGATGAGGGGAAATGCCCAGTTGCAAAAAAGGGCGCAGTTTGTTATCCAATCGCCGTGTGCAGGGATGGATGCCGAGAGGTCTGGTCTGGGGAAGCCAGTAAGAACCTGGAGTAGAGCCGGCCCTTCGGGTTGGTGGAGGAAAGTGCTTACTTACCCGATCGCCCATAAGCCAAACCTCATTGGGTTGGTTCTTTTCAGGGGCAGAAAGGTCCAGGAAGGATCGGTTAATAGGCATTTCACATTTTTACTTGTGGCTCAAACAATAGGCCACTGGTAGTGACGGGCTTAGTTATTTTACCTATGATTGAATTGAATCACAGATACGCACCAATTCTTTTATTCCCTTCGTCTTCAAGACAAGCTTCGAAAAACTGTTTTCGTCTGTTACCTATTTGATTCCAATGACTTTTAGGAAAGTGAGGTTTCTTACCAGCGGTCGTTTTCTTTCTGCCCTTTGTTAATCAGGCACTTCTCGGCAGCAGAAGAAGGAATACACAAGGAAACAGTAGCAGGGGACGTCTATAGACTTGATCAAATAACCATCCACAAACACAAGCAGTTCCCAGTCAATTTAGAGGCTCAATTTTGAATTCGGAAGTTTATCTTACTGCAAAGCTCTTTTAATCTACTTTTGATGCGGATGAGGTTTGAAACCCGTGCAAGACTTATCTAAAAGGCTTACCTCTGAGCATGTAAGGCATGCCGAATCAAGTCAAAGAGCATTCACCTGTAAGGGGCTGCCCTTCGTAGAATCGATAGGCTTGGTTGGACCTAAAGGAGAGCAAGTCCACGCAGATTGTCAATAGCAATCGAGAAGATTTTGTCCTCGATGTTTTCATTCACGTTTTGCCATTCTAGTATCAAAGTTAGTGTCTACTGCGCTCAAATTTTAGGTAACCTCGCCTCGCCGCTACTAGGTCCTGGCAGACATACGAGAATCCTTGTATCCAAGCCAGGAGAGACCTTGTCGATTGTACCAGGAGTCACTAAACTGAAATCTTGTTAAGAACTGGATGTGATTGAGCTTTTCTTTGATATGTGATTCCGTGTGTTCTCAATCTATACTTTTGGGTCATCATACATAAAGAGGGCCCAAAGTTTATGAAACATTAGTATATTTCTTATTTAGAACCGACACAAAGGCTCTATCAAATAACGCAATACAAATCTAACCATCTATACTTTGTGTCTCGCACATAGCCTTGTACATATCTCCTTGAGCAACGAGCCCATCATGAGGTCCCGCCTTGATATTTTGTCCGTCATAAAAGACCATGGTACACTTGGCCTGTCGAAGTGTTGAATACGTTGTGGTACTGAAATGATAATCCATTCCTCTGGACCTGCTGCTTCCATGAGTGCTGCTTGAACGATTCTTTCGGAGTCTGTGTCAAGCGCCCTCGTAGCTTCATTTAAGAGAAGAACGCTTGAGTTGCGGGTAATTGCCCGTGCGATCGCGATGCGTTGCCGTTGGCCGCCCGAAAACTGACTACAGCTTACACCGAAGGAGGTGTTAAAGTCTTCATGGAGTGAGCTGACAAAGTCCCAATCGTTGGCTGCCGGAAGTCCGCTTTCGAGTGAGTCATCATCAGTGACTAGAAGGCCTTCCACGGAGTATATTTCGCCAACATAAAAACTCATTGCCATAGACATATTGGCCCTGATAGTACACGGGAACAATGTAGGTTTCTGTTGCACGAGAGCGACTTTGTTTCGATACAATCATGAGTTCAGGTCCTTCAAACTTTCGTGGGCATCAATGATATTCTGGTCATTACTTGGATCGTAGAAGCGCTCAAGCGATGATATCATGGTGCTCTTTCCACAGCCTGTGCATCATATCAGTATTGTACGTGTAGATTTAGGGATTCATCCGTTTTTCGCGTACCTGATGCACTGGTAAAGGCAGCAAACTGGGCAGGCAATATCCTCAAGGTGACACCTTTTAAGACAGGGTTTTCTGGAGCCAGAGTGTCAAAAAAACTCAAGTTTTCGAAATCGTATGTGCTACAACCCAAAAGGGGTCTTTCTTCTCGCTACCTGGGGTCACTCGTGTGGTAGCTTGAAGATTGGAGATCTCGAAGTATTAGTTCGCAGCATGATTTGCTTTGGTGAAACCTGAGGTATAAGCAGTCAGCATAGATTTCCTTTGGGTATAAGTAATTTAACTTACTACCTGCAAAGTTGAAGAACTGCGCAGCGCTTTGACCCAAAAAGAACGATTCCGTGAAGGAAACGGTGAACTGATAGAAGAACAGCTTGCCCTGAGATAATAACTTGGAACGCCACCTGTTTCGCCCTTTTAATAAAACGAAGTTATTTTAGATCTCTCTAGATTTTACCAGAATCCGAATGCAAGAAAAAAATATTCCATGGATTGGGTGAGGGTAAACTAGAAAAGGATGGGCATTTTTGGCTCAATTTAGACAGTGAAGGGAGGGATACTGTCCTCTTAAAACAACTACGCTGCCGTAAACTGCTAATCAGAGCAAGTACTCGTCATCATCAAACCAAACCAAACCAGCATTCTACACCGAATGCGGATTTGCGATTGGTCCGACTGACCGCTGCAAAGCGGTCGATGTCTAACAATCTGTTCTGGAGGTGTCTTGGCTGATTTTTTCTTTACTGGTATCCACCCAACTACCGCGGACACAGGAACACAAGTCGCCCGTCTCCGTCCGCTCTGCCCATGAAGGTCTCCACTTCCAGCGCACTGTCGTCACTTGTCCCCGGATGCCGGAACCCAGAGCGCCCGGCGTCCGCGTTGCCCCCTTTAACGCCCGGCAAGCTGCTCTCTTACCCAATTTCATTTCCTCCACAACAGCGAGACTCATCTTTTCCCTTGCCTCTGATAATGCAGTCCATCCCCGACGCTCCGCTATCTGGTGCCGAACAAGGTCAGACGGAACTGTTGCCTGGAAACGAAGAAAGCAAGGCCTTGCCCGCCTTGTCCAAGCAACCGACGCAGAGGCTCTCGGTAGGTCGCAAATCATTTCTTTTCAGCTTAAATCTCGACGAAAATCTCCTCAACCACATGTGTTCCTCGAAACTGATAAAATCGATTGCGCATCTAGTGTGATCATTGTCGCAATAGAAAGGTGGGTGGCATACCGTTCTGGCAAACACTATTCATCTTACACGAGGCAAGGTTCGATGCGATCGGCAAGAACCATGTTCAAGATGCCTTCACTTTCAAATCCGATGCGAATATACAGCGCAGCCGCGGCTTAGACAAAAGCAACGTCGGTCGTTCGCCTCCAATGAGTAGTACGCCAGTATGCACAATTCCTTGAAACTGTCCTGCTAAATGTACTGTCAGCGCAAAGAAATTTGACGAAATCTCTCAAAAGCTTGATGTCGTGCGCAAACTTTTGGAGGATGGTGCTCAACCCAGAATGTCCGAAGCCTACAGCGCACATCATCTGTCCAACCCGAATTCACCTTCTGCCACGCCTGCCACGATGTCTAACAGCCAGGAAGGGACTTCGCCGATCCATGAAATCGAGCTATCGGAAAGTGAGTACGAAGGGGATTCGGCTTTGTCCGCCCACACAGCTTTTGCTACGAAATTCCTCGAGAACGTTGTAGGTCAAGATGTAGCATCCATGTACAAGCAACCGTCGAGCTTCAACAGGCAAGATCAAGTTCCCGGCATATCAAGCCTACCTCTACCCCCCGCCCAGATTGCCTTTAACTGTTTACGATTGGCTAGAGGTAGGATTCCAGACGCATCTGTGTCGAAACAGTTGATCTTAGCTGACTCACAATAAGAAGCTCATATGGACATGTGGGCCTTTGAGTTGGAATCCCTCGATCAATTTCAAGAATACTTTCTCAACGTGTATTGTTCCAGTCATCCTACGGCTGCTGAACAAATTATCATTCTTGCCGCTTTTACCTGGCTTTTCTCTTGTTGTTCCTCTGTCAATTCAATCCCGTCTCAGAGAGAGGAGTTCGAAAAGCAGGCAATGACTTGTGACAAAAGTCTCGAAACAGCGATAACCAGGCTACCATTCCACTTGCCTACAACATTTGATTATGTACTAGCATTGTCAATGGCGGTAAATTATGTAATCTCTTAACTTCAACTAAAACACTAGCTGACGCACTTTCCGTAGAGTCAGTACTGTATCGAACATCACCGACCAATGATGGCATGGAACCTCAATTGCACTGCAGCCCGTATGAGCCAGGCCCTGGGCTTCCATAAGGCATGTATGCAGGACCCTGCAAGATCGATAGAAAGACGTAGAAAAGCACGACTTTTCGCTTCTATTTATAGGACAGATAAAATGTTCTCTCTCCGACTGGGACGAGGCTCGATGATACGCGACGAAGAAATACCCCTGGACTATAAGGAGATGCTGAACGGAGTCAATACAGCCCCTTACAAGTTAGCCCCATATTGGATCGGGTTCGCCCATATTCAAGGGCTAGTCTATGATAAGCTGTATAGCCCAAGAGCCTTACAACAGCCTCAGGAGGTCCGATATAGTCACGCAAGAAAGATATTGGATGAGCTCGAGATTCTGTTGGCAGAAAAATGCGAACTGAAGGTTTGTTTGAACCCAGATTTGTTGATTTTGGAAACTCTTTAGTGGATACAGTTACTTAGCAGTTCACTAACTAGTCTCAGGAACAATTCAACAGATCGCTTTGCACCGTAGTTGGGAATGATTTACAAGAAATACTGGAGCGAGGTGATCGTGTGTCTCAACTGGCACTCAAATGTCTGATATACCGCGGTGTTTCATCTTCAGCTAGAGGAGTTCCTTTCCACGAGGAATGTATTTCCTTGGCAAGAGAGGCGCTGATGGAACATCGCCGGTGCATATCATCTCTCGCGCAACATGAAAGCAGTAATGTTGAACTATATATGCATTGGTGCGTTTCCCCCTTTTGTATTTCAATTGCATCGCAGTCTTTAAAAGCCATGGACCAGCTGACGACCTCTTTACAGGGCTATTCTCAGCTCTCCTTTCGTGCCATTCATCGTTATTCTTTGCAATGTGGTCGAAACACGCAACCTTGCTGATCTTGAACTTCTAAGAATAATGGCTGGATCTATCGAGGAGCTAGGTGAATCTTTGCCGGCAGTCTTAATGCAGCTGAAGGTTTTTCAACCCCTATATGAGGCTGCAAACAAGTTTATCCGGGCCAAAACATCGTCGACGCCACAAACGGACGATTTTGGCTCCTTTTTCCAGGAAACTAACACTGGCGTCTTGCTTGATCCAACTTTCTTGTCCAGTGCTACACAAAATGACCATCATAATGGCGCTCGTGATGCAGGAAAGAATTATCTAGATGCCTCTTTCCTTGATATTTGGACACAGCTGGACTCTTATCAGCTCAATGTACATATGGCTCAGGAAGAACAGTCGAAGGGTCCCTGACACATGCAACTACAAAGACAACTACTGGTGCTATGTTGATAGAAGATCTCAGTCGGGTTTGTAACCTTCTTTGTTTAGGTGCCTTGATAAAAAGCTTATATTACTGTTCGCTATATAATTTCATATTTTCATGAGCTACTAAGAAAACGTGCTTACTCCTTCCTGTATTTGCCACTGAGCAATGCTAGCAATATATTCCTACTAGTAGGTGCTTAAAATAGAGAGTAGACTAAAGGAGAAAATTCTTAGCTCGACAATAGGATCTGCAGGAATTTGACAGACTATATTCGATACATGTATAAGGGGCTTCGATAGCTGTATCGTATCTAGAATATTTGAGTTGCTTGTTAAATCTCAACGCAATACCGATTGTCTTTGGCCGATTGCTATCTCAGAGAATCCGAATGATAGTGTTCCACCAAGTTAGGCCAACTAAGCCCCTCTTCACACCAACACCAATACATCGAAGGATCATCCAACCTTTCAAGGGCTCATGACCGTATAGTGTCTCCAACCACCATTGTCCTTAGCATACTCAATCGCTTCCGCAGCCTTATCCAAGCCATACACCTTAACCCTCGTGCCGCTCTCGGCTCCAATCTTCAAGAACCCTTGTGTAATTATGCTGATGAGTCTCTCCGTTGTAGCCCGGTTACAAACCCATTTGCTGATAATGAGAAGATCCTTGAATCCCGCTTCCGCATAGTTGATGGCACCTAGGCCGCCGGGAGTCCCGCCGCTCAGGACAATACGTCCACCAAGTTTGAGGACACGAGAACCAGGACCAAGCCACAAAGCTTCCGAACATTCCCCTGGGGTCCAGTCGTTGAAGACCTCGGCGCCCTCTCCGTCAGGCGTCTTTGCCAAGATCGCCGCAGTGTCAACGTCGTCATCTCCCGTCATGACAACATACTGGAGGCGTGGATTATTCACAGTCTTCTTAAAATCCGCAAGTTTCTTCTCGTTGCGCCCGAGCGCAATAACATTGGCACCCAGGGCAAGCGCAACCTCCACAGCGAGCCCACTAAAGGCTCCTCCTGAAGGACCTATGACTATCGTCTCGGCGGCCTTGAGATCGGCGGCTTCAATGATGGCTCCAGCAGCTACTGTATACATGGTAAGAGATTGCAGGATGGCAGGCGTATAGCCCAACGCATTGCACAGCCGGCTTTCATCGAGCTTCAGGCAGTTCTCCATAGGTACTTTCTGGTACTGCTGAAAGGCCCCGCTACCGAACTCGCCATCCATCAACTTTTGTGCCTCAGGGCTAGCGCCGTTGATGTGACCTGGGACTACCTTCGCTTGAGGATAATCCCGCGCGTGGATCTGAGATTTGATGAAGACGAGGTCGCCAGGCTTGAGTCGCACAGCGTCAGGGCCGACCGAGTGGACGCGTCCAATGCTAGCAGAGTTTGGGATGAAAGGGGGTTTCAATTTCAGCTGGTGAATGATCCCACTGTGAACGTAATAAGTGTAGGGAACGATGGGGGCCGCCAAGACGCGTGTGACGACGGACCCTGACGTTGCTTCAGGAATTGGTAGTTCAAGCGGCTTTAACGGAGCGCCGAACGCGGTTAGCTCGAGGGCCTTGTTGATTGAAGGAAAGGACATATTGTGAAAATGGGGCAAATTAGGAAGTGATAAAACTTAGTATATAAGACCTGATCAAAGAAATGTTGGCTCATCTAGTAGAATCTTGTTCTTCCACTTCTTGGGAATCCAGTAACGGTCTTATATACATAACAGGTAGTTGTGGAAAGTTATCAAAATTATCATTGTCTGTTTCAGTCGTCTTCCTTCTAAGAAATGCGCAACTAAAGTGGGCATCACCACGGCGGCCCGAATCGGACTTTCATAACGGAGTTTTCGGGAATGGCTTGAAAGAATACATCCGCTTATCTCATCAAGGCGTATCGCACGGCCCAACTACTGGCTAAGGTACTGATACTAAACAAGTTTTGACTAGGAAAACACCTTCAGGGAGAAACAAGGAACTTACTTCCAGCCTAATCATAAGTAGTAGAAGTACAGGAGACTGTTGCTGGTGTCTGCAAATACCTGCTTCCGTAAGTTGACAGCCGAGTCTATGCCGTTGTAGCAGGTGGAACTCCGTGAATGTCTACTACGTAAGCAGGATGACACCTTAGTCTGGTACTCTACGCTTTGGCCTTCGACCGCTTACTACCCAGTTTTGTTACTGCACGTTGTGTCGCAAACGCGGGCGAAGATTGATAAATCGGTTATTAAAAGTAACAAGACCACGGTACTGAGTTACCGCAACTAGCAAGTGAAAGGTTCAGAAACACTTCTTTTGGTGCACCCTAATGTGTCTTTGTATGGTCGAGATCTCACTTAATGCGGCTGATCGAGACACGACACGTGCCAAGTGCGAAGACAGGCGATACAGCAGCGATAATTACTGCAAGAACTGTAGATCCGGAAATCAGTTCCGACCATGGTGGCCGGTTTATCTGGTCCAGTCTGATGTTAATGTCCTGTGTCGATGTGTTATGTGTGCAGGCCCCCCAAACCTTCTAGTTTTAACTTTTAGCCATCTCTTTCCCAACGCAACTGACAAGACGACCCCACTCTAAACCGGAAACCAACACAACCCACTTGATAAGTGAAGGCAGTTGTCTTCATACATTCTCCACTAGGAGACTGAGAGAGAAAATCACTGCGAAAGGCGACAACAAGAACCCTCTCATCGGCCTAATCTGGCCTCAGAAAGGTAACAATATCACCTAGGTATTCTCTGATCAGGTTGGGAACAACTTATTTCCTTGATTGAAAAGCGGTCTCGTGCCCCAGATGCCAAAGCCGAATAACGACTAAACAAGTGAAAAGGATGAGGAGATGACTAAGATCCCCGCTCTTTGGTCCTTCTTTCAGCGTGGCTACAGCATGGGAAGAGTCTTCCTTCTCCCCGGCTGCGTACGTGGGCAACTTGCGCGGGATAACGGACAATAGAAGGATTTAACGGAGGTAGCCTAACAAGATAGTGTTGATGCGTGTAAGGTAATTGGAGAATGCCTTTTCAGTGGATGCCCTGGAGTTGTGGATCTGTCAGCTGGTTGCATAACAAGGGTTGGCTCGATCTAAAAGAAAAACCTTGAAATCCATTGTGCTTTGTATATAGGTACGGGGGCCCCCGTGGCACTGAAGGCATCAGAGACGATAGAGGCATTCAAAACAGTAAAAGATGTTATAATATTGATTCTTAAAATAACAGTTTCTATGGTAGTAACAGCGAACGGAATAAATATAGCGAGAAATGATGAGTTGCTAATGTAGTGATTGTGGTGTGGGGTAAAAAGTGGTCGTTATAGTGGAGATTCTGGGGCTTGGCAAAATGAGGCCTTCCTGCACTCGACACGACAGGGTGGAAGGTGCGACACTATAAATTGTCCGCATGGTAACGTAGACGTGACGATTCATTCATGGTCTTTGCGCCCCTTTCTTTCTCTATTTCATCAGAGCAATGGATCAGACTCATCAATCATTCACCTGGGCAGAATTGGCTCCGGGTGTATGGCAACGGGACATTGACGAGATTGAAACATTCTGGGCGCAGGCAGCCAGGGCTTATGACAACCAAGGGCGACAACCCTTCGTAATAGTAGGCCATTTGTCGCTCAAGATCGACACCAGTGCTGCACTGCTACGATCACACATCAGCTCTGCCCTAAGAAAAGCTTGGCGTCGCATCCGCCATGACCACCCATCAATTGCGAGTCAAGTTGAATACGATTTTCATACCGAGAGGTTCACACGGACCTATCAAACAGCCCGAGATGAGCTTGAGAAAGAATCGTGGTTAAACGCCACGTTTATTGAAATGGAAGACGGTCAATCCGGCGTTGAATATGCCAATTCAGACCTACCTGCACCAGACATGCCGACTATGGTAATTCTTACACCGCATTCAGATGATGGAGTCTTTGAGTATCGTGATATTATCTTCCGTGCTCCACACGACACTATCGATGGCATCGGAACGTTATTACTGCTGAATAACTTCTTGAGGCATGCTTCGGATGCATTAGAACAGGGAAATGATTATGTGCTTCCTAGCCTTAACGGCACCGAAGTTCAAAATCTTAGCCCTCCCTACCGGGTTGCAGCTGCGGTTCCTTAAGATCTTACCTCGATTCAGGAAGAAAGAATCAAAAAAATGTTCCCAGAGCATGTCTTCTTTGCCAACTCGCAAAAGGAAAAGCAATATCTTTCTCTTCCTTTCAGGCAGGGGGCAAAGGTTCCCAGTCAGCACCAACGAACCGCAATCACTCTGGACCGGACCACATCTTCAAAACTATTAGAGGCTTGTAAAACAGTCGGTGCTACCATCACTCACGCTTTCAATGCCACAATTCCCCTTGTCTTGCAAGATTTGGCAAGAGAAAGTGTACCGCAGCAGAACCTGTACTACAGGTGTGACCTGCTACGCAACCTAAGGCCATTCTGTGCCGAGCCGTACAACACATCTGAACATCCTGTTACTTCATATCATTCTGGCTCGAGCTTTGGCTTTGAGATTGAAATGCCAACAAAGAAAGATGGGCAATCATCAAGAGATGACTTCAAGTGCATTTTACAAGATGTGACCGCCTTCTACCGTCGCGTGGCAGAAGACTCGGATCATTCATATCTTGCACCTTTTATTTGGCAAGGCTGGCTGAAGGTCCTACCAAAGCTCCAAAAGAATCCTCCTCCAGGGCCGCCACCATCCCCAAACGCCGGGGTATCGTTATCGAGCCTCGGTCGGGTTGACAGCATTATACAGCCTAGCATAGGACGGTTTAGCGTGAGTCAGCCTTGGGTCCTTGGAGAGCAAATGTCAAATGGTTATGGGCTTTTTCTATCATCATATCGGGGCGAGATAAGCCTAGGAGCTGCATTTAACAGCGCTTGGCATTTGGAAGAGGACGTTCGAGGGTTCTTGAAAAGATGTATAGAAATTTTACTTGAATCTTTAGATGTGGATTTCAAAGAGGCCTAGCTTTATAGTACAAGAAAATGGTTTTATCATTACGGTCATGTACGAATGGCAAAATTGGGTACCGTGCGGTACACCATTTCGTGCAGAACAGGGGATAACGAAAACGTATTTTGGTATTACCCAGCCCTCCCCGAGTAGGACGAGAGCTAAGTAAAACAACTAGCGCAAGCTCCCGAAGGTTCAATCTAGATAGATATGCACACTAGAATCAGCGTGGAAATAGTAAATGGGTATGTTGGTAGAACCAGGCTGAAAGTAGAAATAGGATATTCAAAGTAAAGGAATTCAGAACCGAGTTATCCACGGCTTTTGGACTATCTAGCGCATCCGTCGATAATACTCTGTCATGAAACTAAGATGCGAGAAATTGACAGCCGCTGGCTTATTTCGGTGACTGGAATGCTTCGGGATGCCGCAAGCGATCTTACGACGAGCCGCAAGGTAAGCAACTACAAACAGATACCTCAACCATTCTTGCTAAAAGAAAATCCATGATCTTAACTGAGAAACGCCTTGCCAACTCAAAGGACTATGACACTATATCCGAACGTCTTTGCTGCCGAAACCAGCAGGTTAATTCCACAAAGATCTCGCCTTTGTGAACTATGATGCCCTCGCTTTAGATTTAATCCAGTGCCCTCTGCCTTCCAATTCCTATATAATTCAACCCAAACAAAGCAAAGATATGAAAACAATGGGAAGACTTGTTCTCATATGATAAAGGTTTGGTACCAATCCGCCTTATCAACGTCGAACCAGTGTTCTGGGTGTAAGATAGATATTCAAGGGACCTTTGTCCCAGAGGAGATATACTTGGCTCTTTTCATCCCAGCCTCTGCTCTCCTCAGACAATTTCATGTCGAAATTCCATATCATTCTTGCTAAGATCAACCGCATTTCGGCGTACGCCAAGCTTTAATTGCAACACATAGTCAGCATGAATCAGATCTCAGTAAGGTGCAACCAGATTTGGGGCAACGCACTTTCTTCCGATGCAGTTCCTAGGACCAACTGAGAATGGCTGAAAAGCTTCTTTCTTATCACTGGTGAAGCGACTGTTGTCAAGCCAACGCTCAGGAATGAAAGAATCAGGCAGGGTAAAGTGTTCGGGATTGTGGAATACAGGCCAATGCCAAACTTGAACAAGTGTCTACATCAAATCATATTAGTTGCTTTCAGAGCATCAGCTAGAGCATCTCGACTCACGCCTTTAGGTACGTATTGGCCTAAGAACAAGCCTTCGCCTTCGGATACTCGACGCATGATACCCGTCGGGACTGGAGGATACATGCGAAGCCCCTCATTGACAACTGCTTGCATGTACTGAAGCTTCTGCACACTGACCATGTCGATATCAGCCTCGGTAGAAAATGCTGAGCGAACCTCTTCGTTGAGTTTCGTCATAGCTCTAGTGTGCGTCGTAAGGTAGTAGGTGATGGCTGAAAGAGCCGTTGCGGTTGTCTCCGATCCGGCCACAATGAGTGTTGAAGAGTTGGCACGCAATTCTTCAAAGTTGAGTTCCTAAACGACCATTAGCGGACAGAATTTCAGTAGAACAAAACCAAAATATACCTGAGGTCCTTTTTTCTTTGTCATTGAGTCCATGAAGTCAGAACGTTCAGTCTGCATGGAAACTCGCTTGGCCACCTTCTCTCGCGTGAGCTGAACATGTTGATCCCGTTTGTTCTTCAACTCGGCCGGGACAAATTTCATCAAAAGTTTCTCGACGATGGGGTATCGTCGGATGTTGGACTTAAAGGTGCCCTCTTTGATACCGTCGAACAGAATCTTGACCCAAGGATGATAAGCACTGTTGTCTAAGCAACCGAAAGACTCGCCAAATGCCAGATCCCCAATAATGTCAAACGTCGTCCAGTTGTACCATGCAACCATGTTCACGGGTTGAGAGTCTTTGGAGGACTTTTCGCGGAGCCTTTCAAACAACAGGTCGACGTACTTCTTGATTATCGATTCTTGTTCGAACATGGACTGAGCTGAAAATCCGTGAGAAAGAGCTCGTCGGAATCGCGAGTGGTCCTCCCGATTGCCGCCAATGATGCTCTGCCTGCTGTCTTTAGTGAAAACCGGATCTCTGCCATGGTCTCCTGTTCCATTCTTCAGATGGCCGTGCAAGTCTTTCCAGGCATCGGGGTGGTTGTATGCAAGTTCGTTAGGGGCAACACGAACGATGGGTCCATATTCCTGATGGAGTTTTAGGATGTCGCGATGAACTTGTCCAGAAAGGTAACTGCGAGTATACGGGATACGTGTGGCTGCCCATAGCTTTGGGCCAGGGTATTTTCGTAATGGATGAAGGAACACGTTATAGACAATTGTCGCAACGAGAGAAGCAAATCCCTAGAACAACATGTTAGGAACTAAAACAGAGAAATTCATGACTCAAACGAGGGGCACCATGCCAATGGCTTTCATGTTGCATATGGGTTACAGCTTAAAGAAGGCTATGACGTACCAAAAGACCAACTCCAAAAGTCCCCAACAATATCGTATGGAGGCCTAAAAGGCTAAATTCGGAGTTGATGTCCGTAGCTTGGCTTGACATGTTTCCTCTCCTGGTTCAAGTAGTTGTGATTGATTCACGTCAACTAACTGGCTACTCTTTCCAGATTTCGTAGTACCGTAGACAAACCATCCTAGGTAGTTATGGTGAAGTTCAAGACCTTTTACCCAAACCGAGAACGGAATTCGGTTTTGGGATTCAAAGCCGAAGTCCCCATGAAACGAGAGTGTCCGTGACGGAGTTTCGTAGCACGGTTGCATTCCTGTGGGGGGGCCTAAAGCCCGCACAAACCCCGGCTGCCATCCCGTCTCCGAACCCCACGGTTTGCACATGTCCTGCATAAATCGCCCGGCATGGCCCGCGTCCGGTCCAGATCACCCTAGTTGACATGGCGCTTACGGCACTTCTTTGCCGACTAGCAATCGGCAGTTTTGATATCTGGCTTCACTTGAACTGTAGGTATGTACGGCAGTCCGCAGGGCGCACTGGGTCAAAATTCAATAATTTCCGCATCGGGTCAATAGGTCTACACCTAAGGGGAGGATTTTTAAAAGGCTCTGATTGGCTGAGAATTACAGGCACTTGCGCGAGTCAAGAGCGAAAAGGGTAAATGCGGGCAGTGTAATTATATATGGGGTAGTTGAGGTAGTTAAGGCAATTAGGGCAGTTGGGGCAGTTAGGGGAAGTTAGGGCAGTCAGGGCAGTCAGGGCAGTCAGGGCAGTTAGGGCAGTTAGGGCAGTTAGGGCAGTTAGGGCAGTCAGGGAAGTTAGGGCAGTTAGGGCAGTCAGGGAAGTTAGGGCAGTTAGGGCAGTCAGGGAAGTTAGGGCAGTTAGGGCAGTCAGGGAAGTTAGGGCAGTTAGGGCAGTCAGGGAAGTTAGGGCAGTTAGGGCAGTCAGGGAAGTTAGGGCAGTCAGGGCAGTAAGGGCAGTCAGGGCAGTCAGGGAAGTCAGGGCAGTTAGGGCAGTCAGGGAAGTTAGGGCAGTCAGGGCAGTAAGGGCAGTCAGGGCAGTTAGGGAAGTCAGGGCAGTTAGGGCAGTTAGGGAAGTTAGGGCAGTCAGGGCAGTAAGGGCAGTCAGGGCAGTCAGGGAAGTCAGGGCAGTTAGGGCAGTCAGGGAAGTTAGGGCAGTCAGGGCAGTAAGGGCAGTCAGGGCAGTTAGGGAAGTTAGGGCAGTTAGGGCAGTTAGGGAAGTTAGGGCAGTCAGGGCAGTAAGGGCAGTCAGGGCAGTCAGGGAAGTTAGGGCAGTTAGGGCAGTCAGGGAAGTTAGGGCAGTCAGGGCAGTAAGGGCAGTCAGGGCAGTCAGGGAAGTCAGGGCAGTTAGGGCAGTCAGGGAAGTTAGGGCAGTCAGGGCAGTTGGGGCAGTCAGGGCAGTTAGGGCAGTTAGGGCAGTTAGGGCAGTCAGGGCAGTTAGGGCAGT